ACCTAGGATACCACCCACGGTGTGACTTTGAGCTGGATATCCGTGTCGACACCAAGGAGGAACATCAAGCTCAGAGTGCAGCGGAACGGTTGCATCAAATCCACGACGTCGCCCGCAGCCAAATGCGGTATGCCCAGGCACGGCAACAGGACGACTCCGACCGACACCGAACCCCTGCGCCAGCCTTCCAACCAGGCGACATGGTATGGGTGGATGGTCGGAACTGGCGCACCGAGAGACCCAGTCGCAAGCTGGAAAACAAACACCATGGTCCCTACCGTGTGATTCGGACAATCGGAACCCACGCCTACGAATTGGACATCCCGGACACCGTTCAGAAGCACCGAACATTTCCTGTATCCCTCCTTCATGCCTCCGCTGACGATCCCTTCCCTGGACAAATTCCACCGCCACCACTTCCGGTAATCGTGGACGACCAAGAAGAATGGGAGGTTGAAGAGGTCCTCGACAGCCGGAACCTCAGGGGCAAACTCCAGTACCTGGTGAAATGGAGAGGCTACGCGGCACCAACATGGGAACCAGAGGAGAACCTTACCGAGGTACAAGCTGTGGACGACTTCCATCGACGATACCCCATGCAGCCTGGACCAGTCGAACTTGCTCTCGTGGGAACTCGAGCCTTAGGAGGGACTACTGTCACGGCTCGCGATGGAATGACGAAGGGAGGGTCGGCACAAGGACCGGGAGAGTTGGGGGGCAGTGCAGAGGCAGTGCACCGGCAGTGCAAGGATGAGTCGCAGAGGATTTGGGGCTGTGTGCAGGGAGCAGGGATAGCGCAGCAATGAGTCGCAGGAGATTGGGGCTGTGTGCAGGAAACAGGGGTAGTGCGGCTGCGCAGGGTATGAGTCACGGAAGTGGGGTACTGGCAAGGTGGATTTCTCAGGGTCTGGCACACGCCCACGGTCATTGTCAGGTTGCGGGAAGAAGTGGAGGATTTTCTATATAAACGGGCCGTTGCCCCTCTGTATTTAGTTCTTCACGCAACAACTTGTTAATTCAATCACTGTTACCTCTGTCCTTGCCTCGGCTGCCGTCTGCGCCGTAGTCCTTGTCCCTGCCTCTGTTCTCAGTTGCCGTCCGCACTGAGCCCTGCCTCACCTTGTCCTCTGAACCTGTCTTGTCTCTGCCGAACCTAGAACCCGATTCCGAGCCCGACTTCGCTACCTGGAGCCTTGCCCGACCGTGCCGTTACAGCACCGGCTTATCAAGTAGGAGACTTGGTAATGCTCAATGGGCGGAACATTCAAACCCGCCGACCCTCGCGGAAGTTGGACCACAAGAACCATGGTCCCTTCCAAATCGAGAAGATCATATCGCCGCTCGCTGTCAAGCTCACTCTGCCAAGGAAGTGGAAGATTCATAATGTCTTTCACGTCTCGCTCGTTGAACCGTTCCGAGCCGGCACCCGAGCACCACCGGATCCCTCTCAAATCTTACGAGAGGCCGATGATGTGGAAGGCAACGAAGAATACGACGTCGATGAGGTTATGGGCAGCTCGAAGAAAGGTCGACGAGTGCTCTACCTCGTCAAATGGCTCAACTACCCCGAACGACGGGACTGGACGAACGAGCCATTCGACAACTTCTCAGTAGGCGGTCGGGAAAAGCTACGCGAGTTTCATCGCAAAAATCCCGATGCGCCGAGGGACTACCGGCTCACAGATGAGTAAGAGTTTTTTCCCATGTGGTTTTTCTCGAACTCGGGCAGGTAGTAGGATGAAGGGGTTGGAGGACTTCATCCACAGTTATCAAGTTAGGATAAAGGCGAGGACTTGGGTGCTTCGGGCCGAAGCCTCGTGGGAGGGGAGATGGTGTGACACCCCGATAGGTATCGGAGGTCACGACGGTCGCAAGAGATGTGATTAGATAGTTCGGGTAATTAGAATAGAGTTGCGAGCCGAAAGGATAGTTAGAAGCGATCAAGGACAAGATAGGAAGGAGGGAGCAAACGGATTCCAGAGTCTAGACAGTGATCGGAGATGCGGGAGATCGGGATAACAGTCCAGAGGACTTTGAGATCTCCGTTCATAGGGCCCCGCAGTAGGAACTCCGATCCAGGGAAAAACTGTTATGACGAGAGAATCGAACATCGACCGATGGGGGCAGACAACTTCGAGCGAAGAACTCTGCCGGCGCATGAGGGAGATAATTGCTCGGAAACTCCGATCTATCTTGGGCGCGTGGTGTTTACCACCTGCCTAGTCGAGAAGACTATCCGAAGAGAGCTGACGACGACTCAAGGCTAGGCCGCGGAACTCCGATGCAAAGGAAGCAACGGAGCTACGTTAGGCCGCACTCTAGAGGAATCACGTGCTGAGGATCGGAACGGCTATAAGTTGAACCGAGCGGGCAACCGAACCAAACTACAATCATCGCACCAAACAAACCATCGAAGAAACACCCTTAAGATTATTCCGTTGTGAATTATCGAAATCCCTGACTTTTATTCTATACTCAATATCACCATAGACTCCGACGACACAAACTCGTTCCAGTCTCACAGAGCCCTGCCTCACCTTGTCCCCTGAACCCGTCTTGCCTCTACCGAACCCCGAGCCCAATCCCCAGCCTGACTTCGCTACCTGGAGCATTGCCCGACCGTGCCGTTACACTTGGTGTATGGGTAGGCTATACAGTCACTCAACCATCGTCTCAGAAATCCTAACACCAGTACAACCGGAACACTGAAAACTATTGACGGTACCCCTTAAGATTATTCTGCTGTGAATTATCGAAATCGCTGACTTATATTCTACACTCAATATCTATGCAGACTCCGACCTCCTGAAACCGCTTCAGTCTCACACCCACCGTGTGGTTACATGTAGGGCTAGTGATAAGAGCCTTGTAATAAAGTACACTGGGAAAGTACTACACCACTTGGCCAAAACGTATTTTGATGGCTGAAGGCCATCATACCAGTAGCTACTTAAGACAAGGATTTATGCACCGTGACAAGCCTCGTTGGAACCTTGAGTGGAGATAGCCTCACAGAAATGCTGCAAAAGTTGATGCTGGGAGTGTAGAAGAAAAAGTACCCCTCAGACCAACTATGGCGGGCGTATTGAGGGCCCAGTTAGGTGTAGGACGCGGACACGCACCCTGGACCTTATCCCTTTGATTGTTTGCAGTGACTCGAGCTACGGCACGGGAGGTGGAGAGACAGGTGGGTGGAGGCAACTAGTGTGTAGGCTATGATGTCGGGCTCATGTCAAGTGGTACGGTGAGGTGACTGTGCAGCCGATTAACAGATTCCTCGCCGCCGCCGCACCACCTATGCCCGCACCACAAGCCAGCCTTCTTCCGCCGGCTGATGGGCGGTTACTTGCTAGTAACCAAATTCGGACACCCCCTGTGTCCCCCCACTCGCTTCCCGTTGCGCTGAAATCTTTTTGACAATCTATGTGATCGGGTCGTAATCAGCGAGGGCGCATCCCGCTCAGTGCTGTACTGATCAGTAATGCAGAGTACCGACCGGTACTGCAGGCCTTTTCCTGCTGGACAACCGTACTGTTTGGTACCGCACACCCAGTAGCATACTATGGCCGCACATTAGCTGCCGCCGCGATTACGATCACAAATATTGGCAGAACAGCAGAGTAAAGATCAGTACCGCACGGTGCAGAGCGGTACTGCTATTGCCGCATCGGCAGGCGGAGCACTAAAGGGTATTGCCTGCGCTACAACGGGCAGGATATATTGGGAAGTACAGCTCACAAATCGTCTGTACTACTCGGTACAGAGCGGTACTGCTATCGCCGCATCATCGAGCCCGGTACTGACGGTTGCGGAGAAGATCCCTTGGGCGGTACAGCTCTGGAACCGTCAGTACTGCTCGGTACAGAGCAGTACCGCTGTTGCCACATCGCCGGGCGCGGTACTGATGGGTACTGCCTGCGCAGCGGTGGGCGGTTTACTGGGATGGGGGATGGTGTCCCCCGGAAGTGGCGCCGATGAGAGTGGCGAGCCCGGTTCATTAATCCGCTTCATCAAAACTCACTCTTCCGAGCATCGAGCACTGGAGTCCCTCAAAAGTTTGCTCACAGGATTCACTCCGCCGGTCGAATCCAATACTGATCAAACCCAATCCACCTTGAATGTGTTGGACCCACCCATCCACCAGCACCCATGGAAGGTAGCAGGACGAAAATCGTTGAGAAAAGAAGAGCGAATTGTCGGGAGTGGATGATCGAGGATGCCCAGAGTGTAACCCGCATCCATTTTTTCCTTGCTATCATTTCGAAGGCGGATTGAGGGTGTGGGGGGATGGAGTTGCCCCACCGCACCGCACCGGAGGGGGACGATTTCGAGAGCAGAGTATGTAGGTAGATATGCAACTTTCCACGACAGTCCACGGTCGAATGCAGAGTGATGCAGGAAACGCCCCCAACGGCAACAAAGCCTGCCTCGGCCTGTCTTCTCTCGTCGAACTACAGGACGTACGACGTACATACGTAATCAGCAAAATATAAAGACGTGTTTGATGCAAGTGATGAAGTTTACCAGTATGGACATAGGTGCATAGAACATTTGCCAGTCACAAGTGCAATTCGACCCCCCGTGCGTGTTGTGCGACAAACTTCCTACGTCCTACGCGCGGCTGCTGTCATACGATAACCAACCCCACGCAAGCTTGAATCTCTACACGGTAGCACAGCAAACTTCTTTCCCTCATCGCCAATGACTCGAAACACGAAAAGCATGTCAATCAGCGGACGGAACGAAAACCTTCGGCGGTGGCAAGGATGTCAGCGGCTATGGCAGGAATACGAGCAGGCAACAAGTCCAGAGACTGCGAGGGAGTGCTGGAGAGAGGTGAATCTTCTGGGAGCGGCCTTGAGCGCCCGGTTGCGTGGGTTGGCAGATAGTATTGAAGCTATGGCGGATGAAGATACGGCTAGAGGGGAAGGGATGGGAGACGATGAGGTGGTGGAAGATGAGGAGGTGGTGGAAGATGTGGAAGATGTGGAAGATGTGGAAGATGTGGAAGATGTGGAAGATGTCGAAGACATGGAAGACGTGGAAGAGGTGGAGGTGGTGGAGGTAGGGAGAGTTGGATTGAAGTCCAAAGCCGTAAACGAGAAGACACCGGCTCGCCGTATCTCAGCGAGGAAAAAGAGCACAAGAGGACCGGACGGGCGATGGATAAGGGGAGCGAAGGGGGATGGAGGAGGAGAAGGCAAAATTCATGACGAAGGTCACTCACGCGGGTGGCGGGGCCGGGACTTGGCCTCTAACGACGGATCCGGAGAACCACTAGCTGTGAAACGTCTCAAAACACAAGATCGATACACGCCACAGCCCGCCAGTGTTTCGAGGTCCCGAGCAGTAGGTGCCACAAAGCTTGTTGACGCCTCGAAGTCTGCTGGTACCTCGAAGTCTGCCGGGTCCTCGAAGTCTGCCGGGTCCTCGAAGTCTGCCGCTACCTCGAAGTCTGCCGCTACCTCGAAGGCTGCCGCTACCTCGAAGGCTGTCAGTACCTCGAACTCTGCCGGTTCCTCGAAGCTTGTCGACACCATTCGCCGCATGCCTGTGTACCAGCTGCCACGGCCCGAAGCAACCCTGTCATCGGCACTGGTGGGCAATTCTGAGTCCGGAAATTCTGGTTCACGAAACCTCGTTTTAGGTGTTCAGCTTTCTGTTCTGCAAACCCGGATGATCGAAACGTTTCTGGGGTACCCACACGAGTCACTGGACACGGACAGCGTTCAGAAGCGGGTGCGGATCATTGAGAACCACCCATATGCCTTCGCCAGTCAAATGGGGAAGCACTACACTAGCAACCTACCAGTGTCATTGCCAGTGGTCACGGCAGCAGCGGACAAGTCCACGCGGAAGGCCCGAGACCACTGGCAGAACCTCGACGATGCACATGCCCATGCGAATGAGTGGGTGCCGGTTCCGGATGCTGAAGTCGAGGACAAGCACAATTTGAACTTCGATCAACAGGTCTCAGGCCTAGACCCTGTTCTGTTGGCAAGCCTGAAGAAAGGCCGGACCCAGTCACCTACTCCCGAGCCCACCAGAAGCCCAAGACCGACTTCCCTAAAACCGTGGCCGACAACCATCGCGACAGACTTGGAGATTCGGGCCCTCAAGGCCTCTCCCCGGATGGAGGTGCTGGTTGGGCTCCTCGAGGCTGCTGCCGGCTCAGGACGCGCCGTCGTCGTGCTCTCGCATTCGGCCATAACACTCGGAGTATTGCAATCGTTCCTCCACGAGATGGGCATCACCGCCATGATGCTCCTCAACCCAACCATCCCCGTTGAAAAGCGCCGCGAGATGCTCCGAGAATGCCCAAAACATGTCTGGCTGATCTGGGCATGCAATGACATTGTTCGCGGTCTCGACGAGCTGGAAGTATTTCAGTGCATCTTTCTCATGGAGTGGGATATGGGCAACTCGAGCATGCTCGCCCGTTGGTTCGACAAAGACGCAGCGGTGTATTCCTTCCGGTCGATTGTGGGGGATGGGCACAGCGAAGGCCTAGTCCAGGGGATCAAGGGGCTTCGTGTGGAATACGGCGGGCTGGGGATTGAGATGTACGAGGGCAACGAGCTCTTGCGACAGTGCAAGAGTCAGTTGGAACAAGCAGGAGTCATGGTAAAATACGAGTAGAGTAATAGTTATGGGCGATTTTTTTTGCGGAAGGGGTGGGATGTATTCGCATTAGATACCTGTGATGAAGTTCTGCAGCTTCCGGTAGTCCAAGAATGCGAGAGAATGTACCGTAGCTCCACGGACACGAAACCGTCACCAAGTTCCGTCTTTCAGCAACTTCTCAACATGAGCAATGGAGATGCATGGACCATGTACATTATTATTATTAATTGCCAATGTATATGCTCCAAAGCCCCGCAAGCACCTGGTCTTTCCGTTCCATAAATTGGCACTTCTATCCGACCGGGAAGAAGCGAGAAGGCGCCGATCACCTCCGCTTCCGTTCGCTCTCTTCTCGTATATTCCTTTTCCTCCTTCTCCTTCTCCTCCTCTTCTTCTTCCTCCACCTCATCTTCCTTCACCTTCGTCCCCACATATCCACCAACACACATTCTTCTTATCCAGGTGCTCATACTCCGCGTTTCAACGTCAGTTGTAAACGAACGGACGCCCCTAGTCCCAGCCCCCCAGAAATCAATGACCCCGCCCCTCCAGAGCACTCTTCTTCACTTTTAGCCCATGGACTCCCGCCTCGAACTGCTCGACCTTCCGGACGAGCTCCTTCTCCAGATCGTTTCCCGTACTCCCCTCCGCCACTCCCAACTCAACCCTCCCCTCCGTGAATCTAATTATCGCCAGATCTTGAACCGAGCTCGGTAATTCCGCTTCATCGATGTCGTAAACGCTTGCGTGCCCTCACCCGCTCGGATCCCACGCTATGGCGATCTCTCTGTGCCTATCAAGCGACCGTCGAAAATTCCTGCCCTGTATGGGATCGAAGCGAAGAGCTCTCAGCCGTGATCGATAACTGGCCACACAAAGAAATCGATTGGTATAGTGAATACAAGTTTCGCCATGCGCCACTGACAACGCGTTGGCTGTCTTGTCCCGACGACGAGGTGAAAGGACTGACGTCCCTCACGGCGCGGAATACGCACAAACACTTCCTTATCACCCCGCTCGAAGATGGCGCCATCAGTATCTGGTCTCCTACCGATACCAACGACGAACGGGATGTCTCAAGGTCAAAGCCCGGCGTCCTCTCCACACCGCCTCCGCCAGCATCGCGGAAATCAAGGGTTATGGAGCTTGGGGACAATACTGTCGCTTCGTCGGAGTTGGACAGAATCTACGTGGCATCGCATTCCACCCTTATCGAGCTCTCGTTGACAACGCTGCAAACAATCTCGTCCACCAAATTTCCCTTCTCCATCAGTACTTTGAGCTCGGAAATAGTGTCACCGCACCCCCTAACGGTCGGAACCACTCTCACTCTGCATCTCCACGATCCACGCATTGCCTCCGCTTTTGCAGCGCCCTCCACCGTGCTTCCGCATACTTTCCCGGCGAATTACGCTAATCATGCCCCTCTATTCCAACCCTCGCCGCTGGCAATCCTGCACCACCCAAACAACTCCCTCTATGTTGCCGGGCGTTTCCCATCGATCCTCTGCTACGACCGAGCGATGTGGCCACGACTTCAAGGAACCCTCTATAGCGGCGCTAGCCTCTGCACCCTCACAGCCGACGGAATGGGGGGACTGATCGCCGGTGGTACCTATAACGGCCGTGGCACGCTCGAGAGCTACAATCTGACCCCTGATGTTGAGGTCCCGCAACAGAGGAACCGGCAGTCCGCCGCATGGGGTAAGATTCTTTCGGTTGCGAAACAGGGCGCGCGGGTGGTCTCGTGCGATAGTGAGGGAACAGTGAGCTGGTTCGAGAAGGATTGCAGATACGTTGTGCGGCGTGAGGAGGTGTATGACCCAGAATTTCAACAAGAAACTGGAACTTTGTGGGCGACGACACTTGAAGAGGGCTGTGGACCTGCCCGGAAGGTGGTGGTCATGGAAGGAGGAGAGGGTGAGGGACTAGGAGTGTGGGCTGGGGATCGTCTTGGATTTTTGGCACCTGGTAGGAAGGATGATGAAGACGAGGAAGAAGGTGACGGGGTCATGGTGGAGAGCAAAGAGGAGCTCCTGGAGAATGAGATGGCAGACAGAATGAGGAGGGCATTGCATGCACATGCGGATGAGCTGAGGATCTTGGGAACCCTGGCGGGATTGACATAGTTAGCTATTCAGTTGGGAAGTGGTGCTCAACGATGTTGATGCTATTTGATTGGTGATCTTCGGTTTTTCGACCCTCGCCTTAGTTGATGTGTGATGTTTTTGGTTGTCATTCAATTCGATATTCAAAGTTTTATAAATCTGCTACAGTCTATTTACCTTTTCAATTGCCTGGATTTTGTATGGGTTCTTCTCAAAATGGCTCCTCCAACACCCATTGAGAAGTAGTTGTGTGGTTTCCGGGTAAATACAGTTTGGTAAGCTTGAGCCTCTTTGAGGCGCGAACCCTAGAATGGAGAGCTCTTTCTGCTCTTAGACTCGCTAACTTGCCACACTTCATTCTCTCTACCAGCCGGCACCAACACCACAACCACCACTTTCACTTCCACTCCCACTCCCACCACTAACACCATCAACACACGTATCGGGGGAGACCGCGATACTCCTTACGCCGCCTTACGCCCTCTATTTCTCTCACGACTTTACGAACCTTAATCTTCTCTAACACGCCTCTTGTCCTCGATCGCGCAGCTGCAGTTTCTGTGATTTGAAATACATCCTACCACAGAGCATTCCCACGCGCCACTCGCCTCTCTCTCGCCCATCATGGACGAGTACTCAGATGAAATATCGGCGGAGGATTGTTGGCAGGGTACCTCACCGTCCCTTTCCTCGCGCGTTCTCCTCTTGTGTAGATATGATCGGAAGCGCGAGCTAACACTCAATGCGCCATGAAAGTCATCTCGGCGTTCTTCGACGATAAAGGACTGGTATCGCAGCAGCTCAACTCGTTCGATGAGTTCGTTTCGCACACAATGCAGCAGATGGTGCACGAAGACTCGTCGCTAACCCTCGACCAAAACCTCAACGCCGATGAAACCGGCGGAGTCGTCCTGCGGCGGTACGAGATCTCGTTCGGAGACATCTTTTTGTCGCGACCGACCATGACCGAAGGTGACGGATCCACACAACCCATGCTTCCTCAGGAAGCCCGCATGCGGAATCTTACCTACTCATCACCGGTGTATTGCGAGATGAAACACAAGGTCATGTCGGCGAGGGAGGTCGACGCCTCGGACAGTGAGGAAGAGGAAGGAGGGTCGGACAACGAAGGAGGCGAGGTCAAGACAAACCACAAGTACGTGTGGGACACCGACTTTATGTCGGAGCCGTCGAAGGTGTTTGTTGGAAAGATGCCCATCATGTTGAAGTCTCAATACTGTATATTGAAGGACTTCCGGGAAGACGAGCTGTATGGCCTGTCGGAATGCCCCTACGATCAGGGTGGCTATTTCGTTATTAACGGATCCGAAAAAGTGCTCATCGCTCAGGAGAGAAGTGCCGCCAACATCGTTCAAGTCTTCAAGAAGGCTCCACCCTCGCCTACCCCGTACATCGCAGAAATCCGAAGCGCCGTGGAGAAGGGATCCCGGCTCATCAGCAGTATGCAGATCAAGTTGGTTACGAGAGGAGAGGCCCGTGGTGGATACAATGCAACGATAAAATCGACCCTTCCTTACATCAAGAGCGATATTCCCCTGGTCATCGTCTTCCGAGCTCTCGGTGTTGTCTCGGACGAGGATATCCTGAATCACGTTTGCTATGACCGCAATGATATCGAGATGTTAGAGATGATGAAGCCATGTATCGAGGAGGCATTCGTCATTCAGGATCAGGGTGTCGCGTTGGACTACATTGCGAAGCGTGGAACCTCCACTGGTGCGAACCGAGAGAAGCGTGTGCGGCATGCCCGGGAGATCATGCAGAAGGAGTTGCTTCCTCACATTTCCCAGAGCGAAGGTAGTGAGACGCGCAAGGCTTTCTTCCTGGGATACATGGTCCACAGGATGTTGCAGTGTTCCTTGGAGCGGCGTGAGGTGGACGACCGAGATCACTTCGGAAAGAAGCGATTGGATTTGGCGGGCCCCTTGTTGGCATCTCTCTTCAGGAACCTTTGGAAGAAACTCACGAAGGATGTCTTCAAGTACTTGGAGAAGTGTGTCGAGACTGGCAAGGAGTTCAGTCTGCCGCTAGCCGTCAAGTCCAACACCATATCCAATGGACTGAAGTACTCGCTGGCGACTGGTAACTGGGGTGATCAGAAGAAAGCAATGTCGGCCAAGGCGGGAGTCTCGCAGGTGTTGAACCGATACACCTTCGCTTCCACGTTGTCCCATTTGCGTCGGACCAACACGCCCATTGGACGAGACGGAAAGATCGCTAAGCCGCGCCAACTCCACAACACACATTGGGGACTGGTGTGTCCTGCTGAGACTCCCGAGGGTCAAGCATGTGGTCTGGTCAAGAATTTGGCGTTGATGTCGTACATCACCGTTGGTACTCCTGGCAATCCGTTGGTGAACTTCATGGCCGAGCAGAACATGGAATTTTTGGAGGAATATGAGCCGCAGAGATCGCCGAACGCCACCAAGATCTTCCTCAACGGAGTCTGGATCGGTATCCACAGAGATCCCCTTCACCTCGTACGATTGGTCCAAGAGCTCCGAAGGCGCGGTTCAATCAGTCACGAAGTCAGTGTTATCAGGGATATTCGTGACCGCGAGTTCAAGATCTTCACCGATGCTGGTCGTGTCTGTCGTCCATTATTTGTTATTGACAATGATCCGACACACGAACGCAGAGGACAGCTTGTCTTGACCAAGGAGCATGTGCTGCAGTTGGAGGAAGACCAAGGGCTCCCGGCCGGTGACAGGTTTGGCTGGGATGGCTTGCTTGAGTGTGGAGCCGTCGAATATGTGGATGCAGAGGAAGAGGAGACAATCATGATCGTTATGACTCCGGAAGATCTCGAAGTATCGCGACAAGTGGCTCAGGGCTACGAATTGGCCGAGGAAACGGACCCCAACAAGCGCGTGAAGGCCCCGATCAACAAGAACACGAGTCAGTACACTCATTGTGAAATTCATCCCAGTATGATTCTCGGAATCTGTGCCAGTATCATTCCCTTTCCCGATCACAATCAGGTAAGATTGACCGACCTTATTGATGTCTGGGATTGTTGTGCTCACTCGTGTTGCAGTCGCCTCGTAACACATACCAGTCTGCTATGGGCAAACAGGCGATGGGTGTGTTCTTGACCAATTTTGCGGAGCGAATGGATACCATGGCCAATATTCTGTACTACCCTCAGAAACCGCTAGCCACTACCCGCTCAATGGAGTACCTGAAGTTTAGAGAATTGCCAGCCGGGCAGAATGCTATCGTCGGTATAATGTGCTACAGTGGGTACAACCAGGAAGATTCTGTCATCATGAACCAGAGTAGCATCGACAGGGGCCTTTTCCGCAGTTTGTTCTATCGAGCCTACATGGATCAGGAGAAGCGCATCGGTATGCAGGTGGTGGAGGAGTTCGAGAAGCCAATGAGGGGAACAACTTTGAAGCTGAAGCACGGTACCTACGACAAGCTTGAGGACGATGGACTCGTGGCGCCCGGTATTCGTGTTTCCGGTGAAGACATCATCATCGGCAAAACGGCTCCCATCAATGCCGACGCCGACGAGATGGGTCAGAGGCAGAAGTTCCACACGAAGCGTGATGTCTCAACGCCTCTGAGAAGTACCGAGAACGGCATCGTCGATCAGGTTATGCTTACTACCAATGCCGATGGTCTGAAGTTCGTAAAAGTGAGGATGAGGACTACCAAGATTCCACAGATTGGTGACAAGTTTGCTTCTCGTCACGGCCAAAAGGTTTGTTTTGCTGTGTTCCGGTCTTATTTACAAAGCTTACGGTGGTGTACAAGGGTACCATTGGAATCACTTACCGTTCGGAGGACATGCCCTTCACTTGTGAGGGAGTCGTTCCCGACATCATCATCAATCCGCATGCCATTCCGTCACGTATGACCATTGCCCATTTGATCGAATGCCAACTTAGTAAGGTTGCCTCGCTGCGTGGCTTCGAAGGAGATGCGACGCCTTTCACGGATGTTACGGTCGACTCTGTCTCCAATCTGCTGCGCCAGAGCGGATACCAGTCCCGTGGATTTGAGGTTATGTACAGCGGCTACACTGGAAAGAAGTTGGTAGCTCAGGTTTTCTTGGGCCCCACTTACTACCAGCGTCTCCGTCACATGGTCGACGACAAGATCCACGCCCGTGCTCGTGGACCTGTCCAGATTCTTACGAGACAGCCCGTCGAGGGTCGTGCCAGAGACGGTGGTCTTCGTTTCGGAGAGATGGAACGTGATTGCATGATTTCTCACGGAGCCAGCGCCTTTCTCAAGGAGAGGTAGGTTATCACTCTTCCTGGGTTTTCTTTACAAGTGCTGATGTATGGTGGTCGCAGGTTGTTCGAAGTTTCCGATGCATTCCGTGTGCACATTTGTGACATCTGTGGTCTGATGACGCCAATTGCGTATGTGCCCCATGAGCTTCGGTGAAATGGCAAACTAACACGTAACAGCAACCTCAAGAAGAACCAGTTCGAGTGCAGACCTTGTCACAACAAGACGAAGATCTCACAGATCCACCTGCCATACGCTGCAAAGCTACTTTTCCAGGAGCTCGCGGCTATGAACATCGCTGCCCGTATGTTCCACAAGCGGTCCGGTGTTAGCATGCGGGCCTAGAGGAGACATATGGGGGATATGAAACGGGGTTTCTTTCTTTTGTTACATGATACTCTTCTTACTACTACTGGCTTGCATGATTGAATGATTGGTTGATGAGATGGCTGTTGATGTGATGAGGCAATAGTCTTTCATCTTTTTCTTTTTCTTTCTTTTTCTTGACATTTCTTTTCTGTCGGCGTTTTTGTGGGTTGCATTTCTTTCTTTTTGTAGTCTTTGACAGAGGTCGGAGGGATCATCGAGATGATGATATAGAGTATGTATGTTAGGTATGATACTAGGCAAAAAGTCTTCCATCAACCGCAATCCGCTCGTGCGTTCGCCAAGCCAACCTTTTTGAGTGCATCCATCGAAATTTCCATGACATAACGCCTCACCTCACACCGTCAACCTCACCTACCACCCCACCACCACCCCCAATCAATCAAGCTCACCACCTCACACCACACATAACCACACACGACACAATGGCCCCACAAAACCGAATCTCCTCCGGCGGTCGCAGCAGCCAGCAGCCGGGAATGGTCACCAGCCTCTACCGCGAGCTCCGGAGCCCCGAGAACGCGGGCCTCGTCAAGAGCGTGGCACTGTTTGCCGTCGCCATCACCTTCTTCCAGAGCTCCTGGAGCGAGTTCTTGGTTCCTGGGTGAGTTTTGACTTGGGTTCGATGAGCGGGAGGAGGAGGAGCGGGGGAGAGGAGAGGGAGAGAGGGAGAGAAGGAATGTTGGAAAGTGGGGGCTAATGTTGGTGGTGGGGGTAGATTCTAAATGCCGCAACGATGGGGTACGGAGAAACGGAACGGGAAGAGTGTATGATACGCACGGATGCGATGATTTCCACGGGATGGATTGACGGGCAGTGGGCGGCGGCGGGTTGGTTGTGTGTGCACATAGAGATGGAGAAAATTGCGAACCATTCAACTTTTTCGTGGCAAAACCAAGCCCCCCACCACAGATACATACAAATACAGATCCCCGAAGTTGCGACCCAACGCCGGAAGCAAACGCAAAAGAAAAAAAATCCCACATATACGAGTACAGAAAGAGCCAATCAGGTGTCGTTCAGAATACCGCATCCAGCCAGTCCTCAAAGTACTTGCAGTTGCTCGCACTGACCGGCCCGCCCTCCTTGCACAGATTGAATACTGGACACCTACCACACGGGCTCTCTGTAAACCCGTTGATACTCATACCCTCCGACTTTCTAACCGCTCTGTACGCTGTCCCGCCTACCACGCGCTCAACCTTCCCATCATACACTAGCACGTCAAGTAAACTCTTGATGTCGGCCTCGGCCAAATCTACTTCGGTAAGGTTTGAGTTTTTGACCCAGAGGTAGATCTGGTTTAGAGTTGGATAGCCAGTATGGTCATTCGCGAAGGAGACGGTCGTGCCGCTGTCTTTACTACCGGCGGTTGCCCGCGGGAAGGATTTGGAGGTGATGAATTTAGACATGGCGGTCAAAAGTTCGTTGATAAATTCGTGGTCAAGCTCGGAATCCGTAAACCAGGGACCGCCGGAGACTTCAATGGACGGGGTGAGCTCGTAGAGCATGTAGATTTTGCGGGTTGGGTACTATACGCCGTCAGTCAGCCCGGCCACCCCCCACACCAGCGGAAGAATGCGACTGACCTTCACGGACTGGACAACTTTGACGTATCTCTTCTGCTCCAATGTCTTGAGACATTTCGTCATTGTCGTGGCATGCATGTTCGACTTCGTCTTGAGCGTCTTTGACCAGATTCCCTCTCTCGCCGCGTCCTGGATGTAGGTATACAGCATTTCCTCGTCGGAGCTCATATTCTTAACCCTAGATACCGCCCCTCCGCCATCAACACCGTGTCTCCCTTCAGCTCCAGGGAATACCGTGGGGAAGACATTACTTTTCAATCACATCCTTGGGTACGGCCCTGAACACCGATGCGCCGCCCTGCGTAAGCGTCTGCAGTTGTCGCCGCAGCAAGAGCTCGTTGATCACGCGGCTGGCAACCTCGACGTTGCCCTTGCCCGGCGTCAGCTCTTGCAGCTCGTCGACGCTGAAGAGGTAGTCGGATGGCGCTTGCAGACATTGCTCGTAGACGCGCTCGGCGAAGTCTTGGATCGTGGAGTGGGGGACGGCAGCGGCCATTGTTGCAATGTTTCGTGGTGTTCGTGTTCGCGCGTGAGGGCTGCGGGAACTAGGTAGGTGGAGGCTTTATATGGTGGGGGAGGGAAGTGGAGGGGCGAGTCATGGGAAATCAGTCACTTTAACATTTCGCGACAGAGTTTACGCGAGACTTGGCATGGTCTAGAGTATCTATCTAGAGCATATAGTAGTGCCGTGAGTTCAAAGGCTTAAGTGGCCTCCCGAACACAAGCCAACCGGACAAGACGTCAGCTGCGTCACCACCACCGCCATGATGAACTCGTCCACTACTCCTGCCCTTCCACCACAACCATCGCCACCACAACTACCCTGAGAATCTACTATGTCCGTCGATCTGCAATGGGAAACCCTTACCAGTGGGCCTGAAGGCGAAGTCCGCGCCGAGAAGATCCGCAGCTTCATCCACGACAAGTTCCAGCTCGTGCCGTTCCCCAAATTCATCAAATCGGTGCAAGTGCACTCCTTCTCTTTCGGCACCATTGCGCCCGACATAGAGATCAAGACCATTTGCGATCCGTATCCGGAGTTCTACGAGCAGGATGAGGAGGACGGCGACGGCGAGGAGTCGGATTCCGGAGACGAGCACGACGAGGAATATGTTCTCCGTCTCGAGCGCGAGCGCCGGCGACGTGAGAGGAAGAACGAAACCGAGTCGGTGGTTTCTCGGGCTACAGCTACCACCACCAACCAGCCTCCGCCTCCATACTCGGAGGGAACAAGGAGCACCAGTGGGCTCTCTGGCTTCCGTGCGGGTATCGCAGATGCATTCCCGGGGCGGGTGGGAGTAACCGGCGTATCCACGCCGCTGTTCAACCCCGGCAGCAGCGGCGGCGGCAGCTCGAACCTCCACTACTTCCACTCGGCGCTCTCATTCAACAACGGCAGCTCGACGCCCAGCAGCCGCTTCCCCACCTCCCCCGTCTCCACGCCCTCCGGCCTCCGCGTCTTCACCACCCCCGGCGCAAGCGCCGACTCCTTCCCGTCCTCGCACTCCCCCGACCGCTCGCCCACCCCGGGCCTCTCCACGCCCGAACGGGCATTTACCGAGTCGCCGCCGAGGCAGCTCCCACGTCTCCACGAGCCGAGGGATGAGGATACGCAGATCATCGCGCGGGTGCGCTACGCGGGAGATGTTCGCATCGAGATCACTTGCGAGCTTCTGTTCGAGTACCCCGTCACCAACTTTGTCGCACTGCCGGTGAAGCTGGTCATCACTGGGTGCACCTTTGACGGGTTGGCTTGTGTAGCATACATTCGTCGGCGTGCGCACTTTTGTTTTCTAGATGACGACCCGGAGGCGGAGGGACGGCGGGGCGCGGGCGAGGAGCGCGAGGGCGTGGGTAGCAGCCTGCTGAAGCAGATTGCTGTCGAGAGTGAGATTGGTGAGAAGGGGAAGGGGAAGCAGGTTCTCAAGAACGTGGGGAAGGTGGAGCGGTTCGTACTCGAGCAAGTGCGAAGGATATTTGAGGAGGAGTTTGTATTTCCTAGCAGTTGGACTTTCCTCGTATAGAGCGAGCGAGAGAGAGCAATTCACGATGTGCGCCAAGACGATCCTCCACCCCACCCCACTATGCATAAACGTTTTGTATGTAGATAGCTCCATATGTAGATGCTAGATCTTCCGCCGCTCTCCACGTTTCCCCCACCCCAGTGACCGCACCAATGGCCACGCCGCAATCTACGCGCGAAGAGGAAGAGGCAGCCGCGCTTCACGCCCTCACCTCGCAATACCGCCAACTTGTCCCACCCCAAACCCTCCACTTCCCTCCACCGCACCTGCTCTCCCAGGAGCACTTCCAAGATGCCATATACCACGCCCTCTTCTCCCCCTCCACCTCCCCCGACACCATCCCACCACAGCGCTACACCGCCCGCGTCCTAAAAGCGCTCGTGGCCGAAATCGAAGTACCCCACCCCCCGCATTGCGCATCACGTCCTCTCACTCACTCACTCCCAGGCCTCAAACCCCGACGAGATAAATTCCTCGCTCCTATCGCTCTACAGCACGTTCCCCAGCAGCTCCGCGCCCCCGCCCACCTCGCGCGTCCCAGTAACCTACACACTCCCCGCGCCTTACCCCTCGATAACACTACATGAAACCCCCTCGCTCATCTCAGGCCTCGGCACAACAGGCCTGCGGACGTGGGAGGCAGCACTAGCACTGAGCGAGTACCTACTATTACACCCGCCGCACGGCCAGCGCGTACTAGAGCTCGGCGCGGGCACCGGCGTGGTCGCGCTTGTTGCCGCGAGGTGCGGTGCCGAAGACGTGCTGGCTACTGATGGCGACGAGGGCGTGTGTGATGTGCTACGGGAGAATGTGGGAAGGAATGGGTTGGGAGGAAGGGTCCGCGTGGAACAGAGACAGTGGGGTGGGAAGAGGGATGTTCCTGAGGACGTGCAGCTTGTGGTCGGGGCTGATGTGGTTGGTTCTTCCCACCCTGGAGTGCTGGAGGGGGAGGGGGAGGGAGGGGGAGGGATGAGGGAGGGATGAGCGCTGATGCATGGCGGAGGTAGACTTACGATGCGGAAGCGATTCTGTGGCTGGTGGCGGAGCTGTCGTTTCTGCTGCAGGAGAATCGGGAATGCAAGGTTATCATTGCGGCGACGATTCGGAATGAGGATACATTCCAGGTATTTAGGGATAGCTGTGGTTAGTCCCTGCCCCGCCCCCGCTCCTTGGATCTATCGTGTGTGTGTGCGGAGTTAATAGTGTGTGGCGGGGGGAACAGCGGAGGCAAAGCTCGCGCTGGTGGAGAGTGTCTACACCCTGCCTGAGCCGCGTGTGTTCTGGTATGTGCCGCGGGCAGAGATCAGGCTCGTCGAGGTTTCGATGATGGAGAAATGATTGATATACCTAGCATATGGCACGATATGTACGATATTGATGACGTGATGAGAAGAGAACAGTTTTGATAACTAAGCCCCCCGAAAAAATGTCCCAGCAGAAGAGACAGCAGCTAGTAGCAGAGAGGCAAGACAAGACATGAGACAAAACAGGGCGAGACGACACGAGAAAACAGGATCTCATGGTCCATACTTCATACTCGTCCCACAAAACGCAATCATGAACGATGAAAGGAGAGAACAGAGAGAAAGATCAGATAGGCGCAAACAAAAATACTCAAAATCCGAATACACTCCCCGAGAATGCCAAAGAAATAGTGAAGGGAATAGCCATTAACAAAGTGGGAACAATTGGTACAACTACAGCATTAATACGTATCCCTGAGGTAATCGTTGCGCAGGTTCACAAACGCCCCAGGTCCTCCCTCTTCGCTGATGTCTTGGATGAGAACGCTGGATTGCTTCACGAGCCGCTCCAGTGCCGCCGCTGAACTTTTGCCCAAGGATACTACCCGCCGTCAGTCTACAAAAACATCAGATGTAGAAATCGGTAACATACCCAGGATTGCCGAGTTCAGCTCCTCACCATCGGCGATCCTTCCGTCTTCATCCAACAGGTGCGCCAGCACCGAGCTCCTAGGGTCCGTATATGCAAGCAGACTGAATGCCTCCTCTAGTGGCTTCTTAATTTCCGGTCTGGTGTCGGACGAGAACTCAACGCGTAACTGTTGTCCATACTCGACTGCTGCGTCCAGTCCTTTCTTGACGTGTTTCAAACGATTCGTCTCCTCCTCGTCCATATCTAATTTCTCCCATCCTGTTCCTGTGTTCACCGGATCGTCGATGTCCATGATGTGGTCATAGTCGTCGTGGCTCCCATTGTTGAAGTTGCTCCTACTGTAGCTATCCTCGTGTTCGGTCTCGGCCACCTTCCTGATCATCTCGACGAGTTTTCGTCGACGGAGACGGAAGTACAGCAGCTCGTTGTCCTTGAGCACACCCGGATAGTACACATTGGTGAGTTTCAAGGCTCGGTCAACATCGCCCTGCAAGATAGCCGTCCTTATCTCTATTGCACATTTTAGCCCTCAAAATCGGGAAGCAGTGGAGATTGAAGGCAGTGATACTTTGTCTGTTTACTGCGTCGGCATCCCCCTTTGGATCCAAGCAGCTCATGCCCAGTCTCCCCGAATTGGAGTCTAGTGCCCTCGACTCGTTCTGGACATCTTCGGCAAACGCTCTGGCGGTATCGACGTAGCCATCGTGAGCGAGATATTGTGAGACCAATGCCTGGATTAACGCCGTCTCGTCTAAGGGGGGGCATAGCCGCTCGATGGGATGTCGATTGATCTCTTCGTACGTTTTGGCTTTCTCCTCCTGTGTCCACCGTTAGGCAAGATGACCAAAAACAAGCACTTCTGCCAGGTCAACCTTCAGCCCATACCCTCATGTAGCGATCGATATCAAAGAAGAAGCCCTTTTGGCCGAAATTCACTTGGATGTGCTCGCCCGCCTTCTTCATGCCCACGACTGGGTATAGCTTCCCCTTGTTGATGTCTCGACACGCGACGCCGAGGTGGTGGCCGTTTCGCGTGAAGAAGGCGGTGTTATTCCGGAAGTTCACCCCGCAGCCGATGATATCATCCGTGTTGAATTTGGGACCATATTGTTTGCGTGTGCCTTGGCAGCAGAAGATGTTCCCGTCGTCGCCATGGTAGCCCCACGACTCTTGCTCCCATCCGGGCAATTTACTGAGCGACACTTTCTCCGTACAGAACCCAATGCCTATCAATCTGCGCGGAGACTCAGCATATATGCCGCAGGAGTTCTTGGTTTGGAGCTGTAGCTCACCCTTCCTTCCCTCCCGAGACGATCGTCGCTTCATAGTAGAACAACCCACATTGCGGGGGCATTGGTCGGTCGGCGCGAACGGCGGCGGCGTCGCTCTCGCTAACCTTTGCAGGACCTACAAGGCGTGAGTACTACCCACACACACGCATGCACGCAAGCACACACGCAAACAGCTCCGAAAACAACCGACCGGTAAATCTGGCTTCCATCCCATTGCTCAACAGCTCGATCGACTGCGACTTATCGCCCTCGTTCCAGCGGCTCGGAAGGTAGTAATTGGTGAGATCGTCTCCTCCTCCTGGGGCGTGTTCCGTCACCTCGAACGCCAGCCCGCGATGAGCCTGCGGTTTCTTTCCCAATGACGTCGACGACGACGAACCCAGCGCGCTCGTGGGCGGAGGATTAAAAGCAGTAGATAGCTTCGACGCCAGCCGCTCCGCGAACGCCGACTCGGCAAGGTAGCTTGGCACAGTGGCCGCCCGCTGCTGGCCGTCCGGGCCGAGTCCGCCGCTGGAATGTGAAAGGTAGTTGGACGAGTTGCGACTATCGAACCCGTTCCCCGAAGCTGCCGATTGCGGCGACTGTTGTCGAGCTTGGCCGGCTAGTACGGCGGCGTAGGACGAGCTTTGGGACGAGATGGGGGGGCGTCTGGTCGACATTGTTGCTATTGCTGGGGCAGGTAGAAACGGGGCCCGAGTTTGTCATATGAAAAAGGTACTGCAAAAAGCAAGAAGGCCACACAGCAAGTACACGGGGTACTTGTGTGGGTGCTGTGGGGAGGATCTGTGAGCGACTTCTTTGGGGGAGCTCCAAGTTGGGGGAGTAACCGATCGATAGTGGGGTTGGGTTGGCGATACCTTAACCTGCTGACGAAAGCGCGGTGCGGTGCGGCGGAAGTGTAATGACCGGGGTTTGATGGATGGATGAGGGAAAGCTGGGTGTTGTGTGTTGGTTGAGTTGGGTTGAGCGGTTCAGCCGGCGAAGTAGTGAGGATGCCATAGGTGCTCTGGGTCTGGGGTAACACAGATTCTTGGCACGTAGCACGTGAATCCAATTTGACGAGTGATGATATGTGATGTCCACGGTGTCTGGGGCTCGAGTTCTTTTCTATATATCACGGCTGTTTAGACGGTGTTTCCCTGGTGATTCCGCCGCAAGTCAAAAATGAGAGGAAGCTCATTCCATCGCTTCACCGTCTCATCCCGCTCAAACTATACAACTGCATGTATAGTATCTTGCTGCCGAACACGGCGGGCGCGGTTTACAGTCGTGCGGATATCTCGTGATCTGGACCGTTCCTGATTATCGGCAGATGCCGGTTCGGGTGGGAGCGTGAGGGCAAATCCGGAAGGCGTGCCGGGGCAAAAGCGGAGATTTCCTCTACATTACAAGGACAAACAGAAAAGAAAGAGCAACCGGCAGCACTCATGTTTGGTCCGGAAGGGGCTTTGATGTCAAGCACAATCCGAAAGAGTTGTAAGCTGGAAGTGCGAACTATATCACACATTGGCGTCAACCAACACGAGTGTCATGCGGCACACAAACTACGGTAATCAAAAGCTGCATATCCGAAACTCCCCTCTTCATCGGATACTCTTCGAAGCAGAGATTGCAAAATTAATGATCTCAGACCAACTCCGGGCCTTTGTAGGGGCAGACTGTTTCTTCGTCGCCGGAACAATCATGTTGCAATCGGCTAATACGAAAGAAGCTACATTGACCCGGGCGTGGTTAGGACCTTTCGATGGCGCCGGGGTGACTCCTTTGTTGCAATTGTGGAGTGGGGTGCAATCACGTGTGGCTGTGGTGGCGGTGGGAGAAGGGGTTCTCGGGGATGACTGGGCGACATAGTCCTGGTTGGGCTATATAATATCTGGGCTCGCCGACTTTTAGACAGCCACCGATGCAATCAGATCGACAACAAGAACAACTTCTCTTGGTCATATAGGCTCGGCGAGTCGATATTACATGTCAGATGCATGGAGCAAAAGTTTATCCCCAGACCTGCATTATGCGGAAAACCATTGTTTGTCAAGCTCGACAGCACTTTAACCCCCCCCTCTTCTTTTCATTAGGCCAACTGAAGAAAAATAATCTGTGTCCCTCTTGTCTCTCGGCCACTCAATCATGGTCACGGAATATCACTCGCAATCGTCCAAAAAATGGAACCCGCACTTCCCAAGTCCCACATCAGCACCCTAGTTCGCTGTTTGGTCCTCCCCAGTGCCATCCGACAGTCATCGCTCCTCGCACCGCCGGAGACGATGGGATGGAGAACAGCACAGTACCTGCCAAGCCAAGTGTGGGGGCGGGAGTCCGTGCACTGCATCGCACCCCACCCCCACGCCCCGTGACCGCGAGTCGACCTCTTTGCTTTCCATCTCAGTCGAATCCACGCGTAAAGTTCTCACGTGCGTGGAGTGGGTGATATCCAGTGAGTAACATCGTGCCGATTCGAATCGCCATCCAGTCCCTTCGTGTTGCCGTTCCGTGGGTTCGCTGACTCGGCTTTCCTGATGAGTTCTGCACTTTGTTCGGTCGGTGTGTGTGCGCGCAGGGCATCGGCCCATGCGCTGCAGCTCGTCATGGTAAGCCCACCTCGCGCGTCACGGGAGAAGGTCGCCATGGTAAAGTTAGCGATGTTCACGGGCACGAGCGCGAAAAGAAATTTCTTCGTGACCTGTTTTATTTTCTCTTTTTCTCCGCTCGTCGAATACCGTGGATTAGTCAATCCTATCCGAAGCCTGCGGACGAACGCAAGCTAGAAAACAAATCCCCGGCGCGGCAAGTGTGCTGGTACACGTTCGTCATCATCGGTTGTCTGCAGGCCACAGGACAGTGCTGGGCGGAGAGGAGAATGCAGGAATTCGGATGGCACGTGCCAGGCTGTGAGTGAAGCAAGTAAGAGAGGAAACATGTGGCTAGAGTCGAGCAGGTAGTTGGCACGATCGATCCGGCTTCTTTTTTCTTCTTTCTCCTCCACTGGACACACTCGAGCACCTGGAAGAGAAGGTGCATTTCTCTTCCGAGCGATGGGTGTTTTGTTCTCTAGCTTCATCTCCGCGGTGACTGGTTTCTGCAGGCAGCATCACCGCCAACCAACCACCTCGCCTGCCCCTCCCTCGGCCAGCCAGCTACTGCATTCTCGTGTGCGCACAGTGCAGTCTTGCGGCGCCGTTCCAGAAGTACCCATCTGCAAGGTACCGGACTGTCCTGGGACTGTAGGTATTCGCACCGCGAAGCATCTCGTTCGGTCATGCTCTGCCGCCGGGCGACCGACGGACCGACCGCCGCGACACCGATAGAGTAGCGACGATAACGGTGGTGATGATGATGACTGCGATGCGGAATTGCGCGACGCCGGTATCTTAAATGCCGCAAAAGCAGGATGATGCGTGATTGTGTGAGCAGTGATCGCATGAGGAACCCGATTCCGTCGGCGAGAGTGAACGGGGGAGGGAGGGAGAAAGTCGCTGAAGAAAACCGTCGTCGGCCTGTGTTCGTCGTCCGGATGCTCTCGTCAGCATCGCCGCAAGCCCGCCTGCCGCCGTGTGCTCGACCGGACGGACACACTCTCTCTCTCTGACCGACCCTTCCCCGCTCGTCTGCGGGGATAGCCTCTCTTTCCCCCACACCCGCTCGTCGGTGTCGCGCTGCGTCGTTCCGCCCTGCTGCTGCCGCCGCGACAAATGCCCCAATCAACTAAATGCGCCCGCATTATTAATAAACGATTAAATTATGTGCATTTTAATATCGCCTTTAATGGAATCGCACGCTCGATTGCCCGATGCGGCCTGGCCTTTGCCGTCCCCTCCCCGGCCGGGCTGACACACGCTCGCTGCTCTCCCACACAGCCGAAACTCCTCCTCAACTCTACTCTACTTACTGCTTCTCGTCTCCCACCACCCCAAACCCAGCCCACATCCGCCCACCAGCCAGCCAGCCAGCCCTTCACCACCGAATTTTTGGCTTTAACACCCACGCCCCAAATCATCTACCCTTCCCCTTCCCCAAATTTCTATCGCCGCCCCCCCGTGGAGGCAAGGGAAAGAAAAATAAAAATGCCACCCCCATCTGGAAGTGTTCTTCTTCCTCTCCCTCCCCCTTCCATAATAACCTCACCTCCACAACCAACATCACCACCACCATCACCGTCGCGTAGAAGAAAACTAAACACCACCTCGACGATCCTCCCTGAAACATCATCACCACTTGCGGATACTACCCGCTATTCCCACCGCAACCGTAATACCAGCCGCGTCCCGGTACAAATACTACGCGGATCCACACAACACAATCCACTTGCTTTCCAAACCCTCACAACAACCACCACCCTCTTCAAGTCCCCCCCCTCCCTCCCCAACCAACCAACACAAATTCTCGCCCCCTAAGTAGAGTTACCAACAAAGCAAACAACAAACTCAACCTCGCAACAAAACCCCCGTCTCGAACGAAAACTCCATCCTCCTCACCACAACCTCACAACCTCCCACACAACACAATGGTTACAACAAAACCCACCACCTCCTCCACCCCTACGGCCAACACTACCACAGCCAACACCACTATGGCAAACACCACCGCCAACACATCTTCCTCCTCGGGCTCCCTCTCTCCATCCCCATCCTCAAGCACCATGGCTGCCCCCCCACAGCTGTCATCCGCTAGTCGCCAGCGCAAGAAGCCTGGTCCAAAGCCGAAAACAGAGAGGCCCTCTCTGATCATCAAGCTCAAGGTGTCGGGAGAAAATTTGTCGAGCGTCATCAAGCCCGCTCCCGCCGAGCCCGTCACCGCGGTCGCCACACCGACCGGCTCCGAGCCGTCGCCGCAGCCCGACTCTGCCGCCGCCGAGACCCTCACCCCGGGCACGAAACGCAAGGGCGTGCCCGGGCCCAAGCCTGGCGTAAAGCGCTCAAGAACCTCCGGTGTCGCGCCGCTAAAGCCCGGCCGCAAGAAGGCGAAGCTGTACGTTCCCCCCCTCCACTCCCTTTCACAAACCTCAACTGACCCGCCAGCAGCGACCCGAGCGCCCCGGCCAACCTCCTCTCCGTTGCGGGCTCCAAGCTCGGCCCGAAGGCAAACACCGGCGCGATCAACGACAAGCTGCGCGCGCTCGACCGCAGCGGCAAGCCGTGCAAGCGGTGGACTAAGGCCGGCTTCCAGCTAAAGTCGTTCACTGGCATCCAGTGGACCGTTCCCACCTGGGCGGCACCGAAGCAGCAGCAGCAGATAGACGAAAACGGCACGGCCTCTGCCGCCCTCTCGGTCTCCGAGAACGCGTCGGTTACTACCGAGGCAAGCCCAAACGAGGATAAGATGCTGCTCGACACGCCCGCTGACAATCCAGTCCCCGTCATCCCAACCCTCCAGATGTCCCCCGCGGGAATCGCGGTATAGAAAAGAGGAGGGGGGGGATGAGATTTGTATACCTGTACTATTAGCTTTACTTTTTTTTTCGTTTCTCTTTCTCTTTCTTCTTTCTTTATTTTCCTATGGGTTTGGTCCGGTCTGGTTTTACTAGGTGGGGTGTGGTGGCGTTTGCTGTGCTTGACTGGCTCTAATTGTTTGAGCCCATTTCCGTTTGCCTTTCTTCACCCCACTGGGGAACGATGTCTAGGAGGGTTCCCTCCTACCTCACAACTACACTGTGCATAGCTTTTTCTTCTTCTTCTTCTTCCTAGTCTTCTCCCTACTCTTCTTCCTACCTATCTCAATCGTTGATGTTTCTCTTTCTCTTTTTGTCTGTTATCATAATAGGGGAAGAACGGAACGGTGTTCAAAAGCCGCGATATACAATACAATACAAATACAAATACAAATACATGGTCCGGCATCACTCGAGCTCTTCCTGGTGATCTTGTGAACTTGAAAGAAACTGACTGTGATGAGCCGCCAATTCCAGCGGCGCAGCATCGGGCCGTGGTGGTAGAGCTTTCTCTCGACCCCGCGGAGCTGGCAGGAAGGGTTGGGAAGTTGGTGGTCGCCACAGTCTAGTAAGGCTGCATGCGACAATAAATTGATGTTCTCTCTCTCTATGAGCTGCCAATTGGTATATGGGCAAATATATGTGGCTACATGATTCATCAACTTACTCGTGATACCGTTCCCATCCCATCCAATCCTATCCCATGCCATCCCATCCATAATACGTGAACAAAAGCCGGAACTAAAAACAAAGAAAAAGAAGCAGAAAAAGAGAAGCAAATGTACTAGAAAGACAGACATTGTTTGGCTCACTTGACAATACACAGCTGGGTATGCACCCACCCACCCACCGGCCAGTAAAACGGGGCAGACAGAACGCAATCCGACAACGCAACGAAACGGGAGAGAAACAACAACGGGGGAGGAAAGAAAAGAGAAGAAGAAGAAGAAACGCCCCAAAAACCCCCGATTCCAATTACTAGGTATATCCAGACCAAACCGGACACACAAAGACACACACAGACACACACAGACACACAAACACGCACGCACAAGACTCAAGGGTTGTTTTGACGAGTTCAGTTCAGTTCAGTGGCACGAGAGGGCTAGGTAGTAGTGGTGGTGTTTACTCCTCGGCCTCGCGATGACGCAGCATCAGCAGCCGCTTGTACTCAGCCGGGTCCTTGTCCCACAGGTCTGCGGCCTGGCCGTTGAGCGGCGACTTGCTGGTCGGGTGTCAGTGGGGTCGACTCGAGGTAGCGGAGGTAGGGGCGGTGCGGAAACGTTACGTACTTGTTCGGCTCCCCCAGGAGCGACTGCAAGCTCAGCAGGATGCTCTGGATGTTGTAGACCGCAGACCATTTCTCCTGTGCGGCGCATATCCATCAGCATCTCTCCCCACTCCCTCTCCCCTCTCCTCACGCACATCAGACCATCTCCCCGGCGTGGTAGCGCACCTTGAGAATATCCAAACAGATCCTTCCAGACATGTCAACGTTGGGGTGGAACATGGGGGTAGTGAACAGCACGGTGGGGGCGACCATGGGGTAGTTTGTGGGGAACTCGAGCGAGAGCTTGAACTTGAGCCCGTCGTACGGCGTGCCCTCGGGCCCATTAATCGTTGCCGTCCAGTGCAGGAGGTCGTTGCCGTCGCGGGGGAACGCGCTGATCCCCGGCGTCGACGACATCATCAGCTGCATCAGCTCCGTTTGCAGGCTAAGGCTGGGTGTCAGTAGGGTCGGCGCGAGAGGGGGGTAAAGGAGCGGAGGCGAACCGCTTGGTGACGTTGCCACTGCCGCCGGCGGGGCGGGGCGCGGGTGCGGTGGTCTGGGTCGACATTTTGCTGGCTGGTCGCGTGTGGTGGTGGTGGTGGGTAAGGTGTAGTGGTTGTTGGGTGGGTGGAATTAAGGATGTGGTGGGGAACGTAAAGAGAAAGAAATAATGAGGTGGACGGAAGGACAAACAGCTGGAAGCTATTCGCTGTTGTTGTGTGACGCTTTTTTGTGCGAGGCGGAGAAAAAGGGCTTGTTGTTTTCGGGGTTGGCGGAACGACGGAGGGACGTGTTGTTGCGTGCGTGGAAGGCGCGTGCCGTGCCAGTGATAAGCTAGCGGCCCTGACCCCTGTAGCGCATCTTTGCTTTGTCTTGGGCCAGATCGTAACGGGTAAAGGCTTTCTAAGTAACTGAGTGCTGAGCGATGACTGGCGGAGAAGGCGCGCAGTCTGGATCATGCTTTTTCCTGCGGTTACTTTGCACTGCCTTTGAGGCTCTGAGTGGGGGGTTTTATGTGTTTCTTCATTGATCGCATGCAGTCTATCTAGAATAGTATGGTGATGTTCTAATACTGCCTGCAGTTCCGATACCTAACGGGCTCGGTGCAGCGACTTCGTCCCCGGGCCTTCCCCCAACTATACATAGAGATATATGTTTTTTCAAACGGCTCTATATTCCGATCTAGGCAGGCTCTAGAAGTAACTCCGCAATATAAACGCTACAAAGAAACAGAACGTTCACGAGTGATGTCCAGTGAATCATTGCCTTCAATATCCGCTCGGAGGATAATCTCTCCCTCTCAAGTATAATCTCTCCCTCTCAAGTCTCACTCACCGATATGATGGATGATATTTTGCTAATAGATCATGCAGACCGTGTGTACAGAAGAACCCCACATTTAATCATTACTTCCCCGCCAAATCACGGCACCACCGCATTCTCGATCTTTTCTCGGTCCAACAGCGTCCCCTCCATGATGAAAATGCTACCACCACCCTTCACCGACTCGACCACAAACTTTAGCAGCCCCTCAATCCTCTCCCCCTTCTCATCCACCCATGCGCCCTCCACCGACTCGGCACCCTGATCCACCTCCATCCCATCCTCGGTCCCGGCCGCCGCATCCTTGTACTTCCACATCTCCGGTATCCTCGCGAACGGAATACTGACGTTCCAAGTATTATCGACGAGCAGACCGATATGACTTGCGCTCTGCAGGTTGACCCAACCCTTCAGCACCATCCCCTTGGTTGGGCTCCAGACCAGCAGGTCGACGGTCGTCCACACGTGCGGGTACGGCGCCTCGGCATTGATGCGGCCCTCGGCGCTCTCGAAGCGGATATTGTCGTAGCCGACGATCACGCCGTCGACGGGCTCAAAGAACGTCATCAGCAGCGGGTCCAGATGGTGTTTCTGGACACCGGTGATGGGCGAGAGCGAGCGGAGGTGCGCCGCCTGCTCGCTGGATGTGCCGCGCGAGAGGAGGTGCGCGAAGGTCTTTTCGGGGTAGAACGAGTATTTGGGCGCGAGCGAGAGATACAACGATGTAGTGGTCAGGCGGTACGGGATGTTGGCAGTTTCGGGGCTGGCGACGGCGGCGACGGCACTGCTGCTGCTGCGGTCGATCTCAATGCGCGCTTTTTTGGGGAGTTCGGGCGCCGACGGTGATGCATGGCGCTTGCGCTTTTTTGACTTGTCTTTCGATTTGTTTTTCGACTTGTCTTTGATCTTAAGTGTTTCGGCCATTGTTGCGGCTTCGTGGGGTGGTGTTGGTGTTGGTGTGGTTGCTGGTGGTGGGAGCTTCTGCGAATAATTTTTTGGCTGTGCGACATTGAACCGGTTGCACGCACGTGACTGGAAACTTGGTGTGTTTAGCTCAAGCCCCTTGTCCGTTCGCAGAGGTACGGAAGAAATTAAGCTCCACGTCTGCAAACACAAACCCCATCCATAATGTCAACTACGTTTGCCATCTTCTCCACCGTGGGATGGCAAGTTCTCCCCAACGTAGGAATACTCCCCTTTGGGTCTCTGGCCGAGCCGACAGCTAACATATCCGCAAAGTTAATAACGAACGTGGCGATAACATTCTGGTTCCGTCTCTTCGGCGGCCATGTACCCCCCACACCAGGCACTCCCCGATATGCGCAAGTCTACCGCCGCACCTTCGTTGGTGTCGTCGGCCTCTTCCTCCTCTACAACATATACAACGCGTACTGCAAGATTACGCAAACGCCAAACTTCTATGACGTCTTCTCACTCCCGCACAACTGCACCGTGCAGGAGCTCAAGTCGCGGAAACGAAAACTCTCCATCCTCTACCATCCCGACAAAGTCGGCGAGGCCGGCGCCGACCAGTTCCTGGAGCTCCAGCTCGCCTACGAAACACTCATAGACCTGACGCGGAGGCCCAACTACCACCGCTTCGGCCCGATCGTAACAGACTCATCGTTCCTCAAGCCGACGGAGCACTCAACGGCGTTCGACTATTTCAACGCCGGGCTCGTCCACATTGGCATGTACTACGGCTTCTGGCTCGGCGCGCAGATTCTGCTCGGCTTCATGGTGAAGACTGATTTCGGGCGGTGGTGGAAATTCCTGACAATCGTTGCGGCGGCGGTATTGGAGCTCTTGCTAATCACTGGGTCGTCGCCGCTGCCAACATTTCCGCTGGCGAAGTCGCTGCTGGTGTTCGAGCAGGTGGCACTCATGAGGACGATGGTCATGACGATGTTCAACGGGCTCATCCAGCTTGCTCCGAAGCTGGCGCCGATGAATCGGAGACCCCCCGACTTAGAGACGAAGCTTAGCGCAGTGCTGCAGTTGTCGGCGATCGTCGAGGCGGAGGCACTGGTCATGCAGGGCACGGAGTTTCAGCCGTTTGCGGAGGATCCGGCCGCTACGAAAGAGGTCGAGAGGAAGATGGCGGACTGGATGGTGCAACAACGCATCAGAAATGATCCGGAGATGAAGGAGGCGCTGAATGAGGCTAGGAAAAGACGAACGGAGCGGGCGGAGAAGCCGGCTGCTGCTTAGTTTGGAAACCGGACCTGTTGCTAGCTGGCTATGCATATGTATTGGCTGGCGGTGAGGGGCGTTCATCACATATAGAGATACTATAAATTTGAATCGGATGAGCGCAGGGTACCGGGTCAAAATTCGCTTTACCACGAGTAGGGCTCCTTCAATAGTCTTCCTGTCAGTAATCTCGTCGTTGTATGTACATGTAGTTAGGATAGCGAGCCAGTAAGCATCTCATAGTGGTCAATGGTCTGGTTATCATGTCATCTATTACTCGTCTACATACCGGCACAATCCCATCAGTCCATCCATTCAAGCCAGCGTAGTCTCGTTCGAGAGAATCCATGTGCTATTTGATGAGGTCCTCCAGATGAACCTCGTCATCGCAACAGCGCACCTCTTTACCAGACCAGAGCACCCATACAGCACCTATCAAGCACCTGGGGCCAGCCAGCCTAAGGCCTGTATTCCGCCCTTATGCCCACAGGGAAGCGTCAGGACCGAGTGATAGCGGTAGCAACCAGTGCGCATCAAGATCACTCGCTGGCATCGGTTTTCCTCCTCTCTCTCTCTACGAGGACCACATAAAAAGCGAAGTATCTTGCGTACCTAGCGATCCTAGGTACAAGCCTCTTCTGCCCTATGTACCAATCTGGGCCCTATGGATACGGCATACAGTGCGGGGCGACCGACAAAGTTGTGCTGAATTTGGAGAACGGTCTCAGCCCTTCGTCGATAGATACTTCGCTTCCCCCGCTCGTCACGATCAGTTGAACGGGACCCTTGGACGGGATTGCGGCTGCCAACATACCTACCCAGTCGTGGCCGATTCTGAGGAATTCCATATCACATCCTCATCGTAACGTCCTCTCGATGGTAAGGCCTTAGACTGCCCGCAGCTCTGGCGGCAGCACAGAGGATGATCTGGTATTGAACGTAAAGGATATCATCTCGATGAACTGCGGAGGTACGAGTATGGATTGGGTCGACGGCGAAGATGGAGCGGGAAAAGAACCGTATTGACACCGCCGGATCTTTGGAAAAACATCCAGCTACATACATCCTCGAACCACACAACGAACCTGGCCCGCCGGGACTGGCTGTCCTCCGCGCTGAACGCTTCTCGTGCCGGCGCCATACAACCTCCAAGCACACACGTACATACCAGCGCGGACTGCTGGCGCTCGTGGCGGAGTATGTAGACTGTAGTCCAGGAGTGAAGGATCCGAAGCAAAAAAGGGACACATATGATAGATCCAAGCGGGTTGCTTGCGGCCCACCGTACTCAGCTCAGCCCAGCTTCCCCAGTCCCATCCATCCTGGACGTATCGAGGTAGAGTATGTAGATTTAGAGTAAGGGGGGGTAGCCAGCCCCCCTCACCCCCATCCCCATCCCCATCCCCACAGCTGCCGGGCACGCACCCGCAGGCCGCCGGAGCAAAGCAAGACCCTGCATGGCCAGCGCGAGTGACCCGCAATGCAGCGGCCGGGGAGGGCGGGAAGCCCCGCCCCTCGCCCCCCGCCCCACCCACCCAGTCCCTCGTCAACATACTACATCATCGTACATACACTCCACTCCACTCCAGACCCCTCTTCCCGCCGCGCTGCCCCCCTTCCCCCCGACCACCCCTCCAGCAAAACTGCCGAAGCCGGCATGGACATGGGGGCGGTCAGCTCAATCCACGCATCCACCCATCCACCCATCCACGCATCCACCCATCCACGCAGAGACAGACAGATAGGAAGGGAAGGGGGAAAATGGGAAAACGAGGCACCATGATGTAGTTAAGTTACATAGGGGCCGGGCTGCATTGCGGACCCGAATGCAGGGTGATAGGTACCAACCCACCTACCAACCCTCCCTACCACTTACACCAGCGTGCGTGCCACGGAGAAGGATTATTCTGCATAGCAGGCAGAAAAGTAGAGTACGGCACCCAATCGCACGGCCAGGGACATTGGAATCGCGACATCATCACGCGCACAAGGGCTGGGGGGCGGCGGTTCTAGAACCGTTGCGAGCGACTGGGTGCGCGGTGCATGGCAGCATGGCAACATGGGCGGACGGCACACAAAGCTCCGAGCGGCGAGAGAGATACAAGATACAAGATACAAGTATCGAGATACACACGAGTAGATAGAGTGGTGCACTTTACCAGCGAGAAATGATTCGCGGACCCATAGAGTGCGTTTAGACGAGATCTAGAGTAGGTACACAGAGCGATTGAGGGTTCGGGAGTCGGGAAGCTGGGGGTTGAGAAGACGGCCGCCGGGAAAAGGAACGGCGGTCCGGTTATCGGATCTGGCTAGTGTTCACGGTCTGCGGGACGACGACCGGCTTAGTTACCGCGCGGGTAATCATTCTACCACCTTCCCGGCGCTTCATGTGCGCGATCAACGGGCAGTCGACTCGAGCTCAATACCGACGACAAACGCCCGTTACCTACACCAGCGGGCCGTTACGACAATCCACTCTGTTCCCCCGGAATTGTCGGCCTGTGGAATCTGTGAACCCCGCCGACTCGAGAGTAACCGATTTTTGTTTTGAGAAGTTGTCCACAATGACCCCTCGTGTGTATATATGGTATACCGCCGGAGACACGGTGCATGGTTTTCCCTACCGAACCATAACATAAGACACCTCCTTCAATCCCCGACAAGCTTGCGGATCCGAAGAATCTGTAGGTATGAAGATTATGTCCTCGGACCTGCGGTGAGAACCTTCACCGAGGAGGTGGGTGCTTCGGCTAGGTATCCCGAGATGTTGAAGGTGACGGTAAAGCTCAGGAGTAGTTATCAATCGGCCGAACAGTTCCGGTGCAGTAGGTAATGGCGATCAATGCGAATCTACCGCTGACCACCCGCGGTGGTAGAGTACCGTATGTATGGTAAATTCAACTTGTGTCTTCGTTCTCCCGCCACGATTCTTTCTCTCCATGCCATGCAAACATATCTCCGCTCAATGGCGGCGGCGGGGGGAATACGAGCGTTATATTGATATTTGCCACTGTCTTCAATCACGCCATGGGTATCATAGGTAGAACATCAGGATCCACAGCCATGCATGGCATGTCCTCGGCTTATCGAACACCCATTGTTCACCCATCTGCCGCGCTCTACTACCTATACTACCCATAGTGACGATGTACCATTTCAAGCGGGGAATCAGCGCCCGTTATGTATAAGTTCTAGAGCAGACTGTCCAGCACACAGCACACACGGTTGCGTGGAGTACCTACTGGCTACTGCCGGTCGAGTGTGCAGAGTACGTACCGGAACGGCGGCGGCTATATATCTGTCGGGATTTGATCTTGTAGGGAGGGAGGGGAGGTGGAGGAAGGTGTGTGCTTCTAGACTCTAGAGAGGTGCGCAGCGAGGCTTCCAAGGACCATCCTACATAACCGTCATGATTCGCGATTTTCCGCGCAGATATAGTGGCTCCGCACTCTCATATCGATGCCGGCGTTACCGGACATGTGCCGTATATACAATATTCTCTTGCGTGCGTCGTGTGCGTGGCCACCCACGAGCGGTCTGTAGTGTATAGTACCTACAGCTCGTGCATCCAAGTTCCTCGAAGCCTGATCAATGATCATCCATGGGCCGGAGTTATCATCCCCATCCTCACCTTCGCCGCCGCGCCCTCGCCCCGCCCCAATCGTGCAGCTGCGGCTTCGAAATCTCAAGTGGCGGCTGGCTGGGTGGCCAAAAGGCAAAGGCAAAGGCAAAGTCGATCATCCATATGCATCAGCAGCTTTGTTGTTCGCATTCGGATGATCATTTCGTGGCTGATCGGCGGGTGGTGTACTCCTCTGCATATACGGTATAGAACCATGATGGTTGCTGCAAAATGATGTTGAGTGCGGATAGGCTAGAGAGGTTGGGGTAGGTGTAGGCGGGGCACGTGCTGGTGGTGGTGGTGGTGGTGGTGGTGGTAATGGTGGTGGTCGTGGTGGTCGTGGGGTTCCAGGGCCCATGGGGTCTGATTTGACGGCTGAATAACGGCTTCGTGTACAGAGTACTACACGTGAGTATAAGGGTACGGGGAGAGGGCAGTTTGAGCCACGTCCAAGCGGTTCGCTTTCGTTTTGAATGTCTACCTCCTCGGCCATGTCAACGTCCCGACGCCGGAGCTGGCAGCTGGGCGTACGTACGTAGAGTCTGCACATACCGTACTCTACAGCGAGGCGTGACAACCGAGTGACTTCTTCAAGGAAATACCAGATATCTGCTTACCTACTCTAGAGTACTCGTAGACGAGCTCACTTCAGTCTTCCGTTCCGCAGTCGTATGTACCTATGCTCTCATACATACCCCCATACATACTCCCCTCACCCCCCGGCTCGGGTCGTAACCGAGAGCTGAGGAGTTTTTCTGGGTGGAGTGGAGTAGAGTGCAATTTTACGCCAGTGTCTTGTGTCATGGGATGCCTACCTTGGACCTTGAGGCTTGAGGTATGAGGGGGGCGAGTGAACGTTTTGGTGGCCGTAAACAACCGACAGGGCGACACCTGCTTACATGCCCAGCTGTCAGCTGGGAGTCGGGGAGTGTGGGATAGATACTCTAGGTAAGTACTACCGGTAGGCGTGATAGATCATAGCATGGACTGTATGGAGTGCTGGAGTGTTGGTCAGTGAAGATCTATGATCTATGATTCATGAATACGAATGTGTTGTGTTGTGTTGTGTTGTGTTGTTTCCAATCAATCAATTGACCGTGGAGGGTACTGGCAGGTACCTCCATAGACAGAGTCGACAGTGCCATACCGCACCGTAGATATCGAATACCTATCGAATATCGAACACCCCAAAAATGATATACCGGTATGCCGCCTGCGCCGACGGTTACCTGCGATCGCAAAGCTCGAAACCGTGCAACTCTCGTGTATGCATGCTGCTTCCCTCCGATAACTAATACCTGGGTAATCGCCGAACGGATAGCATGATGGTTCGATGTTTCCCCCACACAGATACATGTAAACCGAACGATAAACGGTGCTGCAGCAACATCCATTCAAATTTCACCCACCGGTAGCCGTGGAATATCTCGAATGCGTTTTTTTTTTTGACGCGACCTCGGTTACCGGGGGTGGCGGGATCTCTCGCAGCTCACTGGCAGATACTTTCACACAAAACTCTGGCCTCTGGGCGTTGAGGGTTCCCGGTAGTCCATAGTCCAGCGGTCCGACCCGAGCACCTATGATATCTAGAAGTCTAGAAGTGGAGTGCAGAAGAAGAGCGGGCTCCGGAGCAGATGGGCTCGTTGGTTTATATTTGCTAGCCCCTCCACATAGTCAAGCACGTTACTTGGTCCGGCCCCCGCCCCCCATGAACCAATCCACGAATGCGGGTAGAGTAGTGTCAGGGCCTCTGCCTCGTTCACGGTACGGTTCATCAGGCCAGGTCAGATCAGGTACCGCCGGATCGCGGATATGCGGCAGAAGCCGAGCGGATATACATATCATAGCTCCAGCCTCCAGCGAATCCGTGGTCGACGATCGTATGTATTCTCAGTGCTCACAATGGAAGCCTGAAGGGGAATATTCGGACGGTTTAATCGCTGGCGTCGTTGTGTTGTTGAGAAGCTCCAAGCACCAAGCAAGCACCAAGCTCCAGACGTGACTTTAATGGCTACTGGTAGCTGTGCCGGCACTCCACATTATAGATCCGGTGGCAAGTGTACAGCTCGGAACTTCACCGAGACAACTCCTCCAACTGCACTCTACTCCACGCTTTGGTGGTCCGGGCTTTTGTCTTTCCGACGTAACGTAACGTGGAAATGTACGATGATGTCATGATCGTGCCGAATCTAAAACCTTCAATCCACGGACTCTAGAGTCTACCGTCCACCGTCGCGAATGCGAAAAATGTCGAAGTTCGTACAGAATATGGGAATGGTATCGACATCTCTGTTCCGCCGAGTTAAAGTGTCTGCGGTACTTCGTCCCGAAGCATCGGAGCCGGATGTGGCCCGCCAAAACCCCCGTTGTCCAGTTCATCGGACATCCTGGTGGACTTGCCGGCTGACACCTGGTCGGTCATCCACCCACGCATCGGACGCGAGCGCCGACCCGGGGGGTAGTTACTATAGACATATGGATGATAGAGCATTGCCCAGCTGCCAATAAAGAGGATAGGTAATCATGACTTTCCAACGTCAAATCCTGACCAGTGACCAGGCGTACCGGTAAGTACCGGTAGGTACGATAGGTGTGCTGCTGCTGCCTAAAGTCAAACTCCGCAAGCAGTCCCCGGGATCATGACGGCTCACTCCAGCATGTAGCATCCACGTCCGGCCCTTGAAGCCGAAGTCGACAACAGTCTCCTTAAAGGGGTAAAAACTCTTGGAGCGTGGCATGTAACCAGCTTCAGAGAAACCCTCATTGGCAGATATGTAGGGTGGACTTACATATGACTGTCGGTGGCCGTGGTGGAACAGAGGCACGCGGCGGAAATGCCATCATCGATTCATTGATTTGCATGTATGACTACGGTAGTACGGTAGGTATTCAACGGATGCATTTCGTTTCACAGTCGTGGGACGGAGATACCTGTCTCCATTCCACTCCGCGAGCTCGGCTGCGAGGCTGCTTCGTTTGAGGAGACACACTCACACTCACTTTCCACGTTCCGCGCCGTCCAGGGAGATGGTGGAAGTTACATACCGTAGAACTCGCGAATAGCTATAGAAACCGCCTGAGCATCATGAGGGCAGTTCTCTTTTTCGGAATACTCCAAGCGCTGCGATAAACATAGGTACTAGGTACTACATATACTCTAGAGAAATGCTCTACCGACTCCGTGGCCGGCTCAAACTAAACATAGCTGAGCTTTGACTCCCTCGTGATTGCTGGCAGGCAGACAAGACAGGCAAGACAGGCACTGCGTCATACGGTACTCGATGAATCATGAGCATGGGGTCCGCCGATAAGAAACTTTATCCGAAGGAAGGCAGGAAAGGCAATTTCGACTCTCGCTCTCGAGCCTTGAGTCTTGACTCTCCCGGATAACAATGGAACGAACGGCCGGTCGCTGGCTGGCCGCATAGGCATGGTAGGTAGGAGAAGCAGGTACAAACACAACACATGTCCGAGAGGCGAGACGAGCCCGGCGCGCCTGGTGCTCGACTTCGCCCGTACCTACAGTATCATGTCAGGCCCACCTCTGTGGAAGTGGGGACCCGGAACCGGGCTGAAGTTCGCGCCACTGCGCCACCAACGCCTACTCTGGATACCTACGTCATCGGCGCCTGCGCGCAGCGTCCACCGCCCACATGGCTTTTTAGGTAGGCGTGAAGCATGACAGAGGATGTCCGAGTCCCGAGGAACCTCGAGCTCTCCGACGCGTGCGCTCTTCTACGTTCCATCGTCGAGGTCAATTGGCGCGTGCGTGTGTATGTGTGGGGCGCCCGCCGTCCAGGCCGCCCACTCGGAGATCTCGATGTTGCTCTGGCGGCCGAACGCGTCTGTTGTGTTTTCTTTTCTTTTCTTTGCGTCCCTGAAGGTTGAGTCCGGTTTCTTCTGGTCTTCTCGGATCTCTGTGACCGTGACGGGCCAAGGGATTCTAGACTGTGGGCAGTGGGCACTGCGCATCAACTACGCTTGGGGGCTAACCTGAAGCCCGAAGGCCTGACGACCTGGCGGCCTGCCGGCCTGGCTCACGTAGCAGAAAACGGAAAAGAAAAAGAAAAAGGAAAAGAAGAAGGGGAGGGGGGGGCAAGAAGGGAAGGTTCAGTTCAAAACAAAAGGAGAATTTCCTGAGACGGAGTTTACTAGTACTGGTATTTCTTCGGTGGTTGGTTGGCTGGTTGTTTGGGCTGGTTGGCTTCGACAGATCATCGCCAGCCGGAATGATGGACCGACCGCGAAACGTCTGCGCTACCCTGTGATTCCGATCTGAAGATCTGAAGGGGGGATGGTTGGACGAAGGAGAAACACGTGAACGAAGCGACAGGTAGCATGTACACATCTCTGCGGAGTTCTGATACCGGCCGCCCGCGATGCACGTTGCGGAGTGGAGTGGGAGCTGTGTGGGCCGTCCTGGCTTGGCCTGGTCCGACCCTTCCTGTCCTGTCCTGTCCTGTCCCAAGGCTCCGCCATTCGGATTCGTTCGTGCGCATCGGCGAGGCTCGCGATTTACTAACTACATCATGTAGCTCTCTCGAATGGTGCTTAATTGAGCTGTCGCCTGCAGCTACAGCCTCGTCCTGGCAGTCGAGATCGGTCCTCCTCGTCGTTCTCGTCCACGTCCTCCCCGTCCTACTCCTCCTCCTCGAGCTCGACGGCATGACAACTATGGCCCGGTGTCCTCGAAGCCGTCCTCCGACGTGAGTAGAGTCCCCCGCCCGACCAAGGCCTTTCCTGGGGACGGATGCCTACTCTAAGATCTATACCCAAGTACCCACTCCACTCTAGAGCACACCCGTACCGACCGCTCGTGCTCCATGTGCTTGGCCAGTCATCCGCCTACCGCCACCGCCCACGACCCGGTACCTGTCCCTGCACTATGCTGAAGACAGCTGTAACTCCAGACTCGAGAGCGTGTATGCGTGTATGTGTGTATAATATGCGTGTATGATATGTCTGATATGTAGGATATGTGTATGTATAGTATCCATAGTATCCACGGCACTTGTCTCCTTCGAGTTTCTGCCTACTGCGGTACCAAGAGAAGAGAAGACGTTCCGTCACCGCTTGCTACGGTACCAGGAGAAGAGCCCTTCCGTCACCGCTCCACCGCTCCACCACCACCGACTTTGCTGTGACAGACCCCCCCTTCCCACCACCTCATTCGAACTCGGCTGCCTGACTGGCCGCGAATGAACACATCCTACTATCGTCCTGGATACCTATACACGATCGCCAGAGACCAAACCACCCAAGATGGATATACATACTCTATAGAACTATACTGGAGGAAGGCGGAATGTCTTTGCGGAACCTGTAGAATACTAGTTAGAATGAAGAAGTCGGAGAATAGGAAAGAGAAGAGTCGGTCAGTCGGTCAGTCGGTCAGTCGTGAATAGGTGTTCGGGTGGACCATCCAGCGTCTGATAACTCCATACATCCATCTAAACACCTACCCAAGTACTTACCCACCACCAAAGTACTCTACCATACATTTGAGTCCTCCCCCACTACCCTTGGCGACCACGATTCCTGCCTTCTCCCCCTCCTCCTCCACCTCCTCCTCCTCTCCAGTCTCCAGATCTCCATCTCCATCTCCATCCCCACCTCCCCCGACCTCCACCTCTTCCACCTCTTCCCGCTCCCCCCGCTCTCCCCGCTCCCCACCTCTACATACCCCCTCCACTAACCACATCGCCGCCTTATTGCTCTCGTACATCGTAACTGGTCTGGTCGTGTTGGTTGTGTTTCTCTGTGTTGTTCTGCTGCCCTGCCGCTGCCTCCCTCTTGCGCACCCCGCCGGGACCAACCATAAGCCAACACTCACCCCCCTCCAATATCCCGGCACCCCAAAATCCACCCTCGCTCTGAATATCGTCCTCGCCCTTCCGCTTTCATTCTCACCGCCCTATACCCCTCCCCACCCCCCCTCTCCCCCTCCAAAATCCAAACCTAGTAGCAACCCCCTACATACTTACTCAACCACACCCCTCCCGCAACCCACACACCCTCCTCGATCCCCAAAAATCCAGAGCACCGGCACCCTCACCATACACCATACCTACCTGCTCTCCGCAGCAACAACTTAGCTCGTGGCCCGCTCTTTCTCCGTTATTCCCAGATTCTCCCTGAATTTTTGCGAGTAATTCAAACTACCTCGTTTACCTGTCCTTTATATGCTCCTCTCATACCCGGGCGCCGCCACCGCCGCTAGGTAAACTATCAGTTTTGCTTGCTTGGGGCTTCTCGGCAATCCTCGTCCTGTGCCATTCTCCGCCCACTACCACTGCCACCACCACTACCACCACTGCCACCATCAACCCAACACCCCCCCCAAAGGCCATAACCCGACCCAGGTCTACGAAAGTCCGGACCGCGCTACTCTCCACGACTCTGTCCCGCCATCTCCCTTCATCACCGCCCCACCCCCCTCACCCTGACTCCTCTCTAGACAATTTCGTCTACAGGGTCAGGATTCTTAAACAGCGGGTTTGAGTGGCCTTCTACGAAACCTCTTTTGCTTTCGGCTCCCCTCGAGTTCTGGAAGTGAACCGGCACTCGACATGCACAACCACGACGAGGCCTATAAGGCCACGACGGCCCTGATCCGCTCCTTGGCGAACGGCGACCACCAGGCCTTCGGCGATGAAGCCACCAGTTTACCGGGCAACGACACGCCGGAGAAGAAGGAATTAGAACGGGAGCTGAAGTCCCTGGTGCTGCGTGTGCGGCAGCTCGAGGCCAGGGCTGCCAGCACCAACGGCCAGACATTCCCGGAGACGCCCAACGAGTTCGTGCCGCCTGCATCGCCGTTTTCCATGGCATCGGTCGGGTCGAATCGGCACCCATCACCGGTGCCACTGGCCTTGACGGGGCGGGCCGGAAGTCCGGGCAGCGAGGTCAGCCATCAGTCGCAACTTGAATACCTGCAGGCGAAATGCAAATATCACGAGCAGGAGATACAGGAGAATAAGAAGAAGTTGCGAGATCTAATACAGGAGACGGAGAGAGTCAAGACTGTCCCGCAGGTTCCCGCCGATGAGGCATCCAAGATCGACAGATTACAGCGGGAACTCAAGAAGTCGCAACAAGCGAATGAGGCCTTCTCCAAAGCGCTCCGAGAAATCGGAGAGATCGTTACGGCTGGTATGTTGTCGTCTTGGTTGCATCTATTCTCCTGTGCGGAGAGGGAGAGAAAGAGAGAGAGCGGGGGAGCATTTTGCTGATTGCCGGGCGATAGTTGCACGGGGTGATCTTACTAAGAAGGTCACCATTCACGACGTCGAGATGGACCCGGAGATTACCACTTTCAAGAATACCATAAACACCATGACGGACCAACTACAAACGTTTGCTAGCGAGGTATCTCGTGTAGCAAGAGAAGTCGGAACCGAAGGTCGTTTGGGGGGTCAGGCAAAGATTGTCGGTGTTGAGGGAACATGGCAAGAATTGACCAATAACGGTATGCACCACCCGCAGAAAAGAAAAAGAAAAAGAAAAAGAAAAACAGTCGTGCATCGATGGGATTGTTGGATGCTGACAGGCGCGGCCACACAGTCAACGTTATGGCATCGAATCTCACCAATCAGGTGCGCGAGATTGCCGATGTCACTACCGCTGTCGCCAACGGCGACCTCTCGAGGAAGATTTATGTGCACGCACAGGGAGAGATCTTGGAGCTGCAGCAGACCATAAACTCCATGGTGGACCAGCTCGGAACGTTCGCGTTCGAGGTCACACGTGTGTCTCGCGAGGTCGGAATCGATGGTATCCTAGGTGGACAGGCGGAAATCTCTGAAGTATAATCTCTCTTCCGCCTTCAGTGTTAAGCGGCCTGGCTGAACTGACGCGATGGGTGAGTTGCAGGTGAAGGGCACATGGCGTGAGCTTACCGACAACGTCAACGCAATGGCGGCCAACCTCACTGAGCAAGTCCGAAACATCGCCGCCGTCACCACCGCCGTCGCCGAAGGAGATCTCACGAAGAAGGTCAGCGCACACTGCAAGGGTGAAATCCTGCAACTCAAGGAGACTATTAACAAGATGGTTGACCGTCTGCAAAATTTCGCCAGCGAAGTCACCAAGGTCGCTCGTGAGGTCGGAACCGAAGGAAAGCTAGGAGGTCAGGCAAGAGTGGAAGACGTCGAAGGCACTTGGAAATCGCTCACCGAAAACGTGAACGGCATGGCTCGAAATTTGACCACACAAGTGCGGAGTATCGCATCCGTCACGACAGCTGTCGCAGAAGGCAACCTTACTCGGAAGATTGACGTTCACGCTCAAGGAGAAATCCTGCTGTTGAAGGATACCATCAATAAGATGGTGGAGAGACTTCAGAACTTTGCGACTGAGGTGACGAAGGTGGCCAAGGAGGTCGGAACCGATGGTATTCTCGGTGGTCAAGCTAGGGTAGCTAACCTCCCGCAAAATCGTGCCGGAAGGATGAAAGACTGATGAATGGTGGTTAGGTCCAAGACGTAGAGGGCACCTGGAAGGATCTCACCGACAACGTCAACATCATGGCCAACAACCTTACCACCCAAGTGCGAAGTATCGCCGATGTCACGACCGCGGTCGCGCAGGGAGACTTGAGCCGGAAGATTAACGTCCACGCTCAAGGCGAGGTGCTTGCATTGAAGAACACCATCAACAAGATGGTGGACCGATTGGAGGTCTTCTCCCGCGAAGTGAAGCGGGTCGCCAGGGATGTGGGAATAGACGGCAAGCTGGGTGTGCAAGCCGAGGTGAACGACGTCGACGGAACCTGGAAGGAGATTACCAGCAATGTCAACACTATGGCGCAAAATCTCACCACTCAAGTGCGAGCCTTTGGATCCATCACGGCTGCAGCCGCTGACGGTGACTTCAACCGGTTCATCACCGTTGAAGCATCCGGTGAGATGGACGCATTGAAGACGAAGATCAACCAGATGGTGTTCAACTTGCGCGACAGTATCCAGAAGAATACAGCAGCGCGTGAAACCGCCGAGTTGGCGAACAGAACCAAGTCGGAATTCCTGGCGAATATGTCGCACGAGATCCGAACTCCGATGAACGGTATCATTGGAATGGTATAAAACACACCGAATCGGGACGACGGGGGGGAAACACAGCGGCCAACTGACTTTGACCAGACTCAATTGACCTTGGATACCGATCTTACCCAGTACCAGCGTGAAATGCTGAACATCGTTCATAATTTGGCGAACAGCTTATTGACCATCATCGATGATATCTTGGATATCTCTAAGAGTATTGCACCCCTTAGTCCGAGTAACTAGTGTCGTCGCTAAACCCTCCCAGTTGAGGCCAATCGTATGGTAATGGAAGAGATCCCCTTCTCGCTGCGAGGGACCGTGTTCAATGCCCTCAAGACCCTGGCAGTAAAGGCGAACGAAAGATTCCTGGACCTCGTTTACTGTGTGGATAACGTCGTTCCTGACCACGTCGTGGGTGATTCTTTCCGTCTTCGACAAGTCATTCTCAACCTCGTTGGAAACGCTATCAAATTTACGGAGAACGGCGAAGTCAAGTTGACAATTCGGCAAACGGACCAATCTAGGTGTGCGGAGAACGAGTACTGCTTTGAATTCTCGGTTTCGGATACCGGTATCGGTATCCACCCGGACAAGCTGGACATGATTTTTGACACGTTCTGCCAAGCGGATGGTTCCACAACGAGGAAATTCGGTGGTACAGGACTTGGACTGTCCATCTCGCGACGACTGGTCAATCTTATGGGTGGTGACGTGTGGGTGAAGAGTATGCCCGACGAAGGCAGCACATTTTACTTTACCTGCGTGGTCCGCCTCGCCAGCACGGAGCTCAGCTTGATAATGCCTCAGCTTAAGCCGTACAAGGGACATCACGTTCTCTTCATCGACAGAAAGCGGGAGAATGAGGAAATACCCGAGATGCTGCGACTCTTGGGACTGGTACCTGCCATCGTACGATCGGTCCAAGAGGCGAAACCATACCCTCCAGGGTCTGACGGGCGGGGCATCACTTTCGACGTGATACTAGTGGATTCTATGGATACAGCACTGAAGCTGAGAACACTCGACGACTTCAAGTACATTCCGTTGGTCCTGCTGTGTCCGATAATACAGGTCTCGCTCAAGTCGACGCTTGATCTCGGTATCAGCTCGTACATGACAACGCCATGCCTACCCATTGACTTGGGTAACGGTATGATTCCCGCGCTAGAAGGAAGGGCCGCGCCATCCGTATCGGAGAACTCTAGGTCATTCAATCTCTTGCTCGCCGAGGATAACATCGTCAACCAGAAGCTTGCGGTGAAAATACTTGAGAAGTACCATCACACTGTGGATGTGGTCGAGAATGGTCTTCAAGCTCTGAATGCCGTCAAGAAGAAGCGTTACGATGTCATCCTTATGGATGTACAAATGCCAGTAATGGTATGCTTTCCACTCATTGTACGCGCATGTGGGAGGGACATCCTTTGCTAACAGTTTAATAGGGTGGTTTCGAGGCTACAGCCAAGATTCGCGAGTGGGAGAAGGAGCAGAAGCTTGCCCGCACACCCATTGTCGCACTGACAGCGCACGCCATGTTGGGTGATCGGGAAAAGTGCATCCAAGCACAAATGGACGAGTACCTGTCCAAGCCTCTGAAACAGAATAGCCTCATTCAGGTGATATTGAAGGTCTGGTGCCGATCGTCCCAACGAAGAGATCTTAGCTCACCGTCGTAGCAGTGTGCGACTCTTGGAGGGCCGTTGTTGGAGCGGGGTAGCGGGCTCCACATCGCGTCGATGCAGGGAGACGATGAAAGGCTTCAGAGCCGAATGTTTGGTCCGAACGTTACGCAACGACCGCAGCTGCTAGAAACCCGTACCCCGTCTCACCCGAACGATCGCGGTGGTCTTTCGAGTCCCCGAGTTTCCGGGCCAGGGTCCATGTTGGGTGGCATTGGAAGTTCAACGATCCGGAGAAGGGATGATGGGAGTTTATAAAAGTTCGTATGACTGTGTCGAGGATGGACGACACGGATGTGGGAGATCGTGTTATGAAAAGTAATGACACGCAGGGGGAGGAGGGTGAAGGGTTTAGGCTCCTGCTGCGCATCTGCATCTGCATGCGCGGAGTGACGGGAGGAGGAGGAGGCTTCGCTCATGCCCTGTTGGAGTTTTTCGATCACTTCTTTTTCCTTGCGTATGGCGTTGTATACTTTTTGCCTTGTTTCCCTCTGGCATAGTATACTCATCTTATTTTATTTTTATATTTCTTGTCATGTCGTTGGTGTTACGGGGGACAGGTTCGTTGGGTGGGGGTGTGTGGCTTCCCCCCTCCCCCGTCCCCTCTAGCCAACGATCTTTTCTTCTCATCTCTTTTTTTTTTATATTATTATTTTGATTTCTCTCCGATGAGATTCCCTTTGTCATTTTTTTTGTGTGTGTTGAGGCTTGCGTATTTTCGGTAACGGCTTTTTGTGTTTTGTTAAGCAGTGTTTTTTTGCTTCCGTTTCGTTATGTTACGAGGAATTGGATTGGATTGGTACTGGTTTTCTTTTTTTGGTGGTGGTGCACTGGTGGTGACGGGTGACGGGTGGCATTGAAGGGTGGCATTGAAAGGCAATCGGTATACTTTATTTTACTTTACTTTACGTTTACATTGGGGCGAGTCTTTTCCTGTGAGTGTGTGTGTGTCTGTGGTGAGTGGTGAGTGGTGAGTGGTGAGTGGTGAGTGGTGAGTGGTGAGTGGTGAGTGGTGAGTGGTGAGTGGTGAGTGGTGAGTGGTGAGTGGTGAGTGGTGAGTGGTGAGTGGTGAGTGGTGAGTGGTGAGTGGTGAGTGGTGAGTGGTGAGTGGTGAGTGGTGAGTGGTGAGTGGTGAGTGGTGAGTGGTGAGTGGTGAGTGGTGAGTGGTGAGTGGTGAGTGGTGAGTGGTGAGTGGTGAGTGGTGAGTGGTGAGTGGTGAGTGGTGAGTGGTGAGTGTGTGGTGAGGGTTATGGTGATGAGTTTTTTCTTCTGTGTTTCTCTTTCCTTTCCGGGTTTGTTGGTACTCTACGGACGAATGGGTTTGGACGGGATGGGCTTGGATGGCTCTGATGTAAGTTTTGCGAATTGCGATACCTTTCGGCTGGAGGGGGGTTTGCACCGATGAACGGATGGATGAATATACCACAAGCACAAGTTTATGATCGCACACACCGTAACTACACGTCTTGCTTGCTGGTGAAATGAACTCGCAGTTCGGGTTGCCGGTTTTACTAATCGAGTAAATATGCCTTCCGGGGCAGAGGACTCGTTCCGCCAGCTTCAACACATCCCATCTCCCACAAGCCACGGCAGCCAGACAGGCAGGCAGACAGGATCGAACCGGCGGTGTCAAGTTCCTCTAGCCTCGTCTAGCTCCGACAACAAGATTCTAGCCGACGCTTGTATGACGGCTTGTTTGTCCGGAGCGAGCACTTGAGTAGCGGGAAACGGCCGGGGCCGCTTGCTCGCCGTCATGGCCGGATCAAGAATGGGGCACCAACCTCAGATCACTCCAGCTGTACAGTCCTCCCCGCGTAAAAAAGGGCAGGTATTTCACGAGCATTGAGCATTGAGCATTGAAACGGTGCATCAACATCTCCGTATTCACAGTCCAAAGAGATATATCTACATCCCTCTTTCCCTCCTCCCGAGGACAAGCTCTTCCGAGAACAAAGTTATGACGTCATCCGGTAGACTTTCGTAGTACACGCCCCCGCAACTCGCTCAACTCGCTCAGTTCTTCTCGCCGCCCTGCTCTTTGGTCATCTCGTCGCTGTTTTTGTTTTGTGTTAGCTTCGTGTCAATGCTGGGTTTTGAGGTGGGGCTGGAGATTGGGGGAGAGAATGGTGGAGGGGAGGGGGAAGCGGGGGAGACGAACATGTGCGCATCGAGCTCATCAAGGTGTTGACGCTGCTTCTGGAGCTTGATTTTGAGTTCCTTCTGTTGGGGTGTTAGTCGATGGACATAAACATGACAGCCCAGCAGACGCTGAGGTGGAGGGGGAGAGGGGACGGGAACACGAACGAGCTTCAATTGTTCCTGCTGGCGGAAGTACATATCCTCGGCGGCCTTCTCGCGTTTTGTGAACGAGTCGCTGTTCCGCGTTAGTAGAGTGTTCTGTTTTGTGGCGGCGGGGTGGGGGAGGGATGGGAGAATGTAGAGTATGTACCCCGCTGCCTGGCCGCCTGCGCGGGAAAAGCCGCTGCCGGTTGCGCCCTCGCTGCTGCTGAGACGGGTGGACATCAGCGGCGTGAAGCGGGCAATGGTGCGAGTGCTGGTAGTGAGGGTGGTGCGGAGCATTGTCTGTATGTGTGGTTGTGTGGTTGTGTGTGTTCGGTGGTTGTGGTTGTGGTGGTGGTTGTGGATGTTTGATGGTGGGGAAGATGGATGGATGGGATGTCTGGTGGGGAAGGAAGTAGGATGGATGGGTGGATGGATGGACGGGAGGTGGGTTGGGAACTACCTGGGAGTGCTTGTGCTACGTAATGTGGGCTGGCACTGGCAGTGGGTTGGGATGATGTTGATCCGAGGTAGGGGATCGATCAGGCCACTGTCAGCTGCGGCTGGAGTGCTCACTGCTCAGCCACACGAGGCCGATGTCGATGCCGATCGGATCTGATTAGATTCGATCCGCGATGTCATGTCACGGGGGTGAGTGAGAACGTGGTATCGGCGAAACGTTATCGGCGAAACGTCAACGACGTTTCATCTTTACGGCTCATATAACTTTGACGGCGCAGGCTTGATTTACTTGATACGTTGACGTCCTGCCGCCCATAGTTGTCCGCCACTGGCCCGGCATGACCCAGTGATCATATCGCTGATGACGCCGTGCTGACTTCCTGAGACGTCTGGTGTATGAGATCCGAAACACAGGGAGGAGTTAATTTGGAGACGAACGGCCGGCGGGGTTCAACGAGGCACCCGCGTGGGAGGCGACCACATGACTGCAAGCTTGCTGGTTAACCTTCCTCCAAGGTTAAGGCTATTTACCTTTGCCATTCAAGAATGGTGCCGAAATCTTTATCCACCGGCTCATAAGGTTGCTGCGATGTTTTATGAAGGTCTGAGTAGCTATTGTAGTAGGGCTGAAGTTTCAGTGGGAGCTGGGCTTTGTATTCGTTGTTTGGTTCGGATTCTTCGGTTGGTCGAAAGATCAGAAGGCCAGCTCGGTGTTGCCGGTGATGCTTGCTCCGAGGCGTCTGAAGATTTTGGCCACAACTCTTCAGCGCAAGTGCTTCTGCGGCGATGCGGGAGGATACTCCGAAATATCACTCGTCGGGGTTGATCTACTAGCTGGTACATACTCTATTCCCCAGCGGCACGGCGGAGCGTGTATTTGGGCGGCTACACATCGAGAGATGAGGCTGGACCAGTGCCAAGGGCCTGGAAAGCAACTCTACATGGACACTCCACCTTGAGAACCGAAGATCGAGGCGCTACACCAAGGCTTCCGTAGATCCTGAACTCGTGCGGGCGGCATAGGCGAGGGGAAAGATATGGGCAGGATAAGCGGAAGCGGGTGAGGCTACTAGTGCGCCGGCGGGTGCGTACCGGTGGTAGAGATGTCGTGCTGCCTGTCTCTTCACCTGCTTGGGACCTTGGGTGTCATGAGTACGTGCCCGCATGGGACGGGCCGTATCGTGTGTAGAGTACATACTTTGAGCCCCTCGTCATGGCATGATCCGGGCAAGCCAAATTTAGAGCTTTCCACGAGCACAGCTCCGACTTGACACGTTCGGTGACGACGACTCTAAACGCGCGAAAGCAAGCGGGGCCATCTAACTGCTTACCGGGTCGGTTACGCTTCCATAGTGGGCTGGGCCGGGCTGGGTCAATCGAGCAACTCTGTTTCCAGTAGACGCTCTGCGTGCAGTGGTGACACACGGTTCCGTCGGGATGAGGGGAATCACCATGCCAGCTGGCTGGACGGTTCCATCAGATTCCGATGCGTTTCCGTGGGTATTTGCCGTGATTATTGCCTTTAGTCGCAGGGGTTCTGTGGACGTATGCGTGCGCACAGTTGGGGCGGTCGACGTCGTTCGTCGCCGTCGGGCGGCTCTGGTATGCAGAGTAGAGTGCCCACTTGTCGATTTGATTCGAAGTCGACTTGGATGGTTGCTGGGGTGGCAGAGAGGAAACAGGGTCAGGAGACGGCCAGCAACGTCATTGCTCATGTGGGGCTCATGGAGGATGGCTCGCTGCGAAGAGTTTCGTCGCAAACAACTGGTGGCCGTAGTTCTGGCGATGATGATGCTGATGATAATGATGATGGGGGTGTTTGATTTGATTGATGGATGATATGAAAGTCGATACTCTGGCCCAGTTCAATGGATGTGTGGATGGATGAATGGATGGACGGAAGGATAGCCATGTCGAGAGGATTCGAAGATTCCAGCATTCCGCTGCTCCCCCTCCCTCTCCGCGGTGTGCAGGTCTTCCGCGTGTGGCATTGGAGGGCCAACTGACCAGCCCCCAGCAAGCAGAGTCCGGGCCACTGAGATCCCTCCAGTTCGGTGCCGTTGAGGAGGTACTCTACAGTAGTCCGCCGCATATCGGCACTGCTTCCAGCAGAAGTGAGGACTCTCGAAGCACAGAACGAAGGTGGAGCATGCGGATGATACGATCGATAGATAGAGTGTGTAGAGTAACTATCTCTGCTGCATACTGCTCTAGAGCAGAGGAAGAGAGAGACAGAGTGACCTTCTCCGACATGCAGAACCAGCAAGGCGGCAGCGGGTCCAAGCACAGCACGGCAATTTACTTAAGTGTGATTTGGGTGGGGCTTGGCCGCCCTCTCGCATTCCAACTTCCCCTTCGACCCCAACCCGTCATAACCTCCTCCTCCGCCTCCTCCTCCTTCTTCTTTGCTATCCCTCTTCCAACTCCAACTCCATCACCACCCCCTCCGACACCAACCCTTTCTACCTTAACATCCACCCTGCACGACCTCGACACTCCACATCTGAGCAACCTCGTCGTCGCTTCTCCCTATCACAACAACTTCTTATCACAACCCCCATCAGGTGAACTACCCCTCTGCTTGCTTTTTTTCATCCTCTCCCCTCTGCTCCCCCGACTCGGCATCTCGAGATGCATCGCATCGAAATCCGAAGCTCGAAGAGATGAAAAGTTTACTCGCTATCGGATGCTCCGGAGCTATTCGAGATGGAACCCGAAGAGAGAAAGCGAGAAAGAGGATGAGGGCGACGCCGTGGCATGAGCTCAGTGTTCTGTGTTGTCGGACAGCGTGGGAAGCGGGGCTCGCTGCTACTGCTGCTACCGAGGAGCCCCTGATCTGAGCTCTGGCCGCGACCTCTGTTCTCAGCGTCGTTTATCCTCACTCCCTTACGTCGCAACCACAGTTCTCCAATTACGTGAATCACAGTATTCTGAGTTTGTTGCGGCTCTCGCTCTCTCTTTGTTTTGCTGCCCCTCTTGGTTGTTTGCTAGCACGAGGGCTGAAAACATCCGTCACGTCACACGGGGTTGGAGGGGTAGCAGCCTCGCTTCTGCATAGCAACATCAACAACCGTCATCAAGCTTCTCTGCTAACATTTACTTTCCGATAGACTACTCACCGCAAAAATGGGTTACGAAGACTCCGTTTACTTGGCCAAGCTCGCCGAGCAGGCTGAGCGCTACGAGGGTAAGTTCAATCCATCCAACCCCACCGATCCCCCTTTCTCTCGGTCGGCTCGCCGCGGTTCATGTTGCTGATTGCTGCGGGCATCTGCAGAGATGGTCGAGAACATGAAGAATGTTGCATCCGCCGACCAGGAGCTTTCCGTCGAGGAGCGAAATCTCCTGTCGGTCGCCTACAAGAACGTCATCGGTGCGCGCAGGGCGTCGTGGCGCATTGTCACTTCGATCGAGCAGAAGGAGGAGTCCAAGGGAAACAGCGCCCAGGTCGCTCTGATCAAGGAGTACCGTGAGAAGATCGAGGCCGAGCTTGCGAAGATCTGCGAAGACATCCTCGAGGTCTTGGACAAGCACCTCATCCCCTCCGCTGAGTCTGGAGAGTCCAAGGTGTTCTACCACAAGATGTACGGTCGACTCTATCTGGCGATACACATGAAGCTGGCGCTAACGGCTGTGCAGGAAGGGTGATTACCACCGCTACTTGGCCGAGTTCGCCATCGGCGACAAGCGCAAGGAGTCGGCGGAGAAGTCGCTCGAGGCCTACAAGAACGCCACTGAGGTTGCTCAGACCGACTTGGCTCCCACCCACCCCATCCGTCTCGGTCTGGCCCTGAACTTCTCGGTGTTCTACTACGAGATCATGAACGCCCCCGACCTTGCTTGCCACCTGGCCAAGCAGGCGTTCGATGACGCTATTGCCGGTACGTATCTTACTACTACCGACCCCCCGTTGTACGCGCTACCTATTGGACACCGAACAAACGCTGACTATGGACCTACTACAGAGCTCGACACCCTTAGTGAGGAGAGCTACAAGGACTCGACTCTCATCATGCAGCTCCTTCGGGACAACTTGGTGAGTTATACCTACCCGCTCGATCGGAGTTTACCCAGCTAACACTAAAAACAGACCCTCTGGACTTCTTCCGAGGCCGAGCCTGAGGCCGCCGCAGAGCCCAAGACCAACGAGATGCCCGATGCTCCTGCAGAGGCCAAGCCCGAAGATAAATAAACGGTCTAAACTGGGGGGAAATGCCGGAGTAAGGGTGTTAGAATTTGTCCTTCTTCGAAAGCTGGAAAACTCGATGCAATACGAATGGATTCTTTGATTCTGCTTTCTGGGTTTTAGAATTCTCCTGTTCCTTACTGTGGGATGCTGGGGACTGATACTCCTCTGGTCTTTGTTTTCAATGAAGTGTTACGCACGGTTTTCCAAGTTGCTGCCCGATAATTGTTTGTCTTTTATGCGTTTGCTGTGATTCCTGTACTCAATGGTTTTTTTTCGGTAGCCGGTTTTTGATCCTTTCCCGTGACATGGTGTGATGTTGACCACGTGCATTGATACCTTTGTCCCTTTACTCTACTTGAAGGTGGCTGTCCGAGTTGGGAAGCGATTCACATGGCAGTCATTGCTGTTTACTTTTGTAGGGCATCTCGTGCGCGGCCTATCGAATCAGATACACGTTTGCTGCGTTGCCACGGCTGTCAGACGGGATTAGACAAGTGATGTTTACATATATGAGCTGAACAACGACGGTGATGCTCCATGTAGGTAGATCTATCCCGAAGGCAAATACGCCGCCGCCGCCGCCGCCGTTGACGGTCATCGGGTCCTCTTTGACTCAGACTTGTTGGACTTTCTCTATAGGTATCCAAGAGCTCGTATCAACTTGACGATTGGCCGCATTGTCGACGAGGCAAAAGATGAATTATGACCAATGCACTGAATCCCACAATCACTGGGAGGAAGAAGAAAGAAGGAAGACTGGTCGTCGACCGAGTTATCGGATGCGGAAGGGGTGCCGGGCGGGGGAGCAGTGCGGAACCGTCATACCGGATCGATTGGAATCTCCTTCCTTCCCTTCCTGCCTCCTTGACGGTTCATGAGGGGTCGGGAAGTCTGGGGGAGAGGGCCAGGGGAGAGGGGACTTCTCCGCTTCACCGAGGACCGTCGGGACCGAACGAAACACCGCACCGCACGCAACGACGCCGGCAAAACACCGGGCATCACTATCACCGGTGAATGTGGCTTCGCTCCGGATACTCCACTCCCAGATAGGTACTCCGGAGTGCCTACTCATAGAACACCATACTTCCCGCGAGAGAGCCGGTGCGTGTAGGCATATCCAGAGTGCATACCGGAGGTTGCACCAGCCCACCACCAGACCTACATACTACCGTACAAACTCAAGTATGCACTCTATGTACGTCCCGGAGCCGGCAGGTAAAGCCCCCGCCACAGAACCAACAGCTCGGCACCGACCCGATCTCTCAAATCTCAAATCTCGAATTATGGTTTGCTGTTAGGTAGATAACCGATTTGTAAGAGTTCAGGGCCCAGCTTGCACTTGCATCCTACTATACCCAGCCCACCGCCGCCGGATGGTGTTGGTGGTGGTGACATGGTGTTGGTATTTGCATGTGTTAGCATTTGGACGACCTGCCCATTGGATACCCGAGACCGTGGTCACGCGCGTAGGTAACTGCTGTGTGTGTTGGGGACCCGGGAGGGTAGTTGGTGGAGTTCTCCTCTCTCTCTCTCTCTCGAACATGTTGTACTGTTGTATGTCTCTCTCACTCTCTTTGGCGCCGATGATTAGTAGCGTCCAGGGAGAATGCGATAAACCATTTTGAACCTTTTTTTTTACGTGACACGAGTGAGAACAGTTAGTAACGTGTTGTTAACGCTCCATGGAAGACGGAGATGCGAGATTCGAGATATTCTTCGCCACGTTCCGAGCTGGCGGTTTAGGACTCTGCTGTTTGATATCTGGCCGAACGATAATGGATGCTCGTGCTTGGATTAGTAATCAGTGCCAAGACCGGATTTCGCCAAAAACTTACGCAACGTAGAAATACTGCCAGAAAGTTGCCCAGCCATCACAATAATATTCTCGCAGTAAATAACCTCCAAGAGACTTTTCCGTGAGCGCTAGGTGAATTCATGTTGCGGGGTGCGGTGGTGGTGGTGGCTGGGAATTGACTGAAGCGGAAGTGTGGGGTTTGGGAAGGGAGGGGGGGCGGATTTGTTTCATTTTCGCTTGAGGAGACTTTCGGAGGCGAGGGTTTCGCTTGGACCATCCCTTCCTTTCTCAATCAATTCTTCATGCAAATGCTTCTCGATCGGACCGGCCATGGTTGCTGCCTCCGTAAGTGGGTTGGTGTAAAAGAAAATGCAGATTGGTTGGACAAACTTCAACTCGACAACTTGTTCTTTCTTGAGGATATATCTGGAGAATCTACAGAATCTAGAGGTCTGCTCTATGCAGGGAGAACGATCCTGGGTTCAATTGCAAGAGGTCTTTGCTGATGCTTTTTTTTCTCTTTCTTTTATGCACGAAATGTGATGTCGTCACGGCGATACATCTCTTTTCGAACCCCCTGGTGTCTAGCCCGTCGGGTTGGTTGGTCCGACACTTCTTTCAACCTCCATCTCCGCCTCACCTTCATCCGCCTGGCGGCCGATGGATGCCCTTCCGCTCGCAGCCACCCCTTTCTCGAAGCCCCTCCCACTCCTTCTCGAGACCTCATGAGGGGGCATCCAGCACTGCTATGTACCTACTCGACTTAGAGTAGGCCCGTCTCGTCTCGGTAGGTACAAAACTCAATGCTACCGGGAAGAGGCTACCCTGGTATTAAGTAACGGGATGCTGGTGGATTCCAAGCCAAACAAGACGGGTCTGCTGCTGCTCCCTCTTTTGTTGGAGGGAATCTACTGTGATTTGTAGGATAGAGGGCGATGATGGGCCACCGCTTTTTCCCTATAGAGAGAGTTAGGGTAAAGTACTATAGGTACCGGGTCATGGGTTGCTTCAATCGTCGTATCATATCGTTATCCTCCCCCTCGCCTCACTCTCGGTTTCGGATGAAAGCACAATCGTCAACTCTGGCTGGTTGACTCGCTGTGACAGAGCAATTGCCGTTGAGAGACCGCTCAGACTCCGTCCCCATTTCCATACCGATGGTGTGGCGACGGCGGCGGCGGCAGCGGCGGCGGGAAAGGTTCCATTTTGTCAACCGGAGTTCCGCGATGGTCGATGTACCCGATGGTGGAGTTGGAGATGGCGATGGCGATGACCACGATGCTGGTGGTGTTAAGCTGTCTTAAGGTTAACGGTGTCCGGGCCGCCTTCGTCGTCATAATCATAATCATCACCACCATCACCACCACCACCTCCACCACCACCACAACCATCGACTCCACCATCATCTCCACCATTCGTGACATATACCCTATCGACTCTACAGAGAGGGCACACCACTCACTTATGTCTGCTTGTCCTATCGATCGTCTGGTGGTTATCGTCATGGCGGTCCAGTTGGCAAGACTCAAGAGATATGTATCCGAATCCATACCTCCGATCCCTCCCTGTCCGTCCGCCCCATTCCCCGCTTGCCGTAGGCCTTCCGGCCATGGCCACGACTTTCGGTGACCGCTGGTCCCCCCGCATTGGCCATCCCATCCCATTTGTCATCGGACTTCCTGTATTATCCCCCTCCCCCCCCTCCTCACCTTGGCCAACCCCCTCCCAATCATGCCCGCTCAGCCTGGCCATACGTGCTTCACTACCACTATATTCACACTCCACACGCACATGGTGACATAAGTATAATCTACACATGCCTATGAACCTCCGCCTTCCCCTCTCTGCCTTTCCCCCCACTGGCTCCGGCTCTTGCTCTGCCCCTCCCCTCTCTAATCGTAATCACGACAACGTGGCTAACCAGAAAGACCAAGACACTAACAGCAGAGCTACCGACACCACAATCTGTTCGTTCGTTCGTTCAATTTCGTTCTGATCCCCTTTTTCCTTTTGCCTTGTCCGTGCAGAAACCGTCCTCGACCAATCCGAGACCCGATCAAACAAAAAAATTCCCGGCCTTTCTCCCACCCATATTTGGCGCGAATTCGGCTCATCGTAAACTTGACTCGTGGGGCCCAGCAAGCGGGCATATCCACCCTCAAAACCTCAACCCACCCCCCCCCCCAAGTTTAACACCCCCCCTCCCCAGGAACTCGACACTGCTAGTTAGTAGAGTACTTGGTTGCTATCTCTCTCCAAATATCCCGTGGCCCTACTTAACTGTCCCCCCCCCCTCCCCCGCCACCGCCGCCCCACCCACCCACCCCCCCCCCCCCCCGCGTTCTCCTCGGCCTTTCTTACATCACCTTCCAGTCAGCTACATAACTCACCCCTCCACCCCACCCCATCCCTTCCCCGTCATCTCGGTCCTACGTGTCTCGGCTTTCTTTTTATTTTTATTTTATTTTCCTTTCCATTCTTCTTCTTCGGTTGGAGTGGAGTTTCGGTAGGACGTCGTCGTCGTCAATTAGGTTCTCGGAATTGAAAGAATCTGCAATCAAGCGGCAGCGGCAAAAAGTTGAAGGGAACGTCGACCGGGAAACCCTGAAGTGAAAGGAAGACGGAGGCTGTGCGAGAAGAAGAAGAAGATCAAGCGGAAGTGTGAGGAAATTTGAAAGGGGAGAGCAGACGAAGAAGAAGCAGCAGCAGACGAAGAAGAAGAAGAAGTGAGGGTCGAAGAAGGAGAGCAAAGGGGATCAAAGACACAGAAGAGCGTGAGTGAAAGAAGTTGTGAGCGATGTGAGCAAGCACACAATCTCTTGCCGTCGTGTTTCTCGCAAACATGACGCATGTTGCTGTCTAGTGTGGGAAGAAGTTGTTGCTGAGAGTGGGACTTTTTCGGTGCGCCTTTCTAGAACCCAGTTGTCAAGGTACGAGATTCATCAATCATCCTCTTCACCGTCACTACCACCACCACCATCACCTTCTCGACCCCCCAGAGAGGGAACACACTCTGCCGCATCATCCCTCACCCATCACCCACCACCCACCACCCACCACCCATCATACCGAGTTCATAATCCGTTCCTGAACGGATCCTGGAAAGAGTTACAGGTTTCACTGACACAGTTCCGGCTTTGTCTGCTTTCTGCAGGAACCAGAGACTTCCATATCTTCCAAACTATCGATCATGTCGTTGTCCAGGAGAGCTTGTTACAAGTAGGTAATCCCAGGAAACAGAAGTAGTGGGGGGGCATCGATCGGAGGGAACGGAATGCTGGGACCGGAAGAAGGCGGTTTCCCGGAGACGAAAGTATGTCTCTAATATATCCTGGTCGTATTCATGTAGGTGCGGTGCCATCGGACACTTCGCGGAGGTCTGCACTTCGCCGGAGCGTCTCTGCTACAACTGTATGCTCGCCCTATTTCCACATTGCGTTTACTTGCACATCCCTATTCGAAACGGGATATAATCCGCAGAGTTGCAGGGCTGACGTGGCACGGACAATCACAGGCAAGCAACCGGGTACGCGCATCATTCTCCCGCAAGACTCCGTTGCACTCCCCCCAGCGGCGGCGGCGGCGGTGGCGAAGCCTCCGCACCTAAACAACATCTGGACACTGACGATGTTTCCGGTTGGGTGTCTCTAGGCCATGAGTCCAATGTTTGCCCCCAGCCCAGGACTGCGGATTCCAAACAGTGCTACCACTGTCAAGGTTTCGGACACGTTCAGGCCGATTGCCCGACTCTGAGGCTTTCCGGAGCCGGCACTGGAGCTAGATGCTACAGCTGCGGCAACCCCGGCCACCTGGTAGGAGACCACCGCTCGGCTCGCACTTGAATGGAGGGTAATATGTTGATGTGCTTTGTTGCCAGGCTCGCAACTGCCCTACTGCAAGCGGACTCGGTAGGGGAGCACCCGTCGGACGTGGAGGATTCGGGTTCGCTGGCCGTGGAGGATTCGGCGGTGGCCGGCCCGCTACTTGCTACAAGTGCGGTGGGCCCAACCACTACGCTCGGGATTGTCAGGCTCAGGCAATGAAGTGCTACGCTTGCGGCAAGCTCGGCCACATCAGCAGGGACTGTACCGCGCCCAACGGAGGTCCTCTGAGCACCGCCGGCAAGACGTGCTACCGATGCGGACAAGCAGGTATGCTGAATATGAAACCCCGACACCCCCCCCTAGATTCGTTGGAACTTGTATCTCATTCGTAACTTGCAGGCCACATCTCTCGCGAGTGCCCTCAGCCTGCCGAAGAGCTCGTTGATCCCTCGATCGTCAACACCGTCCCGATTGTGTAGGCAACAGCCAGCACGTCTTACGGCAGCGGATCCGAGTCTCCATAAGCGATAATGAATGCAATATTCTCAAGATCTTTTCTCTTCTTCGTATTGGGTGCCGTAAATATATGAATTTTTCGAACTGATTTTGTTCCTTTTCTTCTTCACTACAGATATATCTGCTACCGTTTTTCCTTTCTCGCTTATTCCTCATCTTTCTTTCTCAGCTGTGAATTCTTCACTGTGCATATTGCTCTCCGGAATTCCTCTTTTCGTGGGAGGAGTTCAGGGAGTCCTTTCAATCACCTACCGGCGTTTCTACACGGGCAATGCGTCTCTTGCAACTTGGGTCTCTATATCTTCGTCCTTTAATATATACGTAGGGTGAGACAGGGTGGATGGACGGACGGCGGGAGAGGGGGGGGGTGGGAGAATAGTTTGGACTTTGTAGGTGATAATGATATACTAGGATGCCTGGCATCGGGTACGACTGATTGGTGGTTGAGGAATGGTAGCTGAAAGCTGGGCACATTCTTACGTACTTGCTCATGTATTTTGGGTGACGGCTAATGAAGCTGTCGGTCAGTTGTGGGGGAGATGTTGAGGGACAGAGTAGTGGGTGGGCATCGGAGTTTTAATGGACAGTATCATAGGAAGCAAACGGCCACACTGACTCCGGGCTTGGAACTTTGGGTTCGGATCCAATCGCACGTGATTCGATGGGTGGACCCTGGCAAGTGGTCGAGTGAGGAACTGTGAAGGCGTTTGCTGCTGCTGCGCTCTCACTTGCTCTTCTTCTTCTCTCCACACGACAACACAACACATCACTCCACCACACTGCTCCCCCACCCTCTCACTCGCAACCACCGCCCCTCATATTTCTCACTCCACTCCCCATCACTCCTCATCGCCAACAACAATGGCGCCTCGCGAGACTACCGTTGACGTTGACATTGACGACGACGAGGTGCTACAATCTTCCAAGCAGCCAGCCATTGTCGCCGAACTGAACTGACTGACTGACTTTGCCGTGTAAAGGACAACAATGGCATCGTCGACATCGACCAGCTCCAGTCGCACGGCATCGGCGCCAGCGATATCAACAAGCTCAAGGCTGCGGGATACTGGACCATCGCTGTACGTAAACCATTCTCATTCTCACTTGGCGATTTAGTACGAAGGGGTGTGTGTGAAGGGAAGGGGTCGATGATGATTGTAACTGTGTACACATACAGTCAGTGTGTGCGGCTACTAGGAGGAACTTGTCCAAGATCAAGGGTGAGTAAAGCGAAACGAATTGGGTGGACTCCGGGGGGCTGGGAGGGGACTGAATGATGTGCTACGACGATAGGCTTCTCCGAGCAGAAGACGGAGAAGGTCAAGGAAGCGGCGGGCAAATGCGCTGTACGTTTCCCCTCCGTATGTTTGTGTACTTATGTAGCTGATGTTCCCGCGCACCAGCCTGCCTCATACAACTTCATAACCGCCGCGGAGCTCGGGCACGTGCGTCGCAAAGTGTGCCGGATCTCCACTGGCAGCAAGAGTTTCGACACGATGCTGGGTGGCGGGTTGCAGACGATGAGCATCACGGAGGTATTTGGCGAGTTCCGCACGGGCAAGTCGCAACTGTCGATGACGGCGTCGGTGATCTGCCAGCTTCCTAAATCGCAGGGCGGCGCCGAGGGGAAGGTCGCTTATATCGATACCGAGGGAACGTTCCGGCCAGAGAGGATCAGGCAGATCTCAGAGAGGTTCGGCGTCGATGGTGATGCCGCCTGTGAGAATATCATCTATGGACGCGCCCTCAATAGTGAACATCAGATGGAACTGCTGAATGGCCTGTGTCAGAACTTTGCAACGAATGAGTATAGGCTTTTGGTGAGTTCCCCGATGATGATGATCCTCCCATATAGTAGAGGATGACGGGGGCTGATGAGAAGGTATAGGTTGTCGACAGCATCATGGCCTGCTTCCGCGTGGACTTCTGCGGACGTGGTGAACTTTCCGAGTAGGACCCACCATACCATACCATACCTACCGACGCCCGTGAGAATTCTCTACTGATACCTTACCACAGGCGCCAACAGAAGCTGGGACAGATGCTGGCCAAGCTCTCGCACATGGCCGAGGAGTTCAACGTCGCCGTCCTCTTGGTACGGACAGACAGACTCCGTCCATAGTTAACACTCGAGTCTCGGTGTAGCTAACAAGAGAGAAAGACCAACCAAGTCCAGAGCGATCCCGGAGCCAGCGCGCTGTTCGCCAGCGCCGATGGGTATGCCTTCCCTTCCCTCCCTCCCTCCCTCTGCAATGATCACTAACAAAGTACCCACAGACGCAAGCCTGGTATGATCCCCTGCACACACAACAAGTGAACTCCTCTAACCTACCCCCCCGCGTCCAGTCGGAGGCCACGTCCTAGCGCACGCCTCCGCCACCAGGATTCTCCTGCGCAAAGGCCGCGGCGACGAGCGTGTGGCCAAGTTGCAGGACAGCCCTGATTGTCCCGAGCGCGAGGCTACCTACGTGATCACTAACGGGTCCGTACCCCCCGTAACCATGTTGTTTGGTCGGAAAGGAAAGGAAAAGGGCTGACGGTTGCACTGTTGCACTGTTGCAGTGGTATCAATGATCCGGCTGGTGTTTGAGCTTTGATTGCTACCTACTACCACCTGTGCTACCGCCTATTTGCATAGACTTACTGCGTTGTATGGCTCCGGTTCTACTCTGGCTATCATTCCTAGTTACCGAGTGGTTGCTTGTAGCTGACTTGAGGATTAGGATTTCTCTCTTTTTTCTTCTTTTTTTTTCTAGCAAAACATGGTGGGATTTTCGGAGGAAAAAATGTACTTGGGCTGTTGTTTCTTTTCATGAGCTTGGGATTGAGTTGGCGGTTGACTGTCAGTAGCAGGCAGACATATGATGGATGGGCGAGCAGGTCAGGTCGGATTTATTGGTTGAGCTTTCAATCTTCATTCTCATCGATATTCATACGATATCACGCAGCTCTTTGAAATCCCATAAAAAAACAGTTCTCCTCGCAAACCCGCAAACCCGCAAACCCGCAAACCCGCAGCAGCCCAAAGTAACCTAAAGTAAACCAAAGTAACGCTAGAAATCACATCCCATATCAAAGTGGACAGGTAGGTGCGAAACAAGACAAGAAAAAATCACGACGTTTTGACAAATGTATCCCACGCACTCAAGATCTTCTGGTTATATCTTCTCGGGTTTAGCACGGATCGGATTGGAGGAGGAGGAGGAGAGGAGGCTTACGATTCCCTCTTGTTATGAGTCTTCTTAACGCCCTCAGCCAGCCTATCTGCGCCCCTTCGGATCGTAGCAATCTGCACAGCGATGGGAATACTTCCGTCAGGGCCATCGAGCATAGGCTCACCGACGACCTCGGCGATATGTTTAAGGTCACCCTCCATAGCCTGGAGATGCAGCAGAGTCTTGAGCAGATACGTGAGTGCGCGCTTCCGGTAGCCGCTGATATTCTCGAGTAGGAACTGGTGGCTCTGCATGCGCTGGAGCTGGCGCTTGTTCCCGCCGAGATACGTCCACACGTGCGCGAGCACCTCCTCCTGCGCCTCGCCAATGACCGCGCGCTCCTGCTGCACCGTGTCTTCGACCTTGTTGAGGCCGTTCTCGAGGCTGCCCAGCGTCTCCATGATGATCGTGCCGTGCACGATCAGCTGCCGGATCGCGTTCTCCGTCGTGTTCACCGTGGTCTGGTAGATGCGTAGCAGCCGCCGCTCGGCGGACGCGATCTCGAGCTCGGACCGCTTGCTCTCGAGGAAGGACGTCCATGGCCAGGCGTTGCTGGACGAGGCCCGCGCCGCGGTCTTGAGTGTTGCTAGCTCCTCGAAGTGCCGGATCGCGAAGGTGTCCGCCGCGATCACCCGGTCCGTCATGCCGGTTACCAGCCCGGTGTACGCCGAGAGCTGCCGTGCCGCCCCCGAGACCACGGTGATGTATTCCTCCAGGTTCACTAAGAGCGCGTCCCTTCGCACCGATCAGCCACCTCTCTTCCCCACAAACAACCCAGCACTCGCCCGCCCGCGCAAAAGAGCACTCACTTGCAAGCCAACCTCGAGGGCTTAACCAGACTAGTCAAATCCCTCACCGCGGTCTCAGAGTGCCTAAGATCCCACGCAAAAACCGTAAAATCATGGCACTCCTCCACCATCTCCTCGAACCCCGCCTGGAGCCTCATGAGCGTCTGAAAATCCGGCTGTTCCCCCGCCCTGCCACCCTTCGCACCCGCCATGCCCTCCTGCCCCTGATCACATATCTCCGTCATAAAGAACGGCACTCCGGGAAGAGCACACAGCGTGCCCACGGCAGCGCCAACGAGAGAGCTGTACGCGACCATGACCACACCAACGAGTAGCCATACAGCCAGCACCCACAGCAGCGGCTTCCGCACCAGCCACGCGACCACGCGGAGAAGGTCGAGAAGGAACGAGCCCACGGCTGTGGCCGCGTGCGCGGCGCCCGCGGAAGAAGGCGGGTACGGGCGCCGTCGCGACGAGGAGGGGTGGCGTATGTGGTGGGGTGTGGGTGCGCGTATGCGGCGGGTGGAGGTTACATCCGCGCGCCGCCGCCGCGTGCTGGTACGTGTGCTGGAAGGTAAGCTGCGGGTGGGTGTGGACGGTGTGGAGGGCGTGGGCGGCGGCCGCCGGACGGCGTCGCGGGGTGCGGGGTTGCTGCTGCTGGGGGCTTCGTCGTCGGAGCTGTAGGTGTCGCTGCCGTTTGAGGAGCACCAGGGCGAAGACATTGCGGGTTGTTGGTTTATGTTTTTGGCGATGAGGGGAGGAGGTGGAGGTTGTGGGAATGCGCCGTGATTTTGTACATGTAGAGAATAATGAAGCTGTGGTTACAGGTAACCAGGCTCATGACAGCTCATACCGCGACCCGCGTCTGCGGTCACTGGTCGGCCTTTGTTCTGACTGGTAATCTCTAGTCGTTAAACCTTGCCGGTGCTAGCACATGACGTCGCACTGCAGAACGTGACATACGAGTGATCGAGAGTGTACCGTTTTGCGAACTGAGCGACGAAGGTTATCCCATCTTTTGACCGGATGCGATGCTGCGTAAGAATGTAGCACTTTGCCAACAGAGCGATGAACGAAACAGATTCAATCTTTTAACCAGATGCTGTGTATTCTATCGATACATATATACAAAAAAAAAGAGAAACGCCCAACACCGCCTTATCTGATCTACTCGTCGTGAACCACCTTGAGAACCGCTGCGAAGACTGTTAGCTATCTGGTAGTAAGTGTCTGTGCCCTGTGGAATGCTTACCCTTTCCAAAGTTCTTTCCGTGGAAAATATCCAAGAGACCCTGAGCGGCATTCTCAACGCCCTCGGTGATGGTCTCCTTGACGATGAGCTCTCCGCTAGCTATCCACTTGCTGACGTTCTCCTTGTGCTCAGCGGCGTACTTGGGGCCAAACTCCTTGTCACTGACAATGAATCCCTGCGGTACTCTGTCAGCCACCTATGCGATCGAGCAGATTCCAGGGATTCCATAACATACTTCCATCTTGATCCTCTTGGCCACGATGTACATCAAGTTTTTGGGGAGGTACATATCGGCGGGGTTGGTCAGGTTGTAGTACGAGATCATACCGCACATGATGAAGCGAGCATGGTCGTTGGCGGCCTCAAGGGCCGCCTCGAGGGCCTCACCTCCGACGTTCTCGAAGTAGATGTCGATTCCCTGAGGAGCAAGCTTCTTCAACGCCTCCTTGTTCGAGGTGGTCTTGTAGTTGAAGGCATGGTCGAACTTGAGCTCGTCCTTGACGAACTTGGCCTTCTCGTCGCTGCCGACGGAGCCGATCACGGTGAGCCCCTCGTGCTTGGCGAGCTGGCCGACGATCTGGCCGACGGCTCCCGAGGCGGCAGAGATGAAGATGGTCTCGCCCTTCTTGGGCTTTCCGATCTGGTAGAAGGAAGAGCTAGAAGCACCACATCAGACACAGTCCCTACACTCGATCCCATGGAATGAACACTCACTATGCGGTCAATCCGGGCATGCCCAGAGCACCGGTGTAGTTGCTCAGCGGCAGGTTGTACTTGTTATCGATTTTCTGGATGTACGCCAGCTGCTCCTTGGTGACAACCGAGTATTTTTCGGTTCCGATGCTGCCGGCGACGACGATGTCACCCTCCTTGAAGTCTGCGTTCTTGCTCTTGTAGACAGAGGCTACTCCTCCGTTCGTGACGACGCTGCCAAGGTCGTAGGCGGCGGAGTAGGACTTGATGCTGGCATCGCGCATGCGGCCACGCTGGTAGGGGTCGAAGGAGATGTAGCTGTTTGGGATGTTAGCTGCTGTGGGAGCAGGATGGGAGGAGATGACGGGAGGCATACAGGTTCTTAGTGATGATTCCGCCCTCGGGGAGAGAGTCGACGGAGATCTCAGACTCCTTGATCTGGAGGTCCTTACCCACGATGGGGTAGCCCTTGGGGAGAGAGCAGAAGATGAGGGACTTGTTGTGGACCATTGTTGCTGGACTGGAAGATGTGGAGGATGAAGGAAGTTGCTGTTGGATCTGTTGAAGGCGCTGCATATGAATTATGGAACGAAAGCCAACCGTAGAGGGCAATGGAGGGGGAATATATAGCGGATCAGTCCTCCCCCATCACAGCTAAGATGTGAAATCCACTGATGACCTCATGACGTGATCCGGTTAACCACCCTCGGAATCCCTTTCGGCAGCTGGCTGGCTGGCATGGTTCCGTGCGTGTATCGGATAGAATTCGCATGGCGGAGGCATGGAAAGCCGCTTTGTAAGTCTCGATGTTGCAGGAACATTCTGCAGGACATCAACATACCCAGTGCCAGCGAAGTACATACTGACACTACCCACGGTACCCCAGCGTCATACGAGTCAACCAACCGACAAGTAGTTAGGTGGCGACGCCCCAACATCACCACCGAGCATCGCACATCCTGCCCTTCTTTTCTTCGCTGGGAAATTCACAGAGCGGTAGTGCCGCCGTTCGGCGGAGAGTGCCGCATCTGATTTATAATGTTCGTATCTAGGTAGTAGCAGCACCACGGTCCTGGCAACCGACGACCAGCTGCATTTCTATAGAGTGGTAGAGCCTCGGCACCGGCGCGGGGGAGAACGAAGAGCTTGCGAGTGGAGGATCGGAGTTCCGGATACATGTATGGAGTCGGCGCCGGGTATCTGTGCCGGCCGTATGCAACTCCACCCTTGCTTGCGGTCGAACCCCGAGTCCTTGCGGTGACGGGACGACGAGGTCAGGGCTCGTTAAAGTGATCGAGTTCCGAGATACCGAACGGATTGTCCCCAGAGTGACTGTCGATGGCAGAAGAGAGATCCCGAATGAATTGATCGGATGAGAGCCAACTACTCGTGCAACGGTAGTTAACGTCCTGTTAGTTAGAGCCAAATCAAGCCGATGAGAAGGAACTAGCAGACCAAGCCGATGAGACGAGTGCTGGTCTGTGACGTGCCCCTGCAGCATCGATCCCAGCAGATAGGTAATCCGGCCTGCGGCAGAAGCAACAACAAAGCTCGCTCGCATAGCTCAGCTTACGCCGCCGGCCAGACACGACACGACACCATTCCGTAACGCACACCTCCACCACCGTCTACCACCCAGCAAATTCGTAAACAATGGCAACCTGGATCTACAACACCGTCTTCGGCACCGGGCCGCAAACCGTGCAAATCGTCTCCGCGGGCGGCAGCTCACAATCGGCCTCGCTGCTCCCAGTGGACCCTCCGCCATCATACGAAGACGCCGCGTCGCCGGACTCCAAGCAACCGCTCGGAAGCGGAAGCCCTCTTCGCCGACACCCGCTCGAGCTTCCCGCACTCACCCTCCTCCGCACGAAGCGCTTCGTGCTCGCGTCAGCCTCGCCGCGTCGCAAAGAACTCCTACAACTCGTGCGCCCCCTTCCCCCGTCCCCATCCATCCCCCTGTGCCCACCCCCAACTAACCCACCTCCGTGCAGCTGAACCTCCCGGACATCGAGATCGTGCCCTCCTCGTTCGCCGAGAACCTCGACAAATCGCACTACACGCCCTGGGAGTACGTATTAGAGACGGCGACGCAGAAGTGCCAAGCGGTGTACACCTCCGAGATCGCGCGAACCGACGTGGACGAGCCGACACTCGTTCTCGCGGCCGACACAGTGATCTGCCTGGCGTCAGGCGAGGTCCTCGAGAAGCCCAAGAGCCCAGCTCACCACATGGCGATGCTGCAGACGCTGCGCGACGCGGGCGCGCACAAAGTGTACACGGCGGTTGTGGCGATGACGCCGCTCGAGGACGCGACGCATCCTGGCTACGCAATGCAGAATCATGTCGAGGAGACGATCGTCTACTTCGATAAGACGATTACGGATGAGCTGCTGTTGTCATATGTGCGCACGCGCGAGGGCGCTGATAAGGCGGGTGGCTATGCCATCCAGGGCACTGGCAGCATACTGATCGAGAAGATCGAGGGCAGCTACGATAATGTTGTCGGGCTGCCTGTGCGCTCCACCCTGAGGCTCATCGAGAAGGTGCTCAGTGGCGATGATGATGTCGAGATTGGTGAAGATGGTGAGCCGGTCGTGCTCTAGGGGAGGGGGGGATATATGCTCATTTGGATTGGACTACGGGTTGGGATGATGGGATGGGATCGGATGGAATGGAATGGAAACGATAGATCGGTTTGGTTTGCTTGATTCGCTTGTTTGTTTGTTTGCTTGTTTGGCTATTCCCCAGTATGCGATGGATGGATGTATGTACATGTACTCTCTAATTCTCCTTGTGCTGCTGCTGCTGCTGCTATATGTCACTGCCGCTGTGGCGTTTACCCGACTTTCTCACGTACGGTACTCTACAGGAACAAGCATCTGTCATTGCCGCATGTGAAGTCATATCCGCATCTTGCAGAGGAACAGTAATCACATCCCGAACCGCAAGACCCAGAGCGACGGAAATGCAATTCCTGTACAACTTCGTATGACCATATCTACAGTGTCCCAACCGTGCAGGGGTGTAGGACAATCCCTGGCTCACATCATCCACCACCAGAACCACCACCACCACCACCGCCACCACCACCACCACCACCACCAGATGCAACGGCTCCTCCTCCTCCTTCACTGGCTGACAGCTTGTCGCAGCGTAATCATCCCACTCTCCCTCTAAGATGCGATGTAGAGTTACATCAAGTTCCACATCAACATGACAAGACAGCAAAAAGGAAAACAGAAAAGCAAACTCCCACTCGGTAGAAAACCCTGGATTAAGCAATCGCAATAACAAGACAGAACGCCGTACCCACCCTTAGCCGTCGCCGCCGCCGCCGCAGCCACCAAAACTCCCTCCTCTCCCACCCGGTCAAAATCTACTGAAGATCCGGTGGGATCTCCCCACCTAGCGCCTGAATGCGCTCTATTAGTTCCTGCCGCTCCTGCAAAACTTCACGCATGTGATCCACGGCTATCACTAACGTCAGCATCCCACGTATGCGTAAATGTGTAGGTAGGTAGAGAGGGGGGACAAACACTTCCTGAGCACGATACTCTCGCTCCTCCCTTGTCCTTCGAGACCCGGCACGATTTCCGTGAGCCTATCGAAGCCCTCCCGGATCGCCATGCGCCGCTTCTGCTCGCTGGCGATGTGGTTGCTCTTCTTCTCCTGCTCGGTGAGGCGCGGGCGCTCCGACATTCCGTCTGCTGAGGCGGTGGAGTCGCTACGCAGCTTGGAGGTGCGCCGCGGCTTTTTGGGAGACTGCGAGGAGGAGGCGGGCGGCGTGTCGCACTTGCGCTTGCTGCTGCTTGAGGGCTGGTGTGTTTGGGTTGTGGGCGAGACGGGTGGTGGGGAGACCGAGGACCACGGCGGTGCGTTGGAGGTGTGTCGCGCTGGTGGATCTGCTGTTGCGGCGGCGGCGGTTGGGGGTTCGGAGGCGGCTATGTGCTGCGCTGGAGGATCTGTGGTTGTGGTGGGTGCGCCGAGTGACGATGAAGGTGGTGGTAGTGGGGGTGTTGTTGTAGATGTAGATGTTGTATGCGGTGGAGGAGTGGAGGGCGCGGCAGTATCAGTAGTATCTCTTGCTGCTGCTGCTTCCGCTTCTGCTGCTGCTATTGAAGGCTGCTCTTCACCCGGCTGCTGCTGCTGCTGTAGTTGCTGATTCCCGTCCATGACTGCGATCTTTATATGTATTCCCTTTCTTTCTTTCTTCCTTCCTTCCCACCTTCCTTCCTTCCTCCTGCCTTCCTCCTTCCTTCCTTTCTCTCCACGACCTCTCACCAGCCAGGGAGTATGTAATGTAGCCGAGAACTGCCAGCCAGCCGGGGTGGGCGGGTGGGTGGAGGGGTGGTGGAGGGGTGGTGGATTCAGGCGGTGGGCGGGAAGATCTTGTCGCGGCGCAGTACTCAGGCGGGAAATGAATGTGACGCGGAGGGTGGTCGGGGTCTGGGACGGGCAATTGTGCGCGGCGGTAGTCGTAGTCGTAGTCGGTGGTAGTGGTGGTGGTGGACGGGAATAGAGGTTTCGTTCCGCTTGCTTGCTTGTTGGTTGCTGTCGAAGCAGCCCCTCCACTGACACGGGCGATGGCGAGGGGGGAAATGATGTTGGGATGGGATGGATGGGCTGGCTGGATGGGCTGGACTGGAGCTTGCGTGGGACAAGACAGGTTGGGAATTACATGTGTAACCCCAAGGACGAGTCAAGTAAGCCCTCGGCTGCAGATTGGTCGCGGAGAAGACTAGAGGGGACGTCCGCAATGGCGATGGTTGGGGGAGAGTGGTGAGGTGGGAGCGAACGAGTGAATGGGCGAACGAACGGATAGACGAACGTGCGAGCGAGCGAGGCTCTGTGGGTGTCACACACATCACTCTCGCCTCGGGAATCGGCGCCAACGTCAAGCCAGTCAAATCGAGTCCATCGCATCACACCACCACCAACCATCATCTAGAGAATACCGGTATGTCACTACACATCCAATATCTATGTGTCGAGAGCGCCGAACCTGCAGTCAAGTTGAATGCCTACATACATCACATACGCGACAGTTGCTCTACATCGCCAAATACGCGATCCCAATCCCAGACTTCATCCACGGCGGCACACTACAGAAACGGAAAATCGTGCAGTAACTAGCCCTACACAACTACCCCGAGCCGAGGAGCACATGCTTTGCTTTCTTCCATCCTGACGAAACCCGGTCGGCCCGTTTCGTGGCGCAGAGTCGGCGAAATCACCGGAGCTACAGTCGTGTGTACTCGGTGTATATACCCGTATAGCGGGATACACACAACTGTACATCCATACCCAGGATTCCGACAGAGACTGAGAATTTCGCCGTCACATGTCTCACAGCATAGCTAAGGCCGTCAGCGACATGAATTCAACAGCTTACTGAGACTCAAACCCAGGTTTGAGAATTGCGTGCACTATGTATGTACAGTAGACACATACATACTGTGCCTTCCCTAGGATTCTTCCAGAAAACCTTGTATGTATGACAGGTAAGATGTAGGTACCGGTACGTGTGGACGGTATGTAGCCCCCATCTTCCCATCTTTCTTTTTCCTTTCTTCTCGCTCGCAGGATGTCTCGGAATTGCCGTACCATAGACACGATGGTTGCTCTAGCAGACTTACCTATTAGAATCGCATCGTGAACACTCAGGCCTCCCGTCTTGCCTCTCCCTGCCAGATCCGAAGCCACCATGCAAGACCCGTAGTTATGTCGTACACAGCCTCCCCAGGCTACTATCATATCGGTACGCGGGAATACACGGCGAACCCCTACTCTAGAACATCGGTACCACCCGTAATTCAGGATCCGGCGAAACCGGAGTTCAACCTTCAACCTTCAGCCTTCATAGCGAAATTGTGCTGAGACAGTGACGAACGAATTCCAAGGATAGGCGGCGGAGCGGGGGTGAGTGATCGGTGATGACCGTGACACCGTGTCGGGCTGAGGTTTCGGTGGAGATGAATCCCTAGGTGAAAAACGATCATCGCGGTTGGTTTAGCAGTTTGACCTATCAGGATCACACCTCCCTCCGTTGAGGGTTCACATGCTCGTGCTCATGTTTATGACTACATCGACCGGCAAGGCAAACCAAGCCAAACCAAACCGTTCATGGAACCTCCGGATCTCGTGCAAACGTTGAATTCCACGCCTTGGACCGGCCGGCAATCCAGTGTCCAACATCATCAGCCTTAACAACGGCTCGTATAGAGAGATATCTGCCATGACCATTGACGGAGCGCCCGTGCCTCCCCCTGAAGGCGGTCGCCCTGTAGTAGAATCCTATGCACGTTTCAAGATTTATCCCGAGTGACGAGTGACGAACTGTGATTCTCCATGGGGAAGGGTGAATTGGAGGTCGGGGTCGAGTCCGGGGCCGGGGCCGGGGCAAAAATCCGACATTGCCCATCTCACAACCCATCTCAACCGGCCGGGCCGTCAATACTTTCCCCCGCAATACTCTCTCACTCAATGCCGCATAGAATCAATCTAGAAGGTCCGATGGAACCATTAAAAGGGGTTCGAACTTCTAAGCCATCCATCAGGATCAGCACACACAAGCCTGCTCCCCGACTCGGACCTGCTTCGCCGAAATTCATACAAGCCACCGCCACACCCACTCACTCACTCATCCTTCTAGAATACTATACATCATGTCGATCGGTCCTTGTTTTTTCTCCTTTTCTCCTTGTTGCTAGATATCTATCGTACATACATTTGCCCTGCATAAAAAAACACACAGGAGCCGGTTGATCTCCCCCCCTTTCTCGGACAAGCTACCGAGAAATCACTCATATCTATCCTCCAGCTTGATGAAGTGGTCGTACAGCTGTTCGGCGGTCATATCAGCCGACGTTTTCGACGCCTGCTGTACCTTGTTCAGGACGTATTTCGCGGGTGCGGCGGTGTTGACATTAAGCGTCCCAGCCTTTACGTCTCTCTCGCCGACGACAATGATGTGGTTGTACTGCATATTCTTTGCCTTGCGGATCTTCTTCGACAGCGAGCTGGTGGTCGTGTCGATATCGACGTGGAAGGTGCGCTTGCTCATGGACTGCGGTTGCGTAAGGTCCTTGTTTTCCACGCCGGAGATGGTGGCCAGAGTCTTGTGCGCATACGCCACGATCTCGTCGGTCATGGCGACGGGGATGACGATTGCCTGGCGCGGGGAGAGCCAGAACGGCCATTTGCCGTTGTAGTGCTCGATTAGCAGCGCCATGAAGCGCTCGAGTGAGCCCATCACGGCGCGGTGGATGATGACGGGCGTGACGAATCCGGACTCGTTCAGCTCGGCGGGGTCTTCCGAGAGAATGCCCTTTTGCTCGCTGGCAGGCGCGGGTGCAAGGTACTCGAGCTCGAAGCGCCGGGGGAGCTGGAAGTCGAGCTGCACAGTGGCCGTTTGGTGCTTCTTTCCGTCCGAGTCCGAGATCATGATGTCGATCTTGGGCCCGTAGAATGCGCCATCTCCTTCGTTCACGGTCCATGCCTGTCCGGATTCCTCAAGTGATTTCTTGAGCGCAGCCTCAGCGCGATCCCACTCTTCGAGCTCTCCGATATAGTTCTCTGGCCTGGTCGAAAGCACCAGCTCCGGCTTCGGCAGATGGAAAACCCTGTACGTCGTCTCGATGAACTGGAGTGTGGCAGAGATCTCTTGCGCGATTTGTATAGGCCGGCAGAAGATATGGCCATCGTCCTGGTGGAATCTCCGAACACGGGTGAGACCGCTCAACGAGCCGGAGTTTTCATTCCTTCGCAGCGGTCAGTCCACGTAGTATGAGCGATATCAAAAGCCGGTGAGCCTGGGCTCCGGCACAACCTACCGATGGAGCGACGAGAAGTCCGCATATCGCACGGGTAAATCCCGCAAGCTCCTTCCGCCGCCAGAGGCCTTGAACATGAGGCAGTGTCCGGGACAATTCATCGGCTTGAGGCCATATTCCTCTTCATGGCCCTCTACCGTACCCTCATCCTTGACAGCGCCTATCCCGCGCCCAGTAACCTCAAACATGTCCTCCTTGAAGTTCTCCCAATGCCCCGATGTCTCCCACAGCGACTTCTTGTAGATATTCGGCGACAGCACCTCCTGGAAGCCGTGGAGCGCATACTGCGAGCGCAGGAAGTCCACAAGCTTGGTGTAGATGCGTGTGCCGTGCGGAAGAAACAGCGGCGACCCCGGTGAGTAGTGGGTTGTTGTCAGCAGCTGTTGCGCTGTGGCTATCGTGCGATGATCTGGCGGCAGCTCGGCCTCGGCCTCGGCCTTCGGCTGTTTGGCGGGCGACGCATTGGTGGTGTCCGCTACGTCTGACTCAACTTTCGGAGGTGCCGTAGCGGCGATACCGGTAGTATCGGGTTTCGTGGACACTGGAGGTGCCGCAGTTGTGGTGTCTATGGTGCTCGCTCTGGGTATCGGAGGTGCCGGATCAGCGTGTGAGGAGTAGTTGCGGAACCGAGGAGGTAGGCATCTTGCCAGGAGTCTGGAAGTTGCAGGTGATGGCTGGAAGGACCGCCGCAGAAGGAGGGAGCATGTTGAGAGTCGCATTGAGGGAAATGCGGGGGAGACGTTGGCTTTCGGTTGAGCATGTGGGATGGACGTTCGATCCTTTTTTTAGACCAGGGTTCTGTCACGTGCTTCGGACGTCATTACGTCCGATATAAGCATGAAAGCTTTGGGAACTAGTTCATGCTAAAGATGCTCCGGGAAGCAATGGAACCTTCTCGTGTACATTCTTGTTCTATTGCATGTGTCTTTTTTTTGATTTCTCCTATGCATTGCCGTTCTGTCGCTATCGTATACCGAGTGAGAATACGAGGGTTACAGCTAAGTCAGCGCGCCAAAGCAAGTTGACGCAGAGAAAGCACGAGGGTGGTTTTAGGATACGCGACATTAAAACGGTTCCGCTTATGAGTGTGTTGACAAAAGCCAAGTTAGGAGACCTCCATGTTGGTGAACTGTATGAGTTTAGCGTTAAGCAATGGTGGGATTGTGAAGCCGGACATGATGTTGCCGAGTCATTTCGTTGTCATTCTCAGGTCGAGGAGTCATTGTTTGTTGAGATAATGTTTTGTTGGGTTGTGATTGCAGAGTCAATTGTTTTATTGAGTCGCCGATCTGTTTTTCTTTACCGTAGTCAATACCTAAAACAATGATGAGTCAATTAATAAGAATGACCACTCATAACACAAAATTGACTACCCGAAAATCCAAGTCATCTAAGCGAACCAAACAAAAAAGTAACACAATCAATCCATTGCTCTGCTGAATCTCGTCAAACATTGTATCATCAAATTGAAACTCATCATCCGTCCGCTCTCGCTCCATCTTCATCATCATACTCTTCTCTTATTCATCAACTTCCGATATAAATCATCGCCTGAATGTAGTGGCGGAATCGGAATGAAAAGTATTTCTGCTGGAAACCAGCACGGGAAGAATGACATCCCTCGGGCTGTCCATGTGATTTGCGTCGTCAATCTTTCATCATTCTTCTGGTAGTTCAAAGTCTCTTTTCCTCACTCTCAGAGTTTGTCCCCCCCAAATGAACTGTAGATAACTAAAACACACTATCGCACTCGCTCGAAGCCTTACCGACGCAGCCTCGTCTGACTCAGCCTCGCCCCGCTTGCTCGCTTAACATGATTCCTAATGACAAGAAAATGACCACTCAATAAACTTGCTCGACGCACCCACATCCCCCACCTCAAGCTCCAGTTGTGAACCCTCGCATCCCCACCACCCTCGAACAAGCTTCCTTCTCTCCAACAATGGCCGACCAGAGATACATCACAGCTCTACAACCCTTCATCCTGCTCGCAAAGAATGCTACGGGTCGAGCAGCCGCGGACCTAGTGGTGCAGGCTACCCAAGCGCCAGGCACCTACGTCTTCTCCGAGCTCCTCGAATGCCCCGGCATCCAAGCTCTCTCGTCCAACCCCGACGGACTCCCATACTTTGAGCTCCTCAGGATCTTTGCCTACGGCAGCTTAGCAGAATACCGGAGTAAGTAACATCCGTTCCGTGCGGCCGCGATTGAATGCTCGTGCCTAGGTAGGCTAAGGTGTAACAGCGAACCCGAACCTCCCCGCGCTCAACGAGAAGCAGCTCGAAAAGCTCAAGCAGCTCTCGCTGATCACCATTGCGTCGCGCGGATCGGAACACCTCACATACCCGTCCCTCCTGAAGTCGCTCGAGCTCCCAAGCGTCCGCATCCTGGAGGACCTCATCATCTCGGCCATCTACGCGGGATTGCTACATGCGAAGCTCGATACTGCGTCGCAGCTGGTCGAAGTCTCTTCTACCGCTGGACGCGACGTGGCGCCGGTCGAGATCCAGAGCATGGTGGAAACGTTGAACGCTTGGTGCAAACAGTGTGATGATGTCCTTGCAGATATCGACGAGCAGATGGAGAAGGTGAATCGAGAGGCGCTGCGGAAGAAGAAGGACAGCGAGGAGTACGAGAAGTTTGTTGCAGCTAGGAAGGAGGAGCTCAAGAATCAGGATAAGGCGGTTGGTGGCAAGGGAAAGAGGGTTATCTCGGAGAGCGCTGAAGATTTTAGGGGCAACGTGGAAGAAGATGACGGTATGGATCTGGACGATTCGTCGTTTGGTGAAGTTGGAAGCACTGCCTGGACATCGAATGCTGGCAGGAGGAGGCTCAAGGGACGGCTCGGTGGCTTGATGGGAGATCGTAAGAGGAGGTAAACGTCGTCACGGGGTTTATGTGCGAGCTCATACGGACCGGATGGCTGTCATTGTTAATGTTTTCTTCTTCGGCGTTGTTTGGATCGGGCATTAAAGGTGTTTTCATACCAGTTTGTGTGCGTGATTGACATGATTCATACTCACGTCTGAACCATTTCGGTTGCATGGGGATGGATTTTACAGAATCTGTGATGATCAAACCTAGTCAGGTATCATTGTGTTCATTTGATTGTCTAAGGATACGTGCAAATGATATTGTATCACTCCCACCTGATGCACAAAAAGCTCAGACGTCAGTAGAGCAGTGAATCCGGGTCCTCAAACGTGTGCATCTTTTTTTGTTTCTTGTTTAGTCATTTTTGCATTCAACCTTAGTAGATCATGGCAGTTACAAACCGGTTCCCCCACACTGTCCCGCGCACCCATCCAACACCAGAACGAAAAGTTGTGAAGCTCTCGTTCGAGTGATGATACCGTAGTGCATCCACATCCCCAAAGCCCATGCACTCGCTTCCCGCAGAACCCTGTCACCGGTGATATCATAGTCCTTTTCCCTGTCATGCTCACTATCCCGTCCCCCGGGTACCAGAGATCCACCGCATCTTTTCCCAAAATCTCGCACGACACCCCCGAAAAAAAAAACTCCATGAACTGCATCACAATGGTCCGCGGCCGTCCGCCAGCTCTGATCTGGATCCGCTTCTACTCCACAGGCACAGCAACCGGGCCGAGAGCCGACAGCAACGAGGCGAAACAGAAGGCGTGGGAAGACCCCCGTGTGCGCGAGTTGAAGGATGAGTTCGCCGATTTGAGGGAGAGTTATAGTAGGTACCCGTCGTGTTGGTTGAGTTGGGTTGTCTAGGGAGGTGACGGCTGATCGGGTGATATGTACATAGAGGCACCGAAGAATCCGGTTGTTTTGGTGTGTGCCACCCTAAGGAGGAGGACGAAGGGAGGGGACCGGGAGGGCTGATGTAGAGAGTACTTAGTGCCATGGCTTGATGGGCTTTGACAAACTGCGACTGGCGGGGAACTGGATTCCGGGGATCGAATGTAACGTTCTCTCCCTCCCTCCCTCCCATTGACACTATCGCTACAGCTATTGACCCGTCCGTGTGGTAGACTGGCGTGGAATCTCAGATTGCCTCCAGGCCCGTGGGGTGCAGGTAATCGTATCGACAGTTCCGCCGACGTCGACGATCGAGCAGAGGGCCGAGGCTTTGGCGGAAGGGATCAGGAAGGCAGGTGGCGTCGGGAAGAGTGTTAATTTGATTGGGTAGGAGGCCCACGTGTGCCGCATCTGGAATCTGGGGGAGGTACATAGGACTGACGACATGTAGGCATAGTATGGTGCGTTTACCGTGGTTGATACTGTGGGAGGAACAGTGGGCTGACGTGGGCTGCGGGTATGGATTGGAGTGTTTAGGGGTGAGTATTTGGCCCCTTGGGGAACTGTGGATGGTCGACTGACCAATTGGCTACGATAGTGGGATCGATGCCAGGTATATGATCAGTATACTCAAACCGACCGACTTCAAGGTGCTGTCTCTCACGACTGTTGCCACTCCTCACCATGGTATGGCCACATTCTGAAGCACATTATATCACTCGCTAATATTCACAGGCTCATCCTTCGCCGACCGCATGTTTTCCACTATTGGACGTCTGTAACCCCCTTTCGGTCCAAGATATGTCTCTCTGACTCCGTCCATAGCGCATAACCTACCCCGGATCTACCGTGTCCTTCACAAGATGGGATTCCAAACCGGCGCCTTCTCACAACTCACCACGAAGTACATGGACGAGACCTTCAATCCGGCCGTCCCCAACGACCCCAACGTCAGCTACTTCTCATACGGCGCCACCTTCGCGCCTCAATTCTACAACATCTGGTACGCACCGCACCGCGTAATCCAGGAAACAGAGGGTCCGAATGACGGGCTGGTATCCGTCAAATCGGCAAGGTGGGGGACATACGAAGGGACCTTGGTGGGCGTCAATCACCTCAGCATCATAAATTGGGTCAATCGTGTTGGATTCGCGGTGGGCAATTTGATCGGCGTGAAGAGGGACTTTAATGCGCTGGCATTTTACTGCGCTATTACTGGTGAGTTCTTCTTGGGGTAGTGGGGTAGTGGGGGAGCGGTGGCTGATGTGGTGCACGATACTCCAGATAAGCTGGCTGAAAAAGGATTTTGAGGAGAATGAGTGCCGGAAGGAGATGTAGAATTTAGTTTAGATGATATCCGAAAGATACCTACCACAGCATAAACATCATTTGCAATTAAGATCAACTCCGGAGCCTGAATACAGCGAGCCCAAATAAAAACACTTTTCTCCACCATCAAGTCCATCGGATTACTCGGGCCTAAACTTCCTCCCCTTCTTCCTCTCCTCAACGCGTTTCCTGTCCTCCTCAAACTTCGCCAACAGCTCGTTCTGCCGCGTCTTCTTCTCCTCTCTAATCTGGAACCTATAAAAGCCCTTAAGCTCCCCCTTCCTCTTCTCCTTCTCATCCAATACCGCCTTGGCCGCCTCTTGCGTCGCAGGCTTAACCCTGCCGCCCCTCGTAACAGTAACAAACCCATCCTCATCGACGACACTCCTCCTCTTGGCCGCCTGTTGTTTCGCCACCTCCTCCGCCTCCCCAAACGCAGCCACAAACGCGTCCGCGCTCGCCTGCAGCCTCGCCGACGCCGGGAACCTCAGCCTATGATGCGCGGCATACCTCGCGATCCCCAGCTCTGGAACACCGGCCACGCCCTCGCCCCACACCGGCAGTGCCGCCGCGGTCTTCGACTTCCGCCGCAGCTTCTCGATCGCCCGCAGCGCGCCCGCGCAGCTGGCGTCGTCAACGAATACCGCGAGCCCGTTCGCGCCGCTGCGCTGCAGCGCCCGGTCCCACGTCCTGATCTCTGCGGCTGCGGCGAGCGCGGCGGCTTCGCCGCCTCCGGAGGTGATCGCGCGCTTGCGCTTCTTGGTGCTGGAGTCGATGGTGGTGGGAGCGGCGGGCGCGGGGGGTGGAGGGGCGGCGGCGTCGGTGCTGAAGCTGACGGATTCTATGCGGCCGCCGCCGAGTGACGAGAGGAGGGTGCGCAGGTGCGCATCTGTGGCGTCGGCGGGAAGGTTCGAGACGAAGAGCGTGCGGCTGTCGTTGGGTGTGGGGATGCGCGGTTGGTGACGCCGGAGGTAGAGGATGTGGGTTGCTTCTGGGGCGCCGGAGGGGGTTGCGGGGAGAGCTAGTGGTAGTATGTAGTATTCGTTCTTGATCTTGAGGGGGATTGAGGCTGTCATCTTGGTTGGTTGTGGTGTTTGGTGGTGAGGTTTGGGTTCGAAATTCGAGATTCGAAGTTTTGGGTTGCAGGGAACGGGCAGGGTTCTACTGCGCCAAGATTTCACGGTTGATCACCTCGAACTGTAACTCGGGCGAAGTTACACACTACTTTCGCCACTTGCTTGTGAAACACAGATTATTATTCGAGCTTCTCAAGCCCGGAGTGACGTTGCGTTAAGTACAGAGACATAGCAAATGAGATCTGTCCAAGAAGTCCGCAAGCCCAAGAACCGCTGCCCGCTGTGTACCTGCCGTGACAAAGCGATGCTATCCAAAAGATGAAATTACAAGTCCCAGTTCCAATGTAAAATGCCGTCCAAAGATGAAGTGAAGGAAAAGAAAGGGTATGAAAAAGATTGTGCGAAGTGGCGATAGAGAGCGGAGACAAAGGAAGAGTGCAGAGAAGTGCACTAGCATGTGGGTATCGCGGTCCAGTGTAGGAGATGAGAATAGAAATCAAAAAAACAGCCCAAAACGCCCCAGAAATGCTCTATCCCCTTCCAAAAAAAACCCCCCAACATCCTTCCTACCTTATGCTATGAGAGGTCAACAAAAGAAAAAACATACCGTTTCGTATATATAATAGATAAAACACCGGCTCCGCTCACGACAATCCTGGCCCGTCAACCAAGGACTCCCTCAGCAAGTCCTCGTCGACGAATCCAGCAATCGGCCTCGTGATCGGCTTCTTCGCTTTGGGCTCCTCGCTTCTTCCTGGTTTCGATCCTCCAGGCGCCAACGTAACGTACTTCCAGAACCAACCACTACCGCCGCCAGCGCCATTGCTACTGGCGGCAGACGGTTTCCGGGAAAGGGTCTTGCCGGTAGGCGGGCTACCCTCAGCAAGCCCCAGTAGCCGGCTGTACGCTGAGCCTCCCCACTGGCTGCTTCCGGGACTATCTCGGATTGCCACTCCGTGTGTGATGCTTGCTTGTGGATCATTGACTCTCGATCTATGGCTTCTCAGATCAGGCCGCCGAGACGTGAACGACGATACCGAGAGCGCGGGGGACGTGTGGTACGCCGAATGATCGAGCGCGGATATTGACAAGAGACTCTCGTGGGATACCGAGCGCTTTAGGATTGGAATGGGAGGTGAAGCCGCCCGCATTGGAGACGGCTGTGGCGGAGAGCGAGAAATGCTCTCAGGATCCGAAGACACTTCTTGGGTAGTGTTGAGAATGGTGAAGGGTGGCGGGTGGGAGACCTTGCGGGTATGTTTCCCCCAAGATTGTTTGGGCCACGGTGCATAGTTCGAGTCTGCACTGGTCGGACGCGAGGTGTCGTCGCCGTTGTCCATGCGATCAAAGATCGACGAGTCACGGAAAGTGGAGGTGGGCGACGAAGAGAGAGCGCCCGTTGACGTTGACCAGCGTTTTGGCGCCCTGCTCGAGGAACCACTGGCAGCATCGAATCCTTGGACGCGAAGTGTGTCGATATGGTGATCGCCGGAAATGTTCTTCTTCTTCTTCGGACGCCTGAGCGGGGGTTTGATGGCTTTCCCCTTGTTGCCGGGGAGTGCATGATAGTGGTGGTGGTGAACGACTACGCCTGCGGCTGTCGTGGAACTCTGCGGCGACGGGGATCGCGCGAGCTCCATGCTCAAAGGCGACCTGCCGGAGTCGACCTGGATGTGGTGGTCGCTACCCATGACTTCCAATTTCTCGCGCAGCATCTTGATCTCCTCCTGCGACTGCGCCAGCATGTCCCTCAGCTCTGCGACGCCCAGCTGCAGGTGCCCATTCTCCGCGAGTATCTCCTTCATGAAGCGGCTGATGGCGTTCTTGTCCGCCGCCAGCGTCGTAGGGAATGTCCCAGCCCTCTGACTCGCCAGCTTGCGTTGTTCCATCCGTTCAAGGATGTTCTTGGATCGCGCACGCTCCAACGTGTGCTCGCGCTGTATCCGCTCCAGCTGGTTTTCGAGCTCTGCAAGTTGACGTTCGGCCCGTTTCCATCGCGCGACCGCAGCCCGCTCCTCCTCCTTTGTGGTGGTGATGGTGTTCCGCAGTTCCTCCTGTTCGCTCTCCAAGACTGCCAGCTGCGCCTCGAGAACCGCTGTTCGAGCTGCATGTGCAGAAATCCGAGATAACTCGGCCTGTCAAACAACGCTTCAATCAACATTCCCGCAGATGGCAAAAACAACCCCCTCCCCCACGCAACAGACGTACGGATGGATGGATGAATAGATGGACCGGGGTGGGGGGAATTGGTGACGGCAGTGTACGATGTCATTGCAGTGCACTTACATGCGCAGCATCCAGATCTTCCTGTAGTTCCCTCACTCGCAGTTCGGACATGGCCATGCTCGAGTTGAGCTCCTCAAGATCGCGCAAGAGCCGCTTATTCTCCTCCAGCGTCTTTTCGTTCTCGACTTCTAACTGGGCGTTCTGGCTCTCCAACTCCTCCAGGACCATCGCGGTGGACGCTTGGCGGGATTCTGCTTCCGCCATCGAGCTTTCGTGTCGTTTGAGAAGTGCCTACGATGCACCGGATCCGGCCAGTTTCATGTCAGCTACCTCTCTCCTCTTTTCTTGTGTGTGTGTGGGTGGGCGTGTGTGTGTATGCGTGCGTGTCGTGCATCATACTGCATGGCAATAAATGCAGTAACCCAACAAGCAACTCAAAGTACCTGACGCCAACCACGACAAAAACAAACACGACGACAAGGACGACCGTCGACGTAACTATCGCCAACACAAACATCTCGCGTCGGGGAACACAAGCTCCAGCTCCAGGAGAAGGGGGTGAAACGAAACGTCGAGAAAGGAAGGGTGCGCACACGCGAGAAGAACACGACGAGAAGGAGAAGAAGAAGTATCGCATCTCCCTCCCCCCAGAACTGACGGTGGCCGGACTGACCTTTCCAAGCGTACCCGCAATCTTCATCTGGCCCTCGAGTTCCTGCAGCATCGCCTGGTTCCTGTGAAGTGACTCGCACTGGTCACTCCCGCAACAACACGCCACTCCTCCCAGCGAATGCACGCTCATGGGCCGCTGCGTGTGTCGTGAAAGGTTCCGCGTCAAGGACTCGAGCGAGGCATCTTCGTCGTCGGAATCGTGGTCCGTGGATACGGATGCGGACATGGCTGTGTTGTGTTGACTTCGCTTGTTGCTCGACCAGATCGCTGCTGCAGCGCCGTGGTAATTGTCGTCGTTGTTGTTGTTGTCGTGAGATCTTGGTGTTTTGTGTCGGATGAGAGGAGGAGGGGTGGCTGGCTGGCTGGAGGTTCTTCTCTCTCTTTCTATGCTGGGCGAGTTCGAGATCGGTGTTCTATGTATCAGTCAGTCAGTCAGTCCCTCGGTCGCTGTCCCGGACACTCTTGAGCGATCTCCCACCACCCTGCCAACTGCCCCCAGCCATCTACGTCCCGCCAGGGATTAAGGTACCTGGCTAAGGAACTTGACAACGGTGCACCGCCAAACCAATTGGAGCGGTAGATATGCGATGGTCTAGCGCGAGTTGCAGGAGCCGCTGCAGGCCGAACCCGTTCTTTGGTTCTTTCTCCAGAGAGATCCATATCGCTGCCTCAGGCCTGCCATGCCGGTTATGTATAACCACGAATCAATCAACGCAGTACAGGTGTACTCAAACAAGAGGCTCGCCACGAATATCCAGAGACACAGTCTTTGGTCGCTTGATTACGACGCTCCAAGACCGAGCGAGAAATCGAAGCAAAATAGCCTTCGGATTCCGCACTGTCGTCAGGATACCGTATAGAGTGTCCAGGTAGGCGATAGAGCCGCATATCTAGAGTACTTTGTAGCTGAAATAACCCCCCCAAAATCCTGCCTTATCTAACCATAAACCCGCCCCCGCCTCGTCTCGTCTCGCCCGGATGAAGGATGGAAGCTATCTTTGAGGGAAATATGCAGGCTGATTTTCTGCTGAATTTTTTCTTCTTTTTTCCGCAAGCCAATCCGATTGTTTTCTTTTCGAGATACCATTTTCAGCTGTTGGGTCGAAGTTTGCAGTTGCAGTTGCAAAATTTTCCCCCACCACGACGCCGCTCCTGCCGGCGGATTCATCCGTTTCCGTTCGTTGGGGGTTATGGAATCCGTGATTGGACTGTGGGGAAGCGTTTCTTGATATCTCCTATCATAAATGAGTGGAAGTGGAGTATATCATAGAGTACTTTGAATTACAAGAGTTGCTGCGGCTTCCCAGCCGGCAACGATGTACAACTCATGTACTATACTCTGGTTACTGTATTTATCGGCAGCCTCCCACAAAATCCAGCGATAAAGGGAGACTTTTTGAATTCCTGCATAAACATGCAACGCGTGGACGCTGACACGCCACACGAGGGGACGTGGGGACTGGGGGGACTCGGGGGAGGGGGAAAGTAAAATAAATGTAAATGAAAAGGAAAATCGGGAACAAAAGTCCGAGCATCGAGACGAATACATACCCGGTCGGCAGCGGCATTTGCTGGCAGAAATGCGGAGGAGGGGAGGAGGAGGAGGGTCCGTGGGTGCATAACGCATACATACACGCCGGCGGCGATGCGTGGCCGACCGACGAAAGCAAAGCACAGGTTAACCAGAGTTGTCGGGCTGTTTTGCCCCACAGCTGACGGGGGGTGGGTATCCCAGTGACCCGTGTAAGAGCACCAAAGCCTCTGCCCCCAAATTCTCCTGCTGATCCCTCAGCTCGGCCATGATCTGTGCTTCAATGTCAAAAACAAGGAAATTCGGAAACTCTGTCGCCAGCTCCCCCCGAAGCCCGAACAATTTCATTCATGTGATTGACCATCGTGAGAAAGTTGGGTGACTGATTTAGATGGTTATTTGTGGTGTTGAAATCATCCCAGAGTGATGTGTAGTCAGACGTGATAGTTGATGACCACCGACAATGGTGGGAGCACCGCCACTATGCATCACCGGACCTCGTCCATCGCCTTGTCCCGTGGAGAAATTCACAACAAAAAACAACCATAATGTAGATATATGCCACACTCATAGAAAGCGATACCAAACCACAGAGGGCGAAGCTGGCGGAGTTATGGGTTGTGGTCATGCGTATGATTATGAGTATTGTCGTCGTGAGAATGGACTTCGTTTGGGAAAGTGCCATTTAACGCCCGATCGGGCGCTGCATAATATGATTGCCTTGAAAACGGATCAGGGGACGAGAACGACTGTCCCCATCGGGTAATGTTGTACTGCCAGCGCCAGTTCGGTCTGGAACAAATACCCGCGCACTTCCGAGAACTGGTAACGCCAATGTAAAAGACGTCCTACAGTTTTGCTTCTAATGGAAGTCTGTTGGCAGTGTCATGGTGCATGGTGGAGGGGACCATATACGCTCCTCTCCCTACCTTCGCATCTCGTGTGGCTTCCTGCGTCTGTCGGTAAATGTTGATGAATTGGTGCGTAAGTGATCCATTCTTCACAAGAGACGGAGGAGTATCGCGCCAAGGAACAACGGAAAGCCGGCCTTGTTCGACGTCACGCCAAGGCATAACGGAAAGCCGGCCTTGTTCGATGTCACGCCTTAATTAATCCATCGACCGTCCAGTGCTTCGAGAAACTAAAGCATAAGCCATGGATAATGAATTGGTTGAACAGGACAAACTTCCATAGATAATACACGTGTAGGATTGTAGGCTATGCCAGCCACCACTGATCAATCTCTTTAAGAATATTCGGGGAATCCAAGTCCTGTTTTACTACATACCGTACATGAAGAAGAATGAGTGATGACCTATGATCACCTTCTGTACCGGTCACGGTCATCGCGATCACGATGCCTTCTTGGACTGCGACTTCGGTTGTGACGGAGCCTATCACTTTCCCTCCTTCGATCTCTGCTACGGCTACGACTCCGGTACCTTTTCGTGTCTTTGCTTCTTCCGTCATCGTGTCCGCGAGATGAACGGTGACGGTCCTGTTCTCTGCGGCGCGGAGGCTCTTCCTTTCTTTTGACATCAGGAGCATCAAAAACGAGATCGTGCTGCCCATCATTACGCGGTGCTCTTGTGTCTTCCCGGTATTGCCCCCGTCGCTGCAGCTGCGATGATCCGCCAAACCCATGCGAATTGGCCTGTTTCTGGCGTTTTTCGTTGGTGTTTGTCCGCCAGCTAGTGGACAATTTCGACACCTGTCTTTGATGTAAGTAAACGTAGAGTCGGTCGGGGCTCGGGAGAGCTTACACTCTGGGAAAAGTCCACGTGAATCCTGTGGTCGTCAATCAAAACACCTTGCATCTTAAAGTAGGCCTGTTCGCAGGCTTTCTGATCGTCAAACTCAATAAATGCATACTGCAGACTATCACCAGTCCTCTTGTCCCGAATGACCTCACACGAGAGAATCTTGCCAAAGCGGCTGAAGATGAGATTCAAGTCTTCGTCTGAAATGGGTTCACGTCAGTCAATGGGGTCGGATAACGGAACAAGCCCCCTCCCCCCGACAACACGTACCTTGTGTGACTGGATTGAGCTTGCATACAAACAGAATGTTTTCTGGTGGTTTGACGTCGGCAAATGGTAGATCTCCGACCATCTCTAGCGTAAGAGCTTGTGCCTTAGCCTCCCGATCTCGCCTCCGTTTTTCAGCCACTTCAGGATCTTCGTTAACATCGAGCTCTTCATCCTCCGCGATTCGGACGGTTGCCAACTGGGCAGCTGATGGGACGGGACTCTCTGGCGGTTCAACCAAACCCTTGGGATCGGGGAACGGATCCTCCAGGATTATCGCATGCCGTATTCTGATGTCTTTCAGCGGCCTTCCCTTGCCGTCACAGAAAGCGTTGTTGATCTTCTCCAACACATCGAATCCCTCCACGACTTTGCCGAAGACCGATGACTTGCCGTCAAGATAGTCTAGATTGTCCCCTAGGGTGATGATGAACTGACTCCCGCTAACCCTCTCATCGGGGTTACTTGCAGCTGGAGCGGTAGCCATGCTGACGGTTCCGCGCTCCGAATGTTTCAATTTCGAGTGAAATTCCGCCGGAAAGAAGCGGCGCGACGGGCCGTCGATAAGGCCCCATATAGACGAACCACCATCTGAGTCTGGCGAGTCTGGTCCGATTGGGTCGCCGGTCTGGAACGAAAAGTCTCTCTGGACACCGTATATTGGAGAGAAATTGTAATATTTCACTTTGCATCTGACAGCGGTTCCGAACGTGGTGTTAGTTGGTTGGTGATTGTAGGTTCCCGAAGCGGGAGATTTCAGAAGGCTAGGGTCGCCGTACGGAAAGGAATGAACGCCGAATGAGCGCGATATTGGGATTTTTTTTATCTTTTTTTTATATATTTTTTTTTGGGAGGGGGGGGGTGGGATTTGCGTACAGCTTCAGAAAATTCTCGCAGGTGCGCGGAGCGTAGTCGACGAGCAGGTCAATGACGATATCGCCCGCCTCGCCCAGCTCCAATAGAACGGACATTGGTGGGACTCTAAGAGAAGCTGTTGCGTGGATCGAGGGCGAAAAGAGCAGGATTCCTAGGGCGGACGAGCAAATTGGTGGGTTACCGGTTCTGAAGCCGAGTGGTAGTTCGCAAGTCGATTTCACGGAGTCGACAGAGAGGCGCAAGTGTCTAGCAGAGGGAGGAAGGGAGGTAGGGTGGTGTTTGGTCGGGGTGGTTCGAGGAGGAGCGGTGGCACTACGTCGTCGCGTGTGGTTGCTGCTGCGCGTTGCTGGAGCCTTGAAGGTGAGGTCACAGCTTCAATGGAGATGATTGGTGTGGTTTTCAGCTGCTCCTTTCCCAAGGCTTGGCACGCCTCATCAGGTTAGGTAAGTAAGGAGCTATGGTCTCGTTAAGATACGCATTAGCCGCGAGTATCTACACTTTGTTCTCCATGTAACGGCGCTACAGCTCGGCAGCTCATCGATGTCGCTCGCAAGCTGGATACTTACGACAGCTTGAGTGGGTGCATAGAGAAGCTTTATTTCTGCTCGCCCATTCAGCTCAACAAGTCAACTCTAACTAGAGTACAGCCTAGCACTCTGCGTGGTACACGGACACAGACACAGACACAGACAGACACAGACACAGACACATACATGGACTCAGGGAACTCGGATGGGACGACAACTGCCGGGCAGACAACTTCTGATTTGATAATGCTTACGATACCGGACTTGAGGAGTACCTATGTGAGGAGGGAGGGAGGGTGGTAACCACGTCCGGTTGCACGCTGGATCTTCCCTTGCGGGTACACGACGTTGGGAGGGCAACGTCGAAGAACGGCTCTTGTGCATCAGGTACCCCGAGTCCCCTCCATCCGACAGAGGCCGTGGCGTGCATCGATTCCTTGTGCCGGCCGCGCAGGGAATACTCCGCTCCTAAGTCCTGGCGGAAAGAACCACCATCGTTAACTCGCCGCCCAAAGCTACTCACGGTTACTGGACAGCACTCTAGCCATTCCATCTACCGTCCCCCGAGATGTCCTGGCGGCATGGCAGTTAATGGGTTATACACATCGCGCGGCTATCTATAGCCAGATCTACGCTCCCCTCCAAGAACGGCGTGCCAAGAGGTTGGGAATTCGAGGCCCGGCTCAAAGTTCCAATTCGTGAATGGCAGTTATCTGGGCACACATACAAATGGCCTGGTTGTTGCGCGAAAGCTGTGCCATGCGGGGCCACAGGACGTTATGTGTTGTTCTTGGCGCCCTTTCTTCTACCTGCAACTTCCCGAGACAGTCCGGTGCAACTCCATCGATATATCAGTCTGCGCGCAGATTCTCCTCGGTTTCACCGCACTCCGTTTCTGCACGACATGCATCTCGAGATGACCAGTCATCCAGTCATCCAGTCGGCCAGTCGGCCAGCCAGCCAGTTGGCCAGCCATTTGGCCAGCCCAGAAGGCCATTGCGAGAGGGGCAGCTGCTCTGCGGTTGGTTCAATGCCCATCACTCGCCGAATCTGTGCAGCTCACTCGGGAGCGGCTATTCCCGCGTCCTCGGAAGAGAAGGCGCATTGTGAGCGGATTGTGCACGTATTCTCTGCGCAAGTCGGCATGCTCCATGCTCCATGCTCCATGCTCTACGCAACCTGTCACGCTCGCGATCGCCCCCAATGCAAGTGGCACAGGCTGTGGGAATTCTCTCCTGACAGTGCACAGATTCGGGCAGATCTGGAAAGAACAGCTCACCATTATGAGCAATGTTCGAATCTTGTCCTGCACTCATGATCATGCAAAACGCAACTGAAGGTGCGGGCGTGCGTACGTACGTATCGGTGTCTATCTACCTGCCTGTACCTGTGCGTACGTATCGGTGTCTATCTGTCTGTACCTCGACTTGCGGGTCGATTCAAGAAAGGATCCAAGTACCCACCTACCGCTTGTCACTGATGCCGTGCCCAGCAATCTCTGTACCCCCGGGGGTAGCTTTATTTCAATTTTTTATCTTTCTTTCTCGGTGACACGTTTGCCCCCCCCCCCCGGTTTGGACCGCTCACTTCACCTTCCGGACCCGCCCAGCTCAAGGCGTGTGGTACATACTTCAACCGTACATGCACACGCATCTAGATTCCTTCAAACAACAAGTATTTATGGACAAGAGGGACCTAGGAAGTGTTTCAGGACTCGGAACTCGATTGCTACACAACCTATGTAACCATGGAGTACCGATAGCTTTGCGTACGGACCCAATTGCAATCGGCAGGTACTCTGAGCTGGCCACGTAGAGGACATCCTGCTCTTGGCCCGTCTTTGTAGGTCAGTACTTATGCATGTATGTATGTACAGATTGCCTGCGTACATCTCTTGGGGACAACTAGAACTGGCTGATATTGGAGTTGCCTCTCACAGGAACAACCATCAGGGCCAAACTGTATTTTCTCTCGGGAGTTATGGAGATTGGATCGGAATCGGCTTCAGCTGCTGTGGGGGAAGAGCAGATCCCGCCCCCCGCCCCCAATGCTTTGTATCACCGCACTCCAGGCCGCGCTATGTGGGAGTGGCTGGACGGTTCGTGGGGCGGCAGCGGAGAAAACCCCCTGGGCTGATATGTACACGCAACGGACCTATCTGCCTTCCCCACAAGAGCCGGCGAATTCAGGCTCGTAAAGCAGCAGCGGCGGGTACCTACGATGATTGAAGGAACGATACCTTGCATTGCAGACCCGTGGGGACCACCGTCTACCCGCAGTCTGAGATCCACACGCGGGACCTGTGGTCAACCTTTGTTGTGGCATCGGTTCTGCCAGATAGCCTGCCTCCAAGCCAGGTTTCGATGATCTGGTTGGGATCATCGGCGAAGCGAGACATATGTCGGAGAATTGCCAATTGAGCACGCGAGAAATCCATGCGTATCTGACGGAGGATGCATAACTGGTGTGTCTCGTCCGTGAAGTAGGTGGCGGTTCACCAGACGGGGGTACCTGCCGAAGGTATTACGGCCACCCGGCCCAGTCGTGTTGCATACTGCGGTGCCTCCGTCCGTCCTTCTGTCCAGCCAGCCCTTCCGGCCATGAGCGGCCTTGCTGGATGGTGTTTTCGCAGAAAACACATGGATCCGCACATTGACCACCTCACACCCTCCTCCCAGTCTTGCCCTCCCCCCCCTCCAAGAACCGGGTCTGCCCACTAACGGTTGCCTATGTAGCATCTAACGTAGCGGCACTGCAGTTCGAATCGGCTCGAACGGCTCGTAATGGTTTTCGGTCAACAGTGCAGCCCATCGCCAACAGTCATGGTCAAGCAGAGGGAGAACTGTGCTTCCTGCCATAGCCACTGCAATGTACATACATGATGCCCGCCACGTTGCGGGATATCATGGTGTGCGGATAGGGCTGTCGGTAACTCTACACCACATCCCATCTGGAGAGCGGCGGCCAAAACCTCAAGAATTCTGCTAGATGCCGTACGATTCTGCTTGGTCCCTCCAGGTTTGCTCCCTACCTCCTTCCCCCTCCCATCCCCTCCCCCCCAACTTGATTTCGAGCCAGGGTTACTTCCGTTGTTTGTTACACATACGCATGGCTCTCCTACAGCCACTAGCATCGGGTGACCCACCATGCTTTGTGCAAACGGCGTCGATGGTGGCGCGCGCATCTCCCCGTTCTCGGCCGCGATCTAAGGCTTCAGACATCAAATTGCTTGACAGCAATACTGTCGTCGTTGCCTTCGTGGACCAGTAACTTCCCACGAAGCTAATCGTCAGATGTGAGCAGCACAGCCTTGCTGCGGAATTTGTGGCGAATGCCACCGCCGGATGAGGCAGTTTATTTTTTGCACTTCAAATCAACCTTGATACAAAGTGCATCCGAGCAACGAGGGGAATCGGTGGCTTCGAATCTGGTCACAAACTTCAACGCCCTTCAAACGCCAGCGTTGCCACGATCCGATATGCGTTCCTGCTTTACACGTTGCGGCCCTGCAGTAAGGCATTGTCCGTCATCTGAATGGTGGGGATCTTTGATTTGGCCCATATATCTTCCTGGTGGCCCTGCACAGCCTTGAGAGAGGGACAGGTGAAGTCTCTCGCTTGACTTCTTGCTTGCTTGCTCGGCTGACCACGGTGAATGGGAGATTGTAGCCCAGCAAAATCGCATGGGCGGCATTATGCCGACAAGATTTAGGTTCCCCAGAAGGACAAAGGGAAGCCCAGCATTCGCTCCAGAAAAATGTACACAAAAGACGATAGGAAACAAGCACTGCCGATTACAACCACCAGTGGAGCCCTCCCCCCCCCCCTCCTATCTCTCTTCCCTCCCCGCCTCATTCCTGCCTGCGGATACACGGGACCTGTCCAGCGCACTACCAACGGGTGAATATGAGAAGAATTGCCCATGATATCCACGCACGCTTTCTGCCCTGTGCTTTTCCTGCGCTGGAAGGTGAGAAGCCAAAATCAAATGCACATTAGAAGAAACCATGAGCCAGCCGTCTGTTTCACTTCTGGGATCCATCTGATGGCCGATAGATCTCTACCTGTCATCCGAGATCCCTATGATGGGGAGGGATTGGGGGATTGGTGGAGGGGGGGTGGGAGTGCAATGACCTATGCCCTTCCTCAATGTATCGACATGCAAACACTTCATAATGCGCCCTCTCGCCACATCTTCGTAACTTTTCCATTAGAACCCTTCCCAGATATCCCTCTGATTTACCGCCGCATCTACCACTTGTTGCCCCCCCCCCCCCCCACACCCCCCACCTCCCGACCACATCACCAACTACCAACAACCGACCACTGATACCACTATTACTGCTGCTACTACTACTCCCACCACCACCACCCCTACTGCTACTACTACTGCCACTACTATTACTACTATTACTACCACCACTGCTTCTACATCTCATCCCCCACCCCCACTAGTATCGCTTCGTAGCGTACTGGGTCTCACCTACGAACACCAACGTCATCCATCCCCACATCCCCCCATATACGACAGCCGCCGGACTTGGACGGAGAGGCTATAACACTGTTTGTACTGAAAGTACGCAGGGTTGGTCGTAGTTGTGTCTCCAAAAAAACCGCAGTGGTAACGCAGCTTCTGGCCTCCATTTTCGTCTTTGCCTCTGTGTGGCCTGAAGCGATTGCATCGGCGTCCTTCGCCGTCCTTATTCCAGTGGAGCAGGCTTTCGATACATACTTTAGCCTACCTGCCAGCCGGTGTCTCTTCTTTCCAACATTGTCATCACTACTTCCACTCGCTCACACCTCGCCCTTCCACCCCAAGGGAGGTTTGTCATATTTCATCTGCCCTCCCGTCTCCAACCTCTCCGCTGGCTTTCCGAGGCCCATTCTGTCGCATTGCCTCTCCAGTCCCCCGCCCTTCCTGTACTTTCTCGAACTCGGTAACAGAACGTATTTCGACCTTGCTGCCATCGAACGAGCGACGCAGTATGACTCGCAACAATAACATCTTAATCCAATTCAACTCTGGCTATGACCCGGATGCCGGTGACTATCGCCATCCGCCACGGCCACCCATGCACGACAGAGGGAGCTTTAACATGTCCTCACGAGCCAACCCACGCACCGATCCCATGGCCCGTTCGCAAGGACAGATTCGCAATGGCGCCATCTCCCATCCTACCACTGTTCAGAGTAACGGCAATGGGTCCGCCGCACCACGCAGACGGATCCCCGTCGCTGTTTGTCCCACTTTTTCCTATGCTACCTACCTAGTTCATTCCCTCGCTGAAGTTTGTAACATAACTGACTGGGACAATGTCATGAATAGTGCGGGAGGTGCCGTAAGAGAAAGATACGCTGCAGCGGAGACCCTGGTGATAACACTGGCTGTGGCCACTGCAGGGGCGCCCAAGCAGCGCACGAGTGTAAGTTTGAGAGGGTACGTACAAACTTCACTGCCGGCGCTCGAATACCTGGCACAAATGAAACTCATACCATTACCATCACTAGGTATCGTCGTCAACCATCGACCTCCGAACATATTCAGGTGCAACCTCTCCGCCTTCCAATGGAACTGGACAGGCCCACTCCGGCGGCTCTGGACATGGGCCCGGATCCGGATCCACATCCCTTGGATTACATGCAGCAGGGAGTTATTCGGCTCCATGTTTGCATTCATCTGGATATCCGTCCTCCATGGGAATGGGGCATAGCATGGGCTTCAGTAGTAGCCGTGGCACATTGATGAGTTCGAAGCTTTACCATCAAGATGGCCTCATTGCCGATCCCACGACTTCGTCCATGAATCTGGTTGCATCCCGTTTCTACGAAGGGCTTGGGAATGAGATATCGGCTCCCACGGACAGCAATTACTCCCAATACATGCTCAACTCAGAGACAGGACATAGCTTGAGCACCGATAATGCGAACGCAGTTCTTTCGAGCCAGCACTCCGATTACCCAAGGCACTGGTCTTCGGTGCAGCCAACCAACAAGTCCTCCAGCTCCACGTATTACTCAAACTTGGAACCGGAAACCACTGCATCGAGTGTCACAATGGGCAGCATCATGTCCGGCTTCATGCCGTGCCCAGCTGGACCTAGGAATGCCAGCAGCACCAGCTTGGATAGCTATCCCACCATGTTCCCAGCTCTCGGCTCGCTATCTTCGTCTCTACCAGAGAGCGGATCCAGGTCGACGCTCTTGGACAAGGTTCTGCCTCCGCTGGGGCCAGCTCGCATGCCAACCACGGACTTTGGCGGCATCAAGCTCTACAGCTCCTACACGGATTCCTCTGGTCCATCGAGTGCATCACATTCTCGCTCGTCGACCTCGACCCGCAGATCCCCGGCTGCGAGCTATATCCCTGCGTCGCCATCTCTGCAACAGGTTGTGCCCAGCTCCTCCGAGCGATCCACGCCGACACTTCTCTCAACTTCCGAACGATCCACACCGACGCTGCTTTCATCCTCCGCATCCAGCAACTCCATGAGCAACTACGTAACATCTTCTGTCTCGAACATGAACACCATTGGACTGTATCCCTCCAACCAGCAGTCGCTCCACAGCTCCTCGATCGAGCACCTATCGGGTGCCGCGGCCTCGATGCTCAAGCAGGAGCGGCAGAAGCAGCAGCAGCAGCGCACCGAGGTAGACCTGGTTCCGCGCGTAAGTGCAATAACAGCGCCACCGCTTCACACCAGCTCGGGAACACCCAGCAGCAGTAGCAGCCCATCGAACTACCAGCAGAGCGGAGAGCAGCAGCACATCCGGTATCGTGGCTTGAACAGAATCTACTAGCCGGCCGGCCAACCAGAAACCTAGGATATGTCCTATTCCTGGCTCATGCTTTTTTTCTTTTCTTTTACTACTTGACACGCAGAAAAGCTTTGATCACGGTTGCAGCTTCTTATTACTTCCCGACTTCTTTCCTTTCTTTGCATTAGGCTAATAGGTTCTCTCTCTATCTCTCTTATCCATGCTTTACTCGCAGTCTTCCTTTCCTCACCGGCGGCGGATCTTGAACTTTTGTTTGTTTGTAGTTTATGCCTTTTTTTCTTCTTCTTCTTTCGTTTCCCTGTGATATTATAATAGCTTTTACGGTCTCATTTTCCGGGTTGCTTACGGGGGAGGCGGCGGGGAGGTTCGTTTTCTCATTCTCATTCTCTTTCTCTTTTCGGTGGATCACTTTTACTCTATCTTGTATTGCGTGAGAACTGGCGGCACTCTGTGGTTTTTTGTTTGTTCTGTACGGTTCTGCTCGGTTCGGTTCATTGTTACTGCTCGTTTTCATCTCTACTTTTCTACTTGTCTACTTTTCTCCATCATAGGTATCCACTGGATAAGGAAATGCGGGTAGGGTACGACGGGAACGTACAAGGCGGATGGTGGGTGATGGTGGGTAAGGTGGGAAACGTTGAGACGGTATGGTCCTAGACCTAGGTACTTAGTCTTGAGCGAGAGGCGGGAGGCGGGAGCGGGAGGGCGAGATGGCATGCGGGGGTGGCAATGTGCAACGGTCAGCCGGCGGCGGGAGGGCGTGGAGTAAGGATGGGAAGGGCACGGAGGATGGACACGAGTCTGAAGGTGAAGCAGCAGGAGATGAAGAACGAAAACTTACTGGACGGATGGGCAGGTTCAAGTGCTGGAAAATTTGATTTGATTTGATTCAGATTTTACTTTACCATGCGTTTTTACTGCTGTAGCTTTTTTTTATTTCTTTCAGTTGGACTGAATCGTCTGTCGTCTGTCATTCTGCGTCTCGATTACTGTTGTTCTTGGAAGGATTGTAAAGTACCTTAGCTAGCTGGAGGGGGGTTAAGACGGAGCTGGGAAGGGTGAATTCACGATACGATGACATCTGATAACTACCGTATGTCCTTGCATTGTGCTGAGCGGTGATAAGCTGTGTGTACCTATGCCTCATGGGATCCGATGAAGAACACTCTGGGACCAAGGGCTCGGGTCGAGCTGCATTGTCTGTGAGCATATGCGATACCGCAATAGTGATTCCATGGGCAGAAGCACCCAGCTCCCATACGAATTTGAAGCATGGCAAGCGCGTACCATCTAAGAGTGGTGATGGTCAAAAGAAACATACTTCGGGTTTTGTGGAATGAGTGATACCTATAATTGAGCACCTATAAATTCCTTTGAACGAAGCCTTTCTTTCGACTCCGCCAGCCAGAAAACAGAAAACAACAAAGCGAATACCTACTATAAACCACGGTGACACCCGTGCCCCTCTACCTAGTACCTAATATCTACCTCCTACCAACGGCCACGCAAGTGGATGTCCGACATTCCTGTATATTCCATCCTGGTAGCTCAACTCAACTTAATCGTGAAGATGGGCTAGAGCCGGGAAGGGGCAGCATCTAGCTGGCTACATGGCTGGCTGGCTGGCTAGATGGCGAGCAGAACTCTTGGGAGCCTGCTTTGCCATGTGGAGAGCGGGATACTGGAGTAGAGGCCTAGTCCGCTGGATTTTGCCAGTTGGGGGGGGGGTCCGTGACCGTCGATGATGGAGAAGGACGTTACGGTCACAATGGGTGTCTCATGGGTCATGGCAGTGACTCGCCGCAGCAGCACGGGTAACCAAGTACCATAGTTAGCGGGTGGATCGTGGGGGTATCAGAGGTATCGCGGGAGCAATCATGGAGAGACGTTGTCCAACCCCCCCTCCCTTCATGCTGTAACATCTCCGGAGGCAGAGCAGATCTCGCTCGTCGCCCGAGACAAAAACACAAAACATGCACGAACGGCCGGGAAAAAAATTCTTCCATTCCGCGACGATCCGCCCAGCCCAGCCCAGCTCGACACGAGCTTTGTTCTGCTTTGCTTTTGCATCCATCCATCTCATTCGATGATGAAAATTCTCCCCCCCGTTTCGACGAGACGAGGAGAATATGATATTTCGCTCCGACGATGCTCCCACAAATCTACACTTTCCGTGCCCTGGTACGTACATATCATACCATACATAGTCCTGGGTATCGACCGTGGCCCACCGCCGCCGCCGCTTCTGTCCCATATCCGAGCCTAGGTTCATACCTACATTGCTATTCGCAACCATCACTGATTCACCCCCCAGTGAACCACTTCATTTCCGCGGATAGAACTCCTCGTTCCGTCCACTTCCAAACTACGACGACATGCTGGCTCCGCCGTTAACGGCAACACCAGGCGATCACAAATAGAGTGTTGATGCTACAGCACACCTGCATCTTCCAGAAGCATCGTCCCCACCGCGCAGTGCAGCGCGGGAAGGGGAAGGGGAGGGGGTGGTGGGGGTGGCTTGTAGTAGTAAGTAACTAGCAGTAGCGGTGCGCGGGAACGGGAACGTGCTGTGGCCACTATGTGGTCTGGTCTCTGCAGAGCCCGCTCCTTTGTTGGTTTCTGCACGCCTGCGATTTCGATACAGACTGGATGGATGGATGGATATATGGATGGGAGGAAGGCTCGAACTTCCTTCTGGATACTTCCGGTATACACCTGGACGAGCCGGTCGTGGAAGGGCCGGGAAACCCCTCCCCCCGCTCTCCCTCTATCACATCTGCCCCATCGGCAACTGGCTTCCATCCAATGATCGATCGACCGATGAGGGGCAGCACCCATCGTCGTGTGAGTCTGTGCGCTCCGATTCCTGGCTGTGGTAGGGCTGACCAAAGCTCCGCATCGCTGTGGTATGCGGCCGGCGAAGCTCTACATGTGCGCGTGCAGGTGGCGGGGGGTTGGGGCTGGGGCCTCTCCGCTGGCTCACATGATGGGACAGGTAACTACCCCGCACATCCATCCATCCAGACAGACAGGTGTTCTGCCCCATACGATGGCGGCTGTCTCGTCCAAGACGGGTCGGTACCGCGGAGGGGCTGATCGTGGAGATGGGTGCTGAAACGGCGGAGGCAGAAGCTGTGAACAACCGCTTTGCTGCAGTGCAGCTGTGGGCGGGAAAAAGGGAAGGGGATGCCTTTTTTGACATTGCCGTAGTTAGTCGTGATCGCGGCAGACAGCAGGAATGTGCTTTCTGCTCTTTCGTGCTGGTTGGAGATCCTGGGAGAGAAGGCACCTCCGCCCTCAAAGCGGGCCACATCGAACATGCATATATCATAATTACATACTTGTCGTCCGGTAGGATATGCACCACCGCAATTATCATTAAACTGTGAGCATGGTACCGCAACGGATGCCCCAGCAGGAAAAATGGTATAGAATTTAGGAAGGACCATTCGCGGAATGATGCCGCTCTAAGCACCAGCCACATCACTCGTGATGAAGTGGCTTGAACCCGATACGCCGAGTGATCGCTTGTATAGGTAGCACGAGTATTGTACATCGCGCAGCAACGGGCCGACGGCGATAGAGCTTTCTCTCCACCCCCGCAGAGCTGACAGGAAGGCCGGGTAGGAGGTCGCCATAGTCCGGACAGGCCGTATGCGATAATAAATTGATGCTCTCTCTCTGGGACAAAGTACTACCTAGTACAAAACGGTTCGAGGAGATAAAAAAAACTATAAACTCTCGATGTCTCGTCTTGGTTCCAGCCTTGGGATCTTTCCATTGATAGCTCCGTCTTCAGTATGTACCGAGGAAGTGTAGAACAGTGCTGTTTGCGTAATTTTGTGTATCGGCTCACAAGTTTGTACGTTGACATGTACCTAGGCCGAAGCAATGCCGCGGCATCTCCGTCGGAGGTAGAGAGCGCACTTCGCGGCAGCACTCCACGGAGTTTCTGACTCTGAATAGGAGCAACCAGAACCCATTATGTCTCGAACCGATCCGAGGTTTAAGTATCAACCGCCACTTGTCGGGAATCCTCGATCGCAACTCCTCACCCCGTTCGCTAGCGGTTCGAAACAAAGGAAGGGGTAGTTTGACATCCGAGGTGCGGGCGGGCCGAGTGCGCTTTGTCTCTATCTCCGAGTGCTTGAGAAACAAGACCGCTCGCTCCTGATTCACCTTGACACCGGAAGAACTGGCCGGTATTGCATATATTAAGACCCAGCACTTTGTAACCCATCACTGTATCGCACTCGAGCTCCATCTTCGTCGACAGGCCCGGAATACGGAGTCACGCGGTAGCCTCCGCAACGCGAACCACGGAGACTGGAAGAAAAGTCTCCGGCCATGTAGGAAGATACTATAAATTCCCCAAGAAAAATAGGCGGGGAATCGTTCGCGACTGCCTCATTCGGGATTGGCCCATTCGGGATTGGCCCATGCGGATGACGATTTGTTTCTCCCCAGAAGTCTGTTACCCATCGATTCGTCAATTATTGATTTGTGATACTCAGATAATATCCCTTTCGGCAAAGCGCTGTCTCTCCCATCGGCCGTGACATGCTGAACAGCCGCCCACCGAGCATTTCGTGATGCACACACCTCGGAGGTGGAACTCTGTGCTCGGAGTTGCAGGTTCTTTGTCGGAGGGCCCCCGGAGTGGTACATGCCGATGGTTGCTGGTAAATATACGTAGTACACCACGTATGCCCCTTGACCTGGTAGTTATGAAGAATCGTACGGTTCTCTTCCTTGCGTCGTGGCCCGAGTATTGGAGAAGGTGGCTTCTGTCGAGTCCCCGGCGGGCATTTGGGTAAGGTAGCTTGAGCAAATCAGCCAAATCTGAGACCGATATGAAGGACGTACCGGCTTAAGTGAAACAAAGCTATGGGCAGTTACGCCAGTACCGGCTTCACTCGGACACCCGAAATCGACGGGATAACTGTGATCTGCGACAACTCTCTCACAACTTGCTCACCTCAACCATGGAGTTGTAACTTGTTGGTGCTCCGTTGAAGACATTTCCTTCCTGTTGTACCGTATGCTGTGGCTGCTGAGCACTTTGGCGCCCTATCCACTAGCTATTAATTACTGTTCCTGGCAGCTGGATAAAGTCCCCGTCTGGACCGTCTTTGAGTACAGACAATCCTTGTGATGCTCTACTGTTGCAGAAGGTCATAACTATCTCATATCCAGGGTCGCACAGGCAGTCTTGCCGCCAAATAGAGAGAGCTCCCACCTCTCTTCTTCCTCAATTCCGCGCACGTCAAAGGTCTCCACAGTACACGCGGCGACTTCGTTTATCCTGTCGGCATTGCTTCGCTTTGTCCCGGTGCGCCCACACAACAGTGCCGTGCAGTTTGTCATCCCCACATCCCCCGTCCCCCCCTCCGCCACTTTGTATACATATCAGATCTGTTCTTAATATTCCTCGCCGAGGAAACTGCTTTGCTGACTCCATCCCTCATCATATCTGACAGCTCTGTCCGTTGTCGGTATTCTAATTCCGTCCTGGTGGCGCTGCAACAAATCGAAGGTACTCTACCTCTAGGCTGCTCCTGCACCTCCTCAGAAACCCCCCCCCACTGCCGACCGAGCATCCCAACTTCACCAGCTACCCACACCCACTACCACAACAAATAACGGCCTCGGAAAAGACAACACGACTCGGAAAAAAACTGACAGAAAATCATCCTAGCGGCCTCTACTCCGAAACATTCTCCATCGCATACCTAAGTGCTCTTCTACTACCGTCAAGCGAGATTACGGCGTGAAGGAATCCCGCGGCACGGGTAAACGCACACCAATAGGCCACCACCACCAGCACCACCACCACCACCACCACCACCACCACCACCACCACCACCACCACCGCAGCTCTGGATCCAGAACGAACTCATCTTCGCGAACCCCTTGGTGCTGCATCACAGCAGTATCCTTCCAACTCACGACACGAGACGACCTTTCAGCATCGGTAACGAAACGAACACTCGACGCATACGATCAGTGCGACAGCTGAACCAACACACTCCCGAACGCCGCGATGCCTCGGGACGACGCTAGAGATGGGGAGGATATTCCGCTCGTGAACGTGGAGCGCATGGCGCAGACGACGATAGCGGTGGAGGGAATGACCTGCGGGGCATGTACATCTGCAATAGAAGGTTCGTAGGTACACGGTGGGTGTTGTAGCGTCGTCGGCGGCGATGGCGGCCGGGAAAGCGGCAGAGCTGATACAGGCGCGCGCAGGCGGATTCAAGGGCGTGGAAGGCGTGGAATCGTTTACAGTCAGTCTCATGACCGAACGCGCGGTGTTGATTCACGATCTGTCGAAGCTGTCGGCCGAACAAGCGGCTGAGATGTACGATCCCCGACTTCGAATGGATGGTGCAACCAGGGCTGATGTGCATACCTACACAGAATCGAAGACCGCGGTTTCGGCGCGGAAATCATTTCGAGCGATGACCAGACTCCGGAGAAGGCGAGCGTAAATGCGCAAGGAGCCCGGCTGGCAACAACGGTTGTGTCGGTAGGAGGGATGACATGCGGGGCATGTACATCGGCGGTGGAGGGTGGTTTTAAGGATGTGGAGGGAATCGTCAGCTTTACCGTGAGCTTAATTACCGAGCGAGCTGTTGCAGTCCACGACCCGACACTTGTGACTGCCGAAAAGGTTGTCGAAATGTAAGTTCTGTCACGGAGGAAGCTCTGTGCGCTTTGGGCTAATTTTGTCATCGCAGCATCGAAGATTGCGGCTTCGATGCCTCACTAGTTTCTACAGACCTGGAGGACGACGGGGGAGCGAAGAAGGAGGATGTGGTTATCTTCAAAGTTTATGGACTCAGTACTGCGCAAGACTGCACATCCCTAGAAGACGCATTGCTAGGAGCCCAAGGTGTTCATGGCGTCGCTATCACTCTGGCCAATTCTCGCGCGAAGATCAACTATTCGCCAGCCCGGATCGGTGTGCGAGACCTCGTCGCGATTGTCGAGTCGTTAAATTTCAACGCCTTGCTTGCGGATGTCGAGGACAATAATGCTCAGCTAGAATCGCTAGCGAAAACAAAGGAGATCCAGTCGTGGCGGTTAGCTTTCAGATTCTCCCTGACGTTCGCTATTCCGGTTTTCCTCATGTCCATGATCATTCCGATGTGGTTTAAGGGACTAAATGCGGCATTCGCTGCAAAAGAACTACCATTACGTGGTCTCTTTGTCGGCGATGTTATATGTCTGCTCTTGACGATTCCCGTCCAGTTTGGGGTTGGAAAGAGGTTTTACAAGAGTGCATGGAAGAGTGTGAGACACGGCAGCGCAACTATGGATGTATTGGTGGTTCTGGGCACTTCAGCGGCGTTTTTCTTCTCGGTATTGGCCATGGCTATGTCTATTTTCTGCGAACCTCACAACCGGCCCAGCACGGTCTTCGACACTTCGACAATGTTGATCACCTTCATCAGTTTCGGACGGTACCTCGAGAACCGGGCAAAGGGACAGACATCGAAGGCTCTATCTCGTCTTATGTCACTCGCACCATCTATGGCCACCATTTACGCTGACCCCAGCAAGATCGGCCTCTTCGATGACGAGAACCATGTGGCTGAAGAGCAGGTCATTCCTACCGAGCTGATTCAGGTCAACGACGTGGTTATAGTACGCCCAGGAGACAAGATTCCAGCCGATGGTATGGTGATTGTTGGCGAATCCTTCGTCGATGAGTCCATGGTTACTGGCGAGGCGATGCCGATTTCGAAGATGAAAGGGGACATGCTGATCGGAGGTACCGTCAACGGCTCGGGCCGTGTTGACTTTCGGGTTACTCGTGCCGGCAAAGACACCCAGCTGAGTCAAATCGTCAAGCTCGTACAACAGGCGCAAACTTCCCGCGCTCCGATACAAAGGATGGCGGATATTGTCGCTGGTTATTTTGTCCCGGGTGTCTTGACTTTGGGAATCGCAACTTTCATCGGATGGATGATTCTCTCACACGTGCTATCGCACCCTCCAGCACTTTTTGCCAGCGCAGCTGCCGGCGGCCGTTTCATGGTCTGCCTCAAGCTGTGTATCTCCGTCATTGTCTTCGCCTGCCCTTGCGCGCTGGGTCTTTCTACTCCGACGGCCGTAATGGTCGGCACTGGCGTTGGAGCAGAGAACGGGATCTTGGTCAAGAGTGGTGCGGCTTTGGAGACTGCAACGAGGATCACCCACGTCGTTCTCGACAAGACCGGTACTCTAACTCAAGGCAAGATGAGTGTTGCAGTCAACAAGCGATCTGCCGTCTGGGAGCAGTCAGAATGGAGACAAAAACTATGGTGGTTACTCGTCGGTGCTACCGAGTCTGGAAGTGAACATCCCGTTGGCAAATCCATATCTGTGGCGGCAAAGGAAGCACTTGGGATTGGACGTGATGGAGGATTCGAAGCAACGGTCACCAATTTCAAGGCTGTCATTGGTAGGGGAGTGGAGGCAAATGTTCAGCCACATGCCACAGACAGCAAGGCGTACAAGGTTCTCGTCGGCAACGTAAAGTTCCTTGGAGAGTCCTCGGTATTGGTTCCACTGGAAGTACAGAAGGGCCACAGCAACGGAACACACGTATTTATCGCCATTGAAGATGAATATGCTGGATTTATTGCGCTCAGTGACGAGCTGAAGGCGGATGCTGGACATGCAGTTGAGGCCTTCAGGAGGCTGGGCATCAAAGTCTCGATGGTACGCTTTTCATCCCCTAATCAGCATAGCTAGCACATGCTAACAATACTCAATAGGTAACTGGAGACCAAGAAGCAACGGCCTTACAAGTCGCCAAAGAGGTCGGAATCGACGCCGACATGGTCTTTGCTGGCGTCTCTCCTGACGAAAAACAAGAAATCGTGCGGCGCATGAAAGCCGCCGGCGAGTGTGTCGCCATGGTCGGCGACGGGATCAACGATTCCCCCGCGCTCGCCACCGCAGACGTTGGCATCGCCATGGCCTCCGGCACCGACGTCGCCATGGAAGCCGCGGATATAGTCATCATGCGCCCGCAATCACTCCTCGACGTCCCCGCATCCCTCCACCTAGCGCGCACCATCTTCAGAAGAATCAAGCTCAACCTCTGGTGGGCGTGCATGTACAACGTCATCGGCATACCATTCGCGATGGGATTCTTCCTGCCGTTCGGACTCCACCTCCACCCCATGGCCGCCGGCGCTGCAATGGCCGCAAGTAGCGTTTCCGTCGTTTGCTCCAGTCTCCTCCTGAAATTCTGGCGCCGCCCGCGCTGGATGACCGAGGCGGGCATGCAGGCGGTGCACGACAACGATGGGAAGGTTATCTACCGCGATGCTACGTCGTGGTGGGCGTTCTGGCGGCGCGGAGGACGGCTGGCTAGGGGTGGAAACGGATACCAGCCGCTGAGGGACGTGGAAAGCGGGCAGTAGATGTTTTTTGTTGGAGTTAGGTTCTTTGATTTTGGCATGTTGTGGAATTTTACTCTCTTCTTGATTGTCGTATAGTACATATACCTTTTTTGTGCCTGGCTCCTCCTCATTTGATTGACGGCTGTCTTTTTTGCTTTGGCTGTTTTTGTTTCGTTTGTGTTTGGCTTGCGTCTTGCTGCACTGACTCTGGAAAATTTATCTGGATGATGATACTACATCTCCTTTGGTGTTACCCTTTCGCTGTATATTTACTTTATTTCCTTCCCCTTATTTCTTCCGATTCTTTTTTATACCGTGTCTAGGTGGTCTCTTGATGAAAGGAAAAAGCAATAATAGAATCGAATGGGCTTGACTGAATAACGACTACATCATCATTCGCAATCATCCTATATCCACATCCATCCACAGGACGTAGCCAACCAAAAAAAACGTTCGAAAGACCCAAACAATAGCGCTCAAACCTGCCTCATACGCCAAGTAATAACAAAAAGCTCCCGCGAGGAAGTACTAAAAGAGTATCGAGAAAAACTAGATAGGAAGTATTACGCATCAAAAGCAGCACTCAGAAGCAAGTCTCCATCAATCTCCAACTTCTTCCTCGACGTCCGGCGTTTAACCTTCTTTACGGCCGGAGCGGGCGACCCGGTTGCCAGATCTGGTCTGGATTTCTTTTATCACTATCAGTACGTATGCACGAGTGAGGGTAATGGGGTGAGCTTACGACTCGCTCGGATCTCCGACGCTTTCGAGATGTGGGGTCTGACAGTTCATGCTCCGACTGGGGTTCTGGTCCGTCCGCAACTGCGATCTCATTCTCGTCTTCTGGGTTTGGTTCCGGTTCGGCGACGGGAGGCTTTGATCGTCGGCGAGACTGGGGTTTGAGGGTGTCGGTGTTCGCCTCTGGAACGGGTACGGGCTGTTTCCGTCGTAGCTTTAGTTTCGCGGGAGATTCGGCGACCACTGGTGACTGGGTAACCGGTGGTCGTCGTAGCTTTAGTTTCGCGGGAGATTCCTTGGTTGCCGGTGACTGGGCAACACGTGGTCGTCGGATACGTAGCTTTAAAGAGCCGGTCATGGTCTCCGGCTCTGTCTCCTCTACTTGGGCGGCTTGCTGTTGACGTCGTGATTGTCGGAGCGGCGTGGCGGTGGTCTCTGGCATGGATGGACGGGGTTTTCGTGCGCGAGGTTTTGGTTTAACTTCACCACCAAGCTCGGGCAGTGCGACCTCGGGTTCCGGTTCCGGTTCTGGCGCGGACTGTAGTAGACGTCGTGACTGCCGGCGTGGCGAGGCGACGATAGAGGACTGCTTTGGCACGGACTGCCGAGCACGTCGCGATCGAGTGGTGGGCTTCTCAATGGGTTCGGGCTCCGGCTCGGGCAATTTCGGGAGCTCGGGCTCATCTTCCACCCCAGCTTGCGCCTCAGTCTCGGGCACAGCTTCCACCTCGGGTTCAGGCTGAGGCTGTGGTTGCCGTCGCGATCCCCGATGCGGTGATGCCACCGGAGCTGGATCCGGTGCCGGTTGCAGTTGTTGTAGCCGGGAATATGATTTAGATACGGGCTCATCGGCAGTAACCATTGGCTCGGGCTCGGGCAAATTGGGCTTGGGCAAATTAGGCAACTCGGGCTCAGGCAACTCGGGCTCAGGCTGCGGTTGCCGTCGTGATCCCCGACGAGGTGATGCCAAGGCAGTCGAGTCCAGTACTGGCTGCTGTCGTCGTGAGTGCGGTTTCAATTCAAGCACATTCTCCGCAACGGTGACCATAGGCTCAGGTTCGGGTATATGCTCTGGCTCCTCCACTGGTAGCGCTCCTCTTCGAGACCCTGGGTGCGGTGAGCGCCTCGTAGTCTTTCTACTGGAAGAGGGCATAGGTGTAGGTTGCTTCCTTCGCTGCGATTGTGGATGCGGAGATAGCGCGGGTGACTTCGTACGAACAATCATCACCTCCTCTTCGTAAATCACTCTGTCTTCCAATATTTCCTGTTCCTGTTCTGGCTCCAGCTCCAGCTCCTCCTCCTCGTGCTCCTCCTCATGCTCCTCCTCCTGCGCCTCCTCCTGCTCATGCTTGGTATCTGCCTGGCCTTGTGGCTCCTCGGGTTGAGGTTGGAAGAGAGGCCGAGGCTCAAATATCTCCGGCTTTCTTGCAACTTGAGGCTCAGGCTCAGACGCCAACTGCGGATCGGTGGCCCGTACTCGCTTGATTGACCTCGTAACCGCCTCCTGACTCTGCAACAAATGCACCTCGATCTCACTTTCGTTCCCCGCAGTCGACGCAATTGAGAGTCCGCGTAGTCTGCTCTTGCTCCTGCCCTTGCTCCTGTTTCTGGGCGCCGTCATAGGTGCGGTTGGGTCCGAAGTAGGCCCGCTGCCTTCCGCATCTTCGGGGTTTTGAACGGAATTTAACAACCCCTGATTCCATTCGTCCAGTAAATCAATAGCTTTCTTCCACTCTTCATAGAGCACTGTATTCCTCTGCGTGAGTAGGTTGATCTCCTCATTCTTCTCCGCCAATTCTTCGTTCTTCTCCGCCAGTTCCTCAACGGGCACGTAATCTGGCTGGTTCAACAACTCCTGTAGGGAACCGATGACCGTATCAAGCTCCATGCTGAGACTTTCAAGATTCGCCGGCGGTGCCACAACCGGGTTCAGCGCGCCCTCTGCCTCCTCCTCCGTCTGTGGATTATGATCATCGTCTGGGAGTCCCTGGACTGCCTTGAGCGTAGACAAACACTGTCGTACTAGCGCTAGAATATTGTCATTCTCGTCCGCCAACTGCTGCGAAAGCGTCGTCAAAAAGTCCGTAGTATCATCCGACAACGCTTTTGCCGCAGCGGCAGCAGCCGTGGAGGACTGCACACTCTCCCCCAGTGCATCATATTCGCGAACCGTTCCCCGCACCGGTTTATCCCCCGTCTTAATAACGATCGTTGAAGCTGCAGGCCGGGCGCCCCGCCGCGTATCGTTGAGTCGTTCCTTCATCTTGGTGATCTGCATATCGCGCTTGCGGACATCGTTCGCGGCCTGTGTGCGCACCTGCGCGAGAAGCGACTTGAGGCGGAGGGCTTCGTCGCGGAGGGATTTGGCCGAGGACTCGGTGGTGCGCAAGGTGGTCGTCATGGAGCGGGCTTGCGATTCGAGGTGGCCGTTTTTTCGCTCGAGTTCGGCGATCTTCTCTTTCATTGTTTCCTATCGGCGCAACCCCGTGTCAAAATTCGCACAGTACCACAGCGTGAGGGCGTGTAGTGGGTGGAAAGTACGATTGTGGATGTCTGCTTAGTCTCGGTATTCCGCAATACCCGTATCGTGTCTGCCAGATTCTCCCGCTGCTCGGCCTCCCTCTACAGCGCATTCAGTCAGCTAACAATCTCCCGAGCAGCCCTATCCCCCGCCGATTGGCAGCCTACATCTCTCCGCTGAACTAGCTCGTGCACAAGGTTGATGATCCGCGCGGGATTGTCAGGGTCTTTCGAGGGTTTCGCGAAATCGATCGGGTTGCCGCGCAACAGCCCGCGCGACGCAAGCTGTTGGTTGACATAGTTGGACGCAGACTTGAGGTCTCGCGGATCCATGGCGTTCTTGTGAGGAGGAGTTGGGAAGACGTGGCAATTGGGCCAGCAGTTCGGGAATGGACCGATATTCCGTGATCTGATGGGTTGGGGCTGTTTGGAGTCGCGAACGTAAACACGGCAACGACTAGCGCAAATCTGGTTGAGCCTCGTTGTTAAGCGAGTGTCTTGGGTATCTAGAAGCGAAAGGGACACGGCAGAATATATAGGGCTCAGGGCTGATCTCCATTGGACTACATGAATTTAAGGGATAGTCTATTGCGATTAACAGCTCCATACGAGGGTCCCCATGGTCTAGACAAGCCGTATGTGAAAATTCATTGATGTTCTCTCAAGCTCAATGCGAATCCTATTCCTATACAAATCACTCACAGGCTAACCATTTTGGACTCCATAAAAGTCACATCCTAAGCCGCAGTAATCTCAGCTGGTGGATAGACATCCAACGGACTCTTTCCAGCCTGGATATCGCTCTTCGACAGCATCTTACTCCTCCTCATCAACTCGGCGCACTGGACGACCACAGGATCAGTGCCCTGGCTCGCCACGGCAACCACTTTCTCGCCCTGCGTGTAATACGCAACCCACTTGTCTTTGTCGGGTTCTCCCAAGAGGATCACATCGTCATGCTTGTCACCTCCACTTGAGTTTCCGCAGTAGCGAAGCTGGGCTCCGAGAGCTGACCAGAAGATGGGCGTGAACGGAATGGGCTTGCGCTTGTTGGCAATGTGACGTCCCGCCTGGCGACCAGCATTCTGGGCGACGTTCCAGTGCTCTGTGGGGGTTTCATGGTTAGCCATATAGTAGACAAGAGGATTTGAGTTCAATTACCGATTCGAACCACTCCGCTACCGTGAGGATATGTGGCGATATCGCCAACTGCATAGGCATCTTCAACACCCTTGATTCTCCAGTGGTCGTCAACGGCAACGCTTCCGTCATCTTCAAGCTTAATGCCGCTGGCCTTCAAGTACTCGGTGGCGGGAGCCACACCGACTCCGAGGATCACCAGGTCTGCCTCCAGGCTCTCACCGCTCCTCAAGGCCACCGAACCAACGACCGACGAATCTGACGAAGAGGGCTTCGCATCGTCCACCTGGGCACTCATGTAGAACTTGACGCCCGACTTCTCGAGCTGACGCTGGAAAATGGCACCCACTTGAGGACCCATCACTCGTTCTCTGGTAGAAAGGTTAGCATCAGGATGATGAAAGAATGCTGGAAAAACCCTACAGAGGGGTTGACTCCATTCCGACAATGGTGACCTCGTTGCCCTTGCCGCTAAGACACTTGCCAACCTCCATTCCAATGAAACTCGAGCCTGTTTACGGGCATCAGCATCTTTCCTGCTTGTCTAGCTCTCTTTGGGCCGCACTCACCAATTACGACAATCTTCTTCTTGTGGTCGCCGGCCGCTTTCAAAATCCTCTCCACATCATTAATGCCCCTGAGAACGAACACATTGCCTAGCGTTTTGAACCCCTCCATCGGTAGCCGTTTCGGGGTGCCTCCGGTAGCGAAGATGACCTTGTTGTACTCAAACTCCTCTCCATCCTTAGTCTTCAGCTTATGTCCTGCAAAGTCAACTGACTCGACCTCTTTCTCTAAATGAAAGTCAATTCCAGCCGCCTTGTAGAACTCCGCGTCCCTCCACTGGACCTTTGCGACATCTTGAATCAAAGCCTTTGAGAGCTTCGTACGGTCAATCGGCAGATACGCCTCTTTCGAAAGCACTGTAACCTGGCCTGTGTATCCCTTCTCACGGATTCCCTCGATGGCGCCCATAGCTCCTGATCCTCCTCCAACAATCAAGACCTTCTCGTTCGCACGCGGAGAGCAAGCGATGTTGGGGACCCGTCTGCCGGCCTTAAAAGTTTCCTCGTCGCCGCGAACGTACACGGCACCGTCACGCACCGTGACATGGTATGAAGTGAGATGGTCCAGTGCCGGAGCGTTCTCGACGAAGCCGTTGGTGGTATCGAAGCAGGCGCCGTGCCAGGGACAGGTGATGCGGCCGTCATCGGAAACCACGCCCTTGACCAGAGGCGCACCTACAGGTAACATCTCAGCACGTCTTACAGCTTCCACACAATTGGGATTCACATACCGTAGTGAGTGCACCTCGGCCCGAGAGCTCTCAACTGGCCATTAGCTTTCAGCAACAGCACCTTGGCGCCCTCGAGCCCGTCGATCTCGGCCTCGACTTTGTCGCCGTTCTTGAGGTCGAAGTCGTCGAGCTTGAGCTTGTACTCCTTCTGTTGGATTGTAGCCGTCATGTTTGGGGTCGTATTGAAGCTTCTCGAGATGTAGCTATAGTTCGGGAAATGTGTAGGACGCGTGTGTGATAGAGGAACAGTAACACGTTGGAGAGGAGAGAGGAGAAGGCGGCAACGAAGCATGCAAAGCAATTAGTCGGAGCGGGGTTGATGATATATGATATGTTGTCGAGGTTGTGTTTGCTTATGTTTCGGTTTCGGTTCTCATGCATTTGGATTGGCACCCTCTTCTGTATCTCTCTCCCTCTCTCTGTGCACAATTATGTCATCTTCGGATATAGCGGATCTTCGCCCTGCGGTGGAGGTGGAGTTTCATTACCAAAGACAGCTGTGTTCTGTTTCCGGCCGGCACACAGATGCACAAGGCGGGATTGTCATGACGTACTGCATTAACACCTAAAATAAGGCGGGAGAATCAGCGCCAATCGATAGGCAGCATTTTCTCAGCAACAAATCAGCGCAACCCGATGTGACTGAAGCTCATAAACGACCGGGACAAATGCCACAAGCGGAAAGCGATTGAACGCTATTATTCGGCCGATCGCAGAGAGCTTGAGGAAGTGTCATTCTGTAATCGACCGTTTCCGATCACGAGACCGGAGATGACCAGTCCACATCTCATCTTCGTTTGAGGGCTGCCTAGGCGGGGCTTAGCTCGTTTAGAGAGCCTCATCCCCCCATTTCCGGTCGGCTTGAGTATACTCCTTTTTATATTTCTCTCATTGCATTTGACCATTTCCGTTAATTTCAAAAAAAAATCTTGAGGGCGTCAAACACTGATGTATACAGCGGTCGGCGCGAGTGATATAATATGATCGCGCCTCCAACCATCCCCCGTTCTCAAGAAAATACAAGTGATAAGGTCCAGGGTGAATGGGTTCTTCCAAGGGAGAAACATTACTCAATTGGCCTTAGCAATGCTGCACCGTATAATTCCAAATCGTGGTTGGTGTCATTCATGAACATTATCAAGCGCTCTGAGATTCCATTGAACCTCGAACATGAAACGAGTTTCAAGATTGGGCTTGACAGTGTCATTCACACTGTCGACTCCGTGTATGCGAGGAAGCATAATTACACCTTAGACACCGAAACGCGAATAAATCGGCCGACTAGCACCTCCTCCTGTTGTCACAATTCCTATCTACACCGTTACGGCCAAATCGCCACGAGTGGAAGGAGTATGGTCGTCATTAACACCACCAACTCGGAAAGCGTCGGGCTCGCCAACCAAAGATTTGATTACGAAAGCCGAAGAAAGTGATGAATCATGAAATGGCAGCCTCCAGACGCTACGGCCAGACCGCTATAGAGTAACGAGGTCGAAGCTACCCTCTTAATTCCACAAGCTCGAGCTCAACCTCGAGACTACGGGCGCAAACACTATGTGATGATGACTGTTATGTACATTGGCGAGTATGGCACCACTTTCTTTTCTCGTCCGGTCAAACTTGATTCAGCTCTGCGATCAGCAAGTTCCGAGGTAAATTGAATCATCAGCAGCTATTCCCCTCAGTCGCCTCACTTCTAGCACAGCTGTGGGACGGGCCTGTAGATACACCTATGTTGCGAACGAGATCAGCCCGCCATCGAGATCTACCTCTATCAACAACTATGGGGGCTCCCCCGAATCCTCTGTCGTCTTTAAACGACTGAAACAATCGATGGTCGGTCAGTTATTCGGAGTGTACTAGAGGTAAGTTGGTGTTATGTGCTGGTCTGTTTGAAGTTACGAATATGATTGAAGCATGAATTATATACTAGTTTAAACTGTAAAAGCAAGCAAGAAATCGAGTGATGAAAGTCAAAACCTTCAACGTCGCGGTAAAAATGGTCAACCAGAGCACATTGTGTAGGTAGGTACACACCACCGCCATTACGATGTCCCCTCCTCACAATCTCAACTAAATCACAATGCCCATCCCTTCTCCACGCATCAATGATCTCTAACATCGTCCGGCAGCGGCTGATAATACGCGCCTTCCTGCTGGTACCTGCGTCTCGGCCCATCAACCGGCGCAATATCGTCCGCAATAGCGTCTTCATACGTCGGCGGCGGGACGGAATCATCAGCAAACTCATTGTAATCGTTCGGGATCTGGTGAACAGTGGCAGGACCAGCACTAGAGTGTGGACGCATTGGCAGTGGCGGAGCGTATGGTGTGACAGGACTCGATACCGGTGAGGTGTTGGCCGAAAAGGAGCCGGTTTTTCCGCCGGTCGGAAGGGCGAGCGGGACTTTAAGATTGCTACCGTAGGCCTGCGCTTGTGCTTTTTCGTTGGGAAACGAGGGGTGTCGGGGTGGGGCGGATTGAAGGGGCACTCGAGGCGCCGCCGAGGCTATGAGTTGCGCGGGAGGCTTAATACCGGAGTAGATTTGAACTGGAAAGAGGAGGGGAAGTATCTACTAGTTATTAGTGGGGTTCTCGGGACGAGTACACGGGGAGCTTACATCGACGTGGTGTTCATCCGGCCGACTCAGTCCAATCTCAATTTTCAATTGGTAGGCACGGCTGATGTTGCAGGTGGTGAAAGTGGGCGGCAGCGTTTCAGGTAGATACTTTCCGCGCCACATGGAGGCGTCTACCTCGAGCGGGACATTCGGCGGCGAGTTTGTGTCGCCGAGCTGTATCCGGAGGTCTGCTACGCTGAGGAGGCAGAGCTCCGTAAATTCGTCCTTCACCAACTCATGCGCGGATATGTGGGTGGTCGCGAGGAGCATGATTTGAAGGGAGCGGATCACGACGACATCACGGAAGTCATCGAGCTTGGTGAGAAGGATGCGAAGGGGGATGGGCTCGTTAGGGACTAGGATCGGTGGGGAGGGAAGGCGGGCTTCCACCGTGAAGCGGACCGGGACTGGTGGGCCGACAGCGGCATGTTCGGGCTTGCGGAAGGAGGAGAATATACCGCCGGGCTTCTTGGTCGCTGATAGAGGATCTGCGGGGATGAATTCGTGCTTTCTCCGGGCGAAAGCTTCCGCGCCTGTTGGCGGCGGACGAGGAGGCTCGATAGGTAGGAAGACGAATGGATCGTACTGACGCAGGTTGGTCTTGTAGAACGCAGGTCTGTTGACCGTCGCTTTCAGGAAGTACTTGATCCATGCGATGTCCCCAGTAATACCGCTCAAGCTCGGTGGTAGAGTCCCCTTGACATGTCGCGTCGAGTGCTTCGCATAGTCTACGGTCCTATTCGAAATATCGAAGCTCACTTTTTGCAGCAAACCTCCGGAGGTGTCGGTACACGCCGAGTTGATCGGTATACGGATTCTGAACGGGTATGAGTATTGTCCTGCTTTCAACGTGAAGCCCGTGGTGTTATCCTTGGCGGCGGCGTAGATGGCGGCGGCGGGGAAGACGGTGTCAACGATGTAGAGGAACTATTTGCTTTTTGCATCAGTGAACGCTGCACCCCCGCCAGCCCCGCACGGGTGATGCTTGCTATACCTTATGGATCTCGACTTCAGCCCGCCGTTTGTCCCGAGCTCTCTCCCCCGGAGTCTCCAAACGCGGAGGTTCTAGCCGGGTCCGGGATACTCCCTCCAGTTTGATGGTAACCGAAGAGATTGTTTCCTCGGAAGGGATGCTCAGAACGACCTTTTGCAATCATCACCATCGTCAGCACTCCATGTTGCGTCGTGAGGAAGTAAGGCAAGGTAGACTAGGTACCTTCCCCGACACATAGTCTAGACAGGTAAACACATGGCCGGTGCCGCTGGGATTGTCGAGCTCGATTCTCACGGACATGGTTGAGGTTCTGGGAGAATGTTTGGCGAATCCCGTTTTTTGAGGGTGGACAATAGTGGGGCAGGCCTCTTTATCTGACCGCGAGGTGATGATGCGAGACGGTTCAGCTTTCAGCCCAGACAAGTCAAGAGGCTTCCTTCCCTTCCGTTCTCTCTCGCGGTGTTAGTAGCTATTGAGGCGGAGCCAAGAGAGGCTTAGGCTAACTACTCCATATTAGGCGGCAACTCTTCCTTCGCAGACGTCAAAAAGGTTGATTGGCGGCAAGGGTGAAGGGTTGTTTGTGGCTCGGCAGAAATTTTGGAAGGACTTTCGGAACAACCTACGGAAGCACGGAGAGCTCACCAACCACTGCAACTACCTCATCCACCGCCACGCAGACCACCCCTACAGTCTCTCGTTCCCGCGCACGACGAGCACAGAACACGCTCTCTCTCTGTCGACGTCCACAGACTCGTTACCGCGACAACGTCAACACACAGCAATGGTCAGTAACCCCACACACGACACCCCGCCACCGGCAAACTGGCCACTCTAACCCAGTTCCACAGGCACACCGAATATTAACCCAGATCGTGCTCGTCGGCAGCCGAGTGGTCGGCCGTGCCTTTGTCGAAGCCTATCGGCAAGCGCAAGCCTCGGCAAAGTACGCAAAGGCAGCTCAGAACGGACAGGTCTCGGGCAATGGCAGCGCAGCGTTGGGAGGTCGTGGGGGGCTTACCGTCGACGAGGCGTATAAGATTTTGAGTGTCAAGCCCGCCGCCGAGGGTCCGTCAATGGAGGCTGTTGCCGAGCGCTACAAGATCCTGTTCGAGCGAAATGATCCGAAGAAGGGCGGAAGTTTCTACCTGCAGTCGAAAATTTATCGAGCAAGAGAGCGGTTAGAGGCCGAGGCGAAGAGGGCGGCGGGGAAAGCTAAGCAGGGGGAAGCAGCGGCTTCAGCACCACCATAAGCCGGAGGAGAGGGAGGGTGAATTGAGTATAGACAGAGGAGTTGGGAGCTGGGATTGTATAAAAACTACGGAGGAGACGGCGGAGAGAGACGGCGAAACGGAGACTTGCTTGATTCTGGGGCATCATCCCCTGTCCTTTTTCATTTCTTGTATACTACTCTACTTAACATACACTGATGATCATGATCCAACACCATTTTTACACAGCTGTTATGCTTTTACTCTAATCACGTTCTATAGACGGCTTTCTCGGCACCGATCTGCCATGCATAGCCCGTGTATCATGAAACCCATGGATAATATGTGAGATTCGGGACGCACCAACGTTCAGCTCTATTTCCGCTTCCTCCTTGAGGCTGAGCAATGCGGGATAACTAGGGAAGCCCAAAGGAATCAAATGCAAATGGATGTTTTTTGTTTTTTGTTCTATCATCAGGGCATTCGACCTTAGTAGATCATAGTAGTTATATTCCGGTTCCTCCCCACCGTCCACTCCTGTTGGCGGAGGGCGCGATGTGGGATGTACGTAAGTGGATATTACGGATCAAGAGAGAGAACATCAATTTATTACCGCATATATCTGGACTGCGGCGATCGAGATTACGGATTGACGAGGCAAAGGATTGGTTCGCGCGAGCGAGTGGGAATGACCGGTTGCTTACAAAAGGGTTTAAGTACTGATGCGGAAGGAGATGGATTTCGAACGGACGTTTGTAGCAAGAATGTCTTGCATTTGGGTGCTGGGCAGTTAGAATTCTCGGGATCGATTCACTCCGACTCGAGACCATCAGCCCCCATCCAACAGTATCCTTGTGGTGGATATATTCACAGTCAGCCAGGTATCATGTCTACTCACCCCGCCGTAGGAAGGTCAATCATCATCTTATGCAGTCCGGAATTGAGTTGCGATCACTCAGTCTGCCGACGAGTCATGACTCGTGACTAATTAATGGGCTCGCCGACAACACGAAGACAGTCCACTACACGACAGGTGGAATCTCAATAGGCCATCCAAGTAGTCAAGCCATTCGTCTCCACCCTATATTAAGACCGCCGTCAACCACCTTGAGCGAATGTAGCGTGCGCCCGTGTATGTACAGAATCCCACTTTTGTAAACGCCCCAAACTCCGTAGAAAATAAGATCTAGTCAACGTTACGCTTCCGTCGCTGTCATCTGAAGCAATGCCATCTCCTTCTCCAACAACCGCTTTAATCGCCGCTTTTCCTTGCGCTCATCCCTCGTCTCGTCGACCTTGGATTTCTTTTGCTTCTTCTCCTTGCGCCTCCCACCATCCGCCGTGCTCTCCCGTGAGCTGCGTGAGCTCTTCTTATCCTTCTTTTCTTTCCGCGCCTTCTTGTCCTTTTTCTCTTGAGCCCTCTTCTCTTCCGCCACCACCGCCGCCGCAGCAGCAGCCTCCTCCTGTGCAGTCTCGACGTCCCCCTTCAGAACCCCTCCAGGCACAAATTTGATATAATACCGGTTCGCAATGTGCATTCCGATCGGGGTAGCGGTCATCTTCGTTTGTTTGACGGTGACCTCACCAGTAGAGGAGTTGCACACATCGAGGGACTTGAGTTGGTTGTCGAAGGCCTTAGCCCACCAGTCGTCGGCGTTGTGTTCTTTCTTTCCTGCTCAGTGTCAGCGGAAGAACAAACGCATGTTGCTAAGGAGGGAGCGAAGTACCGAGACCGTGCTGATTCGCCTTCTGAGAGTACAGTACTGGCTTCTGGTCATGACCGCGACCGTTGGTCCAGCGGAATTGATCGCGGTGAAGCTTGATCGGCATTTTGATGGTGGTGGGATTGTTCAAGTGTGGCGGAAATTTCGCGCGTTTCGCACCCTTCCCCCATCGGGGGTTTCGCTTTGGGCGAAGTTTACCCGGCGGAAGTGGGGTGGCCGCACATGATGCGATCGATGATCCACATAGCAACAGCCCAGAGCCCAGCCATTCACTCCCGAGCTCGGGAAAGCAAGAGCTGAAGAGCAAGAGAGTGAGACAGAGAGAGGATCCTCCCTTTACCCCACACTCTTGCACACACACACCACACACACACGCAACAAAGCGGAGCGCGACGACAACTTATTACAGCAATTACTTTACTCTACCTGCATAACTACCATCAAAATGGATGCAATCCAGGCGGAATTCGACCGGCTGAACAATAAGTCTAACCTGTCGAAGGCAGTCACCGATATCGATAAGTGCATCGCGCTTCTCGAAAATGCGCGGAACCAGATTGCCCAAGGTTCGGATCTATTGTCTGCAGGCGGGAAGGGGGGTGTCTGACAGCTGTTTAGAACCGTCTTCACGTGGAATGACGTTGGCACGGCTACAACAATCTGTGAATTCGCAGCTTGAGAAGGTCGGCGGCGATCATAAGGAAGTCTACACGGCCCTGAACCGGTACGGGAAAGCTCTCGATAAAGTCAGTATAGCCAATAGACTGGGTCGAGGGTGAGGTACTTGGTCTTTGTGCTGACACTTCTAGAGAAATTCAAAGCGGCATCTGCATTCTCCTCGTCCGACTATGATGCGCTATCGAACGAAGGCCACTTGATTAATCGGGCGATCGCAATGCACCTCATCCGCGAGGGACAGTTCACCGTAGCCAGCAAGTTCGTCCAAGAAGCCGGCGACCTCGACATCCCACCCGAGCTACAGGACGAGTTCGTTGAGATGTACCAGATCCTCAAGGCGATGAAGGAACAACGGGATCTGGATCCAGCCATAGCGTGGGCTAGGCAGAAGGCTCGGCAGCTGGAACAGCGCGGTTCGAACCTGGAGTTTGATCTGTGCAAGTTACAGTTTGTGGCGATGTTCGTTAACGGTATGGATGGGAGGAAACATGCGATGGAGTATGCTAGGAGGGAGTTTGGGAGATTCCAAGATAAGCATCTCAAGGAGGTGCAGATGCTGATGACTGCCTTCCTGTACACCGATAATTTGCAGCAGTCGCCATATGGAAGGCCGTTTCTGGAGCCAGAGAAGACATGGGAAGATGTGGCACATTCCTTCACCAAGGAGTTTTGTTCGCTTTTGGGATTGTCGGCGCAGTCGCCGTTGTATCTTGCGGCTACAGCCGGTGCAATTGCTCTTCCGACGCTGCTCAAGATGACGAGCATCATGAAGGAGAAGAAAACCGAGTGGACCTCGCAGAACGAGCTGCCTGTACGTGTTGCTCTTGTGTGTCGACATTGTCACTTTTGCTAATATCATTACAGGTCGAGATCCCTTTGCCTCCCTCATACCATTTCCATTCCATCTTCGTCTGTCCTGTTTCCAAGGACCAGACAACGGAGGAAAACCCTCCAATGATGCTTCCTTGTGGCCACGTCATTGCACTGGAGTCGTTGCAGCGATTGGCAAGGAGCGGGAGCGCTCCATCGTTGAAGTGCCCGTATTGTCCAAAGGAGAGCACGCTGGCTCAGGCCAAGCAGGTCATAATCTGAGGCGCTGCTCTTCAACGCACATGTGTATTTCACTGCTGTTTTCTTACTTTTCTTCTTCAGGTGTTTGGGACAAATCAAACGGGATGGGCTATGGTGTATTGGGTTTCTTTCTTTTTGTATCGCCGCTGGTCAGGGCTTCCAGTGTCTATAGTATCTTACCTCTCGATTCAATTCAGTTATAATCATTGTGTATTGTAAGACATACCAGCGTTTGCTTTTTTCAGATGAGCTTCCATTATCAGACCGGGTCACCGTACAGAATCTTTATCGCTCAAGAAAAATCACTTTTGACCCCCAGACGCCTGCCACCCAAGACGGTCATAACCACTACCGTTTCCGGACCTTGTTGTGCTTGTTAATGGTGGCGTTTCCTCCCTTGACCATCCTCGCCCTCTGCATCTCCTGCTCTCGCTCGAGCTTCTTCAAATCCTTCTCCCTTTTCATCCTCGCCTCCAGCTCCTTGTACGCCTGCTCCCGTCCCTTCGCAAGCTTACTCCTCTCCCTCTTCTCAGCCCTCCTCCTGGCCTCCGCCTCCTCCGGATCCTCCCCTCCCTTCACCACATCCTCCCCAAACCCGCCCTCCGCCAACTGCTCAATCCTCGGGCGATTAAACCTCCTATCCACCAGGTCCTCATGCGTCCCAAAGAACTCTTCGGGCTTGAACTTCCTCGCCTGCTCCACCTCCTCCACAAAAACCGTGTGCTTCCCCTCAGCCTCAAACGCTAGCCTCCCCTCCAAGCTCTCAATGGCTCTCCTCTCCCTATCCCTCTGCACGCGCAAGTACCCAGCATCCTGCGTCTTCAGCAGCATGACCTCCCCGGGCGTCAACACCTTTGCCGTATCCCTGTCGGCGACTCGGACTCCGCCGTCTCGCGTCCGGGCGCTCGTCATCGCGTGGTAGAATTCATCGGGATTGCGTTCCTTGGCCAGCCGGGTGAGGGCGGCTTTTTTCGCTTTTTTCGCATTGAAGTCGCGGCTACGCAGTTGGTAGTCTTTGCGTTTCTCGAGGAGACCGTATTTCGCGCGCTCGGCGGGCTGCGACCGCTCCTTGTGGTTACGCCGTTGCACGGCGTTGCGGAGGGTTGACGACATCGTTGGGTGGTTGTGGTGGGGTGGGTGGTGGGGTGCGAAGGTAGGATTGGGGGAGCTGGGCAATTTGATGAAGAAAGTTTTAGTGGAATGCGCGTGTGCTTTGACGCTAGTTAGTGGTGGCATGGTGGCTAGCTGCACGGGAGGGACAGGGATTGTTGCGATTCTCGTTGAAAAGCCACCGTCGTCACTCGTTCAAGATATTGCACATTTATCATATTGGTAATATTTGCACACCTGGAGAATCCTGTTATTTCACACTTGCTTCTCCTTCTGTCTGGTATGTCTAGCTGGTCATCCGCTGTGTTTTGCGAATGAATCAATAAACAGAGACATTATCCTCAACAGGGATCTCTGAGGTCAAGTGAGTGACTGCACATGATTATTTCTACAAACAATCCATTGAATGACGGCACCATTGATATCCATGATCTCTGTCTCCGAATAGAAACATTCGTGTTCGTTGACAACTTGCTGCTGGCAATACCTCTCAAGAGGCAGGTAACCTTCTAGTTCAAACCTAGACCGTTTTCCCATCCGATGAACGCACCTTCTCTCCCTCCCTCTCCCTCCCTTCCTCTAACGTCCTCTTCACCTCTTTCCCCCTGATCTTCTTCACCAAGCTCTTCACCTTTCCAAGAAGCCAACCCGGCAAATGAAACACGCCCAACACGCACGTCACCACCGCCCAACCGACCAGCTCCCAGCGGCCAATGACGATCTCCTCGTCGCCAATTTCCAGAGCTCTCCGACTGGCCTCATCCAGCGCACGCTGATACTCGGCGAATCCTCTGATACTCTTCTCCCTCTCTTCTGCCCCGCGCCAGCAGGAAATCCACGTCCACAGCCTCACAGCCGGAATGTACATTCTCGACAGCGCGAGCTAGCACCGGTGCAGTCTGTGCCGCGTGGATGGAGTGGGAGGGACCACGGGGAGCGCCATGAAGGTCTCGATCCGCGGAGTCTGGAGGGATATGATGGTGTCCATGGCGGTGGCGCGGATGGCGGGATTGGCGTCGACCAGTTGCGCCCGGAGCTGGCGGCGGAGGGTGGAGGTGGGAGCTAGGGGGGAGGAGGGGCGGCATTTTGGTTTGCTGTGAATTGAGGTTGGAAAGGAATGTGGTGTGATGAAAAGTGAGTTGGGGAAGGGAGGGAGAGTTGGGGTGGTGGTGGTGGTGTTGGTGGGTGTTGGGTTTTGCGGGACAAAGGCCGTCGAGACCTAACCTTGTTGTTTTGTGTGAACGGAATGTGCGAGTGATGGAAGCAGATCGTATGGCCGTACCTCGTAAGTGATGATGTTGCTCAAAGAATGCAATCGGCAAGCTAGATTTCTATCTAGAGAAAAGTCGTTCAACACAAAGCCTTAGAAGATTAAAAGCAGAGAAAATCATATCCACAACGCCATGACCAGGTAGAAACAAGAAAAAAAACTATAATACAGGGTAGCCCAGAGTAAGAAACAAACAGACCCAAGTCGAGATGTAGTAGTTGAAAACGCCAGCAACTGCAAGTGCAGTGTAGTGCAGTGCGCGGTGCAATACAGGATACTAAGTCCCTAACGCCAGACAATCGTCCAATAGACCCTTCAGCTCTTTTCTATCCTCGGGAGCGCCGCCCTGCCACTCGCCGACATCAACTGTATCCTCAAATTGCAACGCCGTATCTACCTCGTAATCCCTCTCGTACCACCCTCCAGCCATAATCTTCTTCATACTCGTGGGCATCTGCGTGAGCAAGTTATCACCGAGCGTCAAGCTCAACCTCACATCATGCATTCCCAGAAGTGGGCGTTCCTGGCGTGGGACCCAGCGGCCCTTGGGTGCTAGTTTGCGGTACGCATCTGTCTGCACGTAGATTGGCCCGTTGGAGCGCACGCGGCCGATGATGGTTGTGAGTATTTCTTTAACGAACGTTTCGGCGGCGACGTTCATGAAGTTTGCGGTTTCCACTGAGCAGCCGCCGGGAATTCCCTCCTCGTAGCAGATAGGGAGCATGCGGAGACGGATGTTGTCCACGTCAGGAAACTCGCCGGTTTCACTGGCGAGCGGGAGCATGTAGCGCTGTTTAATTTCGGATTCCCAATCTGTTGATGTCAGCGAGTGGGCCAAGCAACTCGGGTAACGTTGAAGTGGGAACTCACTGGTCTTATTGATTGTGGCGCTACGTGGAGGAGGATCGGGCGGCTTGACCTGCTTGGCCGTATGATATTCCATGAGCGCATTACCGAGCATATCCTCGATATTCTCATTCTGCTCCACACAAATATCAGCACCCCCAATTCACCCAACGCGGACCAAATGCTCACCTTCTCCGGCACCTCCTTAATCCTTTTCCTCTCCCTTGCCGAGATCGCCATGATCTCCTTCTTCAGCCGCCGCTCATTGATATCACCAGCCGGCAACTTCGTCACGGAGCTCGGCTTATCACTCGCCGAAACCCAAGTGGCCACATCGACCTGCGGAGCATCCCTAGTAATATTCGAGATTAGAGCCATCAGTAGGCTATTATGTAGCCGGATCTTGGGTCCTTTGATAAACGGTCCTATATCCTCGAGTAATTCCTGGTCGCTCAGTCTGCCTACACATTCCCCACAGATCAGCCTACACCGCCGTCACCGCTCCGGAGCAGCAGGACATACCTCGGAGGAATTTATTCAAGGCCTCGGTGTACGTCATCCAATTCTCCTTCGTAAGCGCGCCCTTGAGCGCCTCATGATGTGGCTGGATCTCGAGTCGCGGCGCGACACTCGGCGGAGCCATCTTCTGTGAGTTCGACGTCGCGGTGGTGGGCGATGGCGACGAGCCGTTGATTGCCGCTTTCGAGGATGCCGACGACATGGCCGATGGAAGGGGTGGTGGGTTCTTGGTGAGTTGTGATGGGTCCATTCTGCATCCCCCACGCGTGAGTTCTGTCCCAACCAACTGTAGAAGTGCTGGCCACCCCCTGATGGTAATGTAAAACGAGGGTTGTGGGTGGAACTAGACGCGTGCGCGTGAGCTGTTCACGAGAGAGACGATTTCAGCCCGGCTGCTGAGAGCTTGGTGCACTAGTGAGTATGATGTGCGTGTGGTGCAGTAGGGTTTGGGGAGGTCGGTGCGGGTGGGGAGAGGTGAGGTTGAATTAAAGCTTACTACACATTATGGCCTGGGACCTTCACTTACCAGAGGGCTTGGCGCTTCCCATTCAGCCCTACCCAACTTCGCCAAGTGCCCAGTGGCAAACGATATGGGTAGGTGCCCCATAATCCCATACCTATCGAACCTTGGAACATCACTTGCAATTCAAGAGAAATTTATGGCTGGAATTCGAAGACTGCACTCAGGATTGTCATTCGCGAACTCCACTAGTGATCCTCATTGTTTGGGTGAGGTTTAACGGTTTATTCACCGTCTCTCTCTTTCTGTCAAATTTTGGTCGCCCGGAGATCTCGGCACGAGTCAAGGTTTGGCGGTGGAAGAGCCTCGACGGTGGAAGAGTCTCAACGGTGGAAGAGCCTCGATGGCCAGGCGAAGTCTGGTGAGCGGCCAACCTTAGGTGGCGTCTCAGTCTTAAATAGAGGTCTTCGCCGTGGACGATAGGTTCTTCTTTCTGTATCGAATAGAATATCATCATCTGTCTACCTAGGTATATATTCCAACACTTTCATACATAAATATTACAGCTAGATCCACCACCGCTTGCTACAGATCGAGAGCTCGTAGGAGACCTGTATTGCTCATAGCACCCAACATCGTGTGCTCTAATTATAGGACCCATGGTAATGATGGCCTGGTTTGAAAGATCTTCAAGTCATTAGCAACAACACATAAAGATGGGAATAAGGGGACATACAGGGGAATTTTCACAGCTGGCGTGCTACTCGGAAACCTCGGCGGACAAGAGCGTTGTGCGCCTCTTCGTCGAGCTACGGGTTGTCAGCTACTTGACTGACATCCGATGCGTAACTTAAGAAGGATATTACCCATGAAGTTGTGTGGTGCAGTTGGCTAGGTGTTGCATCGTTCTGAGCGTGTCTGGGTGACCTTTCCGGAGTTTCTTCTTCCGTACTGATAGTACTTCAGTAAATACTGTCGATGCCTCCTCTTTCGCTCCACTTTGCACTAGAAACTCCCCGTACGTCTGCAAGCTCTCCAACGTCCGGGGATGTGTCCTTCCAAGCGTATCGGTGCTCCCTTGGATAACACGAACAAACAAATCTCGTCCTTCATCGACCAATCCTAGGCTTCCCTTGACTCTAGCACTTCCCTCCAACGCGCGCAATGTGGTGTGATCGGCTGGTCCGAAATGCGTCTTCCTTTCCTGGTAGATCTTCTCGTAGTATGTTCCAGCCTCTTCAGTATCGCCGAGTTTTTCCAATGCATCCGCCAGACGTTCCTTTGCGAGGAGCATGGTGGGATCGAAAGAGCCCTGGTACGTCTCGAGTGATCTTTTCGAGGAAGACACGATCTCCCTAGCATCCGTGATTTTGCTCTGGTCGACCAAGACATTCGCAAGATGTAGCTTCAAAAGCATTGTTTCTGAGTGCTCGTCACCGTATCTCTTCTCGGCCTGTTGGAGTATCTGATGGCAGATGTTCTCCGCTCTATCGTACTGCCCCTGTATGCAATAAATAGAGACTAGAGGTTGAAGACCATCCCAACTATCCCGGTATTCTGTCGAGGACTTCAAGGCCTCCTGCCGTACCTGAGGGCTCCTTCGAGTAACCGTTGGGCCTTTCGATCCTGACCCAGCCTCCACAAGGCGAGTGCAAGGCCCTCCGGGATGTAAGAAAGCTCGAATGGTCTCGGACACATCCGTTTCATCGACAGACATCTCATCAGAAGTTCGGCCCACCTGAACGACTTCGCCGATTCCTCGTACCTTCCGCGGGCAGCCGATAGCGTCGCGATATTGCAGTAGGCGCGGATTGTGTCCGGATGAAAACAGCCCAGCAATTTCTTTCGCTTCTGGAGGACCTCGCTGTGTATCGTTACTGCGGTTTCGTACTGGCCTAGGTTTACACATAGGTTTGCATGTTGCTCTTGAAGGTGCAGTGTGTATGGATCGTTGGGACCTATATTGCGATCGTTCGTACTGGCAAAAGCCGCGAGTTGAAACATGTCAAGAGCCTCCGAGTAATCGCAGAAGCTCCGCAGAAAAGCACCCAGTTCAGCGAGAATATGCGAGAAGAACGGTTGGTATTCGCGTATAGGATCAGTTTTCATGTGTTTCAAAACAGAGAGCACATGCGGTCGTAGCCTGTAGCTTCGTGCGCAGATTTTGCCACCCGCTTCCTCTAGCCCTTTCTCCAATGCCCCGAGAACAATGGTTGCAGCGGCTTCGATCCAGTAGGGAAGCTCATCGGGGTATAACCAGGAGGATGAGGGTATTCCGCAGAGTGGATGAAAGCGGATGAAAGGCACAGTATCGCCTTCGCATAACGGTTTCTCAATCACCGAGAGTGATTGAAGCTTCCCGAGAGCCCGATGAAGATCGGTAGGCATTTTGAGAACTTCGAAAAGTTCCTTTATCGGCGTATGCCATGGATCTAATGGCCGTCCATCCTGTCCTGAGCATGTGACGGTAAAGGCTCGAACCGCACCGTTGTGAAGCATATCAACCGGGATGTAGTTGGGATTAAAGAAAGATAAGATGTTGAGCAGGTCTCCACTCTGTAGAGATAGCCGCCCGAGGACCAGAAGTATCGCCGCCGACAGAGCGTTATCACCGTCCCCAGGTTCAGATTTCTGCTTTCTGGTTAGATAGGATAACATGGAGTAGAGTGCCAGCTAGAAATTACCGAGGAATCTAAACCGTCCGGACTGATTTGGTTCTCAAATTCTTGAAAGCCGAGTTGATGTTTCGTCATATACTCGGCAGTTGGAACGATTGCCTCTGTGTTTTTGTCCAAAATTTTGAGCATCCTGTTGGCGCTTTGAAGTTCTGCACCAGTGATCTCTTTGCCCACCAAGTCGGACCATATCGCCAATGCCGACTCATTCTCCAAAGGTCCCACTTCCAAACATCTGGTGATATTGAACTTCTCGCGCACATCCCCTACTCTGTCCGAGGTGAGCATCAAGATTTGACTCTCCCTTATACCCAGAGGGAATTGAGCGACAAGCTGCCGCATTGTTTCGGGAACTCCGTCCAGTATCAGAAGTAAGTTCCCCTTTCTCTCCCCGTGTTCGTTCTTCATCCAACGCTCCGCGATATCGACGCGGAATTCCCACTCCCAACCCGTAGAAAGTCCGAGCATCCAGTATATGAACTCGTAAAACAGATTTTTGGTATCCAAGTTCACAAAAACCTGATACGGATAAACATTTTCGTGCTGTTTAGCATATTATAGGGCCAGTTGAGTCTGGCCAATTCCCGAAGCACCGAGCAGTGCCACGGGCTCTCCATCACAGTCTTTAATCAAGTCGTGTAATCGCTGGATATCTTGTTCCCTACCCATGAATGGGCTGCAACGATACGCCGGCGTGTCGTTAGGGACACAAAATGACTCCGGGGCCTCATCGAGAGCAACACTTTCCCTGATTTGGAGACGAGGTAAGTTGCCGTCAGTCATCTTCGAGGTGAGTAAGAGCGGTAAACACGAACCATTGTATGCCTTTGTCCTCCTGCTCACTCAGATCATCGTTAGTATCCGGCCGAATTTTAGATGCCTCATCGGCATCAGTCGCTTTCTCAGCTGCCGCTATTATGAGTGGCGGTAGGCTTTGTATCCATCCTAAGATGACATCACGGACAGCCGCATAGCTCGGATCATCTCTGGATCCATACTTGTTCAAGCCCGAGTGATTCACATCCAATGCAATACCCTCTTGACCTTTCAGCACTGCCGATTCCTTCGGAACAATCTGGAATCTTTGAGTCAGCGACGAAGACCTCACGGGGGTTTCTATATAACCTACGAGTACTTTGTACTTTGATATCCTCGTTTCGTAAAAACAGGTGGTCTTGCAGGCTGGAACCTTGCTGGCAAAGGTTTTTTCAAGATCAAGCAGTTTCGACGAGTTTTTTGTCAAAATTCGGAATAAACCATCTGGAGTCGACCTGGTGAAGACGTTTAAAATTCTAGCAAATGTTCCAGCCACAAACGGCAGGATCGCAAGTCCGTAGTGCGGTACCCCTAGGTAAATGATTCCGACGGTGCAGTCGGTGATGTTCTTATACCACGAATCATCAGCTGATTCGATTAATGCCTATGAATTGTGGTTAGAATTTAATCGTCCCAATATGAAGTATGTACATAATCCATCCGAATTTACTTGCATGCTTGGTGATGATTCCCCCGAAGGAGTGCCCGATAAATATGATTGGTCTCCTACGTTCCTAGAAACCGTTACAAATCCATCTCTTTGTTATGTGCCACCAACGTAATCATCCTTACTTGCTTCGTTCGCCTTTTGCAAAAAGTCCCCAAAATTGCTCTTCTTGCGTAGTCTTCCATTTTTGCATTGGGTGCTTTGCTGAAGAACTTGGTGTCATCCCCCCAGGCCATTATACGCGCCCGAGGCGCATCTTGTGGAAGTAGGTCTCGCAGCCAGTGCACTCCATTCGAAAGCCATGTGGTATCAGGATCGGCCCCGAGCCCTTGCATTCCGATGATGCTATTCACAATCAGTAAAGGCTGACTTTATACGAATAATCGGAAAATTAGGCGCTTACTCGACTATTGGCTCTTCGTTGCCGTCTACCCCAGTTCCGGGAGCCACTATCCTCATGGTGTACATTGAGTTGTCTTCCTGCTCTTCGGCGCCGTTTCCGGTAGAGCGTTCATTACTCAAGTCTAGCGGGAATTTCATGTTCACTGTATCGGGCCTCAGCTGTGGATTTCGAATTCAATTGCCAAAATTCAAAGTTGATGGCCGAACCCTTACATATATACGACTACTTGGATATGTGTGTGACGACTTTTACGCGCCGCAGCTTGTCGACGAGTCAACTGGTGGGACTCTTCATGCAGTGCCCCTGTTGCGGTTGCGCGAAATCAGGCGCCAACGCGCACACTAATTGCCGCCCTGGCGGGCCGGCCCAATCAGCAGGCGGCAACCACCTCAACCAGCAAGCATTATGAAACGGCTATTCTTGGGAATCGTTAAGCGGGTTAAGCAGTGTACCGGCACCATTCCCATTGCCGCTAATTCACGACCGGCGAGATATAGGGGAGGAGGATGGTTGTTGTTATTTAGGACGAAGGCATGGAGCTCTAAAGGGCTGCCATCGGTACATTTCCCTTCCAGACTCTCTCTTCTTCTACCATTCCGCGGCTGTCTTCTGTTGCGGCCCGTAAGGCCTTTGTTGTCGGAGCGGCGTGTTTGATCAAGTGAGGTTTGTGCACGGCCCACGCGGAAGGTTCTGGTTTGTCCGGCGAGTGAGGTTTGTCCGGCGAGTGAGGTTTGTGCACGGCTCACGAGGAAGGTTCTAGTTCATCTGGGACGACTATAAGAACTACATCTTCTTCTTCTTCCGACTGCCTTCGGATCGGATCCCCTCGCGTGCGCCCCAAACCTCCAGATCGTGCATCAACATCTTCCTCTCCTTAAGCATCATCTACCGAAATCGTTTCAGCACGTACCTACTATATAGACTATAGTTACCTTTTTGCGCAGAGATAGCCATGTTGGAAAGCATGATATCCGTGGAGGTCAGACATCCCGAATCTAACAACCGGATGTTTTCTAACGGCGGATTGAGTTACAGCCGGCCTCCCACCTCTTCCCTCCCTTCGCGGCGACACACAGCATACCATTCGCCAACATCCCCGAGCTCCCGGTGCACTCGAGCGACCACATCGAGCTCCCCGGCAGCATCTTCATACCCAAGCACACACTATCCAGCCACCTCACAGCCGAGCTCGATGTCTCACGGTTGAACCGAGTGCACGACTACCTCTGGCTCGCAGGACGAGCCGGCCACATCCGGCAGCTGCACCGACAGCGGATGATGGAGCGCGAGATCGTCGTGGCCGAGCAGACCGACCTGCACCTCGTGCACCAGCACGGCAAGATCTACATCAAGCCGCTACCACTCTTCCTAATGGACTACAACTTCTTCGCCGCGCACCTGTGCACGCCGGCGGCGGCAGAGCTGCACGCCAGCGCTTGCGGCCTCCTGGCCTCCTACGTCGAGATGATCCTGCACGAGAGCGACTTCCGGATCGCGGTGGAGCGGGGACTGCTGCCGGCGGACATGCTGTGGCCGCAGTGGGCGGCGTTTGCGGGGAGTATCCGTGCGCACCTCGACCTGGTCGCCCGCGACCAGCTGAATAAACGTTACGTCTACGGCGAGCTAAGATGTGATCGCCTCAACTGGATCTACCGCCTCACTTCGGGCGAGATGATGCGTGGATACCACTATATCTACACCGAGTATGGACACTTCTTTGGTCGCAAGCTGGGCTGGCTGATCTTGGTGTTTGCGTACATCACGGTGATCTTGACGGCGCTGCAGGTGGCGCTGGGAACGGCGCAGGGGACACAGGAGGGCTCGGCGCTGGAGGGGGTTGGCTATCAGCTCTCGATGATCACAATATATGGCGTTGTAGGGATTGTCGGTGCGGTGTTTATTGTTTTCTTGGGGCTGCTCATCGTACATCTGAAGTTGACGCTGGTACATTGGAGGCGGAAAGAGGAGGAAAGAAGGGCGGCCGTTGGTAGAAGGAAACAGGGGGAAATGGAGGCGGTGGAGACTTGCAAAACATTAACATAGAGTCATAGACTACTGTACATAGTATGTTCTAGAGATAGATACGAGATATGAGATATCGACATTAGCTAAGTACCTAATTGATACTTACCGTCCTGTGAGGTATATACGACAGTAATGCCGTCCGAGTGCATTGATGCTGGCAGAGTAGCGCACGCCAAGTTGCCAACACACTCCTCGACAGCCATCTTTGAGTGCCAATACAACAATGAGTACGTACCACTGCCTCCCTGACGGAGAAGCACGTTCCGTTACACGCCACCATCACTCTCACATCATCTTTCCCCCCTCTGCTCAATTCTCACTCCTATGCGGGAGAGCCTACATCTGCTCAAGAATCCAAGATGTAACACCGTAGTCCGTCAGCGGGGCGGAAGAAAAACATGCTCGTGCTCGTGCTCGTGGTCGCAACCACGGTCCACGGCAGGGGGCCGAAGGGGCAATTCCTTCAGGTTCATTCCTGAGGCATGTACATCACGAAGCCGCCTACATACCGTCCTACAAGGTGTGAAAAAACGCCTTTCCCGCACGTTGTACCGCCTTGCCACCTGGACTCCAGTGCACTTCAAGAGGCTTCCAGAAGCCATTCTGGAGTCTGGACGGAACCCTCCCTTCGAATCCGAGTCTGAGTCCGTGTATCCCAAAGTTCCACACGTTGAACAACCCCTTTCCTGAACACGCAACAATCACAACAAGGGGCCAGGCAGTGCTCCCGATAGTCCAGACCGGAGTCCGGACTGCTGTCCGGACTATCCAGTCCATAAAATTGAAGGGTGGTGTGTAGTCAGTCCGTCCAACATTTTGCCGCCCGGACTACCGTACAGTCGAAGCCAGTCGACTACCACTTTCCGAGACTGTGGGGGTCGAACTACCCACCTTGTGGCTACTAACGGGACCGTAATCGGCGTACACTCCAACGGGTTGCAACTTGAGCATCGATATATGAATCATGATCGAGGGTTCCAACTTCTGGCTGGCAAGATCTTGACAGAATCGCACTCGAGTACCTACCTAAGGTATTTGAGCATTCCCGCATTGAGCGCAGAGACGGAACGTGTGTTAAGTAGGGCTAAAATTACTCTCTCTCTCTCTCTCTCTCTCATCGCCGCTACGGCCGCCGGCGCTGCAGCAAACATGGGTGATGGATGACGCACCAGAGGCACTAGAATGTCTCAGAAGCTGGTAACGGGATGGTCTTGGAACTGGTATCATACATACTGGTAGGGCGGTATCAATACGGGAGACTACCACTGTGTGGTTGCACTGTGTGCGGAGGATTTACAATAGCTGTAGGTATTATAGACGTATAGAAAAGAGTTCATCACTGAGTTCAAAGATTTTCTATTCAAACTGCCGTCCGTCCAGTCCTAGTTATCAGCCGCGCAGACTGCACAGTCCAGTCCGACTGATACCGAAAAAACGGACTGCACTGGTCTATCGAAGGCACTGAGGCCAAGAAATTTCGAGTCCTCGGCGCCTTCAGGTAAGATGAAGATATTCATTCACGAAGCCCCCTCTCTCCCTACATAGAATGTCACCAAGCATTCCGGAAGGAAGAAACGTGGTCCACGCGATGCGGTGTGCATTTTTTTTTGCGCCGTATTGGCCACGAGAACTGTTTCTGCACGCACTGTCCAACACGAAAGATTCCTAAGCCCGCGGGTTTAAACTGTGAACTTTTGCAAGATATCTCGACTCTCGACTCGAAGGTGAGGTGTTGTATGATTAGCGTTGTCATGTCACAAAGCTTGACTGAGCTTAACACACTACCATGCACCGCTCTAGCGACTCTGCGGCCACACCCTAACTAGCAGTATCCTGCTAGCAAGAGGGCTTGCATACCGACTTCTGCCATTCAGCCTGTTTAAAGCATCCGGAGCTAGAGTAGACGGCGCCCCGATTAACTATTATGATTTTGGTGGCGTTTGTCGGACATGAACGTAGCGCCGCAACAGCACTCTGGGCAGGGCACCCGCTAACTAACGTACGTACTGTGACAACTATTCCCAACGGAGTAACGAAAGTACATAGATACGCAGGATACGATAGTGCTGGGTAGGTACGTACGGTACATAGGATGTACCATAGCCTCGGAACATTGTATTTGCGCTTGAACTACCGTATGCACCGCTGCTATTGCATGCTGCCGCAGGCCGTGGGTATTAATCCGGCCGGAAGGAAAGGCGACTGACTCGGAAGGAAAGTCTTCCGTCAATAAGAATTAGGCTCATGATGGATAGATAGATGAAACGGTATGTAGGTACAATACATAGCGGCAACTACTAGTGGGTACTTAGGGAGGTACATACGGTAGTCTGTTCCCCCACAGCACTTCCCCACAGCGCTTCCCCCTCCCTCCCCACAGCGCTCACCCCGTCCCCCGCCCCCCGCCCAGCGAGACTTCCCCGATGATCGCTCCCCAATTACGCTACCAGTAGGACGGCACACACATCCGCACAACTCAGGAGTCAGCTCGCGTGATGCGTGATTGGTGAGTAGGAGCAGCAGCAGGATACCGGTATACACCCATAGATACATAGAGTACAATACATATATAGAGTCTCAATCTGCGTGAGCCTTGCAAGTTACCTACATACATACAAGCGAAACGCAATGATTTTCCAAACGGCTGGGGGTTGGTGGGGGGAGGATGATGCCCCCCTCCCCGATGGAAACCTGGTAGAACTTTGTCTGGAAATTCCAAAACTGCATCGTGGACCATGTCTATGGGACTGAGAAGTTCCACAACACATACATACCGTACATACCGGTACCCAAGAAGGCATGTGTGCCTGCCTGCCTGGCACTGCACTGCGATCCGTGGTTCCAACTTCCGGTAGCCGTTCGATGTCCGTTCGTTTCATTCCTTTCGGCGGACTCCGACTGAATAGTCAGAGAATGTGTCGTGTACACAGTCATAGTCACTTCGATGCCATAGCTAACCACCGTAGCGTCGTAGGTGTGTATGTACATAGCGGTGTTTGTCGACTCCTTGGTACGGTAGTTGAGATAGTTACCTGTCTAGACTCGTGAGTAGAGCGGAGTAGAGTAGAGTAGGTGAGTTCTTGGGTACGTATCCTTCCTATCAGCCAACAGTTACCGGTAGCGGGTAACATTCGGACGAGTACCGTAGCCGGTGGAACGGGAGGGGCGGGAGGCTTTCGGAGTCGAGTGAGTCTGCAGTCTAGACCGTAACTGGAGATGTTTCGACTCCGCTCAAATCTCAAACAGGAGACGAGAGTTCCGAACCTAGAATCCCCTCATCCCGCTCTCCTCCTCCATTGCGTGCATTCGATATCGGAGTGGGCACACCGCCACGCCACCTCTCCGCACACACTCCTGTAATGAATGCCAGTCCAGCACCGTACGGCATTGCCGCTCATTCTTCGATACCGGTATGTATGCGTGTATGTGCATATGAGGTACGGTACGTATCACTCGCCCGCAGACCTGTCCGGACTCCGTAGTTTAGCGGATGGACGTTGAAATTTTAAACTCGGCACCTCCGTTTTCCCCGCGGCGGCGCTAGCGTATTGCTCTAGTTAGATAGCGCGTGTGCGGTCATCGGTGCGCTAGTTAGTGGCAATATATCCGTTCTGCCGTGGGCCAGCCAATGGATGGATGGCGACGTGCAAGATACCAGGGATCCAGGATGTCGATTCTCCACAGATACCTACCCCGCCATCTTTCTTTTCGCGCTGCTGCTGCTCTTCGTCGTCGGTAGGGGTTTGAGTTGGGTTTGGATCAGACTACGGCATGATAGTGTACCATGTAGCGTCTCCCTCCAGTGAGGTTGCGAACAAAGTTGCGACTGCCTGCTTACGACTGCGAGTACGACGAGCGACGACCGCTCTTCCAGTAACCGCTCGCCCCTCCCGATGCCGTCCGCGTGATACGCTGGCTTGGCGGACCCTTCCCTCCCCTCCCTTTCGCAACCCTTTCGCAAACAAATGCAGCTGCAAGTTGCAACGCCCGGGTATGCATGCGTGATGCGTGATGCGTACATAGCAGCAGCGCGGAGAAATCTAACAAACCTGGGGCCCGGGGGATGGGGGAGAGTGGGAGGAGTTGGCAACTTGGCTCAGCTCCACTCCCTTTATGATAGACATGCATGCATGAATGCATCGTCGTCCCAGAAGCAGAAGAAGAAGCAGAAGAAGAAGCAGAAGAAGAAGCAGAAGAAGAAGCAGAAGAAGAAGCAGAAGAAGAAGCAGAAGAAGAAGCAGAAGAAGAAGCAGAAGAAGAAGCAGAAGAAGCAGAAGAACAAGAAGACGGGTCTTCTGACGTATCACAATACTTGCATTGAACATACCTACCGTATGTATGTGTGGATGGCCCGCTCTGCTGCTGCTGACGGAGGACGGTTGCAACTTGCAACTTGCACATCCCTAAGTTTGAGTGAGCCGGAATCCATGCTGAGTCGGGATCCATGCTGAGTCGGGATCCATGCTGACGCCGGATTGGCGGGTGGTGGTGGTGGTGGTGGTGGTGGTGGTGGCTCCACGGTCGATACCCTCGGGGACGAATCGGTCGAGCGGCTTTCGTACCGTACTTGTTGGTGACTTTTTGTTTTTTATGTTTGACTTTTGTTTTTTCTGTGGGATCGTTCTTATTCCTGGTGTTGCGTTCTTCTTCTTCTTCTAGGCGTCAGGTTTGTGAACAGGAAGTGAGATGGCCTTTTCGTCGTCGTCAGAGGAGGAGGAGGAGGAGGTGCGCACTGCGGAAGCCTCGAAGTAAGCCTGCCCGAGTACCTTAGCGGCTGATTTGTCGTCGTCCGCTGCGGCATCGTGCAGCCGAGGTGCGCAAAAACCGCTGTGGCACGTTGCACGTGGCGAGTGATGCACAATGAACCTTTCAATGTTCGGCCTGAAGAGTAGACTACCGGTACGTTTGACGAGGCTATGCCGCTATGCCACTTCCCTGGGCCACCTCCACACCCGCACCCGCACCACCACCACCGAGACAGGCGGACGGACGGACAGACAGCCAGACGGACAGCCAGGCAAACACCCGATACCAAGGCACATCACAGCGCCGCCCGGCTTCTTCTTTCTTCAGCTAATCCTTTATTCGCGGAAATATTCCACCTGCCGCCTTTTTTTCGCTCATCCTTGATTTTTCGATTCGCGGAAAGCGGTTCACCTGCCGATTGCGGATAATTTCCAGGGTGGGAGGGGGGGCTTACGCGCAGATGTCACGGGTACCGTCTCCCACCTTGCCACACCCCCCCCCCCCCCCTCCCCTCCAGGCTCCAGGCTCCAGGCCTCTCCCCGCCTCCCCGCCGCCGCAGCCCGGCTGCGTCAAAAGTGAGCCAATCCGTATGCGAGCCGAAGGCGGGGCCGTCATTTACTCCGTACATAGAGTGCGAGCGTATGTGTGTATCATATGTACCCTAGACATGTGCAGTGCTATCGGGGTGTCTTCAAGCCCCCATCCTTCCCACACCCCCATACACCCCAGTAACTGAACCGAACGATGATCACTGAACGGACTGTGCGTTTTTTTTTCTTCCTTCACAGTTTAGAGTGCCGTCGGTAGAGTAAGTAAGATGTATGCAGGTAGGAACGTAGGTAGGGTACTACTTACTCTATTCCATGCTATGCCATGCTATGTGTGAACATATGTGTATGATACATGCATCCTCTCGCCTTGTTGGCACGCATGCGATAGATATAGTAGATGGGACTCTGGAGGGAGGGAGTAGGGATACACCCTTGTGTCGGAATCCCCTCCAGACGGGCATTCCCCAGCTGTATTCTTCCCTTTCGTGGGGAATGCGGACGCGCACGCAAGTCATACGAGAACATTGACATCCGAGCGATCTGGGATGTGGGGATTCTGCTACTGCTGCTGTTGCTGCTGCGAATGATGCTGCGCATGGTGGATGATGATGGGCATTCCCATGTTGCTTTCTCGACTCACCCTTCAACTGCCCCCCCGAGTTCTGAGGTTGCTCTCCGCAACTCTGGTCGATCAGCAGGAATCCGAGACCGGTTCTCGGTATCATGATGAGCAGTGTAAGCGTATGTACCCACGCAAGTACTTGGGTACCTGTATCTACCTACCTGGAGGCTGGGTGTGTATACAGCGTAGAAGTGCCGCTACTGGTATATACGCAAAGTACATAGTGGTAAATAGTCCAATTGCTTATCGACTCCACTCTCGATGTAGGCACTCAACCTAAGCCACCTATCGTACTCTTAACGAAGTCCCCAAGTCCCTAATTACTTACTCCAACTTATTTACCGATACACTAGGTACTCTACTCTAACTACTCTAGCCCCCAAGACCCCACGGTGATCGACACCGGTACGGCTGGATTCGACCGGGCCAGAATCTCCAAGAGTCCAGGCAGTAACGTTACTAGCGGCGTAGGTAGTCAGTCGGGTTCCCCGCTCCGTAACACAGCTGGATTCTGGCCGTACATAGCAGGTAGTGGTGGTGATGGCGGTGGAGGTGGTGATGGCGGTGGCGAGCAAGAGTGCAAAACTTCGAATTCACGCATGCGCAGTAGATGCTGGGCAGGGCGGTTCTGCAGTCTGCCCAGTGCCGGCCATGTGTGTCCCTCGCAACTTTGGAAGGCTTGCTTTGCTTCCATCGCTGTGCGATAACTACATCTTACTTGTGGCCACAGCCAAGGCGTAGAACAGGTACGATATGCGGTAACGCATCCGTATGCATGGCGTTCAGTGGCTGCCGCATGTGCAATCGCGCAGGTTTCGAAAGCGCCGCCGCTTCCTGCAGGCCGAAGCATCCTCCATACCCACTCTACTATCATGCTAACTAGGACCCTACACACACTCGGCGGATCATCAGTGCTTGCCTGTCGACAGTGATGGAGGCCACTACTGCGGAGAGCTCTCGACGTTGCAACTTGCAGGCTAGGTACTATTCTAGTTACTGGGGACCCGTCGATTCCACATCCCACCACCGCCTCCATTCACCTCCATCACCATCACCATCACCACCACTAACCACCACCGTTGTTCTCGCCACCTGCCTCCTTGGTCCAGTTTCCTGTATGCTCCGCTTCCAGGAATCCACCCCATGCTCCATATACACGCTCGCTCGTGTGTCATGCAATCAATCGGGAAATATGATTCGTTTTGCTCTGCTCTATGTGTGCAGCTTGGCTTAGGTAGTTAGCCTGTCTCTGAATACTAGCCGGCATCCTGTGCGACCCCCGTATGTAGAATTCAATGTGCATCTGCATTCCCGGTCTCCCATGCCGTAGTCGAGCCTCCACTCTCTGTATCTCCCTCTCCCTCCCTCGCTGTCTCGCTCTCTCTCGGCCGTCCGCAGCAGGGGGTATATATTCCTCCCCACCCCGCGCATTCACTTTCATCCTTTCGTTGTATCTCACCATCCCGTCCACTGTCTGCGCCCACAGACACATCAAACATCCGGAACCATGGCAGACGAAAAGATTGAGCCGGCGACCCACCATCATGATGCCGCCATCGCCGAACATCGCGGCGGCGTGGCCCATGTCGACCTCAACAAGAATGTCGAGGCCAAGTAAGTCCCCCTTGCTCACTCACTCGGAGGCATGCGTCGACGGGTGGTTGGTTGGTTGGTTGGTTGGTTGGTTGGTTGGTTGGTTGGTTGGTAGTGCAGAGGTGACTGACGCTCTCGCTCTCTCCCGAATAGGATCCAGAACCCATTGGCCGATATTCCTCGCGAGCAGCTGATGCGTGACGTCTCTGCCTTTGCGACCGAGCATGGCCTGGAGGAGGCTACGGGACTGCTGCAGCGGGGCGCTCTGGTTGCCCAGGATCCGGCAAACTTCGAGTCCGTCAAGGAGCTCACCGAGGAGGAGAAGGAACATCTCCGCTTCGAAATCTCACACAAGTGGAAGCACCCCAACGCACTGTACATGACCATCATCATCTGTTCGATCGGAGCTGCTGTCCAAGGATGGGATCAGGTACGCTACTTCCCCCCCACCCCCGAGTGGCAATTTCGAGGTGAAGTGGATTGGCGATGCTGATTACCGGTTCCCCCGCTGTAGACTGGTTCCAACGGCGCAAACCTCAGTTTCCCCAAAGAATTCGGTATCGGCCATGGCGATGACCCAACTCAACCCAACCACGACAGGGACAATTGGCTCGTGGGCTTGGTCAATGCCGCCCCTTACATCGGATCTGCTTTCATGTGCGTACCATCCTATACATATCGGGTTGTTGTTTTGAGGGTAGTGGACCAGATTGGCTGACTGTACGACAGTGGATGCTGGCTCTCGGACCCCATCAACTTCTACATCGGACGTCGCGGTACAATCTTCATCTCGGCCATTTTCTGCTTGATTACACCTATCGGAGGAGCAATCTCGCGTTCATGGGAACAACTTTTCATCACACGTATTCTAATGGGTATCGGAATGGGCCTGAAGGGCGCTTGCGTTCCAATTTTCGCTGCCGAGAACGCACCCGCCGTCATTCGTGGAGCTCTGGTCATGAGTTGGTATGTGCTTCGGATTGAGATCTCCCCAAAAAGAAAGAAGAAAAGAAACGTACGGTTGCTGATAGAAGATGCAGGCAAATGTGGACAGCATTCGGCATCCTTCTGGGTTTCTGTGCCAATCTAGCCGTTTTCGATGTTGGAAAGATTGCCTGGCGCCTGCAAATCGGTTCTGCATTCATTCCCGCTATCCCTCTCACGGTCGGCATATACTTCTGCCCGGAGTCGCCTCGCTGGTACATCAAGAAGAAGAGATACCAGGATGCTTACCGCTCCCTCAAGCGACTCCGAAACTCGGAACTTCAAGCAGCTCGGTAGGTTTGATCGGCGGGGTTACATACTTACCTCGTGCACCTACTGACCTTCTTCGCAGTGATCTGTATTACATCTATGCACAGTTGGAGGTTGAGTCCGCCATCATCGGCAAGACCAACTACGCGACAAGATTCATCGAGCTCTTCACCGTTCCTCGTATCCGCAGAGCTACCCTGGCCGCCTTCACCGTCATGATTGCCCAGCAGATGTGCGGTATCAACATCATTGGTATGCAACCCCCAGAATTCCCAGATAGCCCCATCAAGCTAATCCTTTCTCACAGCTTTCTACTCCTCCACGATCTTCGTTCAGGCTGGTGCCTCCAACAAGGAGGCCTTGTTGGCTTCTCTCGGTTTCGGAGCGGTGAACTTCGTTTTCGCATGGCCTGCTATCTTCACCATCGACACGTACGGACGACGAACACTGCTGCTCTTCACCTTCCCTCAAATGGCATGGACACTTCTCGCTGCTGGTTTCTGTTTCTACATCCCGGAGGGAAGCAAGGCGCATCTGGGGCTCATTGCGTTCTTCATCTTCCTGTTCGCCGCTTTCTACTCGCCCGGTGAAGGACCCGTGCCCTTCACCTACAGTGCCGAGGTTTTCCCCTTGTCTCACAGAGAGGTTGGAATGGGCTTCGCCGTCGCCACTTGCCTGTTCTGGGCGGCCGTCCTTTCCATCACCTTCCCACGATTGCTAGCCGCATTCTCGCCGGTTGGTGCCTTTGGCTTCTATGCCGGACTGAACGTGTGCGCGTTCGTCATGATCTTCCTGCTCGTAAGTTCACACACCCCCCAACGGGCTAGACTGTTGCTACGACATCCGCTAATCTTTTGCGATTCAGGTTCCCGAGACCAAGCAGAGGACACTTGAAGAGTTGGATTACGTCTTTGCCGTTCCTCTCAGAAAGTTCATGAGCTACCAGACTACCAAGGCTTTGCCGTGGTGGGTCAAGCGCTACATCTTGAGGAACAAGACTGCGAGACTTGAGCCGCTGTACCACTTTGACCGTGGTGTCGAAGGTCGCGAGAACGACACCGACTCGGAAAACAAGGAATGATTCACGGACTTTTAGAAGCATGATCTGGACCTGGTTTTTTTGTTGTTTGCGACTTTTTAAGAAGGCGATGTTGTTTTTCTGAAGAGAGCGAATATAGTAGTAGTTTACTTTGCCTTGCTTGACGATTTACGAAGTGAATAATCAACTATTGCCCCACTCTTGTGAATCGGGTGATGATGCTTACGCGTGGTGAGACGTGGTGATGAGAAAATAAGCTCGTGCTACCTGCCGCTCGCGTAGGACGCTGCATGGCTTGGTGAGCTCACGATCGAACTACGAGTCGATGGTTTGCCCAGGCTCTTGGAGGATCAGTCGAGCTCCTGTACTCTACATAGAGGATCTTTCGGAGTGCCCCCGAGATCACCAGGTTGGTTATTGAGCTTTAGTAGATAATCAGACCTTCTGTATTTAGAAACTTGTATGTAGATGCCTGGAGTAGTTTCCCACACCCCCGCCCCCGCCCCGCCTCCACCACCCAGACGATATGTACCACCGACATCACCGATAGTTATCGCGATTATTATTATCGGCAGAATGTTGTCGTGCTTACTCCAACTAGAGCCAAGAGAGTCTAGAGAGAGTCGAGAGTCAAGCCTCCCTAACGGGAACTAACGGTGTCGATCACTCCATCCGTGGTCCCTGCACGCCGGGCCTGGACACCCTGCAAATCCCTGGGCAGTGCGCACCCTGCAAATCCCATCCCATCGCATGGAACTTGGAAGCAGTCATCATCAAGTTTTGACTCCCTGCCGCCGCCGTCGCCGCGAGAGCAGCCAGCAGCAGCAGCAAACTCCCACTCAATCCAAACCATCCTTTTGTTGTGTGTTTCGGTCGTCTCGTCCATTTTCGCCCCCCGCCCCCTCCCCCTCCCCCGCCTGACGCGTGTGTGTGAGTTTCGTGTGCGTGTGTGTGTGTGTGTGTGTGTGTGTGTGAGAGAGAGAGAACAGCAGCAAAGCAGCAACAATGTCCGGAGTCACGTACGGCTCGATAAGCGCGCCGTCGAGCGGTGGCGGTCTCAGCGGCGCAGGAGCGCAACGCTTCAATCGCGGACCGGTAAGTTTTCCGCGCTCGCGCGCCCATGTGCCTACCGTAAAAACATCCCCCACCCGTTCAGAGGCTCACGTGCGTGTGTCCGTGTGTCTCGCCGCCCATAGAGCCGAAAATCCTCCGTCATCATTCCGTCGACCAACACGCGCGTGCAAGATCGCAGCTACACGCTGGCTCCTGAGTACCGCCCCCCCCCCCCCCCCCCTCCTTCTTCTTCTTCTGCTGTGCTGTGGGGTGTAGCTAAACAGGGTGCGAAAACAAAAAGACAGCACTCCCCCCGCGTCCCGGAGCCGTCGGAGACGAGCTCGCTGTTTGGGCGCGCGAGCGTGTCGTCGGGGAACGTGAATGGGAGTGTGGTGCGCGCTACCGGTGCCGGCATCCGCCGGCTCGGAGCGAAGGCTTGGAGGTTTGCCAATAGCAGGAAGGCGAAGATGGTGCTTAAGTGCTCGCTGGCGTATTTTATTGGCAGTTTGGCGACGTGCGTTATTCTTCCTCTTCTTTGCCCGTGGTAGGCTGGGGAGGCTGGAGGCTGGGGAAGGGGGGCTGATGGAAGGGAGACAGATACGTTACGCCGATTTCGAGGTTGCTGGGGCATTATGATGGCAAACATTTGGTGGGTCTCTTCGAGCGAGCGAGAATGCGGATGGTTGTTGGGTGGTTTCTGACGGGTTACGAAACTACGCAGGTTGCTACGTTTGCTTGTTACTTCCATCCAGGTATGCGGACATGGCGGACATGGCGGAATGGTGATGTGTGGGGCATACGGTTGACTGATGTGTGGTCGACTACTAGCGAGGACTGCGGGAAGTATGCATCAAGCAACGATATATGCCCTCATAGCGTTTGGCTACAGTATGCTTGTTTCTTTCGGCAGGTAAGTCGTCGTCGGCGGGGAAAGTCCACGTCTTTTTTTCAGCGGAGGTCTGATTATCTTGCAGTATGGGACTGTCGGTTTTGTTTGCCAGTATGGATCTTATAGAACTAGGTAATCCGCCAAGTGAGCCGGAACTTTTCTGGGCAGTGGCTGATTTTTATAAAAGGCCACGCGTTGATCCTCATCATCTTTTGCGGCGGCGGTCTGGGAGTAATTGGTTATGTCAAACATACGAAGGCCCATCCTACCGTCAATGTGGCGTGCTCGATGGCTTCCATATCGATCATCACGATCCTGACCAAAGAAGGTGCTCATCCAACTCGTAGTCTGTCTGATTTCTGTTTCTGATTTGCTCAAGGCTCCGTGCAACTCGGCCACTTCAACGCGGGGAAAATCGCGCAAGTATCGATGATCCTGCTGATGGCAATCGGCGTATCATACTTTGTATCCTTCGCCCTGTGGCCGACCTCGGCCGTCAGCGAGCTCCGCCAGCTCATGATCGACTCGATGGATGCGTTCTCGGGATCGCTCGGGGGGATCACCCACAGCTTTCTGCGCGGCTCGAACGAGGATATCGACAGCTTCAAGTTCGCATCGATCGAAGCCAGCCACCGCACGGTGTTCAGTTCCTTACTCAAGCATCTCAAAGAGGCAAAGTATGAGCATTTCGTCCTGGGCACCGAGAAGCAGCACAGATCGGAAATGCTGTTGGTCGAGAGCATGCAGCGCCTCTCGCAGAACATTGGCGCCCTCCGGAGCGCGGCTATAACACAGTTCTCGCTCCTGAAGGAGGTCCGCGAGCGCCAGGGCTCGGATCCGATCCCGCTGGATGCCCAGACGAAGAGAGATGCAGAGGCCAGGCTGCTGTTTACCCCGCCGTCGCCCATCATGGAATACATGCCCGCCGAGCAGGCGTTCGGGGAGACCTCGGATTCGGATATCCCCGCGGAAGAGTCTGCCGACGAGGATGCGCTCTCGCCATCGTCTATTGTTTTTAAGGAATTCATTTATCACCTTGGTCCCCCTATGGTAAGTCTAACCGTTAGGATTTTGTGTATGAGATATTCTAATCCGCGTTCAGAAATCACTCGCCTACACGCTTCGCGAAATGCTCGACGAGCTGCCGTTCGGGCCCGCGCCAGCGTACAGGATCGAAACGAACCCGAATTTCAAGGAGAGTCTGGAAAGCGCCATCAATCTGTTCAACGAGAAGCGCGCCGAGGCGCTGAACAACCTCTACCGAGGCGAGGTAATCACCAAGGCGCAATCGCTAGATGTTGCTGCAGATGTCGAGGAGATGGCGGCGAGCTGTGGCTACTTCTCGTACAATCTTACAATCTTTGCCGAGGAGATGAAGACGTTTCTAAGTGTGCTCGAGGAACTGCAAAGGCTCCAGGAGAACAATGTCAGATCGTGGGAGTGGCTGAAGTTTTGGAAGAGGCTGGGGAAGAAGACGCCCGTGAGGGATATGGAGGAAGGTAAGTCGTCACGATGCGTTATGGGATAGACTCGGCTTATGTTCTATGTAGAGGCACTCCTGCGCACTCCAAGCCAGGAACAGATCTATTCTCTGCAAAAACGACGCACTATTCCAAACGTTGTTCTGCCACCGGAGGCTAAGGTCCCGGTCACATACAAACTGTGGAAAGCGCTAGGTGCCCTCCGGCAGGATCACATCAAGTTCAGCGTGAAAGTCGGAGTCGGCGCAGCGTTGTATGCAGCCCCTGCCTTCATTCCTGCCACAAGGCCGACCTTCACACTATGGCGTGGAGAATGGGGTCTCGTCTCTTACATGATCATCATGTCCATGACGCTCGGCCAAACCAACAGCTCTGGCGAAGCACGTGTTGTGGGTACCATGGTCGGCGCGGTCCTCGCACTGGCTGCCTGGATCACGTTTCCCGAGAACCCCTATGCGCTGCCGATATTCGGCTGGATGGTGTCTCTGCCGTGCTTCTGGATTATCCTCAACTGGAAGCAAGCCACGTTTGGACGCTTTATCTTATTGACATACAACCTGTCGGCACTGTACGCGTACTCGATTTCCCTGTCGGACACGGACGAAGACGACCCGGACGACGACGAGGGCGGCGTGAACCCCATCATCTCGGACATCGTACTGCACCGCTTCGTCGCCGTGACAGTGGGCGTGCTCTGGGGGCTCTTCATCAACCGCATGATCTGGCCTCTCAGCGCGCGCTCACAGCTTAGGAAGGGACTGAGCGTGCTGTGGCTGCGCATGGCGCTGATCTGGAGCCAGGACCCGCTGAACTGCCTCATCGACGGCGGCGGCGGGGACACGCACGAGAAGAAGTACAGGAGCATCTCGGACGTGCCATCGCTGCAGAAGGCGCTGATCCGGCTGAATGGCCTGGCTGCGGCGGCCCCGCACGAGTATAGACTCAAGGGCCCGTTCCCAACAAAGGAGTACCAGAACATCTTGAAAGCGAACCAGGCCATCCTCGATGCGTTCCACGGAATGAGCGTCATGATCGCAAAGGATCCGCGCGCGAATCGCAGGGAGACGGATATTCTCAACCACACGAAGAAGGTGAATCCTCCCCCCCCCCCATAGGAAGGAGCGGTTGTTTCCCCGATCTGGCGAACTGACTATGATCCAGGAACGAGACGCCCTCTGCGCCCGCCTCAGCCACTTGTTCTATGTTCTTGCCAGCTCCATCCGCTTGGCCTTCCCGGTGCCAGAGCACCTGCCGAGTCCGGACAGGGCGCGCGATAGGTTGCTCGCGAAGCTGTACGAATACCGTACGCAAGTGCGAGGGACCGAAGGAGAAGTCGATGAGGACTTTGCCATGGTTTACGCTTACGGTAAGTTTTCGACTGCATGTGTTTGATACCTACGATGGGGCAAAGCTAATACGGCGAATGCAGTCTTGGTCACGGCGAGGATCTCGGAGGGTCTGGATGAGTTGACGTGCGCCGTCGAGGCGCTCTACGGTGTCTTGGAGGATGAGATGCTGGAGATTTAGGATATCGAGGGCCTAGCCCGCTGGTGATGGCAGGAAGGGGTGTTTGAGTACTGCAGCTGCAGTTCAGCGCTAGCCGGCCGTGTAAATTAGATGTACTTATGTTTGATCAAGCGAAATGATACCCGGACATTAATCTGCAATATCAAAAGTCATGACACCTTCAACGAGAATAATAGTTTTTGTGAATCTCGCAAGCCATCACTCGTTCTCGTGAGAATCGCCCGTTGCCAGTGGACCGATTACACCACAATCCCCCGATTTCGGAACCATGCATGCTTACTGGGGAGCGCATCCCTAACGCGCACCTCTCACAGCCTGCACCTTCGGCAGCGGCACCTGCTCACCAGCGGGAATACCCGTCTCCCCGAACCTCAGCACGGCCAGCAGCACCTCCATCTCAGCATCCATCCTCTTCTTCCGCTCCTTCTCTCCCTCATCATCCTCGCCCTCATCCACGACCCACTCGTCCTCATTAACCGTGCCCCCCTCCCGCTCCTCATTCGTGACCACCACATCAACCCACTCCCTGCTGTCCTGCACGTCCCCCACGATCTTAGCCGCGGAGCCCCACAAAGCCTCGACGCGCACGTCGACCGCCGGCGCCTGCAGCGCTGACCAGACCAGGTCGAACGTCTCGGGCGGCGGCTTCTTTGTCAGGAGCGTCGTGAGGAGGATCTCGTGTGTGGACGCCGGGAACGATGGTAAGGGGTACGTCGTCATCGCGGACGAGGAGTGCAATGGGAAGTGCGTGTGCAGTGCCGACGTCACTGAGTCCATCGTCGAGGAGAGAACGTTGAAGTGCGATTGCATCTGCTCCCTGGGTGGGGGTGAGCGGGCGGGGTGTGCGTGGAGTGGGTGGAGTGCGGGGCTCACCATGGAGGCAGCTCGTTCGGCTTGCTGAGGATTAGGGTCCGCCGGAAGGAGTCGAGCGATTGAACTAGTTGCTGTAGGCGCAGGCGCGTAGTGTCGAGGGATCTTTGCGGGTGGTCCATGGTGGTTGTGGTGTGAGTTGTAGAGTGAGTTGTGGTAAGAGGTAGTTGTGTCTGAAGAATATGGAGATGTGGCAGAGGCGGAGGTGGAGGGAGTGTTGGAGCTAGTGGGTGAGTGAGGGGAGGTGGTGGGGGTTGGATAAGAGGTGGTGGGTGGGGTGAATGGGAGTATGAGTAGTTGGTGTTGGTTGGTTGGTTCCGGGGCGACGCGACGTGATCGTGAATAAGTGTCGTCAACCCTGAATCACGTGTCAGGCATAGTAGTAACCACGGGGATGCAGCATCAACTCCCTATTCTCACTCGGTTTTCACACTCATCACTCACGGTACCTACCCACAGTCTGGCCCCACATCCAGGACTTGGTCCAGGAGCAATCAGTGTCCAACGAGTAGAGGCAACTTCTCAGACGGCGGAAGAATATTGCTGCATATTTAAGGCCAGTCTACGGAAGGTTTACTTTACACCTGTCACCCTCCTCCCCACCCCCAGAATTACTAGTATGCACACCCAAAATCGAAGTGAAATCATCATCTCATTTAGTAGTCTATAGTCTAAACTGGTATCACGGACCTCAAACAAATCTATTTACAACAAACGCCGCCTCTGTATGTACTACTTCTTCACCCCACCCGGATACAACCTCGAGAAGACATTCCTACTCCAGCCATCCCTCTGAACGACCGTCTCCCTAACGAGCGTATAGCCCCCCATCTTCGGCAGCACGACAGCCCAGAAGAGCCAATACACCGCTCCGGCGGCCAAAAACGCGATGCCCACTATGCAATGCAGCCAGTACGGCAAGTGGTCGTAGATGTTCCCGCCGTTGGCGGGAGGCACGAACGGTGCCGCGATGAGGTATACGTTGGCGAGGTTGAAGATCACGGCGATTGGGAGGGTCGCTTTGATCGCTGGCTTGAAGTCCGGGAATGACGACTTGTTCAGGTAGATGTAGATCAGACCTGCCGACACGAAGAAGTTGACGATCGAGAGCGGGTACGTAATCACGTTTAGGATGAAATCTGGCATGCGTTAGTCGTTTTGTACGGTTCATTATCAAGGGCGTGGGGGGGATGTACTGTAGGCATCACCGGGAGGTGGAGCAAGCATGATGATGACCGAAACCAGCCAGTGCTCGAAGAGACCGGCAAGCGGGGCATCAAAAGGCTTGTTGGATGCGAAGAATCCAGAGAAAGGAAGGACGCCCTCACGTCCAAGCTCCTGAACAACTATAAGAAGAAGTCGATTAGCATCTGGATTGTCAACGGGGGATCGGCGGCCTTACTTCGTCCTTGCGAGAATATAACGCTGAGCACGTTGCCAAACGCCGATAGCGCGACGAAGACACTAAGAGCTCTTTCGGCTGTTCCGCCAAAGACATTCCTGAAGAACGACGCGGCAAGGATACGGCCAGATGACAGGATCTCTTCCTTTGGTACGGCAGCAACTGCATCAGTCAGCGAGAGTAAATCTCAAGCCATAGCACAGTTGGAAACCCACAGTATGCAATATTAACCAGCATGTATAGTATTCCCACGAGTAGCAGAGCCAACGGTGCCGCGATTTTAAGAGTTCGCACTGGATTCCGCGTCTCGCTCAAGGCCTGGAAATGTCAGCTTTAGGGATCCAGAAGACCGAACCGTACATACATAGTTTGCGTTCGAGTAACCAATGAACGACCACATGACATTGTAGAGGGCGTTGACCACGCCGTAAGCACTATTGGTAGTTCCAGCAAACGCATTCGAGAAGTTGTCTGGCTTTTCGACTTTCAATACACCTCCCAGAGCCGCCCAACCGGACACAACGATGATCAGAATGATCAACAGCTTGACGATGCCCAAGAAGTTCTGGAGCCGGAGTCCCCACTTCAGCGCCAGTCCGTGGATCAAGAACGCCGAGGTGATGCATGCCAATCCGACGCCCCTCTGGTTCCAGCGGTCGACTTCGACATTCGCGGCGTGGAGGATGTATTCGCCAAAGACGACGCTGTTGGATCCCGCCCATCCGAGCAGGAACACGTACGAAGCAAACATCCCCGTCGCGAGGAACTTGGGATGTCGGTAGACATATTCGAGATAGTTTTTCTGGGCACAGTAGAGATTAGTCAATGGCTGCGAGGGCTGCTGCGGATGTGCCACTCTAGCTAACCTCTCCGCCATTCCGAGGAATAGCAGTGCCGAACTCGAGGTAGACCGCCATTCCCGTCGCCGAGATAGCCATGCCCGCGACCCAGAGCAGCAGTGCGAGGCCCACGCTCCCACTCAGCTCGAGAATGGCACTTGGTGTTGCAAAGATGCCGGTACCAACCATGCGGTTGAAGATCAGAAAACACGCACTGACGAGCCCGATCTGCCGCCGTTCGTCTGTAGTCTGCTCAAAGACCTCGCCATCCACTGCGTGCGGAATACGTATCAGCCGCTGCCGCCCCCGTTGCTGGAGTGTCGAGGCTAGTTAGAACTTAGGTGAACTCACAAACCGCCGCGATGGCATCTGTCCTGACGGGACCGTGGGCCTGCACGCTGGCCGACCCACTCGGCGCATCCGCAATCTTTCCTGTATCCCACATCCCGTTCTTTTTGATCCAACGAATGCTACCTATGCAGAAACTTGGGGCGTATATAGAGAACCGAATCGACGAAAGCTTCAAGTCCGAGTCGGCCGCCTCCACCACGGGGAGTCGGACATCTAATAAACCACACGAGCACGCGAGCACGCAATCCAGGCCCGAAAATTCTTTCCAGTTACCTACTGTTAGGGTCCGATGGCGTGCTGGGTTGGGTGGGTGGGCATCGACCGTGTGAGCCGAAAATTTTGGCCTCGCCTCGAGAGCCCGTGCCAGGAAACAAACAGGAACCGGCCGAGCACGGACCCAAGATTAGGCCGCTTTGGGAGATGTTCTGGAACTACTTTACATACATAGGTGCGGCGGGTGACGGATGGTGGGCCGACTCCGTGAAGCCTAAGGGAGACACTCGCACAGCTGGTTGCCCTAAACGGGAGCGCATGGGAGCGCTGCCGGTGCGATTTCGCCAAAGTCGCCATCGATGGATGGCTCGGAGGGGGCCGACGCAACGCCCCCGCCCCCCGCCCGCCAGGTCAGGCCGCCCGCCCGCCACGGAAGCGAGCGCTCGTCAGATCGTCAGACGCCATCTATGTACACGTACTCTACGCATACATAGTCGTCACAGTAAGAAGGAAGCAGGTCTTGGAGCACCCTGTTCCTGTTCCTGTTCCATGCCGAAGACAGCATGGCATGGTGATGGCCAGCGGCCAGCCACAAAGTCTGGCGTCTGGCGATGGTCTGCTCTACTCTAGTTCCGCGGGAGATCAACAGGCCCATCCCTTGTTTGGGTAAGGCGCAAGCTGGGCGCCAGCTGGGCGCGAGCTGGGCGCAGGTGCCAGGAACTTGATATGTATGACATGTGTTGGCTGTCAGATCAACTCACCCGTTCCCACTGCAGTGCATTGGTCGATTGATCTTCGCCGGGACTGAAGGGATGAGTACTCTACTTACACGTACTGTGAAGAGTAGAGTACTGTAGATCTACATGTATGTTGTGTACGAGTACACACGCAGATACCGTAGCAACGTCTAAAGGCGTCACCGCCACCTTGAAGTTCCTCGAGAATACCTACCTCCATCCACAGCAGGGAGACGGAGCACCCTCGAGTCTCGCCCATTACACCATTACACCCTCAGCCAACTCTCCGCCTCACTCTCCACCTCTCCAATTTCACCACGCAACCACGCAACCACGCCCATGGCGTAGGCACCGTACACACTAAATACGAGTGTGCACAATGCACAAGATTCAAATCAAAAACCCCCCATTCTACCCGTGCCGTGATATCTCAGTACAAAAAACCAGACAAAACCAGAAAATGCCAAAAAAAAAGAATCCCAAAAGCCCCCCTCCCCTAGGATGGAAGGAAGGAAGGAAGGAAGGAAGACTGCAGGCGGATAAAGAAAAACAATGTGATGTGATGTGACCCTGGTATCCGGATCGCATCGTCAAAGGATATTTACCGAAAGATAAAAAAATGAAAACCCCCCGAAACGAAAAGAAAAGAAAAAAAGCACACGTCACGCCCATACCCCCGCAAAAATATGCACCGAAATTTCACCATCCATCCGCCCATCCATCCAACCAACCATCTCATCCAGCTACAATTCACCCCCATCATCGCCATCTTACAGTACAAGCTCTTGCCAATGACAGAGCATATGAAGCGCGCTCCAATCCAGAATGCAATGAGAAGAAAGGCTGATTTGGAGAGGGAAAGCCCCAAGCCCCAAGCCGACGCCGCAGGAAACAAACGATACATGCGTCCATGGCGACGAAAGAAGCTCTTAGGGTATAATAGGTACAATACATACCGCCTCGCCCGCCCCCTTCCTCTCCCTTCCTCTCCTCTCCTCTCCGTCACCTGCTCCTTCTCCTTCTCCATCTCCTTCTCCATCCATCAAGACGAGTGCTGCATCATCGATGCGGCGACCACGTCTTGAACTGTCGCGGAAGCACGGACGGCCGAGAACTGTCTCGGAGGCAGAAAATGGCGACGAGTGGCGATACATTACTGCGAGACCCACTCACCGCCCCTCTTGACGAACTTGTCGAGGAGCAGCGTAACATCCGCCAGAACGAAACGACAAATGTAAAAGCCAAAAAACTCTGCGGCATGCCGATGGCTCAGCTCCAAGCCTATGCGTAGTTTTATGGGTATTTTTTGCGGCATCGCTGCTTCGTCAAAAACCGTTAAGCGATCTGTTCGGGTATCGTTAGCGACAGTTCCCTATACCTATCTATCCATAGGACGGAGGCTGCAAACCTAAGATTTGAGCCGAGTCAAACAGTTTTGCCAGAGCAGCAATGTAATTCGCCTGTGGCCCACCAAACGTCACCTGGTCTATATCGCGCTTCGGCTGCAAAGAAGTATTTACGCCAGCACCCGCCATCGGCAGGCCGCTATACGACGATTCACCATTCGCCGCGGACCCCGAGCCGCCAAAAGTCGAGCCTAGACCATTGCTTGACGCTTTGGTACGTAACTTCCTGAGCGAGAAATACTTTCCGCCGCCACCGGCATTCCCAACCTTCGTGGTCACCATGTTGTCATTGCTCTCGGCCGTCGAACTGTCGCCGTATAGCGACCTCGCGCCGATGCCACCCACTTCGTTCCCAAGTTTCTTTGACAGCACCGCTTGTGCACGGTCCAATACGCCCTCTAGGGCCTGCATCTCCTCGAACACGGAATTGACTTGCTCTTGCTTGACGTTCGCAAGTCTCTGTAACGCGGCAGTAACCAGGTCGCAGGCATTGATCTTGTCATCGATGGCCTTTATCTTTACTCCTTTGATGTACCACACCTCTCGCGGAACGAATAGTTTCGTCGAGACATATCCGCCGTGAGGGTGGGCAATCGTTTGGTAGAGGCAGCGCATCAGCCAGAATGGCCGAGACAGAGGTTCCGGAGGGCAAGGCTCTAGAGGAGCTGGTCCTGATAGATCGGCCCCGTTGGCTGGCATGGTTGGGGAATGCATCTTGCTGTCGAAAAGGCCCATTCCGCTACCAGAAAGACCAGCCGTTTGCGGCGGATAAAGGGGTGTCATCGGAATATTAGGATTGCCGGGCGTTACCGACCGAGGGAAGCCTTTGCGGAGGTTGGATGTGCTTGAAGATGAGAACAGACTACTCTTTGGAGTACTGGGAACATCGAATTCAGGACTTGTCAGATTTCTACTCCGCAAGCTGGCCGAGGAGTGGATTTGCCGCAACGAAGGAATCCCGGGTATCTTTGGGGTGTACCCTATCCGGGCCGGTGATTCGGGCCCCGATGCCATCGCGATTTCGTTGGACAAAGTTTTCTGCAGGGGTGCTGTCGAAAACCCGCCATGTTCGTGAATAGGGGGCGATAGCGGCCTGCCCCCTTTCATTGTTAGGGGAGCATCGGTGTCGGTGTCCTGGTCGTGAGATGTACCAGGCCTAGAAGCATCATACGAGGGTGACTTTGGGGGGATGCTCAACGGTTGGATTGGCGGTAATGGTGGCTGTTCTGTTGCTGCAGTGGCCAATGGCGATGGCCCCTGTACCACGGTGGTGGGAATTGGCTTCGTGTCTATGGTCGCCAACTTGGATGTGCTTGAAGTCTCGATCGTGAGCGGTTCCACAGGCTCGGACAGGTTTGAAAGTCTGCGGCCTCGCACGCCGATGGCCTTGTTTACGGTCAGTCCGGGGGTGATTCCAGTCGGTTTGGGTAAGTCAATCCCAGGTGCAATTTCGGCAGGCCCAGTTATGGCCAACCCAGGAGCAATAATTGGGTGTTTGATTCCGTTTGACGGCGGTGGCGGAGGTGGAGGCATGGTTGGCGACGGGCCAATATCTAAATGTTCTAAATCCTCCGGTGGGACAGGAGGGGGCAATGGTGGAGGAGTCGTTGGAGTCTCATCAACTGTTGTCAAAGACATGCTTGTAGTCATATGCCCGGAATTCCATGTAGTGCCCGATGAATAGCCACTTGACGAAGAACCTCTTGCCAACGTCCCGTCCGAAAACTGCGTAGAGGTTGACTCCCGGGGTAGAGCCGTCTTCGTATCGAGATCGAAATCGAAGTCCAGAGTGTACCCTCTGGTCATCTCCTCGACCATCATTCTTTCCTCCTCGGAATCGTCGTCCTCGTCATCTTCCTCGTCGTCATCGGCGTCGTCGTAGAAATCGACATCCGATTCCCTCTTTGCCTTGATGAACATCCGCTCCTTTTCAATCCTCAGGCGCCTCTCCCTCTCCTTCTGTATCTCCAACTCCATCTCGAGTTCCACCTGCCGTACCCGTTCTTTCGCACTTTCAAGGTTTTCCCGCGGGCTTTGGTGCATAAAATCTGTATCTTCGAAGGAATAGTCGATCACATATCCTTCGTCGTACGCCGCCTCAACGGCCGCGTCGAGTTGCGCGTCGAAATCGTCATCCAGGTTATCCGCCGGACCTATTGGCTCCGGTGAACAAACCGACTTCCTGGTCCAAAGAGGCGATGGCTCGCCAACAGAGCTGCCAGATTCATCAATGGTGTTCAGCCACGACGTTGAAACCTCTTCACTCGCCTGTCGCGAATGGCTTTGCATCAATGACCTGGAAGATCTCGAGGAGGCGCCGGACGATGACCGCTGGATGCCATAATCCACAGCCTTCCTCGGAGAAAACCGTGGCGACAGAGCGGCAGCACCGAATGTGAATGACTCCCTGCTTCCAGGAACAGGTAGAGATTGACCAAGCCCCATGTCAAACCCAAGGTCATGCTCTGGCTCCAGTACAGGTTCCAATACCGGTGAGCGAATCGACCGCACAGGCGACAATGGTGCCGGAACGAAATTATGCGCCATTATGTTGCGTGACATCGGTAGAGGAGGAGGATGCGGAGGAGGATGCGAACGCTCTTCCGACACACCATCCGGGCTCGTGTACAAGGAATCGCGCCGCGGCGGCACCGCCGTTCGTATAGGGCTGCCGTAACGATCGTCTATCGAGGGTGCAGTGGAAGGCACAAGAGTCGATTCATCGTCTTCAACAGTGTATAAGCTGGCGCCATCCGTGAACTCTTCCGTCACAGGGCGCGGAGGAAGACTCCGTTCATACTCCTTATGTGGAAGAGGCGGCATTGCTCGTATCTCGTTCATCCGCTCCATATAGGCATCCTTCTATTGGTTCGAAAATCGCAATCAGCATTCACAATCACGCCTCGATTTCAAGCCTTGTATTCTCCTCTCCCTTTTTTTTTTGCCACGTCCCCAACTCCTAAAAGCATGATCTACTGAGGTGCTTACAATTGCCTGAAGCTTTGATCTGTCGTTATCCCCGCCAGTCCGGTTCATGACCTGACTCAACAATGCGCAAGCATCACGATAGGCCTCCATGGCCCCTTCAAGGTTCCCCGCATTGTCCAAGGTGACCGCCGTATGGGCTTTTTCCAGCGCGAATCCCAACATGGCCTTTTGAGACTGTGATCTATTACGCGATCCGCTTCTAACGTGACTCGGCGTGGAAGAACCCGGCTGAACGCGCGGTGGAGGCGGCGGCGGTGTAGGCTCGGTCTTCGCGTGTGTCCTAGGAGTGCTTTCTTCCTGGTACGGTGGTAGCAGAGGCGATGTCGTGATTCCCGGGATTTTCGAGAAATCGTCGCTTTCGGGTCGCGGTAGATTAAGGTCTGGGAGAACGGGAGGCAACGATGGTGTCACCGGCAGAGCTGGTACCTGCTTCCAGTAGAGGTAACTGTCAGTTGAAACGGCAACAGCAGTAGCAGACGATGGCGTCGTATTCGAAGAGCTGGTGCTCGGAGGGTGCGGGTTCCGTCGTAGAGGCGAGGATGACACGGAGTGACTGGTACGCGAGACACTCTTGGGATTCACATGCAATACCGGCCGGGCTTTCACGGCAGTCGTCGCTGTAGCGATCGCTGGAGTGCGGCCAAGGTCGACGCAGCTGCTCCGTGTGGTGGTGGTGGTGGTGTTGCTGGATACGAGGCTCGAAGTCCTGCGATGCGGTCCCCTTGGTGTTCGACTGCTCTCACCTGCCTGTCTCGTATGCGGTCTTTCTGGCAGACTCCAGCCTTCCGGCAGTCCCCTTTGGAAAGGCGCTGGGTTGTTGGATTTTCCAAGATCGGCCGTGGACCCCGGAGGTCCCTGCGGGGTGTGATGATGAAAGTCAGTGGATGACGGCTGCGATGAGGGGAACGCAGAGGACGAAGATGAGGATGCTGCCGCTACTGCTGTAGGTGGAGGGACTCGGCTTGAGCGCACCATTCCCTTCGGACTTCGCTGGGGCTCAATTGGGTAGAAGCTGGGTCTTTCCTTCCGGGGGCGTTGGGGCCCGAAGAACGTGAGTGGTGGAACGACGATAGCGTGGCTTACACAGATATTCGTTCTAACTACCCCCTGAGACCTGACCTCTCGGTGTTGGGCAGCAGGCGGACGGTATGGAACTCTGTGGGTTATCAGCGATTTTGGAGATGAAGGATGATTTGACTGGAGAGGGAGCTAGAACCAACGGAGAGGGTGGACTCTTTTTTTTCGTTTTTTTTTGTATTTTGTATTTTGTATTTTCTTTTTCTTTTCTCTTTTCTCTCTCTCTGAGAGCTGTCTCTCTCTTTCTCTCTGTCTCTTTTGAACGCCCGGGCCACGCACGGGAACCCCTGAAGCTGAGAAGCAGCAACAGTTGGGGCGGATGCAAGTGATGGCCTGGCTGCAAAACTTACGTCGATTACCGTATTGGCCACGCTGCGGATTTCACTTCTTCTTTTTAGTCCCTAAGTCCAACCGACCGACCGACCTCACAGCTGGGTCCATAACATCATCGTACCTCGGGGTTTCACTTGCGTCACTAGAGCTGAGCTGATTAGGCTTCTCTCTCTGTGTGTGTCTCTGCTTCCGTCTCCGCGCCTGCGCGTCTGCTTCCGTCTCTGTCTTTTGCCCTCACTCGGTCTGTCCCTCCGTCTCGGTCCCGGCGCTCTCTCTCTTTCTCTCCTTCTATCTCTCTTCTGGCCGGCCCTTTTTCTTTCCTTTCTTCTTCTTCTTTCGCACTGGTCGAGTCTCGATATACCACGCACGCCGGACCAGACTCGAGATGCTACTACTGCTCTAGTAGTATGTGATAACTAGATCTACCACCACCTGCGCCTCTTTGGGCAGGTCGGGTCGGGTAGTGAAGGATGAGTAGGGGAGGAGCGGAGTACGGATGATGATATGTCCTCTGACCAAGTGACGCCAATTGCGGCGACGACGGGGGGCGCAATTGTAAAAGGAAGTCGGCACGGTCTCAACCTACAAGAGGATATGAGAAGGGGGGAGTGGGGGGATTCCGGTCTCAGATTGTCCAGTGGAACTTCGCGAATTCCAAACGATCGACGGTTGTTCGGATTGCTTGCCTGTGCGATTGGGGGGAGATGGCGGGATATGCTTGCTATGTCGAGAAGAATATCAAGGCGAAACAACGAGCATTATCGATCGGTGCTATTGAGCCAGGTATCGGGACTGAAGCAGAGGCAGAGGCAAGGGGACGAGTGGATTGAGTGATTGATTGCAGAACAGTTCCGGCCGGAGTCGTGTCAGGATCGAAAGATGCGGAATCTGGGGGATATGGCTGGGACAGGCGAGGCGATAGATGAGCGGAAGGCGGAGCGCAGCTTGGGAAGAAGAAGAAGAGGAAGAAGAAGAAGCCTCTTCTGCCTCTTATTATCCATTCCAGCCGACATACATACCATGTGGGAAGTCGGATGGCATGTACCTATGCAAAGGGCCTACACCATTCCACATGTATACCGACCGAGGGCGCGAAGTGGCGCGGTTGCAGCTGTCGGGCTTGCTGGGTCTTATTACGCGGACAGACGTGGTTGTGCTCTGGACAGTGGATACATCTATAGATAAGTGAGTAGATACCTCGGTCAGTTATTTAACGTTGTGCGTTGGTGGAGTATCGACATTACTTTCGACTGGTCACTGGATCGATCGATCCAGACTCGAGCCGGTTGGCAGCGGAATTAGCACTTTCACTTTCACTATTGCATTCGCTTTCGCTTTGCGCGATGATGAATATTCATGATGCAAAGACAGCGCGAAGAAAAAGAAAGGAAGGGGAGGAAAAAGCAGAAAAAACGGCTTAGCCGTGACGATATCAGCCTGGAAGCTACCTACATCTCTACCTACCTTCTCTATGGAAACCGAACGTCCCTTTCTGCGGTCAGTTGTGATTGGCTGGCCTCGACTACCTGCTGACAACGGTGAAATGAGATGAGCTGCCTCACACCCCTCCCCCTCGTCCTCCTGTCATCGCCATTCATCGCGGATGCATCGTCCTCGGGCAAGGAATATCTTCAGGCACACATCAGACGTCCCAGGCGGGATGCAACCATGATCCAGGGCACGTATAGCATGCACACAGGGCTAACTGCTAGTACTAGTACAGTTGACGGTTTCAAGTCCATCCAGCGCTACGAAGGGGCCAATAACCCACGAGTCCAACAGCTGCCGCCCGCCTCGTTGTGTTCTGCGCAGCGCCTACATAACTACAACTTCGATCGTCAACAGCTGGAAGTGAATGGCCTCGCCTCACCCCACCCCACCCCCCGCCGCGCAACTTCGGAGGAATGCTGATGCGCAGGACGAAGCTGGCGAGTGTCCACGGGCCCGTGGGCCGTTCATGGTTGACTGCGGTACTGTAGTGTACCTACTACATACACGAATATGCCAATACCCGTGATCTTGCCGCTGCAGCCATGGTCCATAATGCAGTGCATGCAGCAGATGAACTCTGCATGTCATCCTTTGCCCGGCCCGCGCCACAAACGAATGATGAGAAAGGGGCCATAGCAGCCACATGGTTATCGGTAAATATGTAGGTGCTAGTTAGTACAATACCTACCGGTAGCTATCCGCAGAACGAGTGCAGAGCTGGGTATGTACCAGGAGCTGCCAATAAGTGGTGCCTCACCAACATTACGAATTATAAGCACTAGTCTATGTTGGGAGCGCACTAAGCCAGATATAATGAAATGAGTGAGTGGTTGTGACTAAGTTGTGTGGGGGAAAAACGCTAAGTTGTATGGGGGAAAACCTGGTGAGGCAGCACTTACCCTTACACCCGAGTACTATATAGATACTGCTTACTATTCCCTTCACTCGCCATACGACCATACTTAGCTGTATGTACCTATGTTGACAAGGCTACAGAGCTGCAGCTACATATACCCACGTTACGTGTGGCATTGTTGTCACCAACTGCAGCAGCCGAAACTCCACCCGGACCGGTGGTAATGAGTATGTATTGTACAATACTTAGGCATCTTGTTCACGAGAAGTTATACAGGTATGCATACAGCTCCACAAGGCAGCATAATCTCACCCAACATATTGTGCACAGTGCACACGGTGAAATAATAGGGGCATGCACGCAGTACATGCAACCAAGTGCCCTACAACGCCTACCCAGGCCAAATCAAAACTTTCTGGCGGACCTGCGACAAGAGCGGATCTTCGATGTCCTCGGAAGAGTCGCTTTCGTGTTCGAACCCGACATTTGTCCCACATCCTACACTACACACAGGCGAATGGTTCCCATAAACTGCCGCGGTCATACACAAGGGCAGATCTCTGCGTCTATACTGGCCAAGCAAGGACCGTTTTTCCAAAACAAATTCCGAAAACTCGAGATCTGAAACCCTGATTTCATCTAGGTCCCCAGTAGTTAGAGTCGCACAGCAGAGGGAAGACGGAGCCCTACGGTACTACAAACTGTCACGCCGGTGAAGGGCGGAGCTGACATTCCACGAATAGCCGCGGAACAGCCCGCCACCCGCGTTTCCCAGGTCTACTTACACTCGAGGGTCGACAGCCTACATACTAGAGGTCCTCAAACCTTGCCGGGTGATCTGACCGGCTGGAAACCCATCAAGAAAGATTGACCAATAACGATGTCCAGCCATGAAATTCGGGTTTGAGGACCTTGCCCTGCGGGGCTGGCCAGGTGAGTAGCTCCGAGTACATCCAGGGTACATCCCTGACTTCTGAGCCCTTTCTACACCACCCAGTCCTCCTGCCCGCTGACTGGAGTCAATCCTGCTCGGTGACTAGAGTCATTACTTGAATGACTCCAACTGTGCGAGTTGATTAACTCTTGCAATGCTTCCTGGGCAACTGCCAATAGTCTAAGGCCAATGGTATCTGTACCGATACTAATGTATTCCCATGTGTATGAGGTATATCGCCAGCTTGCTGGGTGTAACACTCCGTCGCTTGCTGAGTTGCACATCCTCTTCGCCATCATCGGGTTCGAAAATGGAGTTTGCGCGCGGATGTTGGAGTATCAGGCAACTCAAGCACAAATTTTCTTGTAGATACACTAGTTCTTAATCCCGGAAACTACTCACAACCCACCTACCCATTACGGCAAACTAAAGGCGGGCTAGAGGCGAGCTAGAGTTCCTGAAGTCACCCAGACGACTTTTTCTGAGCTGGAGCACAACACCCAGTAAAATTAAAAGAGCTCTATAGCATGATAGAGGAAGGGTTAAAGTAGGTCGCTATAGAAGCGAAATAAAAATACAAAGCGTGGTGAATTAATTTAAGCGGGTTGAAAAAAACTAATTTGTATGGGGAGGATTTGGGAATGTCGCAAACAATAGCATGCACTAAGGCTCTAGCGCTCTTTTAATTTCATAAAGCGATAATACGAGTGACGGATAATGAGCCGTATTCAAGCCTTAGCGCCAATTGATCCTTGCTCACCCCAACTGAGCTCGCGCATGAGTGCTATTCGACTTGGACCTCCTCAGAACACACGCAAATAGGTCAAAATTGGGGGCCATACGGCCCAAAAATCTTCACAATTACGAAAATTACTTGCTCTGTGTTCGAAAAATTGCCTGCGGCGCAGTTATTAACCCCCATTTTTGGCGTAGACACACTATAATCACTCGTGATTTGTCAGCCAAAATGAATGTCGCAATTTACTCCGGTTATAGGCGTCCCCAACCATAGCGGTGCCGGGAAACCTGAAAGATCGCCAAACCAATAGAAACACCTAATCACCTAGCCGGCCAGGTCACCCAGCAAGGTTTGAGGACCTCTACTCTGCAGGGCCTAATTATACTCGCCCTCCCGAGTCCCAAGTCCAGCGGTGCCATTTCCACCGTCCAGATCGGTCGGTCTGACAATCTAATTCTCATATTTAGCGAAATCCTTTTCCCACCCCAGGATAAATGTAAATGTCTTTCAAGTTTCGACCAATTGGCTCCCTCGTCCCTCGTCCCTCACCGCCCTCGTCCCTCACCGCCCTCGCCGCCTTGCTGCGACGATGGACGATACATTAGAGGGATTTTGCAACGGGTTTGGGATCGAGTTTGGGATGAGAAATGGGGTTTAACTGGGACAACCGGTTAATTTACATAACCACAACACATCCCAAACTCCACAGGTTGGCGTTGCAACCCGAACCTGTAATCACCGCTAAAAAGTTATAGTTGGCTGTGTTGGGAATAGTAAACATGCTCTTCTAGGGCACATAAGGAATGGCAGAGGAATAGCGTTGAAATGGTGAGCTTGGCTTGCGTAAGTCCCATTGGTAGCGCCATACTATCCTCATCCCCAACCCGGGATTTGCAAAACCTCTTTTTCTGAAGTTTGGGTTCGACACGGGAAATTGCACTAATATCGTAGCCAACTTACATCCCCAACTCGACTGCAAAATCCCTCTATTGGAGAAGAGAAGAGTGGATCATCCGCCCGCATCCGCCAAAAAAAGCCACATACAGTGCAGACGGTACATGTCGTTGCTCAAGCTCCAACAACAATCAACAATCCGAGTCGGTCCGCCCGCGGCCGCTTGTTGCGGGTTTGGGATTTGGGATTTGGAAGGGAGTACGAAAGCCGAATCCGGCGGCGCACTCTCAGTATCGACTTCAGGGGGATAAATACTGATTGATTGAGTGAGTGAGTGAATGAGTAAAAACTGGGCTCGCGCGTCGAATACCAATGCAGAACAGAAATGGCAGAAATAAAAATAAAATAATTAATTAAATTAGGCCGTGCGCGTAAACACATGGCTACGGATGCGTCGGGATTTGCCAGCTGGAGCGATTCAGGTCAGCTGGTGTCACACTACATATTACATATGGCCGATTGGAATTTGGAATTTGGAACTGCAGGTCGGCCATAGGTCGTCACTCGAGATGATGCAGTATGGCAGAATTTGCGGTTATCGAAAAAGCCAGATTCGATATTTACTTGGGGAAAGGTCGGGTCGGAGGGCGGTGGGAGCTTCATCAGGCCGAGAGACGAAAGTTGGTTGGACTGTAGTTAGGAGGCGGGGTGTGTATTGCTATGGTCTACAAATGTAGGTCGCAAGCAATTAACGATTAAACAAAAACAAATAAAAGACTAGATTCAATACTGGAGAGTTACCGAGCACAGATAATATGTGAAGCACGAGGAGCCAGCGCATCGGGCCCGACATCCGTACTGGGGGAGACACGGAACACTGAAACAATTTCACCTACTCATGAATCTTGGAAGTTGGATCAAAGACACAGACGGCCCATTGAAGCCTTGATTATGAATGCAATAGCAACGAGTTATATACCGCCACATGAAAGTCGCCCACGATACATACCTCAACTTGTGTTACACCAATCCGCACCTCGGCCTCACTGTCACGGTCACCTCGGGCTCGGGAAAGGACGGGAGACAATTTTCACGTACGGCCGGCTAACGCAACTGCGAGTCTAAACGTTAGTTATGGGGGGTAATGGGCAGTTTCCCTACGGTCGTATCTGGCTGGCGTTTTTGTTCGTGGAGGGGATGATTACCGTAAATCGACGAGAATATTTGGCTTGTGGACAAGCTGGTGAAAAGCACTCTACGCTCGAGTATAGTTACGCCGGTCAGTAAAACCGTAAATCCAAACGATGCAGTGTTCTCCATCGTCCGGTCCGTCCGTCGACGTCCTTCCGCCAAGCCATGGGCAAAAACCTGATTTCGGGCGTGGACCTTGGGTGTCCGAGTGAGATATGGAGCCTAGAGCGCTGTGATAGGGGCCAGGCGCCACACCTTGGGCGTCCGAGTCAGAATACTGCTACTTTTCACAGCTTGTGGAGCGGTGAGGGATGAACTGACGCGGTGGTGCGTAGGGTATCGGTGCTAAGAAATCATCAATCAGCCGAATCATATTCACGTCACTTGGACGACCGTCCTCCACCGTTGGACGGGGATCGACCCGTCCGGCACTACCTCGGACCTGACGGATAACTTTTGCAACCGTCCGTCCGGTCCAGACGATGGAGAACACTGAAATATTGTAGATGCGACAACAGCTTACAGGCCTCCACATGCACCGGTAACATAAGTGTAGTAGAGTAGACATGTGCCCGGCGATCCATCCTGTAGTTACTTAGATACCTAGTTTCGGCTCGTAGATTTTTGGTTGGCTTTGCCATCCTTATGGGCGTGGGTATATTGCTCCACCCACAGGACTCTCCTGGCCGTTTTCTCTCACCAGTACTACGGAAAGGGCCTAACTACCACCGGCCCGAAAGCAATCCACCCAAAGCCGAATCCCGCCGAGTGACCCTCATGACCCTCGAAAAACCTTGTTCGCCAAGCCCGGCTTAGTCCGCTTGATCTACGCGCGACAGAAAAAAAGTCAACCGCCAGATATCGAGTCTAAAAACACAGGTCCCGCCAGTTGCGAACCAACCATCCCGCATCCCCCACCACCACCACCGCCCCACTGCAATGTCGAAACGCCCAATTGAAGATGTCGAGGCCGAGGCTGGCGCCCCTGTGGTAGTCAAGGCGAAGAAGACGAAGAAAGAAAAATCGGAGAGTAAGAGCAAGAAGAGCGACGGCGTTGTCGATGTCGTGATAGGCGCTGGTGCGCCGGAGTCCGTGGAGGCGCTGGTTGTGGAGAAGGAGAAGAAGAAGAAGGACAAGAAGGACAAGAAGGAAAAGAAGGAGAAGAAGGAGAAGAAGGAGAAGAAGACGGTGACAGAAGACGAGGCGACTGAGCCGAAACTGTCCAAGGAGGAGCGCAAAGCTGCGAAGAAGGCCGCGAAGGAGGCAAAGAAGGCTGCTGAGAAAGACGAGTCGAGTACGGATGCTCCTGTAGAGCCGGCGCGACCTACACACACCCCGATGCTGGTAGCGACAGCTGCTAGCTCGACGGCGAGTTATACTCAGAGCGCCGAGCTCACTGCCTTGCCCAACGAGACTATCGAGGCCTTCCTGAAGGAGCACGGCGTTTTCGTCGATGATCCTCACAAGCTCAACCTGCGCCCTATCACAGAGTTCTCCCACCTGCCACCAAACAACTTCGACTTCACTAAATTCAAGACTCCCTCGCCGATTCAGGCCGCTACATGGCCGTTCACACTCGGCGGACACGACTGTATCGGTGTTGCGGAGACTGGTTCCGGAAAGACACTGGCGTTCGCTGTTCCTGCCATGCGCCACGTTCTGGCACTGGCTGCGTCCGGCAAGAAGGACAAGCTCGGCGTGAGGGTTGTTGCTGTTTCGCCGACAAGAGAATTGGCGATGCAGATCTTCGAGGTCTTGGAGAAGTACTCCAAGGATGCTGGCCTGCGTGCCGTCTGTCTCTACGGAGGTGTGCCGAAGGACGAACAGCGCCAGAAGCTCAGGACTGCCCAGGTCATTGTTGCCACACCTGGACGTTTGAACGATCTGATCAACGAGGGAGCTGCGGACTTGAGCAAAGTGTCATATCTGGTTCTCGACGAGGCTGACCGGATGTTGGACAAAGGTGAGCTTTCCCACCCGTCACCCTTGGTAAAAGATGCTGATGGTACTTTACAGGTTTCGAGGACGATATCCGACGCATCATTGGCGCTTGCCCGTCGAAGGAGACCCGCCAAACCCTGATGTTTACCGCCACCTGGCCGCAATCCGTCCGCGAGCTCGCCGCAACCTTCATGAAAAAGCCCATCAAGATCACCATCGGCGAGCGCGACGACCTACGTGCCAACGTGCGTATCAAGCAAACCGTCGAAGTCATCGACCAGCGCGCGAAGGAGCAACGCCTCTTGCAGCTGATCAAGCAACACCAGTCTGGCGCCCAAAAGGACGACAGGATCCTCGTTTTCTGCTTGTACAAGAAGGAAGCCTCCAGGATCGAGGGCTTCCTGCGCTCAAGGGGCTGTAGAGTCGCTGGTATCCATGGTGATCTCAGTCAGCCACAACGTACGCAGGCGTTGGGACAGTTCAAGTCCGGACAATGCCCCCTGCTGGTCGCGACAGATGTGGCCGCTAGAGGTCTTGATATCCCGGCTGTGAAGCTCGTTCTCAATGTCACCTTCCCCCTCACCATCGAAGATTACGTTCACCGGATCGGACGTACCGGACGTGCCGGTGCCGATGGAATGGCGTACACCTTCTTTACCGAGCACGACAAGGTCAGTTGCTATTGCCGCCCCATAGCACCGCCAAGCTAACCAGATATAGGCACACTCCGGAGCGCTCGTGAACATCCTGAAGGCGGCTAAGCAGGACGTACCAGAAAGTTTGCTGAAGTTCGGAACGACGGTGAAGAAGAAGGAGCACTCGGCGTACGGTGCATTCTACAGGGAGAGCGACGGGTTTGTTTTATCCTGCCCTGCTAGCTCTTGATGCATACAGTGCTAATTATATGATCCTACAGAAATGTCAAGGCGAAGAAGATCACTTTCGACGATTAGATTGGGGATTATTGGGCGTATTTAAATCTGGCTTGTGGTTAAAACAAAAGTTTGGGTGATGGGCTATGATGCTGCTTCACCCGTCCGTCCCGTGCTCAACGCAACCAATGTGCATAAGTTCCTTATGCCACCGAGGTTACCCCGTTTGTGACCAGCACAGGGCAAGAACCATAGAAACCAATTCTCTATGTACGCAACAAAAAAACCCAAAGTCCATTCTATAGATCATACCCAAGTAGGCCCTACTTTTCCAATAAGCCAGAACCCGAAATCATATCCAGATCACCTCCCCAGCCTCCTCTCCTTAATAAAGGCCGCACTAACAAGCGCACAAACCGAGAGTCCAATAGCGAACAAAAATGCCACCTGCACTGAGTCCTTATAGCACGCCCTCACGACGTCCCTAGTCTCCTTCGGCAGCGTACCAATAAACTCCAGGCTCTCCCTAACCTTCCTCACGATCTCGTCTGCATCGTCGCCGGTCAGTCTTCTGGCCAACTCGCGCCTCAACTGTCCCTGCACGAGGGTGCTGCCAATGCTAACACCGGCCACTGTTCCCAGCGCGCGGAAGAGGTAGCTGACGGCCGTAGCGACGGCCTGGTCCTTACTTCCCGCGGCGGCGATCAGCGCGACTAGCGACGTCGTCACGCCGATGCTGTTGCCGAAGCCGGAGAGGAGGATGCCCATGCTGACGCCGACGTGCGACGTGACGGTCGAGAAGTAGACCACCAGCACGGAGCCGAGCACGGGCAGCGTGTACGCCCACACCGTCAGCCAGTAGAATTTTCCCGTCTTTTGCATTACTATCCCGCCGCCGAGAGAGCCGGCTACGGAGCCGGCGATGGCGGGGAGCAGTCGCATGCCGGCTTGACGCGCTGAGAGCGCTTCCACCGCTTGGTAGTACAGCGGGACGTAGAATAGAACGGCCATATACGAGCCGAAGGAGAAGAAGTTGGCGAGGCAGCAGGCGAGGATGGTAGGTTCCTTGACGATGTGAGGTGGTGCGAAGGGCTCCGCTGCGACGAGCGACTCTACGTAGATAAACGCCAGGAAGAGGACGAGCGCGATGGAGAGACTGATGATTACTAGGGGGGAGGTCAGGGAGAGGTTGCCGGCTTGGTCAAGGCCAATCAGCAGACTGAGGACTGCTGCCACGAGGACGAATGCACCGAGGAAATCGACCCGGTAGAAACGAGTCTTGAACGTCGTTGGAGACTGCTCAGTCGGCGGCAGGTGTAGGAAGACGCTGACGATTAATATGGCCAATAGTGTTGCGGGAAACTGGAATATAAACGACCTTTTTCTCTCGTCAGTCAGTTGATCCGTGATCAATAACAAAGTGGAAATTGCGGCCACATACCAACGCCAGCCGATAGTGTCCGCCATAAGCCCGCCTAGTGGCGCCCCCGCGGCGGCCCCGCTCGCGAAAACAATATTCAACACGCCCTGCCATGTCCCTCTTGACCTCAGTCCCACAATATCCGACACGAGGATAGAAACGACGGTTGTCATGCCGCCTCCGCCAATGCCAGCAAACGCCTAGTTACACCCCATCAATCAGCCACACATTCCACCTCCAACCGAATCACCGCCAGTCAGAACCCACCCTTGCCGCAACCAGCTGCTCCAATGACGTGCTCAATCCGCACCCCAAACACCCCAGTCCGAAGACGGTGTATGCGAACAACAAGCTCGCCTTGCGGCCGAAAATGTCGCTCAGTTTTCCGTATAGCGGCTGGAAACTGGTGGTCGTGAGGAGATACGCGGTTGCAATCCACGACGTGCGATTAAGCTCGTGGAGGTCATTTCCGATAGCTCCGTACGATGAGACGACCTACACAGGCGGATTAGTATTTGGAAGTCGCGCGGTAGGTCAGCGGTCTCGTACGATAGTATTGTCCATTGCCGCAAGAAATATCTACAAGATCACCACCGCATCAGCGAAACAGATCGTAGAGCAGGGTAGTCGGATATGCTGTTCACCCCTAGACCCAAAGCTGGGAGTATATACTGGATCTTGACGCCGGGGATCTTTGGTTTGTCGAGGTCATCTTCATCCGGCGAGCCAGCCTGGGCTTCGGGATCGATATCGTCCAGCTTTGGCAGCAGCGCATCCCGCTCTGACGCCGGTGGCGCAGGTAAAGCTCGTGCCATTGCTTTCTTCTTTGTTGGTTGAATTTTCGAGGCGGGGCAGGGCGGGGAAGGAGAATGGATATCGCGTTGCAAAGGGAAGAGCTGAGGTCGTGGTTATAAATCAAATGAACTGCTGCGCGGGCGCGACGCGCTATGATCTGGCGCCCTGGATCTCCGATCTCCGGTGCCGGGAACGGCGGTGAATAGAATGGCGACTATCTGGTACAATTTCTAAGCAGTTGTAGGTGATCAAGTACCAGAGCCATTCTCCCCTCCGATTGAACGACAAGCCTCGCCTTATCAATCAACAATATAAAGGTACTCTGCGATTAATAAATACGCCATCTAGGTAGACACTCGCGTTCTTTCGCAAACCCTTATTGAATTTTCTCCTCGTCCACTCTCCACGGGAGTCGGTTTCCCGTAACTAAGGCAACGCGGGGCTCGGGAAGAGGTACCGGTGAAATGCATAGCAGCCGGCGAAACAGGCCCCCGACGCAGGCGCAAACGAGGCAAACATTTGGCAGATACAGTAAGCAGTTAGTTACTGCGAAGGCCGGTGGAAAGACCCCGATTCACTGGATACATTCTGCATAGGCACCCCATGCTCCTCCTCGTCGTCACTGCTTCATCCCATCGCTGCGGGATCCACGGAGGTCGAATAACCGAGAGAGGGAGGGAGGGAGAGAAAGAGAGAGAACATCAATTCATTGCTGTACACGGCCTGTCCCAACTATATACCTGTGTGGAGTATCCTTCTGAGGGCCAGACCTGTCGTTGCGTGTGAGTGTCCATGCTCAACTCGGCACCGCCCCCAATAGAGTAATGGACCACTGGTGACTGCAGAAGTTTAACCCCTCCGACACGGCTACTTAACTAAGCAGAACTGCCAAATATTTAGCCCTACAGTCGGTGTCGATCTCCCGCAGGAACTAGCCAGCCAGCCACACGTGCGCCTTCTCACGATCACATTCACTCCGCAACTTTCTGCCCATCATAGTGTATACTATACAGTATGTGTTCAATTCATTCCCCATACTCGCTATCCCAGAAATGTAATAAAAATAGGCCCAAGTTACCTCCCAGCACCAACGCCTCCCATTGCATAAACCCTCACAGTACAGTCAACACCCGCGATGCGCACCCCCTCCCATTCCATCCCTTCCGTTTAAAACCAGTAAAATGGAAGCCACTCCGCGCAGCGGACATCAAGAAAAGAAAAGCAAATAACTGTGCCGGCAGTTTCCACGATCAACGAAGATGTGAAGTGACTAAACGGTGGCGGTGGGGCAGGCAGAGACCGTCACCGTAGTGGCGGCGGCACCTCCTTCCGCACCTGCAGCCTCGGTGACGGTGACAGTAACTGTCGATGTCTCGAGGGCGGCAGCGGCAGGCTGCGATGTGGTGACGGTGACTGTCTCTGTTACAGCAGGAGCGGCGGCGCCAGCTGCCTCCGTCACCGTGTGCGCGGCAGTGATGGTAACCGTTTTCTGCCGGAGCAGCAGCCGTTTTTTCGGCCGCAGCGGTTGGTTCCGCGGTCACGGTGACGATTTCGGCAGCGGGAGCAGCAGCCGTGTTTTCGGCAGTGACGGTAACCGTTTCAGCGGCGGGAGCTGCAGCAGTAGCCTCCGCTGTCACGGTAACGATAGAAGTGCTGACAAGTGTCTCGGCGGCGGCCGCAGCAGCAGGTACGGTAGCGGTATACTCCGCCGTCGCCGTGACGGTAACGGCAGAAGGAGGAGCGAGGGTGGTATCTTGCTGGTCGGCTGCGGGGCTCTCGGCTACTGTTGTTTCCGCGGCGGCGGTCTCGGTCACAGTCTGCTCGAGAGCAGTGGTAGCAACAGGTGTTTCGGCCAAGGTCGTGGTACCCTCCACGCCCTCGGTGGCAGTGGCAGTAGCAGCTGGGGCTTCCGTAGCCGTCTGGTCGACCACAGTAGTAGAATCTGCGACTTCCGTCACCGTAGCAGCGGATGTCTCGGTGACAGTTTCCGCTCCCGTAGCGACCGGCACCTCAGTCCCCACCACAGTCTCGGTCAAAGTGACGGCGCCGGTAGCAAGAGCCGGCAGTCCCGTCCCCGTGCCCGTAGCCGACAAGACAACGTCGGTCCCGGTTCCCGCCGTGGGAATCATACCCTCGAGACCTGTCGGCACAAGTGATGAGAACTCAGAGACCGTCGCGGCTGCTGTAGTTGACACCTCCGCGGCCGCAGTCGTAGTCTTCCCCCGGCCACCTCCATGTTTTCCGCGGTTTCCACGGTTGCCGCGCAGACGCGCGAATGAACCTAGGTTTAGACCACTGCCGAAGGGGGCTGGAATGGGTGTTAGTCCATACAGCCGTGGTGGTGGTGTAGCATTAGGGAGGATATGTGCGTACCAGCTTCTACGTCTATGGCACTCAATGCTGCGACGACGAGGAGGGTGAAGGCGGAGAAACGCATTGTCGAGTAGGTATTTTATATGGACCGGGAGGCGGTAAGGAAGGTACGGCTAGAAATATCCACAAGAAAGTATTTTAAAAGACTTAAAGAGAGCAATAAGACCACCTGGGCCGGCTGAAAGTAGTGATGCGGAATCGAAAGGGAGGGAGGGCGGAATGAGTGTCTGGCTGATGAGAGAACGAACTCAGGACGACACTCCGGGCTGGATATATAACCACATCCTTCTTCTCCTCCCCCTACTCCTGCTCCTCCTCATCATCATCCACCTGTTGAGAAGGGGAGGAACAAGTGGTCGCTGCGAGATCGGACCATGACATATCCTCCCAAGTCTACAAGGAAAACATGTTTTAACATCGTCACGTCTGCCTCCCCGTCCCCATCTCCCACCCCCTAGCCCTGGCAAGGTTGCATACATACGGTACCTGCATTTCCATCCATCGAGGCCAAGTATGTACATACCTCCTCCTACATACATAACCCAACTCCGCATTTCCACGTGCAGAGTGTGCGGAGTGCGGAGCTGAAGACAGTGACACCCCCACAAACTGTCCGGAGGTAGAGTGCTATGTCGCACGGCTGGGTTGGAGTAACCGAAATTCCCATGGCCGTTAATTTATCCTCTTCCTGCCTGTAACGTGGCGAGGTTTCGCGCATGTATCGACTCGCTGGTACGGCCGGGGTTGGATGGATGGATGGCGGCTAGATAGCGCTCCCGGCGCCGGCACCGGCACTGGTGATGACTGGTGTGGTTGCCGGGCGGTTGGAATTCTGTGTAAGAGTACGAGGATCTTTGGGACCTGGAGACGGCTCCCGCTTGTGGGTTTAGTTAAGCTCAACCACTCTATTCGATTCGGATGCTGGTGGGCTGATTAACTTGGCCCATGAGCTTGGTTAGGCATGTGCTTCCGACTTTTATATTCTGCCCCGTACCGTACCGTCCTCTGGAAAGACAATTAATCCATAACGTTCTGGATAAGAAACGACAACTCGAGCTAGTATACCTACACAAGTGAGACCTTTCGTTTCATTTCATTACAATTCTCCGCCGCAAAAGTACGCAACAAGAATAAAGATGCAGAACAGATATCATGAGGGGTATTAATTGAAAAAGCAAAGTAAAGCGAATCATATCAGCAGTCACTTCTTGGAGGCTCTATAGTAGCCAACCAAAATTCCGTTTGGCGCAAATACGCAATGATCAGGCAGACTTATCAACCGTCTCGCCCTGCGGAGTTCTGGGCGGAGAGATCATCATGCTTCCGAGGATATCATGGTCCTTCTGTACCATTCCCCAGTCGCCGACTTCCTCGTTATGGAACTCGTGCGCGTCAATGCCCATGACTTCGACTTTCTCGGGTGCGCGGATGGAAAGTCCGGGGATGTACTTCATCACGAAGAGGATGATTGCCGAGGCGGTGAAGGCATAGGCCGAGATTGAGACCACGTCTGCCAGCTGGTAGGCGATCTGAATGGCGTTTCCGTCGACGGCTCCAGGGGCGTTGGTCACGCCGTCGAGCATGCTGACTGGAACAGGCGTTAAAAATAGAATAAATCAAGGCGGAGGGAGAAACATACTATCGGAGTGGGCGAAGATTCCCGTCAAGATGGAACCGACAATGCCGCCAATGCCGTGCAGCTTGAACACATCCATCCCCTCGTCGATATTGATCCAGTCAGTGACGTCCTCGAGGGACGCACAGACAGCAGCGGTCACGAATCCTATGAGGGCAGCAGACCAGACGGGGACGTAACCGGCGGCAGGAGTGATTCCAACCAAGCCCGCGATGGCACCCTCGCAAGCACCGACGACCGAGAACTTGCCGTTCTTGCGGAAGTAGTCCGTCAATACCCAGCCCATAATACCGGTCGAGGCGGCAATGTTGGTGTTGAACATGGCGTACCTGTTCCACTGTCAGATATAGAACCTCAAGCATCCAAATGTATTCCATACATCGCACGGACAGTCGCGTTAAGAGTCGATCCTCCATTGAAGCACAGCCAGCCGAACCAGATGAAGCAGGTGCCCAGGAAGACCATCGTGACATTGTGAGGACGATGCTTGACGCTGCGTTCCTTACGCTTTCCGAGGACCAGAGCATACGCTAGTGCCGACATTCCCGATGCAATGTGAACGGGGCCTCCACCAGCGTAATCAAGTGATGGTAAGTTGTACAACCATCCGTTCGAGTTCCACGTCCAGCATGCGATGGGACAGTATACAACGGTTGCCCAGATGAACGAGAAGACCAACGAAGGGACGAGACGGCCACGCTCAAGAGCACCGCCGATCATGATCTGCACGGTGGCAACGCAGAAGAAGCACTGGAAGACGGCGAACAGAATCTCCGGCAAGAAACCGATGGGTTTCGCAGCCACATCCCTCAGACCGATATGGCGAAAGTCGCCGATGAACGGTCCAGCGGTTGGCGAGTAGGTCAGGGTATATCCAAAGACCCACCACTGAAACGAAATGGTAGCCGAAACTAGAAACGACTGCCAGAGCAGGGCGAGAGAGGCTTTTCTTCTGGCAAGCCCACCGTATAGTAATCCGATGCCTGGGATGATGGGCCAGACGACAGCAGTGCAAGCCTAAGACGCAATGTTCAGCACCAAATCTGCACGAAACCACAATCAAAACACCATGGTTCGTACCATAATCCAGACCATGTGATACCCGTTGGCATCAAACGGAGCATTGACGTTTACGACATGGGGATCCCCGCCATTGTCGGGTCTACTGGTGTTCCAAACGGGGTTCCACTCAAGCTACAATTCAAACATCAGTAATCGTGCAAACAAAAATACCAAGGTTGAATTAGGAGTAGGGACGAGTTTGACAGACCTCACTCATCTTGGAAAACCGGATATGACTTGGAATGTACTGGTGGAGTAGGAGTTGAGAGGATGAATGGGAGGTTGGAGGTTTTAATGTTCCTAGGAAAGAGGGTGGGGGTTGAAAGACTTAGGGGTCGGGGGCTGTGGAAGGGTAGAGGGGTAGGGGGGTTGGTTGCTGGTTGCTGCCCGGACCAGCTTGGGTTGCGTCCCAGATGGGCGGAGTGGGTTGAAGGATACGTAGGAACCTTAAATTTACTTACCTACGGTACTTGCAGGAATCTCGTCCAGCCAGCGGGTTATATATTCTTTGATGTAGGTACCGTAAGCATGTCAGATCCAAACGTGCGACTCCCGGTCCGGTGCTCACTGTGCATTTGCCGACGGTTGGTACCCAAAAGTGAACCCAAAAATAACCGACCAAAGATGCACTCACACCGGGCCCGGCGCTGGTCACCTACCGGAGCTTAGTAGATGTAGGAATCGTCAGAGAAGAGTGGCGTATGTACTTACTTAGGCATATATCGAATGTGTGATATCGACATAGTTACCTAGGCTGGATCGTGCTCGCCGTCGTCTGTTATCACGCCCAGCTCCAGTCCAGCCATCTCTAGAGCGACAGTCCCCAGCATTGTAGAGGCAGCTGCAGAAGCTGAGCATCACGAGCTGATTATTGGAAGGAGCATACATAGAAGCCTTATCTGGAACTCCAGCGCTAGATATAGCAAGTGACTTGGCGCGATAAGAATTCACGACTGGAACAGCTGTCTGCATTGGGGTTACTAGTAGAGAGAGTCTCCAGTTTGCGACGGGAAGCTGCAGCCTGCGCCGCCCGGAGCAGGGACCCAGGGAATGAAAACCCAAGCCTATGGTTTTACATACAGGCACGAGCGACCCTCACCCACATCCCCAATTTGGCAGCGGTTCGTCTCCAGCTTCTCGTTGGCATGGCTGAAAAGAGTCGGAGACATGAGTTGGCCCGTCAATGCGATCATCCGGCCGAATCTGTAATCACCGAAGCCGTGGGGTCCTTATCACTTGGCGGGCTGGTAGGTTCTTGGCTTCTATCGCGGCTAGATATAACCGCCAATCGTTTACCGCCGAGCCCTCTCAGTTCTATGAACACACTCGCACGTCGAGTCGCCGATGCAAGATTGACTGCGGTTATCTAGCTGAACCATAAAGCTCAGTGGAGTTTTGCATCGAGTGCGTACAAGTAGCATATGTACTGGTCCTAAAAAAAAGGGAAGTCGTCAGCTGGTACCGGTTCAAGCTCAGCGTGGAGGAGGGGTTGACCCGCTGTTCCAGTCCGATGTAACTGACCAACACCTCGACATCTACATAGAGAACGGAATTGCTCGGGGCCTCAATCTAGTCATTAAGGCGATAATGCGGTGTCTCGCATACCCCAGCCACCCACTCACCCTAATAATGTCAATGTAGAGTACTCTACATAGCATCACCTCGCTTCCGAATCTTCATCGTCAACGTGGGGGAGCTAAGGCAAAGGCGAAACGATAACGATAACCTTTCCTTGGCTCGCATATCTAATCTTCACCATTACACACCGTGAAGAGCGGGCATCATCTTCGTGGAAACTCGGGGTTGGAAAAGTCATGAGGTCCTATGCGGGTACTGTCGATCGTCACAACAGTCGTGCGGACTCAAGCAAGGGAATCGTGTTCTGTGTTTTCTCGCCAGCGATCCGCTCTATACAGTATTATACAACCAAATGGTGCAGAATAAATGATCCGAACCAATTAAATCCTCCGACAGTAAGTATACCTACGATATGTCGTCTCCACCACCTACAACTTCGCCCTCGAGCTTGAGCCCCTCCTACTCCTCCCCTTCTTCACCTCGACCTCGATCTCCTCCTCCTCGACCCTCGTCCTCTCTACAGCGTCGGCAAACAGCTCGGCACCAAGTTTCTCAACTAGCGTCAACACTCTACTCCCGACACTCGCCGAATCTCTGCGGTTCTTGCCCTCCCTTCTCGAGATGGCAATGCTCTCGACGTAGTTCCATAGCTGACCTTTATGCAGCATCGCCCCCGTCGCCGGATCCCGTTGTGGTACCCACTCCGGTGAGAGTCGGAGGACGGGTGGGTTCTTGCCGGCTTTTGATTTCTTGGTGATGAGGATTCCTTCCTCCTCGAAGCGTTGAAACGCATTTTTGAGGGATTCCTTGTTGACCGCTTCGAAGTACGAGAGATCACCTTGATGGTACAATGTTTTCCCCGCCTGCGGTTGTCGGTCAGTACGAAATATGGCAGAGTGGAAAGGGTGGAAGCAAATACCAGCTGCGCCATGTCCTGCGCCTCTTTGATACCGACCCAAACCTCCTCGTTGCCCTTCGGAGGCGTGAGGCCGATGATGGCAACGCCGGCCAGCCACGCGCTCTCGATGAACGGCCAGATGAGGAAGCAGTAAAAGTCGTAGTTTTCTCGCCCGCATTGGCGCTCCTCCTCCGTGAGTTCAACGTACTCCAATTCGTTCTTGTCGGCATCTTTGTATCCAATCTTGATGATGCGATCCGCCTCCAGACCTCGCAAAGTCTTGTGAAGATTGTTGACAATACCTTCAGTTGGAAATACGAATTCACCACGGAAGAGCTGTGAGAGGAAGGAGACCTGACTGAAGAGATCCTTGTACGGGACGCGCTGGTTGCTGATGCCACCACCTTGCTTGATGCGCGTGTACATTGCAGCGGCGACAATAGTCTCACTGACGAAGAGGTGAATTACCATATTGCGATAGAAACTCAGCTGGAAGCTACCGGTGATGTTAGTCACTAGACCTGCAAAGGAGGTAAGAGGATGGCTTTACCGGTCCACGGCGTAGTAGGTTTCCTCTGCGAGCCCATCGACCCGTCCTACCAAATCACCAAGGACCGCCAGGCCTCTCTCAACCACCACGCCTGTCTCAACACCGCCAAAGGCCGCAGCTCTTCCGCCTTTTACGCGGATCCTATCGCTTAGCCACTCTATCCTCCTCGCCAATTCACTCTTTCCGACTCCCCGCCCTCGGAGTGTCAACAGCACCGTCCCGATCAAGCTTGTCGGCATGACGACCGAGACCTTATTGATGTCCCCTAGCACTTTGTATCCCAGACTCTTCAACATTTTCAGTCTCAGCTCTGTCGCCGGTTGCTCCGGCTCCACCACGGCCTGCTTTGATACGAACTCATCCATAAACCCCCTCAAGCTCCAAGGGTCATGGAACCGGACATCGACTCTCCCCATCTTCAAACTCAACACCTTCGAACTGCTGAGGAAGTCCCAGAGGTTCTCTTTTTGTTTCGGTATTCCGAGTAGTTCATTGACATATCCTTCTGTCTCAATGACTTTGTCATATTGTGTGCTCACGGGAATGATCCATGCGTCCTCTACTCGCCCGCTCAATAACGAATCTAACAGGTATCCCAGAATTCCGAATTTCGGTTGTAGCAGCTTGCCGGTTCTGCTGCGGCCCCCTTCTATGAAGCATTCGAAGTTGTAACCACCCTTGAGGATCGCATCGACATAACTCTGTACGGTAGATGTGTAGAGTTCGTCTCCGCCAAATGACCGGCGGATAAACATGCCGCCGGCATTCTGCAGGAACTTTCCGACAACAGGGAAATTGAGATTGTCTCCGGCAACGACAACGGGCAGAGCGATACCGAGGCGGTAGCAGATGACCTGTAGAGAGACGTAGTCGATGTGAGATCGGTGGCATGGAAGGAAAATTAAGGACTGCTTCTTCTTAGCAGCCATAGCGGCAATCCTTCGGAGGTTTTGAATCTCTTGCGACGAGACATGAATTCCTTGGTCGTACGTTCGTGCAAGAAGTTGCATGCACAGGTAGTATGCGCCCTGAGCACGACAGCATTAGCACAGTAAGAGAGCTCGACACCCCCGGCGCACCAGATTGCATACCCGGATGAACCGTTTGCTCTCAAACTTGCAGATCATGCCGTCGACGATCCCATCCGCAACCTGATCCAACTGTTTTTCGATTTCCTCTCGCCTCTTCTGCCGACGTATCACTCGCTTTTTGTCACTTCCAAACGTTCCTGCGTCATCCTCCACCGTGGCGCGGCGCTCGGCCAGCTCGCTGATCTTCGCCCGCAACAGTGCGCTCCGTAGAATCCGCATCTTCATCTGCTCGCTGAACCCTTTGTAGAAAATCGGCTGGCCTATGATGTGGTCGTATGCGCGCCATCCCGTGCCCGAATAGTGCAGCGAGATCTGCTTCAGGAACGAGAACGGGTCTTCGCGGAAGTGTGTAAAGTTGGCGGTGATGAGGTCACGCGACTCCTCGTTCTCGAACACGGGGATGGTTGTGGTCTCGACATCGGCGGCCGTGCGGTATTGCTCGGGAACTAGGGGCGGGTGGATATGGGGGGTGTCCGAGCTGAGATCGAGATCCGGGGCCGCCATAGGTACCTATAGATCTAGATGTGTAGGCGTGTGGGTAGATGTGTAAGGTTGGACGTAGTGTTGATTGCGGCGAGTAAGGAGTCAATCGGGACGAGGCGAACACCGGCCAGAGTTAAAAGTACACCGGTAAGGGTTGTACGCGACAGCAGGTCCTTTCATGAATGTCGGTGATGGTTAGCTGGGTGAGATGCCGTGGGTAATTGTTGGGAACCTCGGGATCAGCTTGCACCCTTGTCCGACGTAACTGGAGCGCATATGCCCAGAGCTAACCGAAATTGATTCACATGTAGCGTGTACCTAGGTAGGTGAGATCTCATGAATCAACCGTCCAATGTGTGGCACTGGATGGCATTTGAATAGCCTCTCGAAAGAATCTATTGCTTCGGTCAGAATGTCGGGCCCGTAAATATTGTCCCGCGTTCAGCACTGGTGGCCGGGCAGCACCACGCCTCCTCACTCGATTCTAGACTTTGGCAGGCCCCAGCAGAGCCGCAACGCCGGGTAATTCGCGTATTAGACATTGCTTGTCCCGCCTCAGCACTGCTGCCCGCGACTACTGCGATATCATCCCACCACCGCCGGTTCATCCTCCACGCCCTTCATCTCGACTCATCACAACATTCCACAAGCATGGCCGACCGATACTCTTTCTCTCTTACTACTTTCTCCCCAAGGTTCGCTCGCAAACGATGGTTTTTGATGGATTCGGAAGCTAACTGAGAGCAGTGGGAAGCTTGTGCAGATAGGTACGATCACGAAACCACTCCCAGAACTTTCCAACAGCTGCACGAACCGACCGGAGCGAGCGCCAAGCTCATCTCTCCGACTCTTGTTGGATAGATTGCGATTACGGTCCGTCATAGCTGACAGCTTCTTCCTCCAGAATACGCCCTGAATGCGGTCAACCAGGGAGTTACCTCTCTGGGCATTAAAGGTATCTCTCCACGCTTCTCCGCTCACCACATACGGTCGCCATCTAACACGCATCTCGCATAGCTACCAATGGAGTCGTTCTCGCAACCGAAAAGAAGTCCAGCAACGCCCTCACCAACGCCTCTTCGCTCGAGAAGATCGCCTTAGTAACTCCCGACATCGGCATGGTCTACTCAGGCATGGGCCCCGACTTCCGCGTCCTCGTCGACAAGGCCCGCAAGGTCTCACACACAAACTACAAGCGCATATACAACGAGTACCCGCCCACCAGGATACTCGTGCAGGACGTAGCGAAGGTCATGCAAGAGGCGACACAGAGCGGTGGTGTCCGGCCGTACGGTGTCAGCTTGCTCGTGGCGGGGTGGGACGACAAGCCTGCGGGAACGGGGAAGGGCGGTCCGGCGTTGTACCAGGTGCTTTGCGGGATTCTTGGGAGGTAGCGGAGGAGTTCTTGAGTGCTGATTGTGTGGTTAGGTCGATCCCTCCGGTTCCTACTTCCCGTGGAAAGCCACGGCCATCGGCAAATCTGCGACTTCGGCCAAAACTTTCCTTGAGAAGCGTTACGCCGAGGGCCTCGAGTTGGAGGATGCGATCCATATCGCTCTGTTGACGCTCAAGGAGACGGTATTTGACCCGCTCCCCCGATGCTGCTGCTGGATGAGACATCTAACGTTGTACCGGAATAGATCGAGGGAGAGATGAGCGGCGAGACCATAGAAATCGGCATCGTTGGCCCACCTGCGGATCACTTGCTCGGATACGAGGGTGTCGAGGGCGCGCAAGGACCCAGATTTCGCAAACTCAGCCCGCAAGAGGTGGACGATTATCTGACAAACCTGTGATCGGGGATGGGGTGGGAATTTGAACTTGCATCGCTATGACTTAGATCAATGGAGCCGATATCATGCAGGGTCACTAGATGATAATACCATCACTACGTCATCTAGATAATGATTGTTTTCCAGCACCGGGGGTCGTCGTCGGGGATTCCCGCAGATCACTGATGCTCACTCGACACGAGAAAACACCTGCAAGTGATGAAACAAAAAAACCTTCCCTCAAGCCCTTTCCTCGCTAGGTACACTGCATGCTACACATCCACTCGATGTATGGCGCCCTTCCACCCCACATGTGTCCTATACCTATCAACACTGATAAGCCGGATCTTTCCCCGCACACAAAAGACGGAAGGATACGGGCTGGTGCCCGAATGCTAAAGCCAAGATTAGGACATACAGACTGTGCACCCTCCAATGTCCATGAATGGTAATGATCGGGAAAGAAGCGAGCGAAGTGTCTCGATGCACCGGGGCAAGTACTGAACACAGACAGTATCGAGCTTTCCTAGGGAAAAGTAGGCGAGCGTTCATTGATGGAACCAGCTGGACCACAATAAACACAACAGAAACACGAGCTACCTAGCTGCTACGGAAAGATATAGGCTGGAGCCCGGAAGATTAGGAATACATACAGACTGTGCACCCTCCGATTTCCACGAATGAAAACGATCGGGAAGGATGCGAGCGATGTGCTCGATCCACCGGGCGAGTAAGTACTTGCTGAACACAGACATCTTAGAGCTTTCTTGGGCATGGGAGGCGAGTGTTCTATTGATGGAACCAGATGGACCACAGTAAACACAAGCACGAGCTATGTACATACTGCTCTTCGTGTGCAATTCGTCATCGTCATCGGCGCCAAAAAAAGAAGAAAAAAGAAGAAGAAAACCCTGAAGCCCGCTCGCTAGTGAGGCAGTAGTGTAGATAGTGGAAACAGATTCCCGCGTCTGTGTGCCCTGGAGGTTATGTACAGATGGATCTACTATAAAGTTTTGGCTGGCCTGTGCTCCTCATCCTCCTCTTCGTCCTCCGGATTCGGAATGATTGTTACATACATAGGCACATACCCAGACCGCAACCGCTCGACGGACGTGGCTGCGTCTCCCGCGTTCTAGAGCCGCAGATCCTCGAATCCGCGACTGCCAAGGAAAAAGATGATAAATGCATTTTCAGTCCGTGATATCCCATGACTGACTGAGAAAGTTGGTGAAGTATCACACAGGGATCGCTGAAACTTCCGTCAAGTCAGCCAAGTCAGCCAAATGTTTTGCTTCGTTTTGGCCAAGAGAAGTCCGTTTTTTTGTCATGGCCAAGACTCCAAGAGAAGCCCTTTCTCTCTCTTTGTCATGTCCGTTTCGGTCAAGTTTGAAGCGCTCACTCCTGCGTGCGGCGTTCGGCGTTCGGCAGTCAAGCCATGGGGGTTTCGTCGTTCGGCGTACGATGTACGATGAAACCGTAACCGCAACCGTAAAAGCCCAGCGGCCAGCGGGGAGGGGAGGGGAGGGGAGGGGTGCGTGTGTGGAAAACGACGATCTTCAATTACCAGGTAGATAACTCTAAAGTTGCAACTTGCAACTTGCAAGGCGCTTGCTCCAAGACTCAAGGAGTGAGGCATATACCACAGCTTTTTTCGCTGCGGTCCGTGAGATCTTCGTGGTTTGATTGATCGCATATAAGTATACCCAGTACATAGAGCAATAATGATGGGTCATTCCGGGGTCGGGTGTGGTATGGTAAAGTAATGCGGGGGGCATAAAATGGCGCTTTTCATAAAAAAAATTGTTACCTATCCTTCCTCCAGGCTCCGATGTGACCCTGTGGGGTTTTCATGGATTTTCGTGGATTCGACGGTTACTTGGTGCTACTTGGTACTACTACTACTGCTAGGTACTACTGACGGACGGATGGACATTTCTATGTGGAAGTCTCTTCACATGGCAGACGCTGATGTAGTAACTAACGCAGAGAATGCATTGGTTGCCGTAGAGTCACTGGAGTGGAGTAGATTCTGAAGCCAGCAGAGCAGGTTTCAGTGGAGCGAGCGAGCCATACCTCCCGACACGATACATACTGACATTCTTTCCTCTCGATGCGGATCATGATGATCACATCCATCGTCGAAGCCGAAGTTGAGCAGCAATATAGTGGTGGTAGTACCTATTCGGGTATTACCGGGCAGCATAACTTGTTTATGTATTCACCCTCCAGCCCTACGGGCAAAGGCGGAGTGGACTGTGCCGCTCCGGAGCCGGAGGAGCGCGATGCGTAGTGCCGCCTGCGGCCTGCGGGGATTCCCCAGGTTTTTGCGTTGGCGAGGAGTGGTGTCCAAGCCAGAGGATATTTTGGTGGTGGTGGTGGTGGTGGTGGTTGGTAGGTTGGTTCGTTGGTTGATTCGTTGGTTGATTCGTTGATTACTTGGATTTCCTGAACAGGGAAGTTGTGCAGAGCTGAGCTCAGTAGTGTTAGTCGGTCGGCCGGTGGAAGTGACGACTTCGCGATCGTGTGCATGAAGAACTCGCACGACTGAGAGTCCGAGTCCGGAGTCCTGAGTCCTGACCAGACTTCGAGTCTCTCTGAGAGAGAGGTGTCAATATTCCCGTCAAAGTGCCGAGATATTCCTCTGCGAAGCGAGCGGCACAAGGAACACGCGACACGCGTTCACTCTCCTTGCTTTGTTATCTACTTGGTTCTCTCCATCCCTCCTTCCGTGCGTCGTTCCTTCCCGTTCGCTTCACGATCGGCGCTGCCGTTGGTGTTGCTGTTGTCGCCCGTCTCCGTCTCCGCCGCCGCCGTTGTCGTACTCTACTAGCAGTTGCTCGTCGCAGGATTTGAGAAGACTGTTCGAGTTTGTCTTTCGCTAAATCGGTTACTTCTATGCGCATGTGCTGCCTGCTCGGTGACTCTGTCCACTGCGGAGTCGAGCATGTAGAGCAGGTACCTATAGCAGGTCATATCATACATCTTCACAGTCTGCTGGGTGAGATCGGATAGCCGTTGCAGCTACTGCAGGATGGGGGAAAGCGCTGATTGGGCCCTCCGGCGCTCGGGTAGGGATATTCCAGGGGGTGCTGGTCGTGTTTTCTTCGTCTTTGCTTTTCTTCACACTCAGCAGCCGGGAAGAGAAGGAAGGAAGTTGGAGAGAGTGTGCGTGCCGATGACACCCACAGGGCACACGTAGAAGGGGGAAGGTTGGTGGGACCGATTGTCATTGGCGGACAAGTGGGATCTCATCCTGCCCATCCCAGATGCATTTAACGTTTCTTCTTCCGCTTTCCTTCTGGCCTGCTCCGAGCTGGTCATTTCTCTAACAGCCGTCTGCTAGCAACTATCAGGACCGCATTCCACATCTTCTTGCCGCTCTCCTCCCAGACTCTCCCTCCGACAACAACAACAACAACGTCTCTCCCGACAACGACTCCAACGACTCCGTCCAATCCAGCGGTCTCGTCTCCGCCGCCCGCCTACTGTCCCCCCGTCCTCGTCCCGCTTCACCTCCCTGAGGATTGCTGGCTTGCCTTGGCCCTGCTAGACTATAGTCCGGAAGAAACCTTCTCAAACTCTGCTGCTACAGCTCCTACCTCGTCTCGCTCCGATTTGCTCATCTCGAACCTCCAAACCTCCCACCCAACGCGCATACTTCGCTGCAACACCCATATCCAGAGCACCAGCTCTCGGCGTCTCTAACCAACTCGCTGTGTACCGTGTCTAGAACAACTCTATCTTCACCGAACCGTCGAACCCACCCAGATCCAGATCCCCTTCTTAAGCTGCCAGTTCCCGCCCTCCATATCTGCAGGAACCCCCAACATCTCACACTGTGACATCTTGATCTTACCACTGCATCTTCCCGTTCACAATCAGTCCCTTGCACCTCCTCGTACTCCCCCAATACACTATCACATCTTCTTGGTTGCTCCAAGACTCTCCAGACTCAAGAAGCTGGCTTCTTTACATACGTCTTCAAGATGAACTGTCCTACTAGAGACCCAGAGCCAACTGGTACCCTCCTCGCCCTCCAAACCCTCCTGTCACCCGCTGACAGTAGCCTCTCAGGCAATCCTACCTTCAATCAGAATCCTCCCACCTTCGACCGCACACTGGTTCCCCGAAGCTCCCCCGTCTGCGGCGGGGGCAGCCTTAGCGAGGACCAGTACAATATGGGCCTCCATGTGATGGCAGTATTCGTAGTATTGACCCAGAGCACGCTTGGTAAACAAACCTTTGTCCCCCCCTGTCGGTGCATCTAGGCTGACTGAAGCTCCCGCGGTACAGCATGCGCATTCCCCTTGATCGCGAAACGGTTCCCGCGCCTCCGCATCCCCCCCTCCTTCCTTTTCTTTGCCCGCCACTTCGGTACCGGCGTCCTCATCGCGACCGCATTCGTGCACCTGCTCCCCACGGCCTTCATCTCGCTCACCGACAAATGTCTGCCCGCCTTCTGGACGGAGCAGTACCCGGCTATGGCCGGCGCCATCGCTATGGCTGCCGTCTTCCTGGTCACGATCGTCGAGATGGTGTTCACCAAGGGCCTGTGCGGCGGACATTACTCGCCTGATGACCACCGGAATGCGACGCTGGAGTCTGGACACTCCGCCGCTGCCGTTGCTGCTGCTGGCAAAGAAAAGGATGTAGGGGAGGATGAGGAGGCGGTGGAGGAGGGGGAGGAGGAGGAGGGAGGGAGGGGGAGGAGGGAGGGGGGCGACGAGCGCAGTAGTGACTCGGGGAGCGAGCACATCGGCGGTCGTGGAGGGATGGGACGCCTTGGATTCGGAATGGCGGGTCGTCGGCGATCCCGTTCCCACTCTATGGCTCAGGAACTGCAGAAGTTCTCGTCTGAGATGCAGCGCAATCGACAGTCCAACTCCATTGCGATGGTCCTGGAGAAGGCGGACCACCTCCAATCGGGCGATTCGACACCCATCGAATCGAAATTCCCTTCGTCGCCGACCACCTCGGAGCACAATCACAAGATCAAACTCACGCCCCAGCAACGCCACAAGAAGGCCATGCTGCAGGTGTTCCTCCTCGAGATGGGTATCCTCTTCCACAGCGTCTTCATCGGCATGGCGCTCTCCGTCACCGTCGGCTCGCCATTCATCGTCCTGCTCATCGCCATCGCCTTCCACCAAACCTTCGAAGGTCTCGCCCTGGGCTCGCGCATCGCCGCCCTAAAGTGGGAGAAGGGCGCGATCCAGCCGTGGGCGATGGCATGCGCCTACGGACTCACCACCCCCATCGGCCAAGCCATCGGCCTCGCCACACACACGCTCTACTCGCCCGACTCGCCCACGGGCCTACTGATGGTCGGCATCATGAACTCCATCTCCTCGGGGCTGCTGGTGTTTGCGGGACTGGTGGAGCTGCTCGCAGAGGACTTCCTTAGCGACGAGAGCTGGCATACACTCCAGGGGCGCAACCGTATCGCGGCGTGCTGCTGGGTCTTTGCGGGCGCGTTCGGAATGAGCCTTGTCGGCGCTTGGGCTTGATTCTTCTTGACTCTTTTGTTTTTTGGACTTTTTGTGGCTTTGTTTTGGACTTTTCCTTGAAAACTATCTTTTATGAATATGTACGCTTGATGTACGCTTGATGTATGAAGACATTTGTGTTGAATGTTGAGTGGAGGAGGGCATTGCATGCATGGTTGTTTTGGTTTTGTGTTTGTGTTTCGTTTTCTTTCTTTGCTCTCTGCCCTTCAACGGACATATTTATGCTGCAGAAATGGGGTATTGGTGATGCTTGCGTGTGTGGTAGAAATAGAGGTCTGAGGGAGGGCTTTTGGGTCTGGCGGGGGGCTGGCTTCCCTCACTGGATGCCCTCACTGGATGGATGTGGTGGATGGGTATGGTGGATGGGTATGGTGGATACCTGTGATGGTGGATGGTGGATGATGGATGGTGGATGATGGATATTTAAAGGATCTCTTGTCGCTAGAATTGAGACTCTTTTTGCATTCATGCTTGACTGTGCTATTGGTGATGGTGATGGTGAGAGAACCAGCTTGGACGATCCTTCCCAGGGGGGTATGGTACAATGTAGAGATGGCAGCACCGACTGCCTTCTATCATAATTCTAATGCAGTCGGTGCTTCCACGGGAATAGCCCGGCGATCGATACCAAGGCCGAGCGGAAGCATCGCATCGCTCACTATCCGAGCGTCGCGCTCGGACCGGTGAGGACGGTTTCGGCCAGTAGATAATGAATAGTCGCGGTCGGCGATGGGATTCACAATAGCTACTAGTAAACGTCGGTCCCGATCCTATCGTTTCGCCGGGTCTACCTATCGGAGTGTGTACCTACTTCAAGTACCTACCGCTTCGCCCTCCCTTCTGCTGGAAGGACTCGTGGTAGCGATCACTGGAGCGATGGAGATGGAGAGAAGTGAAGTGGTATGTTTGGGTCTATGAGCTACAGGTAGTTACAAGAGAGAGAGAGAGAGAGAGAGAAAACAAAACTTGGACCCGCTACCGCACCGAATATTCCAAGCACTCACCACCAGTCCTCCGAACGGCTACTAGTAGTGGACTACTCACAGAAACACACTTGTTTTCCTGAACGTGGGGGAATCCTCCTGTCACTTCACAGAGTATCACCCGCCTGTCCTGTCCATCCTGTCCGTCCGACTTTGTTGACAGGTTGACAGACTCATCTTCTATCCGTTCGTTCAATTACCTAGCCACGGCACGTAAACAGTACAGCCACCCAAACAGAGCAGAGCACATTGCCTCGCCCTGCGCAGGCTGACCATCATATACTAGTAAGGCCATCAAGTTCGAGTTATGGATCCAGAGGAAACGAAAATCAAGATCAATCCTTCATAACTTCATAAGGAAAAAGACACAACGAAAAAGCCGAAAGAAAACACAAGAGCTCGCAAGAACTTTGCCATTCCCCTCCCTTCCCTTCCGCACCTCCGCTAAGATCTCATACACGCGCGCACACAGAGACACAGACACAATGGCAAAAAAAAAACTGATGATAACCCTCCACTCCAGCTCCAGCTCCAGCTCCAGCTCCCTTACGCAGGTGACAATCTAAATCCGCCTTACACCGCCAATCCAGAAACACCCCTTCCGCCGACGACACCGATCCAGTCGCTGCCTGTCTTCCCGACCGACGGGCTCCACGACAGATTGTTGACTTCGGTCTCGCAGCCCCACCATGCGACGGGTTGACGCTCCTGCTCGACACCCTTCTCCGTCTTGATGGTTCCTGTGGCGCCGCCGCCGGCAGCACCAAAGATGTCCCACACGAGGATTTCGCAGTCGTCGCCACCAGCGGCGAGGACACCTCTTCGGCCGGGGTTCCACTCGCAGCAGTTCACGTTTGCGGTGTGTCCCTTGAGCTCGACAAGCGCTTGGCCGGGCTGGCGGACGTCGAGGATGCGGACTACGGAGGAGTTGGCGCAGAAGGTGGCGATTAGGTGTTGGTCGTGGGGGGAGGCGGCGAGGCGGAGGAGCGCGGGCGGCGAGCTGTTGACGGGGGAGCCACCATCGTGGTCAGACCCAGAGGAGGCTTTGCTAGCTCCCGGTTCGTAGATGATGGTTGAGTGCTCGAGGGATCGGAGGTCGAACATGCGGACGCTACCGTCGGCGCCACAGGAGGCGAAGACGTCAACGGAATTGGACATGAAGCGCACGTCGAATACTTCCTTGTCGTGTGCAATCAGCTGCGTTTTGGCGGTGAGCGTTGGGATGTCCCATATTGTGCAGGTCGTGTCGATCGAGGAGGTGATGATCAATGACGGGGAAACTTGGTTCCAATCTAGTGATGTTAGAGGCGCGGTGAAGTCTGTGGATTTTGAGTTGGAGAGGAGCGCTAGTGGTGTGAGCTTCGGCGTCTGTGTGGGGTAGCTGCGCGATGTGATCGAGTTGCTGTTCGGTGTGGGAGCGGCGGAGCCGGGCGCGGGCAGCGACCACAACCTCAGATGGTCGCCGGAAGTGGCTAGGAGGTCAGTGAGCGACTTCGAGGATGGCGGTTCCCACAGCACGCGGGTTATCGGGTACGTGTGCGTTGCTTCGGCAAGCTTCGTGAACTCGAGTGTAGGTGCACCGGGCTGCTGGAGATCGGCGGGCCCGGGGCGGGTGTCAAGGACTTGAATCTGTACGTCCAACGTCAGCTGCAATCCCAAATCAACACGATAGCGGGGTACCAACGTAGTTATGGCTGTCTTCTGTGTAGCTGCCGACAGCTACACGGCCGTATCCACCGCTGGCCGAGGGGTTCCACTTGCACCAGTCGATAGCGTACAAGCCGTAGGGGCACATCCATCGTCCCGGCCCCACAGCGCCATAGCTTTCTTGTGGCTCGCGCATTGAATTCGAACTGTTGGATGAACCCGTTAATCCTATTCCCTGACTCCCCACTCCAGAGTGTGAATGCGAGGTAGTGTGCTGCGAAGAGCTGGGGTAAGTGGGGGTCAATGCCCCCGGGTGATTGTACTTTCTTGAGCCGCCGACATCACCGCCACCGCCGGGATTTAACTGCGCGTTCGGCGAATAGCCACTGCCGCCGCCGCCACCGCTGGTGTTTGTCCGATGCATGGACGATCTTTGTTGAGAGGCCTGCGGGACCGCAGCGGGCGCCGTGGACGTGGACGAGATGTGCGGTCGTGACCCGGTGTTCGACGATGGGTTCGCGGAGTGATATGCTGTGTAGGTCGGCTGCTGCGAGGACGGCTGCTGACTCGAGATCTGCTGCTTTTGAGTCGGATCCGATGGCCGCTGCGATAGGTGATGTGGGTGCGATTGAGTGGCCGAGGAGGGATGGTCTTGATACAGCTGTTCCTGCTGGGAATGCCGTTGCTGTTGCTGCTGCTGCTGCGACCGACTACTTCCCGATGAGCCTGGCTGTGTGACTGGTGAGGGCAGACGGAAGGAGATGGACTTCTTTGGTGGGAGAGCGGAGTCGGGCGATATTATGGACGAGCCTCCGGAGTGAATGGGGGTGATGCCTGAGTTCTGCTGCGAGCCCGGAGGGTTGCCCGCGTTTGATGTCTGAAGTCGGAGACCTGAGTTCTGGTTGCTGTTTGGCAATCTCGAGGTTGATGTGTTGGTAGCTCCTCCTCCTACAAGAGCAGCGGGGTTCCCGATTCCAGTCAGTGTCTGTGATGCGGCTTGGACTAGGGAAGCGAGAGGTTGATCGGAGACGGGTGCGTTGGACGTATGCGACTGCGAGCGCGAGTGGCCGATGCCGTGAAGAGGCATCGCTCAAGAAGAAATAAAGAATAAGCTTGAAGACGGTATATGGCCACAATATCCTAAAGTTTCGGCGGTCTGTTTTGAATGTCCTCGCGAAAGTTTTAGAGTTGGCTGTGTTTTCATCCAGAATGGCGCCCCCTTCCCCTCCTTGCTCTACCGCCGACTTCGGCCCCTAGTCATTCTCGAGCCGTGTGGATCTTCCCCCTAGCATTCAAGGGCTCAGGGCTGAGGTATGAGGCACGATGCAAGGTAGAGATAGTAACGATAGCTCATGGGGATCCAGATAGAAGAAGAAGAAGCAGAGTCTATCGCGACTTCCGGCGACGGTGTCGCGATGGCTGGGGCTCATTAGTCAGCACCTGCATGCTAATTACTAGTAGCTCCAAGCCCAGCCTTATTCATCGTGACGAGTGATGTCATGTGATTTTATCAAGAAATCCCTCTGAAGCGGGCCTTACAAGTTCCAAGTGCCCAGCAAGCGCAGATCCCCCGCTTATAGGATTCCGGCTCCTTCTGTTCCACTCCTCCTTTTCCTTCCCTTCGCCACAACAAATCATCTTGACCAATTACACACCTTCACCACAAGTTATGCATCAATTGCAACTCCAGAGGGTAAACACACACACAAAACCATACAACAAATCAACCACATGCAATCAACGACAGGATATTTACAAAAACGGCCGAAATCAACAGCAAAACGCAAACCTTAGCCCCAATATGGTTCATTACAACACGAAAACAAATCAAGCCATCCGCTTTTCCTCCGACGGCCCAGCCTTTCCGCCAATACTCGCACCACTGTGGAACGAGTTCTCACTCTCCTCGGGGTCGACGGCCTCGTTATCCTCAAGCTCCTCGGGGAGAGTCATGTTCAGAGCCATGGAGACGAGTGCTGTAACTGCGAATCCAGTGGCCATGAAGATCTCGATGGCGTCCAGGAATCCGCGAAGAGCATGGTTGTCGCCTTCGTAGGTGAAGAAGTAACTGGATTTCTGTCAGTCTACAGCACCCACTAGGATTATGGAGGGGGGAACTCACTCGAAGTAGTTGGTGACGAGAGTGGCACCATAACCGATAGCGAGCGCAGCAGTAAGAATGAACCTGTTGCGGCGGGTGAAGGCCATGGTGCTGATGATCTTGATTCCGGAGACTGCGACCGAGGTGAAGAGGAAGGTGGTCATTCCTCCCAAGACTGCCTGGGGGATTGCGACGAGAGCGGCGGCGAATTTGGCAAAGATTCCCATGAGAATGAGGAAGAAACAGCAGGCGAAACCAGCCTTGCGGTTGGCACACCGAGTAAGGTTGATGACTCCGTTATTCTGAGCGAACACACTCATCGGAGTGATGGTGCACAGTCCAGCGATGATGCCGGCAAGCCCGTCGGACAAAATACCGCCCTGAATGCGGGAGTCGAAGAGCTCTCCCTCAACATCCAACCGGGAAACCTCGCAAGTGGCCTATTCTATATCAACATCGGAAGTCTCGTGGGGAAAAGGGACTAGTAGGCATACTGAAATGTCACCAACAGCCTCACAGGCCAGGATGATATACACAGCCAACATAGGCAATACAGCAGGACCATAAATTGACAGCTTGAAGGTCTCGACCCAGATGAAGTTCGCAACAGGTGCCTAATTCAAGGCGTCAGAGGAATAGTCCAACAAAGCCGTTGATAAAACTTACCGCATCAATCCCGCTCTTGTCAAAGTAATTGGTTGCACCAGCGATGATGCAACCAACCATAAGGCCCATCACTACAGAAGTCGACTTCATGATGGGGCTTCCAAATCTTTCGCACAGGATGATGGTGACGAATACCGAGAAACCCAAGCCAAGGAACTCTGCAGATCCCCAGGGCAAAGGGTGGGGGGCATTGATGTTGGGACACATGGAGAAGAAGCCATCAGGACGATCCTTGCAGGGACCGGTTCCTCCAGCCCAGTTCTGGAAACCGGTCTCGATGAGATGAACACCGATGAGCATGACGGTGGGTCCGGTGACAATCGGAGGGAAGAGCTTGCGGAGTACTTTCGGTGGGAGGAAGGAGAGACCGATTTCGAGAATAGCGCACAAACATGCCGTTCCAAGGATTGCTCCATATCCATTTGGACAGGGCAATTTTGTGCCATCTGCTGCAATCGGGCAGGTTCCGTTCCGGTAGAACTGTGCCAAAGCTTTCTGGGCTATGGGAATGATGGTGAAGGAGGTTCCGACTCTACACTGGATATTAGACCAGACTTTTGCGTCCAAAAGAGGGAGAGTTGTACACAGAGATCAAACCAGTGCCAATAAAGTACGGGGTGCCTTTGATGTGGAATCGGGTGATCTGAATCAAAGACAAGATACCGCACACAATGAGAGATGCCGAGACGAGATATTGCTGGGTTGCAATAGTGAAATTGGCACCGGCAGCCCCGGAGAGAAGAATCGGAGGTGTGATCACACCAGCCAGCATGGCAAGAGCACTATCACGACGCTTTAGTATCCGTGTTCGATGATTCTTCTTTGAGAGACATACTGTTGAAACCCGAGTAAAAGCGCAAGTACAACGGGCATGTGATCATTGAGTCCAAAAAATGGTGAAGCCCGCCGAGGCTTCTTCATGAACGGAAGATTAGGCTGTGTATGTACGTCAGATATTGCCACCTAAGCTGCGAGGAAATTGGGGACATACTCGGAAGAGGAACGCATAGTCGTAGTCCCCAACGATACCCTCTCTAGGACAGCGGTTAGAACGATGTCGAACATGCTGAACTGTATAGGGTAGAATTCTTACTTGGTTGTGAAGGCCCAAACAAGCCGCCGGATCCTGTCGCTGATGGTCTTTTTGGGGATGGAACCCGGAACAATCTCGCTCGGCGTGGACATCTTTGCTGTGTGTACGAGCGCCGCGAGTGCCCAATGCTTCGAAGACGGGCTTTATATCGAAATACGGTGACCGTCACTGTATGGGCAGAGTATGTGCGAGAGCTAACGCAGGCCGCTCGGGAGAATTGGGGTGTCGAAGCGACGATAAGGCCGACTGCTAACCAAGCGTCGGATAGGTACCGAACTGTGAAGTAAAGCCTGGGGGTAAAAAGGTGGTCGGACGACTACCCTGGTTATACGAGCTGGAAAGATCCCGATGAAGCGACCCTGTGGATGAGCCTGGACTGATAATCTCAACGGACTGGGGGCAACAGGTGGTTTATATCCATCATTCGAGGCCTCAAGCACCCAGTACAATCGATATCGCCTCGGAGGAGGGAGCTAATCAGGCCCAGGCACTGGAATGATGATTCGATACACAAGGCGAATCTCCAGACTCCAGTAACCAGAACGCCGGAATCACTTTGCTGCAAGCCAGAATTCAGATTCAAGAAATCGAGAGCTCGCCGAACATCACAACCGAGTCCCTGGTCTGAGGAAGGGTAGTTTTTGGCGGGATATCAGTTTGTGGCGGTGATAACAAGCGGTGGGCGGAGAGCTCCGATGGGTCGCCATGGTGAGTGTGGCCAAAACGTCGCTGACTGTAGCGTCTCGGCCCGGATTATCTGCGATAAGCGCGAGGTTGCCGTAACGGAAGGGCAGATACGAGTGGGCTCTTGATACAGAGCAGGCAACAGTGGCGATTTTGTGTTTCCTTTTTTTCTCTTCGTGAACTTGAATTGATCTAGATTGTAAGAGGGTTTTAGCACTCTCCAAGCCGTGCGTGCGCTCACGAGTCACAATAGCATTTCCCACGCTGCTATTACATAGCGGTACGTGCAGGCCAAATACGCTCCACGTATCATACAAACGTAAACGGAGAACTCCACTGACTCTTCTCAACGGTTACGAGTCTTATGGTCATCTTAGAGTGAGTCTCCGGTAATGGGGGGAGGGTTTTTTTGGCTCCATTGGTCGTCCGCACATACTTCATGCGACGGGCACCAGCTCTCCGCGCGCCCAGAGGTGGAACGCATACTTCTCGGCTTTGTCCGCTTCGGCGAGCGGGAGACATAGCCCGGACACTCTCTGCATACATAGAGTATGTAGGAATCTTATTCGCATGTCTGTGATTGTCTCCAACCGATCCGCCGCAAACGCGTGTCACGGCCAACTCAGACAGCACGCTCTCATCTCTCCACCGAAAGCGCCGAACTCCGATCCGATGTGGAAGCCCGGTAGCCCCGCATGGCCCACCCAACACATGGCGATGACCGCCAGAAATCGCAACGTCTGGCAGACTGTGGGGGAGACGCGATGCACCCACATGTGGAACCCTATCAGCGGAACGCTACCGTATTCACCACTATCAGAGGCTACCCGGATCAGGAACAGTCGCTCCCGAGAACGGCCCCAGCTTTCTCGGTTAACGTGAGCCTGCCTAGCCCTATATACGTTGGCCACGGACGGGATCTCCACGGCTCACGATTTCTGGTGATGATTTGGTGGTGGCTTCGACCATCATAATATGGCCTTTTGAAGATTTCGCTGCTCGCCGGATCTGGAGGAACAATCTTTCAGAGCCTGGACGTTCGGAAACTCACCGGCGACAGTTTTTCTGTGGACACTTGCAGATGGTTTGCAGATGGTTTGCAGGAAAAAGCTCGCCAAAGGAATCATCCCCCCACAGCGATCTCGCTCATATCCGAGTGGGCACAAGATGGCAACGTGGGGAACCGGAAAAGCCCTTTTCTTGGCATTCTGCACACCTCGTTGCCGCCGGCCAACGACAATGAACCTTTGAGTCACTCTCTATCTGTCGACGTCCTCCCATTCAAGTTCCCTCCCCCTCCACGAGAACACCCACTGAGGCAGCAACTACGCCGACCTTCTCTCCTCTCCCAAAGCTGGCGGATCCTGCCGTGAGTGTGGGCTTTCCAATCTAATCCACTCGGTCAACCTGCACTTCTCGGTCCTTCATTTTCTGCGGGTTTCCAAGCAGCTGTCGTTTCCAAGCAGTATGTCGGTTCGGCCCACCGTCTCTCTATTCACTGTTGCGGACCTCACTAGTTCTGCCATTCTCTGCTAAGGTGGTTCATTTCTCTTGGATTCACGGACGTTCGCGACACCCTCCCTAACACGAGCTATAGCACTTAGGCTTTGCACAGCCGTCCACCGTCCACCTCCTTCCAGAGCTCACTCCCGACCGCCGTCTTCGCATAGAATACTCCCGTGGGATCAACCTTCTTCTTGATCTTCAACAACCGCGGATACGCCGCACCGTAAAAGTCGTTCTGCCAGTTCGGTTCATACAAGTTCGCCTTTCACAGTCAGTCAGCATCGAGTGAACGATTAAGGGGCAAGGGATTGCAGAACACACCTCGTTGATATAAGTCCCGCTGCCGGGGGAAGCGTCCTTGAACTCAGTATCGACATTGTCGATCAAATTCTGGATGACCGCCCACTTTTGCTCCTGAGTCTCCGTACCATTCCACATATAGTTATATAGTGGTAGCAAAAGCCCCTTCTTCCAGATAGGGTTGACACTGGTTTCCTTGGAGACTCCACCGAACTGGCCGGGAGCGACAACATGGCCAATAAAATGGTACCCTTGTTCCGCGCCGTTACGGAACGCTGCCGTGATGGCGGAGTTGTTTCCCTCTACGTGCTCGCGGAGGAAGAGACGAGACGAGGTGAACATATTGGCGCCGGCGCCTTCGGGATCGAATAGCGCTTCGTACCCCTCCAGGAAAGTGGAGTGCGTGGTGATGTTGGAGGTGTATTTCACTCCCAACTCGTCGAACTTTGCCATCATGGGGGCCATGATCGCCGCCAGCTCGCTCAGTGTCTTGTGGGGTGCTATGAGTGGCTTGATGAACCATAACTGTTTGTTGAGTTCGTAGTAGCCGAATATGCCCGCGTCGGCGAAGGAGGGCGCAAACGAGTGGAATGCCTCAACTGCAGCCCAGTATGTGTCCTGGGACATTGCCGGGACGTCGAAGTTGAATACTGCACCGGAGACGGGTGGGGTGTCATGGGTTTTCACGGTGACCTTGTTGCAAATCCAGTCAGAATACGGATCCTCACTGCATACCATGTACCGAAGGTAATGCTCACTGATATCAAGACGCCCCAAGATGCGCCACCGCCTCCACGCATGGCCCAGAAGATATCGGAATTGCTCTTGGCATCGGCCGTGATGTATTTCCCATCGGCGGTGACGAGTGTGTACTGCAGAACACTGTCCGTCCCCATTCCCAGAATAGTCGAAAGCGGACCGTGTCCACCACCTTGGATATATCCACCCGCGAAGCCGACAGTCTACTCGTTTCCCTCGTCAGCAAACAAGAGCCCCTAACTGGTCGTGAGCTAACTTACGGGACACTCCCCAGCCACAATCACCTTCCCAACCTTGGCCAGCTCCGTGTACAAATTCGCGATCTGCACTCCAGCTCCCAGCTTTACTGCGCTGCCCTTGTAGCTTGTCGATGGGTCGCTGTATTTGTCGATTATCTTGACGGACTGGAAGAGATGCGTCCAGATACTCAACGAGCCGGTACCGATACTCTTTCCCATAAAGTCATGGCCGGTATTCTTGATCACTCTGTTGCACTGATCAGCCCAATTCGCACCAAGGAACCAGCACCCAGTGGAACTTACAGCCTGACATTATTCTTCTTCGCAAAATTCACACCCGCCTGCACATCCTTCACGCTCTGTGCTTTGATCACATAGTTCGGAAACGCGCCTCTCGTGCACTCGCCGCTCGTCGGATCATCGGTGGGCACACACGTGCGGTTCGTCCAGAAGTCCCAATAGATACTGACCGGACTCGCAAGATGCACATCGGTATCGTAAAAGCCAGCTGTATACGCCTGGCACTTCGCCGCATCGTAGGAGGGCACGCCATCGAACGTTTCGTAGCACACGGCGGCAGGCGGGCGAACCGTCTCGAGACGGCCCGAGACCGCGCTGTTTAGCGCCGACCATCGGGAGGCCGCGGGCCACGACGAGGTGTTGGGGAATGCCTTGCAGCGCGCCGCGGAGGCTGCGGACGCCGCGGGGAGGAGGGAAAGGACGAGAAGGGGGATGGAGGACCACATCTTGCGGACTGCGCTGCTGGACTCCTGTTCATCGTGGGAGCTACGAGGGACTTTATAAATCCGAGCGAGCGCGCGCGCCCTCGCGCCATTGCATCGCTCGCAGTAGCATAATAGGCCCTCCGTCCGGCGTGCCTGAATAATCATATCGCCCACGTTTGTCCGTCCGTCCAGCAGCTTGCTGCAAGGCCCCTCCTGGGATCCGCAGAGGTGGGCAGGTACGCCGGCCCTAGTTAGAAGGCAGCTTCCCTGGATCATATCCCCCGCCAAGCTAACTACTCTACGCACATCATCCTCCTCCCAGCACAATCCTTACATGCCCTCGTGTAAATAAACGAGGTTGGGAAAATTGGAGTGTAACTATAGAGTAGGTATATGCTCCGATGCAGAAAACCTGGGCGAGGCGGCAATAGGTAGGTATCTACATACATGGAGGGATTTTGTAGGAGGTTTGGGGATGGTTTATCGGGTGAAACTGGAGCAGCCGGTTGAAATCCGCAGTTTGAGTGGGGAGATATACATCCCAATCTCAATATCAATCGTTGGGGTTAAAACTTGGACATTTGAGATGGACATCCACCTCGGGCACAGTGCGCGCCATCTCCAGAAGTCTTGCGCCCACCTCCACCTCCACGACTGCTTTGTAAAAATGTAAAACCTCATTCGTGAAGCTTCGATATTGGACAACCATGACGCCAAGGCGGCTTACAGAGCAACACGCCAACTGCGATCACCAACTCACTTCGTATACAAAAACCCTTTTAGAGAAGGTGGATGCAGCTGGAGTAGCATAGACATCGTATCCCTGACCGGCTGAAATCCATAGCGGCGCCGGAGTGGGTCGCCGCCAGTACCGCTAAGTTCTAACCAATGAAGCGCCGGGCGACGACGGCTCTTACTTCCTCCGTTGACATTTGGGAGGGTAGGAGGGGATGGGAATATGAGAGTACGGCCGATCATACCGTCTCACTCAGATGGGTTTTAAATCAACGATCGTCGAAATTACGGCGTCGTGCGCTGGAGCGGATACGAGGTAGGTATGCACATACACTTCGTCAATTCGTAATCACGGACGAGCTTTCGCCAGCGGTAGATAGATATAAAGGTAGAGGATGTCTACTGGATACTTCCACCGAGGACATGTGCAGCGTCGTGGATGAATGAGTTCTTGAAGAGTGAACTTCGGCCGAGGCAGGTTCATTCGCGGTTGGAGTGGAGAGCACGATCCACCAGCCCCAGCCTGGCTATCAATGAGATGCTCCAGAATCGGCAGTTTATCTTCGCGGCAAAGTAGTGACAATACAGTCTGATACCTCCCATTCAACCCAGTTTCCCATTCAGCAAAACTCTCGAAATGAGTTACGGAGTGAGTGATAATACATGCAGCGCTTGTCGCGGCTATTGATGGCTCACTTCTCACTCGAATCTGCCGGTTACTTTTGTTTCCGGCACTGACGCTGAAGCCTGATCGTCGTAATCCGCAGATGTTCCAAGCCACCGTCAATCAGGCCTACTGAATGGGGAAACCAACAAGCTCGACCCAAAGTGAAACTTTTGATGGCGCTCGGAGATGGCTTGATTGGTTCTTCTCACCAAGAGCCACGTACCTGCACACGAACGTCGTACACGGCAGGAACGAAGTAAGGGCATTCCCACGCGAGTCCTTACAATCTTCTACATTTAGCCCTCTGGCTGAACCCATCCACAAGTTGATGATTGGTCCAACCACCTCAACAGTACACATCCAGGTACGGTAGGTAGCTCGATGTTCCACGACGTCCTCAAGCCATCCGAAAAACCGAGTGACGTGCCATGACACACCTTAGAATCGCCGAATGCACCTATCACTTCATCCGATCTGCGTATGTACGAGAGTATTGAATATGAATTTGAGCTCCCGTGTTTTCCCATGAACTGTGACGCATGTCAAGTCACCATCTACTCCTCCTCCTCCCTCCTCCTGACGAAATCAAAACTGTTCGAATACACCACACCACACGACACCACAGACAAAAAGCAAACGCGCAAGAAAACTTTAAAGCAACAAAACAATGGTTCACCTCAAACAGTTTAACTGAGTCGACAAAAAAACTAAATCCACCGGGGGGGCATTCCAAAGGGGTAAAGTCGTATATATATACAGTAAAACGGGTAGGCACTGGGCAAAGGAAACCAAAATCATAGCCTCCCCCTTTCTTCTCCCGAGGATTAAATGAATAGACTCCGTAACGAACGAGGACGAAACGCCATGCAGGCACGAATACATACTTTACAGCAACGCATGTATATGACTGGTTGTTGGATGGATCGAGGATAGGGCGTGGTAATTGGGGGGGGGGCGAAAACAGAAAATGCAATACTGGCCCCCAGAAGGCGGATATCTTTCACGCAAAAGAAAGAAGCCGATGAGGAAATGAGAAGAAACGAAAAGGCCAAAACAAGAAACGCTCCACAGTTGCAGAAATGAACTTTCATTCAAAGTTCCAAACAACCAGCCCGAAATATTGATCCCATCCATGTTCCCGCAGACCGGGAACCATCCCGCGTTACCGCATCCTTCTGATAGACTCCAGCCCAGCCTTCGCGGCTGTCGTAGTCGGACGGGAAGATCCTGCAGCCCTGCGCAGAGTATTCAAGCCGCCGGCAGGCTTCTTTGTCGCTGTCTTCTTCTTCTGTCCAACGGTCGGGTTGTTGCTCGCAGAGATGATAACCTTCTTTCCCTTGTCTGGGTTCTCCTTGATCGCATTGACGACCTCCTTCATAATCGTATTGGCACTCTTGGTGCCCAGTCCCTTTCTCACGGTGCGCACAGGGGATTGCTGGGCCTTTGTGACGGCGGCAGCAGACTGGCGAGAGAGTATAGGTGACTCCTTGGTCGGCGACAGCGAGAAGCGCTCCGAGGAGCCAGCGAAAGGAAGGGGAGTGGTGGCGGGGGAAAAGGCAGGCGAGTCTTTGAGGGCAGGGTGCTTCAGCTTTGTCGGGGTCTGCATCCTCTTGCGAAGGGTCGAGAATTTCTTCGTCGTTCCAGTCGATGAAGATGCTGCCGAAGTGGCCGCCATTATGGCCTCCACCTTCACCCGCAATACCTCCTCGCTGTCCGTCCTTCGCAACACACGAATCTTTCCACCGCATTCCTCCTTGCCATCTTCTTCTTCAATCACTTCCGTGACAGTAGTAGAATGCAAGCTAGCCGTGACGGTCGATGATGAAATGGCCGATGAGGCACGAGTGTCGACAGCTTGGGCAGTATGCGAATCGAATTCGACATATGAGCCCGAATGTTCGCCAGACCGTCGTCGCCGCAGGTCCCCAAGCGCCGCCTCATCACGTTCAAAGATCTCGCCCTCAGACAACTCACGTAGTGGGAGGCGTGCCAGTGCCGATCTCTGAAGAATTGATGGAGTTGCTTTCGAGATGCCGCCTGTTTACCAAGAATATCGTCAGCACCAGTGAATCGGAAGAGCGAGGTATCATTCATGTCGTCGTGGTTGGCCGATTATGTGGTGGTCGAGTCCCAGAATTCACAGAAAAAACAAAGTCATGTAAACTCACTCTTGCCTCTCGTAGGAGAGCCTCCGTTTACTCGACTTGCCCGTGAACGGGTCATGACACCAGATAAAGGAATGTTCTCCTTGTTATCCCCTCCATACTGAGCACCTGCGAAGTACGATGTCACTTTTGCTGGTAGTGTAGTGGCGGTCGAGTCGTTGAATATCGAGTCCTTGTTACCAGTCGATGAGTTCGATTTCAGTTTCGACTTCAATACTGTTTTCGATTTTGGCTCGACATTTTGGGATTTTATCGATGCGGCTGCACTTGTTTTGATACGCCGTGGGATACTCGAAGCCACGGTGCCTACGTGTCGCTGAAGTCGTGTGGAGACCGAAGTAGAGGGCTTGGTTGGCGACATCTGGAGGGGGCTGGGTCGAGGTTGTTGTGGTGCGAGAAGACTTCAGGGCCTCGAGGAGGAGGAGAGGCTGAAGTTGATACACACGGATGTGGCCTATTCGGACGATGGCATCTAAAAATGAGATAATGAGTGTGTGTGGTTGTAGTCGGGAATTGCGGTCGGGAGTGGTGGTGGTGGTTGTGTTGTCTGGTCAGAGTAGGAGGGAGGAGAGGGAGGGAGAAAGAGAAGAAGTCGTTCGTTGGCTCTGTCGGTTGGTTCGGTCAGTGGACCCAGGCCAGGAGAGAGACGAAGAGGCTGGCCCAACCTAATTTAGAACTTAGCAGCGTCTGGTATTTCCTGTTCTGGTAGTTTTCACACACGCGCTCGCGCTTGTACGGAGAGAGAAGAGAGAGCGAGGAGGGCGTTGTTGGTGGCCGCAGCAGCAGCAGATTCACCGGTTTCTCCAATTATAATGGCAGGTACAGACCGCCCTGTTCCGACACTCAAGAACGGTCATTCATCGCCAGGGCCACACAGAGGATGACGACGGATGGGGCCATGGCAATTGGCAGCGCATCAACTCACAGCCCCTGTCTGGAACGACTGGCCGGCGGGAGAGTCTTCCTGACACTTTCTCTGCGGGGATGCAGGCGGCTGGCTGGCTGAATGGTTGGTGGATGGTGGCCATCAACAACCCAGCGGTGGGTGTAAACAAAGCTGGTTGTCAAGAGCAACGGGCCAGGGCCATTCACCGCCGAACACTCCTTCGTTGTTGTCTGTCTCAGCAGAAACAGCAACAGAGAGAAAGGGCCTGGAGCGTTAGAACACGGTGTCCAACAACGAACAACAGCCGGCGGGCAGGACTCCGTGCAAATATCTCGAAGTGTCGATTCGCCGGAGCAATTGCGACTACGGACCGATGCTCATGCCAAGCCGACCAAGCCTGGGGGAAAGTTGTCGGAAGGCTAACTGCAAAGGGAGGGAGCACTTCCTGCTTGGTTCTTAAGCGAAGGATCCTCGAGGGATGGATTGGCGGGGAGAAAAACGAGTGAAAAAGGAAAAAAATCGACAAAAAACACGCCGAGCGAGTGAGAGGGGGAGGCAGAAGTCACCACCCTTTGTTTACGCTTGCGCGACCCCTTGCGCCAAAACATCAACAACCACGACACGACAACACTACCACTCCTCAACACCTACATCGCAAAATCGCCACCAAGTGGTCACGACCACGAACGATAAGCTCGCTACCATCAACATCGCTACCTCATTCCGATCAAAGCTTACACAGTATACACCATGGTCGAATCCCCAACGCCAGATATACATCCGAGAGACATCCCTCTGCCCCCGTCGGACGACACGAACTACCACTCGTCTTCGCCCATGAAGAGCTCGGTCTCGTTTCACAGCAATGCAGCCGGCACCGAATATGCATCGTCGCCGCAGACGGCTCGGTCGACGCGAGCATCGAGGCGGAGCAACGCTAATATCTTCGACTCGGAGACACCTGTCGTTTCCGCTGCTTTCAACCCGTTCCAGACTCCCTTTGTTGGCGATGAACAGGAAACGCCACGACCACGCGCCGGACGACCCAGACGCAGCGGCGGGAAATATCATCCTGGCACCGGTCCCGTGGATACCCCCACGGTAGTTGACGAGAGCAGCTCCCATCCTCAGTCGCGTCAGTCATCACGACATTCTTCGGTGGCTAGTGAGAGTGAAGGTGGCGCGGAGGATGAGGAAATTGAGGATGCCGAGAGTGAAGGTGAGGCAGCAGCTTCCGGGGACGATATGGAGACGGAAGAGATGGAGGACCCCGAGGATGATGAGCTTGAGGTGGATCGCACAATGGCCATTGGCCTTGGCTCCTCCGTCGCCCACCGACTCGGAGGCTATCCTTCATCTGCTCGTTCCCAAAGACAGCTTTCGCCTGGACAGACACCGGCAAAGCAACGTGGCAACGTCTTTGCATCCTCCTTTGATACCAATTTCACTGCGATTTCGGAGATGGAGGGCACTCCTCTAGCATCCACATTCGCGCGGCCGTCGTTGTTCGCGAGCGCCCACAAGACTCCATTCTTATCCGCCACCTCGCCCCAGAAGATGAATGCAATGCAGCGTCTTGCCGCTGGCACACCCATCTCGCTCTCCGCCGAGCTGAGGGCTAGAGAAGCCGAGGTTCGACAGCTGAAAGAGCTGCTTGCTGCTGGCGTTCAGGACCAACAATCAATCGGAGACTTCATCAACTTTTCACCTGAAAGAAAGACCGAGGAGGAGGAAGAGGAGGAGCACCTGATGACCGCCAAGAAGCGTCGCGCATCGCCACGCAAGAACTTTGGAAGCCCGATCGGTGGTGGGGCATTGCGCACCTTCAGGTCGTCACCGATAAAACCGATGGCACTGTTTGAAGGTATCATCAAGCCCATCACGGCGGAAGAGAGGAAGAGGGCCAGGAGAAGGAGGGTGACCCAAGAGTTCCGCGATTTTAGCGCCATTGATTTGGAGTCTTTGAGGACGGGTGGATTCCTTCCTAGGCTTTCCGTCAACGACATCATCGAGGAGACACCGGAGATGATGGAAACGGAACAGGAAGTCGTTCAGGCTGCGGATACGGACGAATTGCAGGAGGTCGAGGAAATGGAAGTGACAGAACAACCCGCAACGGACCTTTCGATTAAGGAGGAGCCGATGGAAGAGGTTGAGGAAGGACCCCAAGTGGAAGAGGTTCAGCGGGAAGCAGAGGTTCAGCCAGAGGAAGAGGTTCAGCAGGAGGAAGAGGTTCAGCAGGAGGAAGTGAAAGTTAAGGTTGAGCCGGAAGAGGAATCTCACGAAATGGTCGAGGATGTCCACGTTATGGTCGAAGAACCGGATGTCGAGATCAAGCAGGAAGAAGAGGATGTGGGGATGTCAGCATTCCCAGAGGAGAGGAGACCCTCTATCGTTGTACCGCCGCTTAACCGGGCCCGCCCCTACCGCTCCTCGTCTGCACCACCTGTTCCTCGTCCCGATGACACAGAAACGAAACCAATCGCCGCAAAGTTCGAGGCCAATACCCCGATGGATATCGATGCCGCCCACGATGTCGAAATCACCACTTTAAAGCGCCTGATCATTGAACTTCAAGACAAGCTCGAGATCGCGGACGTGCAAATCGACAGGCTTCAGGCTGATCTTATGGTCGAACGCCGTATGAGGGTCACGGCCGACAAAGCCCGCGAGTTTGTCGAAATGGAGCGAAAGTTCGGTGTATGCTGCGAGCACAATCCTGGTTTCAAGCAACCTTCGGAGAAATTGGGCCCCGCGGCCGTCCAACTTCCCAACAGCTCCCCGCCTCGTCCGGAGGAACGCAAACAGGCTGCACCAAAATCCCGTCTCGGCGGTCCAGGTACCAGGCCAGCCAGCAGATATGAGAATAGGCCCATCAGCCGGATTGGTGATAGACCCGCCAGTCGCTTCGGTGAGCATTCCGCTGCCAGAGCCGGCGGAACCAGTATCAACAAGCCCTCGACTGCGACTGCCTCGGTTACAAAGAAGAGGGCTAGGGAGGAACCCACGGCCGTCCCTGGGAAGAAGGCACCTATCCCTGCTCGTCCAGAAAAGAAGGTTCTCAGTGCATCGGCGGCCGGCAACACCATCCTTGGTAACGCGACTTCCGCATTGACGAAGAAGCCGGAGAAGGTGGTCGGAAGGAGTTTGAGGAGCACAACTGGCGCAACGGTGACTAGACCCGGAGCGTTGGCCCGTGGTGCTAGACGATGACGGGAAGGGGAGATGGTCGGTAAATAGTGCTACCTGGGCGGACAGGGAGGTGAGATGATATCACGAAGATGCTGGGAGGAATTGTTGCTGTTGTTTCATTGCTATCAGACTGCTCTTTAACTTACTTTTACTTTTTTGGGAACCTTTTGGGATAGGACACCTTTTGGATGGTGGTGCTGGTGGTGGTGGTTGTTGACTACGCTTCTTGTTTTGTTTTCAAAATGGTGTATTTCTTTTCTCACGATTGTTCTCTTGATATACTGCCCTGCTTCTTCATTCCTACTACTATTGCTACCTACTACTTCCACTCTTTTGCCTGTATGCCAACACGATTGATACCCCTTCACTCTGGCGTCGGCGGTACTACTTGTTGCTTTCTCATTATATATGCGGGGCGGTTTCTCTTACAAGGATGAAGGGGATCGCCCGTTAGCTATGTTACAGGTGGGCCGGATGTGTGTACCTATTGTGCCTCCGATCCGAGACGGGGGTACGGTAGGTGCCCTCTGAATGCCAGCCTTTAATTTTTGTTTGCTGCTTCTACCATACCCAATATTTCCCAGCCGTGAAGTCAACGCACCTACCTCGGTTCTCCACCCCGATGCATCGACCACCGACACTCTTGCCGGTGCATACTTCGGGCTGACTGGCGATCCCTCCGTACCCGGGATCCCACCGTCGGGGAAATCGGCCCCAGCCTTCCCACTCGGGACGATGTTGCATGCGGTGTACGTCACTTCCTCATCTCAGCCGCATACAGCCCTGTTAGAGTATGTATGTGAGGGCTCTATATACCAGGAACATACATACACATTAGTTTCCACCGCCTGCGGTAGGCCTCAGATGCTAAAACAGACAATCTAACCGAGCGGTGATCTGAGCCTTTGAGATGGATGGGGACAGAGTTTGAAAAGTCAACGTAGTTATAACTTGCCCCTCCTGCCCATCCTTCGTTCGTCCGTCTGTCTGTCAATTCAATACCGAAAGCGAAGATGGCACCTCACAACACCTCCTCCTCACCTACGGAGGATGGCTCCCCTCCCGCTCCCGCTCCTACGGGAAAAGGCAAGCCAATCTTTATGGCCACGCACCCGCGCGCCTGCTCCACCGCCTTCGAGCGTGTAATGATGACGCGCCCCGACGTGCTGACGTGCGTGCACGAGCCGTTCGGCGACGCTTTCTACTACTCGGCGACGGAGCGGCTGGGAACGAGGTTTGGCGGCGACACGCCAGAGATGCAGAAGCTGCGCGAACAGAGTGGGTTCAGCGCCGCGACGTATAAGGGCGTGCTCGAGAGCATTAGGAAGGCCGGCGAGGTGAGTTTCCGTCCGGGGCGGACTTGGAGGTGCAGGAGGATGAACGAACCCTGACACCCTGCCTGGCGGGAATAAAGAAGTCGGGGAAACGAGTCTTCATCAAGGACATAGCGCACTACCTGATACCGCCGTGTGGGGCGGCGACAATCGCTTCGTCGCTCTGCTCTCCCGGCTCTCCGGGCGAGCCTGGAAACCCCACCGTCATTCCCTTGCACATCCTGCGCACCTTCCAGTTCACGTTCCTAATCCGGCACCCACGGCGCGCGATCCCCAGCTACTACCGGTGCACACGCCCACCACTCTCAGACACGACCGGGTTTACGTACTTCCTGCCCGAGGAGGCGGGGTATAGGGAGTTGCGCTTGCTGCTGGAGTTCCTGCTGGAGCAAAGGGTCGTAAGGAGGGACGAGCTGTGTGTGCTTGATGCCGACGATCTACTCGATGAGCCGGAGGCCGCGGTCAGGAGGTATTGTGAGCGTGTGGGCCTGAACTACAGGCAGAGCATGCTAAGGTGGAACGATGGCGGCTGTGAGGAGTTTGATAAGTGGAAGGGGTTTCATGAGGATGCGATTGGAAGCGTGGGGTTGGTTAAGAGGGAGAAGAGGAAGAAGGAGAAGACGCCGGAGATGGAGATGCACGAGTGGACGGAGAAGTGGGGCAAGGAGGCTGCAGAGCTTATCAGAAAAACGGTGGAGGAGAATTTGGAGGATTATGAGTTTTTGATGCAGTTTAAGGAGGTGTTTTAAGCGGCTATTGGAGCAGCTATGGGAGCAGCTAGAGAATGTAGAGTACTGAGCAATGAGGGGAGACAAAAGAACTCGCTTAATACGTAGGGGAGGGAGGGGGGTTTCAGCCTGCACCACACCAAAACTCGTGTCCACCTCATTTGATTTTGCGAGTGGTGTTGTGGGCATGAGTTTTGGTGTGGTGCAGGCTGAAACCCCCCATTCTGCCAGTCGAGTTCTTAATAGTAATGGATTGTGGCAGGAGCAATGCAATGAAACCGTTCAGTATAACTAGCATGAATAGCATCATCCAGTCTCAGGCACAACTCTGCCACTGATTGATTGATTGATTGGTTGTTCATACAGCATGGAACTCGAAGGTTATGGCCGATAGAGATATCTACAATACAACATTTCGACAAAGAAATTCCACCACCAAATCCACACAGAAATGACAAGCCAAATCCCTTCGTCTCGCAATATTTTGAAAGTGAGCCTCCGAAGAGGCTCGGGTTGTCGGTTTTGCGCTGTAGCGGCGCTTCGTAGCCCTCCTCTTCTCCAAAAGATACCTCCACTCGGTACTACCCTCAACATAACCAGTCTAGCGCACACGGCATGGTGCTCGAAAGGAATCGTCGTCTCGGGGTTTGCGTAGCTGTCAAGGCCGGGGCCCGATGAATAGCAGCGAAGATATTTGGATCGAAGGCGGGACTGGCAAAATACCGGTTGTCATGGTCGACGTTGTCCTGGGCCAAGCCCTGAGCTCTCCCCCTGAAGTTCACTCTCCTCTCCGCCGTCGCCGTATCGCCTGCTAAACAGGCTCTCCTAGAGTGATAAAATCGATGATGATGTGCGGGGAAGCGATGGTGAGACTTCTTCAGAGGTTCGGACTTAGCACCCGTGGTGGTTCTCCGGCCAGGGACCGAGGTTCGATTGATCTCTATCGCTTCATGCTCATCGTCGTCGAATTCGTCGGTCGGGGCACTCAATCCGCGGTCGGAAAGAGTGGACACACACGCCACATACAACTCTGCCACTGGCCAGTGCCATAGATAGCACCTACGCGGGCAAGCTAACGACAAATTGCAGGATATCACCATCCGAGCATCCATAGATTTCAAAAGTCTACTGAACACTCATCCAGACCGATGTTAGTAGTCCATCCTCGGCATGGCTCAAGACGAACGGGAGACTGTTGAGATAGTCTGGCATTTCGGAGCCGAGTGGTCAACCACACATCATCACTCGTAGACATTACTGGTAACCACTGCACGAATCCAGCCACCATCGTTTTCAAGCGACCACTTGGAATCAACACCTGCACGTAAGGAACTGACATTATGAATACAAACTATGAGTGCTCTCAAGCAACCGCAACAAGTCGAGAACGAGGTATACAGGTATCATCATTAAACGTATAAACAGCAACGCAACTTCAACGCTAACAACCAACGCCATTCCACCAGCCCAACCCTCAACCCAAAACCCATCCTCCCAACCCACAGCACGTCCCTACACCTACACAACCCCACAACTCAGTTTATGCAGCACCTTCTTAACCTTCCCCGGCTGTCTCGCATCAGCATCAGGGTAATTATTCGCGTCGACCTCGTCCGCATCCTTCGCTTCCAGGCCGCTGTACATATCGCGCTCCATCTCCTGGCTATTCTTCCACTTCTTCCCCGGCAGCAGCCGCGACATCCGCTTCTTCTTGCCCTCTTCAATTTGAGACATGTCGAGCTCTTCCGAGGGCCGCGCGGCGCCTTCCGGGTGCGCGAGTGTCGTGTTGGCGCGCCTGGAGAGGGGGTTAGTGAGTAGTAGGGAAGGGGGAGGAGGGGGGAAAAGTACTCTGAGAATGGCTCTGGAAACCCAGTGTCGTGCGTGGCGCCCACGGTCGTCGAGACCGGCCGCGTGTTGATGTCTGTTACTCCCGACATTGCGATTGTGGCTGGCTGGCTGGCGATCTTCGTCTAGGATTTGGATGTGGATCTGGGGAAGGACGTGTGTGGATGTGGATGTGTTGTGTTGTTTGGACTATATTATCGGCAATGAGGTTTTGATGATCTGCAACAGGAGGAAGGGTCTAGGTATCGTATCGATCGTGTATGGGGGGGAGGGGACGGATGGTGGAGTGCCGAGCGGAAGGGCTTTATACCACCCGGCATCGTGCCGGGTTTGAATTCCTTGCGGCGGCTTCACTCGCTGCCTGCCTTGATGGCATTGCATTCTTGGTGTTGACGACAGTGATGGCCGGCGGATGCTTGGTGACGGATGATGTCGGTGGCTTGCCGGGAGATGACGTATGTAGAGTACCAACTAGCACGGGCTGTCTGAGCTCGCCGGTTGTCGGCAACCGAGCCATTCACGTGATGTTGAAAGCTACCCCAATGGGCTAGGGTAGATGGCCTCCTCCACGAGCACGTGATACGAGTCTGGACCCTCAGCGACGCAGCGCGGACGATGACAAAGGCTTGTAGCTGCTCTAGGTATTCCACTAGTTGGTAGCCGACGCCACCCGCACAGCCCCGTCTCACGGGTTTAGATGCGAATCTCACGAAGCACGAGATTCTTTCCTTCTGCAGCTTCCTCGAAACGTTGTCCTACCTATTATTCCACCGTATCTACATATCTCAGCCGTCTGTGTCCTGTTCGTGCGAGCGTACGAGCGGACCGCGCGGCTAAACCGAAAAAAAACGTTTCATCGAATTGACCGCCGACTTTCCCGAAGTGGTCGGGTGCATGCAATGGGGACATGCAATGGGATAAGAAGTGCGGAGGAAAATGCATGGCACGCACTGTACTGCACTGGCAGAAAGGGATGGAATCTGGAGTACATATCGCACACATCTATCCGGCCATTCAGCGGCTGGATGGGTGGATGGGTGGATGGACGAATGCTGCTGCAGGGACTCTATCAGTGGACGAGCGATCGGTCCGGGAGAGTGGGTAAGTCATAAGTTGTTAGCTGCTGGACGAGCTGGGTGTCTGGATGTCTGCATACGGAGTGACGAGGCGTCGAGAAGCCCTCATATTATCTACAAATTATTTGTTTTCGTGCGTGATTGCTGTGCGTGTGGTGCGGTGATTCGCCTTATCGTTCGAAATTCGAATTGCTTCTGTCTGTTGTTCGCTGTCCGTCTCTGTCCGTCAGTCCACTGCGAGGCCGCGAGTCTCGTAGGTTCTAGATACCTCTCAGCGAATGCCAGCACCCGGCCGACTCATTGAGCTGCCAATCCGTTCCTCCCCGCCACATTGAGTATTCTGATGCGACACTGGCGTTGGCTGGGTGTAACTCCAAGGGCACGAGGACGTGAAAGTGCTAACTAATGGGTGGCCCCAAGCCAGCACGCCCCCCCCCATCTTGTGCCGCTAGTTTATTTATCAACCCCCCGCCCCCGTCTCGCCGTGGCGATCCGCTTGCTTCCCTTCCTCAACCCTTTTGTCTAGCACATAACCCCGAGCTCTCCCGTTCCTCCTCCACGTTCCAAACAACAACTGTCAACCACAGCTCAAAAGCCAACTCCCAGCACTCATCAGCTCCCCAACCCAACCCAACCAAACTCAATCGGCTTTCAGTCAACCAAACAACAACAACAACAACTTCTCACTTCAACTCCCAACCCTGCCGAACCCTTTCTACACAGCAACCCTGGACAAATAACGACAATGGCGATGCTCAACAATAGTAAACGCAATAATAATTCCAGTAATTACCGGTCCGGCAGCGGTCGTTCCATGTCGCCCAAAAGCGCCTCCACCGCTCCCGTTCTCGCCAGCTGCTACGCCACCTCGGCTTGTTCGACGGTGGTTCAAGGATTCCATTACTCCAGTACGGGCACCAACGGTTAGTAACAATCTCCCCCCGTGAGTGCGACACAATTGATCACTTGCTGACTTTCCCCGTCGCATGCAGGGGCACTGTGGCGTTCCTGAGGCCCCCTCAGGATACCCCAAAAGTCCCCCTTCACAGAGCAACGTGGAAGGCGCGCACCGCACGGGTGGATACATCCGCGCGCGCTCGCCAACCGCCTGCTCTGCCACGAAGGGGGCGTCGAGTACCATCGCAAGGGAGTGTGAGAGACTTCTTTGTGGGGACATGAGGCGAATCTTCCTGGGTGGAAGGTTGGGTTCGCCAAGTGTTTCCCGTTCGATGGGCTCGATTCGCAAGATCGGCAATAACAACAATAGCAACAAGAAAAATGAAAACCATCTCGGCGCTGCGATCAGTGGCGTCAGCGAGGGTTACGATAGTGATGATTCCGATGATTACGATTACAGCAATAGTACCAATAACAACAACAACGACGACGACGACGACGGTCACTCTTTTAGTGGAGTGGAGAAAGGGGATGGTGACGACATGAGGTTCATTGAAGTCTGGGACTACGTTGGGGGAACCAGTTTCAGGGGATTCATTGCGGATAAGGAGCTGGCGCGGGGGAAGGTCGAGAAGACTCTGTTCTTGTTCTTCGAGCATGTCGCAGGGACCCAGTTGAAGCATGGGTATGCATCCATCCATCCACACAATCCCTTCCGTCATTTACTGATTGGTTCTGCAGGTTAATGGCTCTTATCGAACTGGCAACCGAATGCTTTACCTGCGATCGTCTGGTGATTTGCCTCGAACGGAACGCAGAAGGTCTTCGTAAGTGCGATACATCCTCCGATGCATCCACCAGCTAACAATTCTCTTCAGACGGCCTCGTCCGCGATCTCGGCTGGGTAGGCTTCGAGCTGATAACCCTCGCGCACTGGGTCCAAACCGAAATCCCGCGTAACGGCGGCATCGGCGGACCAGGTGTCAGATGCGGTAGCTTCTCATCTGTCAGCACCTCCTCGAGCGTGTTCTCGGACGACGAAATCACCAGCGAAAAGTGGCTCTTTATGGGAATGGAGTTGTAGGCCAGTGTCCTTGGGGGGTTGGGTTGGGTTGTTTCCTTCATCAAAAATCATTCCTTTGTCGATTGTTCATGGCTTGTTTGTTTGTGATTTACTCTGTGTGAAGGATGAGCACGTAGCTTTCTTTTCTGGGTATTCCTTGTGTATGGTGTGTGCCTTGCTTTCTACATATCTTGCTTTTGCTTTTTTGCCTTGTCTGTCTGTACTCGTTCATGATTTTCGTTCGTCAACCTCGGGGGGAAGGGAGGGATGGAGGGGTGGTGGAGTTTTGATTGATTGCGTTGCATTTAATTATTTTTCTTCTTCTTCTTTTCTTCCCTATCCTATACCCGGTCGGTCAACTCTTGCGGCAGGTCTTTTTTCTTCCTGCACTGTGATTTTTCCTTGATTTGTGATTGGAAGCACATGAAGATCCCAATACTACTGCTACTACTGCTATTCACGTGGATTATCAGTGTGCATGATGTGGGTGCACGCATTGCAGGATGGATGGGTGCGCGGTGGGGGGAGGGAGGTGTCATGAGGATGAGGGATATGCAGTGTATTGTACGTGTACGAGTGCAGATGCCTGTGGTCACATTTGCATCTGAGGGGGATGGTGGTGTGTATGATATGTATTTGGAATCAATGTTGTAAGTGCTCTGGTTGGTCAACTGTAATTGGTGGGTCTCGTGATGCTTCATCACGTCAGATCACTAGATTTTCGGGTCGGCGGCACTTTCTTCCTGTTGGCACTCGTGCTTGCAGTGATGCCTCAATTTCTGTTCAACTCCTTCACCTATTGGCACTCGTCAAAATTATTCATAGGGACAATGTGTATTTACATCCCAACTCTGTCAGGATGTCCGAGTGGTTAAGGAGTGAGACTTGAAAGCCCCGATGGGTATAGATATCTCATGGCTACGGCCTCGCAGGTTCGAATCCTGTTTCTGACGATATAACTTTTTTGCTGTGCTTCGGCAGGCCAATTCATTACCCCATATCTACTATTCCAATCATATCGTACAATCTACAGATCCCGTCTACACCTCACCGACGATCAGCAACCATCCGCCGCCAATCTGCCTGCCAACATCCTCCTTCTCGACATCATGCGTATCCTCAACCTCGCCCCACTGATGCGTCTGAAACGCCACCTCGATACTCGCAGCCTTCGCTGCCTCCTCCACGCCCCACTTCGCATCCCCCGCGGCGCCCCACTCCGCCACCATCCGCGCACCGATCACAAAGCTCTTAGTCGCATGGACGATCCTCTCGAGCCCGACGAGCTTCCACGTATCGAGGCGGTTCATCCAGTCGACGAGTGCCTTGCGCGTCGCCTCGGGCTGCGGTTTCCCCACCATGCCCACGTCGCCATCGACGGGATGAATCACCAGCCCTGGCCAGACACGGGTATCCAAGTACGCCATTAACTCCCTCGCCACGGCAACCTGCTGATCGCGCAGCTGCGGCCGCTCGGGGTCGCGCAGGTGCTCGGGCGTCGTCGGCGCCCAGCACAGCACCGTGTCCGTGTCCAGGTAGCGGATCAGGTTTGCGACGGCGCTGGCGCGCGTGGTGAAGTCGTCCGAGGCCTCTGACGCCGCCATGTCCAGTGCCCGTGAGGACAGCTGCGTCAATGGGATTCGGTGCGTCTTGGTCGCGTCCGCCGCGGACCGCAGGTGGCTCCACTCTAATGCGATCGCGTCGGCGAGGAGGGGTTTGGACCGTGGGATTAGGAGTGGCAGCCGCTGCGGCGTTCGTAAAGGTCGCGTGTCCAGGTTGATCGTGTAGCCGCCTGTGGATGGAGTTAGAAGTTAGGAGCTGGGAGAGGCGCGGAGGAAGGGAAGGGAAGGGACCTTCGGTCTCGATGACGTGCACTTCCTTCCAGAAGCGCTTGGACTTGCTGGTGGCGGCCTTCTGCGTCGCGCGGAACTGCGAGAGCTGCGAGCGCGAGGGCAGCGGCGCTTCGGGCGGCGGGCCGTGGGCGGTGATGGGCAGGGCGGTGGCGGGGGCGGTCGGCGTGGTTGTCAGCGTGCGGATGTGGTTAAGGGCGGGGGTGCGGCGGCGGAGGAACGGGCATGGCGCCGGGGCGCCGGTGAGTCGGCGGGTGAGGTGTCGTGGGAAGGACATTGTTAAGGTCAATTGAGGGTGGAAGCGTGTCTGGTGGGGTGGATTGGTTGCGCTGCGCTGTGTCGCTTCATCCACCCCACCACCGCCAAGACGTCACCGATCGTAGCGATTTTGGCTAGCTAGCTTGGATCCGAGCTCCAGCTTCCGTCCTTCGGCAGCAGCCGAGCTCACTCGCTTCGTCACAGCTGCGACATTGCTTCCTCTTCCTTTCCAAACCTTCCACTCAATCAAGCTCGGCTACCATTGATCAGGGACAGCACACGCATTCGACCGAAGCAGCTTCTTCGACGGATATTCCGCCAGGTACACTTCCACTGTCCATTCAGACCTGCATCCCAGAAAGCGAGAAAGAGAGCTCATCTGAAATTGACGCCCATATGCAGTGCCAGCTCAGCCCGCAACGAACAGCGACAACCAGCGACAAGTAGCGACAAGTAGCAGCGACAGGACAGCCACACCTCACCAACACGACCCACAACTCCCCTCCACCACCCTCCAGCAACCACCCACCTCAGGCCACACTGCAGGAGAAGAAAGAAGAAAGAAACGTATAACCTCCGCCTCCATCACCCACCATCGCACCAAGAAAAAAAAGTCCCGCACTACGCACTATCCATCACCGCAGCCATCACTCGCCATGACCCGCCCACGCCGGCTCTCTCTCACCCCCACCAACCCGTCTACCAGCAGCATGCCACACCCAACCCCGCCTCCCACGCCCAAGCCCCAAGACCCGACAACCACCGTCTCTCTTGTCCTAACCCGGTTACACACGCAGCACCCTTCCCTGTCCGCGCCCACCATCTCCGAAACCCACAGCTTCCTGTCCAAAGCCGCCTCCGTCCCAGACCTTCCAGAGTGGATCTGGTACGGGATGCTGCACTACGCGGTGGAGCAGACGGACGGCGGCGAGCACGAAACAGTCGATTTTGGAATTCTCGATGAGGTCCTGGATGCGGATTTGGTTGAGAGGGGGAGCGGGAGGGGGGGCAGGGTGCTCGATATGCTGTTTTTTTATATGTATCTTTGTTTGGAGGCTGGTAGGGGGCGGGGGGATGTGAGGGAGGAGGTGGAGGAGGGTGACGAGCCTGTGCTGGAAAGAGGGGAGCAGAGGAAAAATTTGGAGAGACGGGAACGGCGCATGGAGGAGCGGAGGATCGAGGGCGTGGTTACGCCGCCCGCCACGGAGGATGAGAGTGCGTCTGAGGGGGAGAGGACAGTGAGGAGGAGGAGGAGGAGAAGACAGGACTCGGTATTGCAGAAGGACGAGGAACCGCAGGAGCTGCACACCCCCCACCACCACCACCAGCAGCAGCAGGAGCAACAACAACAACAACAACAACAACAACAACAACAACAACAACAACAACAAACCCAGCCCCAGCAGAAGAGTGCCGGCGGCATCGACATCAAGTCGATAATCATCTTCCTCCTCTTGATCACGATCGGGCTGCTTCTGGTATTCCCGCCAAACAAGGGCACGTTTGCACATATCCGGTGAGCCTCTCCCACCCCATTCAATCCGTTGAAAATCAGTATTAACACACACCTTTGAAGACGACCATGCGAACAGGTGTACTTCCGCACCGTGGCGACGTTGGCGGAGGGATACACACAGGTTGAGACAACACTCGCACAAACCTACAGAACGCATTGTCACGAAGGCTGCCAGAGGATTGTGGATCTGTTGGTAGATAATGCAAGGTACCGGCTAGGGACACTCGAGTTGTCTGGTGGAGGTGGAGGTGGAAACGGAGCTGGAGGTGGGACAACAACGGCAAGGAAGGAGCTTTGATGGGATGGGATGGGATGCTTGGGATAGGTATCGGATATGGAGTTGGGGATGTTCTTTGCTTTTCTGGAGTTTACGGAGGGAGGGCCTTCTACTAGGTAATACGGATGCTTTGCTATGGTATTTGGGGAGGGGGGTGGCGCACATGTTTTTTTGTTCACCTTTTACTTCTCTTTCCTCGTCATCACTCGACGGCAACATTGCCACGTTACGGCGGTCTGTAATTAAATCCGAAACATTTTGTCACGAACAGTCCCTGCCAACCAGCCAACAAAAGGGAAGACGTCAAATACCCGAAAATCTTAAACTGGAATCAACTGGAATCAACCAAGAGCAGAGCAGAGCAGAGCAGAGCAGAGCAGAGCAGAGCAGAGCAGAGCAGAACACAGAAACAGAGTGGGCACTTGAAGCCCCGCCATCAACAACAATACAACTCAACGCATAAAACCGAATGAGATGTCCTAGCCTTAGTGCATCCCATACCGTACCGTAACGTAAACCAGAGAACCAGAGCCAGAGCCAGAAACCTGAATCGAAATTGAAATCTAACCGCCCACTAGAAAAAGAGTAATCGGAATCATCATCATTTCATACAGCGCTATATCCACCTCTCGAGCTCCGGCCTTGAAGCGTGCTTCCCACCCTGCCGAAAAAGTCTTTGACGAGGTACGACATTTCGCCGATCATGTCGCGGTGCGGACGGAGATCCCATCTGCGAGAGAGTCAGTCCGGAAGGGAAGGGGTGGTGAGATGTGGACCAAGCGAAGCGGAACGTACCCTAACCATACCACGCAGATCAGGTACGCTGCTGCGCCCAGGAATACACTACATATATATCCATCGTCAGTTGTCCGTCGTCTCCGGTGTGGTGGTGTAATCGGAGTGGATGGATGGTGGGTGGATATACATGATAAACAACCAAGTAAAGAACCCCCAATGAGCACTCTTCTTCTCTTCACCCTTCCCACCGCCCTTCGCATTCTCCACACACGCCATCTTCGTTTTCCACTCGAGCCTCAGCACCTGTTTCTTTGCGCTCTCGCTCCACTCATAGCTCACGAACGTAATCGCCTCATCCGCTTCCCCGGTAACGTCCTTGTCGCACACGAAATCGACGACGGCCCGCTGCTCATGCCCCGCAAAATTATTCCCGCCGTTGAACTCGACGCGCACGCCGCGCGGCTTCCCGCCCGCCTCTGTCGCGTTTAGCAGCAGCACTTGCTCGTCAACCGCGTGCCCGTCGATGTCCCCCGCTACCGGGATCACCTCCGCAAGAAACGACTTGCCCGCCGTGTCGATGTGGCGGACCAGGCCACACACTGTTTCATTCCCCGTCAGCCTCATCCCTCCACCCCATCCCCTCCTCCTCCCCCATTCCCGTGGAAAGATTACCGTAAGTCCCGTCAGGACACTGTTCCTTCGCGTCGGTATCCTTATTCTTTTGCAGCGGAGCGCAGGGATCGATGCTCCACGTCGTGTTCTGTATGGTCGGCGGTGTCGATATCGACGAGACGACGGAGTGCGCGCCGCCCAGCGATTTGAAGTCATATGTGAGCCCCGACTGTACCGTTTGGCAGCCCCAGGACGTGGCGGATACGGCTGCTGCGGCGGGGAGCAGAAGGAAGAGGTGGTGGGGGCGCGGGAGGCGCATGCTGCTCGGGGTTTGCGGAATGGGTTGGAGGGGGAAGCTTAAGCGGCGGCGGGTGCGTGGTCCGACGAGTTTTGGACGAGGTAGGTGTGGTAGGTGGTCGATGCCGCTGGTTGTCGATACCGCTGGTGGTGAGGATGAACAAACAAACGGAACAGAACTTGCGGCGGCGGCGAGCAGGCGAGCAGTGCGATAGATAGCTAGAGTAGAGTTGCGTTGGGTTGCAGGTGTGAGGCTTGGCCATCACGTCACGTCACACGAACAGTCAGTCAGTCAACTGTCAGAACGGAACGCGGTCACGACTAGTCACTCGCGATGTGGCGCAGTGACTGGCATGTGAGGATGCTGGAGAGCTCGTATTGCTTTTGGTGGGAGGGTGACGAGGGTATCCTAACAGACGGTGTATCTATGCTCCGGGGGAGATGGGTCGGGATGTAAATGTTACCATGGGCCGAAAACGGCCGGAGGAGGCCGAATGCAGAAATTATGGAACGAAAAAACGGAAAAAACGAAAGCAAAATGAGACCTCAAACGTCTGTTGTGCAGCTAGAGATACGGTAGCCAGCACTTGGAACGTCAACTTGCTGCTCCCTTTGGTACCTATGGAGGGCGAATTTCTGAGCCTGCACTGCTATTTAGTCTAAGGTGCTTAGACTAACTCTGGTCTTCAGATGTCCTTACTGCATCACTCGAACGAGGTCCAAGACTATCAGCCATACTAACTCCACTATGTGCGCCGTTCCACTGTTCCGACAGCTTTTAAATACGAGATGTTTCACACCTCCAACTCGGCGTTTACGTGGTGATTATCATCCGGGTCACCGTAATCTCAGGTAGAAGCACAATAGCTAAGCACAATTAATTCCTTCTATATACAGTTACTCACTTTCAGCCACTGATGTACAATCACAACCTCAGCGACGGTTTTTCTACCCCCTTTCTTACAATCAACGAGTATGGCATCTACCTCCTTGTAGTTGTATATTACTTCCCGAAAGAGCCCACGAATGTGCCCGGAAGGAGACGTAGCGAAGGTCCGGCTATTGTGCAGAGAGTTGACGAACTTCTGCTTGCCGAGACGGAAGACTCCTCGTGATCGCCGCGTGCTTGGAATGTAGCGTGCCGGATATGTTGCTTTGGTGAACTGGATTTCTGGGTGTGGTGGCTCTGTTGAGCTTTGTTGTATAGAGACAGGAAGAAGGTATAAGTCGGAGAGGTGGTGGTGGGCGGTTTATATACGCTCATTTAACGCTTGGAATGTCAGTGAATGGGGAGGTCGAGATTGCGATAAACTAGGATGTATAAAAGTTGCTCGTCATAACGTCACAACTCTGGGCGGGTGCTAGCAATTGTCCTCTGGACCCGGAGGTAACCTATCGCGTGTATGTTGTATAGATTCTGTGGGATGGCAGATGGGAAGGGCTTGGAAGCTAACTCATGGACATCACTCGGACAAGGCAGCAGTTTTGATCAACACTGGTGGTTGTCTGCTCTCTACTGCCGTACTTTATCGCGCCAGCACTTCTTGGAATCATCGCCATATCATTGTGGCAACCTAACCTACAAAACGAGGCCACCAACTGGCAACTGAACTTGGGTTATGAGGCATCGAATATTACAACACCAACATATGACCCCCCAACTCCACGACCCAGCCACATCTAGCACGATTCGAACGCATACAGGCATTCAGCAAGCGAAAACAAATGATGCGCCGGCATTGGTAGGTATTAAAGACCATCCAATAACTCCTACGCAAGAGAAACAAAACAATCTACGCCTTCCTGCGGCCTCCGGTCCTAGGCTGGGGGCTCTTTCCGCCCGCAACGTAGTGCTTCTTCTCCTTCTTGACCGCGCTTGCCGAAGGCTTCCCCGCATTCCAGTACCAGAGCATCTGGACAGCCAGGACGACGTTCAGGGCGAAGCCGCCGAGGAAGCCGTAGAGGATGACGGGATCGTCGACCTCGGAGATGGTCGTGAAGACGCGCGCGAGGGAGCCGAAGAGGTAGTTGAAGACCTGTGGGAATACGTTAATAGCTTCACCTTGGGTGGGGCGCTGCGGGGAAAGGAACTTACTGCGAAAGCGGAGAGCTGGCCCGTGTTCTTGTCCTTAGCGATGGTGAAGATCTGCGGGATCTTGCTCATGAGGCCGAGCGGGATAGTGGCCGTTTGGACCATGACCATCATCTCCTTGCTGATCAGGCCCTCGTTGAACAGCGCATATCCAGCAGTGGCGAGCACCATCGCATACACGGCGGCGACACCCGCCTTTCCACGGTAGTGCAGCACCAGCATCGAGATGATGACATTCTGCACCGCCAGCAGCGCAATCTCGCCGTATGTCGAGAAAGGGTTGCCGGAGCGATAGTTGTATGCAAGCGTGATGATGTATGCGGTCGTCTCGAGCAGGTACGAGGTGAACGAGATTCCCTGCGCCGACCCGGACGCGAGCAGCTTTAGGAGCTGCGGAACTTTGACGACAGTCGACAACCCGATGATCCCTACGCCGATGGCTTTGGAGATTGCGAGTTGCGTGCATTCCGGGTGTGACGAGATGTCGAGCTTGCTAACGATCGTGCTGTAGCATTCCGGGCCGAGCTGGGAGAGCCCAAAGTCGTGGATGGGAGCCGGGAGGGCTTTGATGATGGGGAGGAGATGTGGCCGCACGAGGGCAACGAGGGGCTCGAGCTGCAGGAGGACGGATTCCATGGTGGCTATGGTTTGTGATGGAGGAAGAATACGAAAGGATCGAAAAAAATCCGAGATAGAAGAACTCCGTGGGATATGGAATACGTATGGTACTTTCCGTCGATGGGTTAGGGGTTTCTCGGTTAGATGTCTGTAAGCGGCTCTCTCTCCCCGCACTTCTCGACCTGGTCGGGAGGGTACAGCTTCCCGGCATGGAAGTTGGAACAACCTGTGGAATGGCTTACTATTGGTCTGTATTCGTTGACATGCACCTCGCTCATCACTCGTTTCTCCAAGGTTAGTCTTTAATATATGGGGATCACGATGAAATAGAGTGTTGTCCCGTCACCACGGATCCCGCTAAGCACTTGAGCTTGTTTTAGTGGCTCAGGGCTAAGGGCATCTCAACTACAAAGTACATGATCTATTCCCATCCGGGATTTGTAGGGACAACTTCGTCAGACTCCGATCATACCAACTTGCCACAGTTGATGACGTCTCGGTTCCGGCAGTATTAAGCTCCTAAGAAGCCTACAGTCCAATCGATTTGCATGGCTGGAGAGATGAAGGAGAAGGACGAGACGGGTTATCGTATATCCCGAAAGCGGGAGGACGAGAAACAGAAGGAACGGACGAACGGAACAAGAAAGAATGGACATTGGAAGCGAAGCGCAACGGTAGGACGGGTGAGACCGACTACGGCCTTCCTCAGGACTCACGGACACAGCCGACTGTATACGTTCAACTAGTCTTGGAACCCCAGTCCAGGTCAGCTCAAATGTGTCCACCGAGACGAGGCCACTCGACGCAGGAACGTTTTGAAGTCGTGGTCAGATCATCGGCTATCATTCGCCACCCTCAGGTGCCGGTGAGGCCCATCCGCTTGGGTTCCAAGAGAAGCAGTATGTAACTTGGAATCGATAACCGTTCAAATTCTCTCAGAGTCAATGGCCTCTTACCAAACCTACGACTCCTGCACCCGGCTCCCCCAACTGTTGCTCGCATCATCCATCAAATGCAACTCACCAAATCTCACAGTGCACGAAATTCCTTCAATCACTAGTATAGTATAACTACGTCGCAATCCACCAGCACCGAAGACTGACCGAAAGAGCACATCCTTCCTTCCGCGCAGACGTGGATGTTACTTCTAGAGGACGGATACCTACCCGCTGTATGTACAAGTCTCACAGCATAATCCGCGGATGCCAAGATGATATCATATCGCATCCATTCAACCTCGAGGCCACGAAAAGCACCGCGCTCCACGATGATACCCGCATGCCACTACCCGACTACCACTATGTACCTATTTTCAGCTACCGTTCACACAGCCTCACTCAGCAAAGCAAAGTAATAAGTCGCACTTGATATTATCTTCCTCCTCGCCAGCAAACGCCGACCGGCCCCACGTGAATCCCAAGGTACCTGAGCTTTTTCTTCATCTCAGCTGATTACGTCTCGATGCGGTCAAGAACGGCTTCCCGTCCTGTCCTAGGTAGATGCCGTGTACAAGGTATGTACAAAGGTACATGTTCCCAACTTTAATCAGGATGTGGTGTCAGTTCACGTGGGAAGTCTGCACGAGGTTTCACGGCTTTAAACCTTCGATACGGCACGGTACCTACATTGTGTACGATGTGGCTGAGCCGGCGACTGGAGCTACCACCGCCCCCCGAAAGAAGGCATATCAGAGGCATAAAGCGTATGAATACAATTATTATAATAATTGAAAATTAATCAAAGTAGAAATACATCTCAACCCGAGTAAAAGCGCGCACCACTACGCCGGAATCCCGCCATTACGAATTCCACCACTCTATGGCTCACCAGGCTCCCCCACAGGTGCCGAAGCAGCCTCCTCTGCTATTCGCACAACTTCCTCTTTGCATAAACCACATCATCGAGCACGAACCCGGGGCTGACATCGCCAGGCAACGGCACGCCCTGGGGCCTATCGAGCTCCTCGGCCTCGATGCCGACCCTGTCGAGGCCCCTCCACTTACTGCCGCCAAGGACGATATTTACCGCCCCGCCCTTCCCCGCGGCATTCCTAACCCGGACGACCTTCTTCCCCGCGGGCGTGGTCTCTCCCGCCCGGTAGCCGACGATCTGGAGGTCGAGGTATGGCTTCTTCGCGTCCGGCTTCTTGCTGGTCAGCGCGGTGATGTTGAGACTGTGCAGGTCGAAGGTGAATGCCCCGCCGCCGTCGAACCAGGTCATCCAGTGGAAGGCCGAGAGCAGCCCGTGTGGTGACGAGGTTATCCCTTTGTAGTACGGCGTGGAAGAGCGCGGCGAGCCGGAGACGATCAGCCAGTCTACGAAGCCGGGGAAGCGGAAGCCGTTGTAGGTCGATAAAGGGCCGGGGGAGAGGTCGTCGAACTGGGTGGGGTGGGATGTTAGTGATATTCGGTTGATGGGGGAGGGAGGGGAAAGTACTTTAAGGGTTCCTTTCTCGAATATGGGACAGAGCTTTGGCACTGCAGCCAGCTCGACCGGGAGGGAGCTGGAGAGAACCGCAGTGCTGAGGAGGGTAAAGACGATGCGGATGATTGAGGATTTCATGATTTCGAGATAAGAGGGATTGAGGATTGAGGGATGGAGAAGCGGGAAATGCTGTGTATCTCTTCGATTGATGATCCAGGAGCTTTACCTCGCACCTGATGACGGGCCTCTTTATACCAGGGCAGCTCCCCCCCGCCCCCTACCTAGGAAACAAGGTGTTCGATGGAGGGGGCTGGCCATGCCCAATCCGATGCGAACCACGCCGCGGACGACACTTCCCTTCGATTTCCTCGATGCAGCTATCCTTGTGGCGTATGCTTGTATCATACATCTGCTCCCCCCAAGTCCACCCGTCAAAATCTTCCATATTCGAAAGCTCGGGAAAGCGGCGAAGCGTGGGTACGGTATTGCACTCGTACATGTAGTATCTCCGATACCTGCACGTGGTTACTGTCACACCGAGGCACGATGCCTACTCGAGTACTTGTCATGCATCATGGGCGGTAGATACTTCATGCAAATGGCAAGTGCTATCCCGTCGGAATAACTCGCAAGTGTCACGGTGTCACGGTGTCACGGTGTTACCCCGTGTGGTGCTACTGCCTGTGGAGACCCGTGGTCCTCGTGCTGCACTGCTGCTGCTCCGGTAGTACGCCCGTCTAGAAGCGAAGATGGATGGAAGGAGAAGGGAAGAGAAGGGAAGAGAAGAGAAGAGAAGAGAAGGAGAAGTCCATGGGGCTAGGTACGGTAGCTGCAGTTTGAGGTATCACTCGCTCGAGAGCCGACCATGTCCTCGGCTGATATAAACTTCATCGGGAGCAACTCGGTACCACTTTATTCTCCGCTGTCATGTCCATGGGCGTAGGCACATCGTACATATTTCACTCCGTATCTGGTGGAATTTGGGGTTTTAGCGGAAGGCACTTGATTCCGGGGATGTCTCCTGAGTGCTGACATGTCTCCCGTGAACTCCGCCGTTGGAGTAGGTACCTGAATAGCTGCACTTCCCAGGTACTCCCGACGTCTCCCATGCATCGGGAGCAGGACCACAGGTTGCTAGAATTAGAAGTACACCAGGCACCTTACCTAGGCGGCTTCTAGCGGAAACGGGCGGACAGTTCCCGGAATTTTGCAGGCAGAAGGAAAGGGCAGATATGTATTGTTCGAAAACAGTGGAGATTTGAGATGATGATCTCTTTGGTTTTGTTTCTGCCATTTGGCTGCTCGCTAGTTTTGTTTCATCCGCTGCTCGAAATAGTACATAAATTATGCATATATACTGCCTGAAGTCTTAGATTCCTGATCCGATCGTGTACCCCTCGGATCTGTGATTGACCTTGCGTGCGGGTTTCCGCTATCCGCGCTGGTACTATTGATTGATATAGGTAGGTTGGATCCAGTGGTCAAGCACTTGTCAAATGACAGAGAGAGAACATCAACTTATTGTCGCAGACGGCCTTAATAGACCATGGCGACTACAAGTCAAATGTACAATCTACAAGTCTTCATAAGTTACCACTCGGTACCGTGTCTGAGTGAGATATTATGATTATCAACCTTGATGACCACTGACCGCCACAGTTGTGGCTTTATCAGCAGGAGCTTCTAGTGACTATCCGGAATCTTTTGATAACGTAGGTAGCTCGTAAGTATAGCGGCAAGTGAGTGTGCCTTTTGGCGCGAGTGACATCGCATGATTGTTCATATTCACGGGGGAGAGCAGCGAACAGCGAGTGGTAGTATCTATTGACTCTTGAGTCCTAGCAGTAGCTCTGAGTACGTATTTGCACACAAGGATACATACAACTATATAGAGGAATCACTATTCCAAGCTCCTACCTAGTGCGTAAAGCAACCACAACCCAATAATATCCCCAAGCTTGCCTAAAGGCTAAATTTCGTTCACACGCGATGGCTATAAACCCTCCGGCTCACACTACCCTTAAGGGCGCGTTTGGATGCACTCACTTTTGAGTTCTAGTTTTAGAGCTATATAGAGCCAAATTCAGTTCCCCGCCGGGACACCGAATAGGTACTGTTCAGTTTCAGTTTTCCGAACAACCTTGAGGTGAACAGAATGTCTGGCAGTTCCCAGTATACCAGGTAAATACTCAGCCATAAGTCTGAATAGGTAGGTAATAGGCTTCACCAGAACTTTAATAGGTAGTAGACACATTGCACATAGCCCCCGCTTCTTTCTCTTCCCCGTAACTGAGGGCAGTCCATGGTTGAAGTTAAAATCAGCCATGGAGCCGCACAGTTTCGGCTTTCTTCTTCTCGGTTTGTGTGCCATCCAAACAGGGTTGCGGTTTTATTTGCTCAGGTTTTCGAGAAAAAAAACTGAGCGTATCCAAACGGGCCCCTACTAGGTGGTTCGTACGGCATTACAAACCTCGTCGCCTCGGTGCACTACTCCGAGTGAGTACATAATCGCACCGTAGTTTCAACAGCCAACACCGTGCACGAGACAGCTGGGAGTCTCGACTCGACTCGCCACATCTCCCCACGTTCCAGGTCTTGAAGCCTCGACCCCGCTGTACCGGTACATACTTTGGGGCCGTTTTTCTGCTCTTACCCGTACCACAAGAGCAAACAGGGTTTCTCGTGAACCGTGCACCGTTTCAGCGGAGCGGCGAGTACGAATTTTTGTTTTAATTTTTGGACGTTTTGACGAGAAAAGCTATGCATACCTCCCGTACCGTATTCCCTTGAAGCCGGGCCCACATGCTATCCGGCCGAGAGAGGGTGGAGCCGCGGTCCCGAACCTAATCGTGCGGCGGGTTGTTTTTTGGGGTCGATAAACTTTGACTTCATTGGCTGTTGTGGTGGTCTTACCCGTGACTGTGGCCGTCCAGAGCGAGCAACCCGCGATTTCTGGCTGGCTAACAGGCCGGCCGTCGGAACGACGATACGGTAGCACTGTGACGGGATGATTCGGTCGGAGGAGCATGACGGTTTCCCGTGGCTAGGCGATATCTTCGGCCCGCGGATAGGTACGGTAACCCACCAGCCACAATGGCAGGCGCACCAACTAGCCCGGGTGATTTCACCTTCCAAACTTCCAAACTTCCAAACTTCCAGACTTCCAGACTTTCAGACTTCCAAGTTCCAGTCCTTGGAATCTGGAATCTGGAATCTGGATTGTGGTGGTGGTGTAACCCCGCCGCCGCCGAGACGACGTACATCCATCCATACAAACAGACATACAGATCCCAGTGCCCTTAACCAGACCCCTGGTATTATATAGTTTGCACGCTCGCCGACTCGTATAAACCGTAAACTGCGAACCCTATCCCGATCCCGAGCCTGAGCCTGGGCCTGAGTGAGCCGCTTGAACTGCCTGAGCCTGAGCCCGCGAACACTGCACTGCCCCCCACCACATAAATTCCCGGTTCCTGGTTCCGATCTACAGGCAGACAGACAGACGGACGACCGACCACCCCATAGAACCTACAGCGAACCAAACCAAACGGATCACTCTCCGCACTGCGCCTTCATTCCATCTTCCACGTCCAACACCTGCCCGGGCTGCGTCTTGAACCCGAGTGATACCACGTGTATCAACCACCTTTCTAGCTCGTCCCCGGCCCACTTGACAAAGGACGTAGGTAGAATATGATACGGTACATATCCCCCAACACCCAACCCAATACCAGACCCAATACCCAGCACCCAACACCACACCCAACCCGATACCAGACCCAAAACCCAAGATCAACAGATCTCCCTTTCCACGCAACGCACGCAATGCACGCACCGTGCACCGTGCATCCAATCATCCAGCATCCCAACCCCAAGTCCACCATACCCGAGCGAGCTGCAGCTGTCCCCTCCACCCCCTCCACCCCACATACCCACCCACATCCATCCACATTCATCCATGGCCGCGTCAACCAGTGCTGCACAGTGCACACGTATAGTACCACGCTTGACGGCCTGACCTGACTGCACCGACTGAACCGACTTCTCAAGTATGTAGGATTCAAGGGTGCAAGTATGATGGTCGCGCGCAATTCATGTATTGATTGCCTCCTCGAAAAAAAAATGCATCAACTCTCCACTCCCAACTTCACTCCCAAGTTCCAACATTTCTCCCCCAACATCATCTCCCCCCAAAAAGAAAACCAGTCCGAAGTCTACGCCTCCCCCGAATAGATGGAAAAAAAAACCGAAAAGAAGAAAAAAAAGACGAAACATTTGCCAGCTCCCCTCGCCCGTCGCCCGTCGCCCCTCGATCCTCATAGCATAAGTACCGACGTACATCCCCCACCTACCCAGTGCACCCACCCACCGACCAAAAAAGAATACACAGAGATAAACAAATCCAGCTGCTTTAGAATAAGAAGAAGACCCAAAACACCCGGTAAACAGAATTAACCCAATGAGAAAAGAAAAAGAAAAAAGAAGAAAGAGAAAAAAAAAAGACAAGATACGCGCACGCCCCCCAAAAAGGAACCCAAAAGAAGATGGAAAAAAAAAACCTAAAATATCAAAGAGAAGGATATCGCTTTTAATCAACGCTCAAGCAAAAACACACACAAAAAAAAGATCAGTCGTTAAAGAAATGTCGCTCCGACAGGGCTCTCGAAGGTCGTAGGTGGGGGGGTGGTACAAAGGAGATTCCAAGAGGATGAAGAGATGAATGAAGAAGATTATCAAGTCCCAGACCGATTAACTGTTGATGAAGTGTAAGGGAAGAAGGAAGACATATGATGTCTTGTGTGGTTGTAGGCGATAAGACTATTGAAAGAAATCGTTGTGAGCGAGTGACGAAGCCGAAGAGGTGTCTGTCGATAGCTGAATCGGTTCACGAATTGTCGATAAGAGCAACCCCTGGGGGGCTCTGGTTGAATGGCATCCCCCCCTATCCACCACCTCCACATCCCCCCTCTTCCGTCGAGCAACTGGCAGGTGCCGCCCCGATACCCCGCCATTATACACCCAAGCGAACAGTAACTCCATATGCCGATTCGTAACGGCATGCATCGCGTCATCCGAAACCAAGACAGGGCCAAAAAGAAAGAAAGAAAAAACAGAGCACGCCTGAAACTCCACTACCCGTGAACACAATATCTTTACAACTGCAGGCAAAAAATAACCGGTGCCAGAGGTTTCCGGGATTTCAGTTCAGTGTCCGTCTTGTTCCATGCGGTGGTCCTCTAATGGCGACGACTGTTCTTGGAGTATTGTTCCGTCCTCGCCTCTTCGACGGGCCCAATCGACGGTGCCTGTATCATCGTCAATACGAGGTCGAGGAGCAAATCGAGACGTGGATGACAAACCACTCTGCCGAGGACGCTTCTCCCTCTCGCTCTCCCCTCTGCGCGAACGCTTCGATTCGATCAGACCGTCGGCTATCATCGACTGGAGCTCGATCGTCCGAAGTTCCTTCTCCTCCTCTCGGTCCTCCCTCTCCAACCGCTTAAGGTCGGTTGGGCTCATGCCTGCACGCTTCTTGGCGCGAATGTCGTTTAAGATGTACAAAAGTACATCCTCAGGACATTTTGTCCGAGGGTTGCCATGGGTGCGTGGGTTGCGGACGTATCGCCGAGTGACATCCGATGCACCATCGTGGGAGAAAGCGATGCAGTATCCAATCTTCTTACTCCATCCTTCCGTGTATAGGAGAGGGTTATCGAAGGCCTCCTCGCACACGTCGACGTGAATCCATCGGTTATGGTGAACCGAAAAGACTTCAGTGAAGACCTGTGGCGTTGTTAATAACCTTAAAGACTAGACTAGGTTGACCCCGTCGGAACGGGTCCTTGGGAGCGGGGGTTAACTTACGTGGTCCTCGCTATTCCATACCCATCGCACTCTGCTGCCGACGGCCCGGCAAAGCATCGAAAACACGTTCGCCCACTCCCCGCAGCGGCCCCTCCTCTCCTGCATCAAGGTCCAGACGTCGCTGTAGCGAGCGAACCGTTCCTGATTACTGCAGTGCTCGCTCTTGCACTCGTAGAGCTCGACGCGAGACGCACCCCTTGCTTTCTCTTCTGGTGTCGGAGGAACCGGGCCAACCAGCCTGGTGTCGTATGGCCGTCGTTCCGCATAGCATTTCTGACATGGTGGGTCACCAACGAAGGTGAAAAAATCCCTTTTGAACCACCTGGAAGAGTGTCAGTGAGCCGTTCGGTTAGAATTACGGATGCGATGCGCAGGGACGGTCGGGATCTGCAGTGGCAAAGGCAACCGGGCACCACAGCCAGCCGCCGATCCAAACTATCGAAACCATGGAATGGCAAATACAGTTTCCTCGGCAGAGCAACCCTCATCTTTCCACCAAAGCCAAAAAAAAGTTTTGCGGAGTTTTTCCCAACTTACTTGAGCAAAGCCATGATGACACAATCCTGATAGCCCCATTTCGCCTTCTCCTTCCCCAAGCTCATAGCTTCGACCTGCATAATTTGGCTCTCCTCTTCCGCCTCCGCATAGATCCTGGCCAAAGGAATCACATTCAAAGCCTCATCCAACAACCCGGGGTTTTCATATCGCTGCGGTACCGTAGCCAGTTGTCGCAAGACGTTCTGGAATTTTATCGAATTGGGGTCCGAAGGCGGAGTTGGTACTTTGGCCGACGACCGAGCTGAGTAGCCGGGTAGGCCGTCGGCTCCCACTTCCGGTTCCCGTGAAGTTGACGACGAACTCAGAGCGAACTTAGATTTGGATTTCCGTAGGCCATGCGACGACGACGAAGTCTGCGACGAGTGGGTACGCGAGGACGAGGTACGCGACGAGGACGAGTGAGGCTTCTCGGACGATCTCGACGAGCCCTTCGAGTCGGAGGCGGTTCTGCTGCTGCTGCTGGTCTTCTGCGAGGACGACGACGATGGTACGGGAGAGTCGAGCGAGAGGTTCCGTGTCCGTGCGGTAAGGGCGTCTGTCCGTTTGCTGTTGATGCAATCTGTGTACTTATCGGTTAAATTCCTTGCCCACGAAGCGACATCTGGGATCGGTGGAGGGTTATTCGACATGTTGAAGATGTGTCGTTTGGGTGTAGAGTTGGAAGGTTGTCGGGAGGAGCAGCGAGGCGCAGGAGGCGTAGATGAAGGGAGTTTGTTGGGTAGAGCGAGGTGGATTTTGGGTTATAGCCTGGGGGGGTGTGAAGTGTTGATGTAGAGTAGTTTGGTGAGTAAGATCCGCCGCCCGGCGTCGTCGTAGTTTCGTTCGTCGTCACAGATCGGGTACCGGGGGGTGGTTACGACGAGTTCGAGAGGCGGATGTTATCGAAGAGTTAAGATCTGTGGTTGGGGGGTGTGTGTGGATGGTCTGGGGGGGAGGGGGTGAGGGGGGATGAGGTTAGGGGAGATCGAAGGTGGACTGTGCTGTTGCGGAGGGCGACGCAGACAGTGGCGACGGGGGGGTGCGCGAGGGTGAAGATTGACTTCGATGTCGTAAGTACGGAGGAGGAGGAGGAGGAGGAGAGAAGAGGAGGGAAGGATTTGGGTGGAAGAGTTTGGTGGGTGGTGGTGTCGGTGTCGGTGTCGGTGGTGTCGGAGGTAGCGCAGTTGCTGGGCCCTGGGGGTGGCAGACCAGAGAGGAGAGCGAGAAGAGCTTACGCAGCCCCGACAGAGTGGAGCTGCTGTTTACAGCGAGCCACCCACAACGTCTTCCCTGCCGTTAGGTGAGTCGCGCGGAGACGGCAGCGCAGGATCCAAGTTACGTGTGTGCGTGTCTTGGATGCTTTGTGAAGAAGAAGTATCTCCCAGTACGCAAAGTACTTTAGGTAAGTACCCAATATACTCCAGAGTCAAGTACCTAAAAGACTCCAGAGTAAAGCAATAGAGACTCGAGAGTTATTCAGAGTCATCATTTGGTAGGGCCGCCGGGGGGAGTATCGGATCCGAGGAGTAGAAAGTATGCATTCATCCATCCCATCCACGATGCCATTTTCTGCGAGAGCAGAGCATAAGAGAACCATTCGGGCTGATGCGTGCGTGATGATGATGAATATGATGAAGATGAATATGAAGCCCAACGGGGGACAGTGAAGAATTCGCCAACGCCAGAGAACAAGAACTATCCAGATCGAATCATGGACACGGCGCGCGAAGCGGACGGGGTTTCCGAGCTGCGTGCTGCGCTGCGTGTTGAGTGCTGATCGAGACCATGATAGTACACACTTCTACGTATGTACCGTAGTACGGAATCCCGCCTTGATCGAGTGGTGGTGGTGGTGGTGGTGTGTACTCCGCACTGTGGCTGCGCATTTCGTCGGTTCTCGCAGCTGAGCCACGACGATCTTGTATGTAGATGAGGTACCTTCTGCGGCGGTAGCGCAGCGCAGCCCTGCGTTCACTGCCACACCAGACTGCTCCACCGAATGTGGAAAGAGAAAGACAAGACAAGACAAAGACAAGACAGGAGACCCTTGCGCGGTGTCTGGCTCTCGCGAGTCGCTCGCTCTCCGTCAGTCTGGCCTCGAAGTGCGAGAGAGCGAGTGCAACGGCGCATGGCAGGCGTACAGGGCACAGCTCTGCCACCAGCAGCAGCAGTAGCAGCACCACAGGCACCACCACCACCACCTCCTCCTCCTCCTCCTCCTCCTCCTCCTCCTCCTCCTCGTCCTCGTCCTCGTCCTCGTCCTTCTTCTCCTCGTCCACCACCTCCTCCACCGCCGCCGCCGGTCGTATGTAACAACCCTACCCCCACCCAAGCCCTATCCCCCTTCGGGGTAGGAGTACGCAATTCTGAGGATTACGCGGCACCCAACCATCGCTGCGTCGCTTCTCATTCGCTCACACCACCCACACCGAACGCTAGAGGGCAGATCTAAATCGGGTTCCCTTGAGCCTTCGCACAACTCCGTTGAAGCGTGAAGCGGAGACTGCGAGACAGTGAACCTCGAAGAAAAAGACGACGACCGCCACGAGAACGGGAAAGAAAGAGAATGATGTGGATATGGAGGGGGAGGAAACTCAGAAGGTGAAAAGAAAAAGAAGAAAGAAGAAAGAAGAAAAACAGAAGAAAAAGAAAGAAAGGAACACATCCGTAAACCGAGCATCCGACCAACCATCTCTCCGGTACCCAGGTACACCGTACATACAAGTATCGTCCAGTCTGTCCATGTATCTATAGTAACTATCGCGCTGGTCGTATGTAAACCCACCCCCGCCGATCCCACGGCAGCATCAGCAGCAGACCGCGTGTCCCCGGACAGGCAATATCGAGTTCGAAGAGAGCCTTCCCCCCATCCAACGACGACACACCCGCAAGATTGCAAATTCGTGTACATACCAAGCACGCTTTGGACGGCAAGAGTGATTTGCTTGCGAGCACCTGCTCTCTCGATGCCGAGTAAGGTGGGCAATTGCAATCGAATAGGTGGTTAACTACCTATCCATGTACGTACCACTGTTGCCGCGATACTGCTACTGCTGGCGTCCTCGGCCGTCGGCCGTTTTCCCGTCGCGCGCCACAGACCGGCCGGTGAAATGTTCAGAGACTGCGCCGATGCCCATGGGCTGGCGTCATCCACCGCTCGCTAGGAACCACCAAACGGCTAGGCATGATGAGCCCCCCTCCCCCTCCCCCCACCTTTGCCCCTACCTACCTTCTTCCCACGAATAGGAAGGGCAAAAAAGGACCCACACACACACACCACACACACACCAACTGGCTTCCGCGTACTCACTTGCTTACGCCACGAGGAAAACGTGTACGAGTACACACTGACTGTGGCGTAAGGTACGTATGCTTGCTTGCTAGATTGGCTAGGTATGACAAACGTCACGCGATATCACTCGCGTCCCTGGCCGACGGAGTGAGTGAGTGAGTGAGGCAACATGTCAAGTGACCCGCCACACGCCTCACGCCCCCCGCCCATCGTCTAGTCGTGGCTTGCAATCGTAAGCTTCCTCGTGGACGGTGGAATCTAGGGATGGGATCGAGATTCCCCTTCCACCCCGAGGAGTGATTTACGCGCATACCTACCAGAGATCGAGAGAACTCTGAATTCTGAACCCCTCCTCCTCTGCCTCTGCCCCTCCCCTCTCGCCCCTCACGCCCACTCCGTCCGTCCGTCTAACACACACTAAAAACCCGCTTCCTGCTCCACATACCAAAGTAGGGAAGGGAAGGGAAGGGATGGGTTGGATCGGGTTGGGCCTGGTTCCCCTCCCTCCCCTCCCCTCCCCTCCCCTCCCCTCCCCTCCCACCACCCCCCCGCCTGCAAGATCAATGCGAGTGCGAATGTGATAGATATCGAGACCCACAGTGCTGCAGAATGGACCCCCCAGGGCCCCTGCAGATGCAGAGTTGTATCATCGACGACGGGGCCATCTTCCCTCCTGTGTACCTTCCCTCCGACATACCTTCCCTCCTCACTTCCCGAGCGGTTTGATCGTCACGGAGTCGAGACGAGACGAGAGACGAGGGACGGAAGAGATATCGGTACCGGAGATATCGGTACCGTGCTCGTGCTCGTGCTCGATCGGCGGGAGGGACAGGTAGCCAGGCAGGCAGGCTAATTGTCTGGAGGAATGGATGGATGAATGGATGGATGTCTGTGCTCAATCGCTTGATAATGTATATAGGGTGATTTCCGTGCGTAATCCGTACTCGTACATACCGTAGCTTCTATTGGTATCGATATCGATATCGACCGGGACGGGGCTGGCGCAAACGGGCTCGTGGACTGTGTAGTGTTCAAGAGTCAGTGCTCAGTAGAAACCACATGCCCAACTATGTAGCCAGCCAGCCAGCCAACTGAGCGAGCAGCCTAACGCAACTCATGTATTCACATGATCACGCCAAAATATATGTAAGCCGACCATGACGCGGCTATGTACATGGCAAACGAGACGGACGTCGGACGGTAAGTAAATCCCTCGGCTGGCTATGTATCCTCCGGATCTCCGTTGTTTTCCAGTACGAGCACGGCTGGATGAGACGCAACACCTTCAGCCCCGGGCTCTAGGCCCCAGGGCTCCGGTGGAATGCGGAAGAAGGCTGTATGGCTGGATGGATGGCCTGGTACTCAGATGCGAGCGTCGTCTTCGTGCCCACTGCCCACAGCAAAAACCTCAGCCCTGTGGAAAAACGCAACTCAACGCACGGCCGTCGACGTCAGGCGTACGTACGCACACTCTCGTACACAGTCGTAATTCGTACTCGTAACCCATAACCCGTAACTTGTACTGGTACTGGTACTCGTAACCGGTGCGGTACCATCGAATTGTCCGACTGACTCAACAAACGACCAGTGACCAGTCGTGGCCCAACCCAAAGATTAGTTAGGTGCTAATTGAGTCACATGTGAGATAATGACGGAGATACGTGCGTCTTTTGATGCGGTGGGAGGGAGAAGAGTGGGGGGGAATGGACAGCCCGAGGCCCAAAAGCGAATGAGAGCTTGTGACGTTGGGACTCCACCCTGGAATCTGGAGGGGAGATTGCGATTGCGATACCTACCTACGAGACCGGAAATCGGAGATTATAGTACCTCGGTTAGAGCGGTCGGGTATGGTAGATACTCCGTCTCCAGCCAGCAGCTGCCGGGCCAGCCACTGGCTACGGAGTGAGAGTGCATGATCCGCGCTGGGATTTTGCCAAGTGCCACGGGCTGAGGTATAAGATTGTTAGCTTCCACTTCTTCCGATCGTGCATTCAGATTTCGGACCGCAGTTGCGTGATAGCCGATGAACCTACATAGGTAGGTATGATGAAGGATAGTAGATAAGGAATCACAGACGCCCTCGACCGAACCGCAAGATCAATTGGTATAAATATTCTACTACCCCGTCCCATGGCGGTATCTATCATAGCTCATCACAGAATAACCTCCCACTACAAACCGAACGCTTTCGCCACAATCACCGACGTGCCCGCGCTTGTAACCACCGCATTATGGCCACCCCACTTAACGAGCCACTGGCTGATCCTCCTGCCATTGCTCCTGTCCTCCGGCCAGGTAGCCAGGGTGCTCTCGTTTCCGTATGTCGTGATGACACGGGCGTCCAGCGCATCACTGACCTTCATCTTCGTATCCTCGCCCTCAATCGTTTTCCTCGCCGCGCTCGCGGCATGGACAAAGAGGGCATCGCAATGTTTCCACGGGATGTCGTAATCATTCTTTGCGTGAATCAGCACCAAGTTGAGGTTCGGCGAATTCTTGACGAGGCGCGCGAGGCGCCCCACAGAGTCCCACGACTCGAGGAGGTACTCGGTGAACCACGTCTGCACCTTGGGGTATCCGCGGAGTGGCGCTAGCACGGGGAAGTACCCGCCAATGCGGTAGGTCAGGAGGAGCTCCTTCATGCTCGAGAAACCGGCGATCGTGATCACCGCTGCGAACTCCTCCGGTGGGGATTGCGCGGCGAGTTGGTCGGCTACGCCGATCGTGATGGCTGTGCCGAGGGATTGCCCGATGAGCGCGATGCGCGACGGCGGGATCCCGAGCTGGTCGACCGCGAAACGGACAGCGGACACGCCATCCGTGATGAGGCCGGTTTCTGAGGGGTCGCCGGTCGAGAGGCCGAAGCCCCGGTAGTCGATTGCCAGGATGTGGATCTTGGTGGGGTGCGCGGCGGAGAGCGAACGGAGGTAGGAGGGGCGGAGGCCGGCGCCGACGGTGCCTGCGTTGCCGTGGACTGGAGCATGTTCAGTAATCGCTGGATAAGCCGAGGGAGAAGAAAGATGGACAGTGGATTATCAATCGAGCTTCGGGGTCATCTCTCAGCAGCTGGAGGTTCTTGGTCTCGAGCGGCGCAGCGGCAACACCATGCCCCTCCTGCTTCACCAGCTCCTCGCGATGCAGCATGTAGATCCCGAGAGGCAGAACGTGCCACGCAAAGATCGCCTCACCATCCGACGTGTTGTAGTAGAACGGCGTGACCTGATTCTTCGCGAAGCCGAATTGCTCGGGCTGAATCAGATCGCTCAGCCAACTCAGCCGGAGTCTGTGCACGTATATCGCACTAGACACGAAGTATAAAAGTCAGCGGATTGAATTCGTAGCGGCGGCCGACAGCCGGTAGCGGGCAGCGGGGGAGGAGGATTAGCAATACTTTTTCTGGACGACCGGAATCGTCAGGAGCCCCAGGGCGCAAAAGTAGCATAGGCCCATGAAGGCCAGGGACCAGTAGGCCTTCACAAAGATGGGAAGGATGGCCATTATTGTCTGTAGATAGTGGTCGCGTGCTGATGTCGACGAGAGAGAGCTCCCCAACTACGTACTTATATGAGTCTATGTGGCTCTCGGGGAACGCCGTCGGCTTCCCCAGATAAGCAGCGATCCGAGCTTTCACCAAAGGGAAAGAGAGCTACTCTATCTGGCGTTCACCCACACACAAAAGAGCCTCCTCTAGGCTCAGATCGTGACGGGATGTCATCCCGGATCGGAATGCGACGCCATTGGGCCGTGCGGAAGGCCCAGCCAGCCAGATCGGACTCCATACAGCACGCATCATCTCTTATGATTCGCAGACAGAAGAGAGAATAGAGCATGGGAAAGTACCTGAATATGTGTCGGATTCATCCGCCTCTAGTTGTGTGGCCATCGCCCCATAGCCGGAAGTCGATACGCCTGCTTCTTACGATTTCATCTGGTTATGCACTGGTACCTATCTGAGGTAGCTCACCCTAGTTATCTATCGTTGACGTGCACGACCCAACCACCGACCCACGTGCCAAGCCTCGCTGGCCCATCTCGCCCCCAGCTCCAGCCAGCTTGGGTTTGGTTTAAGATCTGGTCCCGTCCCTCAGCCTGCTCGTGATCATACCTCGCCCCCCTCCCTGGAGAAAGCTAAATACCTGGCCAACTCTACTCATAGAGTACTTCTGCTTTCCCCATCATCCCATTCGCGCCTGTACCTCTTCTTCTCCCGTTTGGAAGCTTCTTATTCCTCGCGGAAAGCAATCACACCACGTTGCCCCAGACCCACCTCCGACCGAACGGTAACCAGCTACACACATCGTCGGTGAGACCTACGCGCTTTGGGTCTTTCGGCGTTGCCGAACTATGCCGCCGATGTTACGCTCGTTCGGCGCTTTCGTTCTCCTCGCGGCGTCGCTGTCGTCGATGGTGACGGAGGCGCGGAATACGTCATCGGTCACTCCCAACCTCGCGCTCCTGCAGTCGCAGAATGTCTGGAGCTTGGATGACCGACCAAAAGACTGTCCTCCGTGGTGCGTAAATTGTCGTCCTTCTCTTCTCTCCAGCGATGCTTTGGTTGGGCTGGGAATTTCGGAGGCTTCAGGGCCCTTACCACGCTGTTTGTCTCGAGAGGATTGCGGTGCTGACGACCGGTTGCGTTCCATAGCTTCAACTGCCTCCTACCGGCCTTCCACTGCACGCAGTTCGCGAAATGCAGCTCGCACAGCGGAAAGTGCGAGTGTCCTCCAGGATTCGCTGGCGATGACTGTTTACAACCACGTGCGCCTCCTCTGTCTCCCGAACCCAACCAAGGAAGGACAATGACTGACGCTGGCGGTTTGCTACTCGGACAGTGTGTGGATCGTTAGCCGCTGGAACTCACCGACCACCGAAGGGTGACGGGCCGTGCGAATGCGATGAAGGATGGGAGGGGATAAACTGCAACGGTTGGTGCTACAGCGCTGCGCTTGCATGAAGAAGTACTGATCGCTAGGTGTAGTCTGCAAGACAGACGATGCCTGCAATGCGCTCATGCCGCAGGGAGTGGACGGTGTATGCTACAAACAGGGAATTACCGTCAAGGAGAACTTCCAGCAGTGTGATGTGACGAGTGGGTGCCCCTGCGATGCGGGTTCGGGTGGTGGCAATGGCTGACAGTTTGGGAACAGATCGTAAGATTCTCGAGATGTTGAAGAAGAAGCCTCAAGTCACGTTTGCTTGCAACAAGGAGGACGCAAAGTGCACTTTCGAATGTAAGGTCCTTCCGGCGGGTTTGCAGGCAGCACATTGACTGTTTTAGTCTGGGTCGACCAACGCGAATCGTTCTATTGCGACCTCACAGAGTGCGACTGGAAACTTGACACTCAGCACGACAAGAATGTCACCGACTACGAGTGCAAGAAAGTTGAATGCGAGTGTGTCCCTGGCCGGACTCTGTGCGGTGAAGGCGGCACCATCGATTTGAGCGAATTCCTCAAGGAAGGGATTACCGGACCAGCTTCCTTCCAATGCGATTCCTCAAAGACCAATGACCAATGCATTTTCTCGGAGGCCAACATGAACCAGGTCATCACTGATATCTTTGGTGACCCGACTATTCTCCTCAACTGCGACTCCGGCGAGTGTTTGCACAAATCCGAAGTTCCCGGCTACACGCGTCCCATCAAGACCATCAACAAGCCCTTGATTGCTGGAGTTATTGCTGGATGCGCGCTTTTCATCGTCATAGTGGTTTTGGGACTATGGTGGGCGAGCAGACGCGCGAACCAGAAACGAGGACTGGGTGCCATTCACCTTTCGGATGACGACGACGAAGCGCTCGGAATCCTGACTGGACATAAGCCCGCGGCTTTGCACTTCTGCGACGTTTCTTACCAGCTCAACGGGAAGCAGATCCTCGAGGGTGTTAGAGGCGCAGTCAGTCCTGGAGAGGTCATGGCTATCATGGGTCCCTCGGGCGCTGGAAAGACAACTTTCTTGGATATTCTGGCTAGAAAGAACAAGCGAGGACAGGTCAACGGAAAGTTCATGGTCAATGGTGCTAGGGTTACCGATGAGGACTACAAGGAGATCAGTGGTTTCGTCGATCAGGAAGATACTATGATGGCGACACTCACCGTTTACGAAACCGTTCTGAACTCTGCACTCCTCAGGCTTCCCCGGGATATGAACTTTCAGGCCAAAGACAGACGGGTTGTGGAAGTTATGACGCAACTTGGAATTAACGGTATCAAGGATCAGCTCATTGGTACTTCTGAAGACAATGGCATCCGTGGCATCTCCGGAGGTGAGAAGCGGAGAGTCAGCATTGCTTGCGAACTCGTAACTAGTCCCAGCATCTTGTTCCTCGATGAGCCCACCAGCGGATTGGATTCGTTCAACGCCTACAATGTCGTCGAATGCTTGGTCAAATTGGCAAAAAACTACCGCCGCACGGTCATCTTCACCATTCATCAGCCTAAGAGCAACATTGTGGCTCTGTTTGACCAGCTTGTTCTCTTGGCTAAAGGAAGGTGCATTTACTCGGGTCCATTCGATAGATGTCAGACGTACTTTGACAAGCAGGGTTATCCGTGCCCTCCTGGATTCAACATTGCGGATTATCTAGTCGATCTCACTGTCCATGCCGACCAGCGCCGGGCTTTCCCGGAAGACGACAACGCCGTTCCTGAAGTTGAGAGCTCATCGTCAGCCACACCGAAAAACAACGGACAAAGACCTCGTCCCCGCAAGAGAGGATCCTCCATTCGGGAGGAGCAGGCTCAGAAATTGTTCACCAAGAAACGGTCCAACCACAGCCTCGGCCCGGGTCTCAGCGAGGATGGCGTAATGATGTCTGATGACCTAGAGCCACGCCGGAGTATCGATGACACTGCCGAAACTGATGCTTTATTGCCGCCTTCTGTCAGGGAGGACATGACTGATCTCGACGTGTTGATCAATGCCTACAAGACCTCTGACGTTGCAAAGGAGATTCAAGAGGAGATCGACACTGCCAACACTCCTAGTCCTAATGGCAATGCCAACGGCAACGGCCAAGGACTCGGAGGAGAAGGAAAAGGCTTTAGGCGGGTTGGTTGGATTGGACAGTTCATGATTCTCTCCGCGAGAACATGGAAGAATCTATACCGCAACCCGATGCTGATGCTCGCCCACTACGCCGTCTCCATTGTGCTTGCGTGCCTCTGTGGTTATCTCTTCTTCGGTGTCAGGGACGACATTTCTGGTTTCCAGAATCGGCTGGGACTCTTCTTCTTCGTCCTTGCTCTGTTCGGCTTCTCGACCCTCACCTCTCTCAACGTCTTCGCAGCGGAACGAACCCTCTTCCTCAGAGAGCGCGCTAACGGTTATTACTCGCCCATCACATACTTCTCGGCCAAGGTTCTATTCGATATAGTCCCGCTGCGGATCATCCCCCCGGTCATCATGGCAATGATACTGTACCCGATGGTCGGTCTCGTCGCGCAGTGGCCCGAGTTCTTCAAATTCTTGCTGGTGCTAGTCCTATTCAACCTCGCCGCAAGTGCCATCTGTCTCTTCATTGGAATTGTCTGCAAAGACAACAGTCTGGGGAACCTCATCGGATCGCTGGTTATGCTGTTCTCGTTGCTGTTTGCCGGTCTGTTGTTAAACCATCACTCGATTCCCAAGGGCGCACTATGGCTGCAGAATTTGTCGATTTTCCACTATGCATTTGAGGCGATGATTGTCAACGAGGTGCGGTATCTGACTTTGATTGAGCACAAGTAAGTCTCCCCTCGCTCCCCCGAGAGATGGAATAGGTTAGGTACTAATGAACGGTAAAGGTTCGGACTGGACATTGAAGTCCCTGGCGCCACAATCCTTAGCACGTTCGGCTTCGACAGTCTGGCGTACTGGAACGACGTCACGGGCCTGGGGATATTCGCCGCGAGTTTTGTGGTGCTGGCGTATCTGGCTATGCACGTGCTTTTGGTTGAGAAGCGGTAGACGTATGTGGAAATGCGAGGCGAGGAGAGGTGATGATGGAAGGCAGTGGTACCCGAGTAGACGATTGATGGGATTATGATTTTTTCTCTGTGCATATTCGGACAAGTAATCTTGGTCTTGATGCAAATGAACGGGATGTGTATGGAATGGGGAGTTGCGATGTATTTGGGATCTAACTGTGGGTCGCCCTGGGGGTATTGAATGCCTTTTTCTTTTTTCTTTTTTCTGCTTTGCTTTGCTTTGATTGTATGGTACGGTACTGCGTATGTATCTTATGAAGAAGATTGTTTATGGGGGTTGAGAAAGATTAATTCATTCCGCACACAGCCTTCCTAAACTATAGTATGACGAACGTTTATGGAGGTTTTTTTTGTTTAATCATCACTGCATTCGACCTTGTTAGAGTACCTAGATAATGGCAGTATGTAGCATATCTGTTTTCTCACCACTGTTCCCTTCCCGCTGGCCGCGATCTCGATGCGGGCTCCCTACATACTGCTCTCCGCCCCGCCCTCCCGACGTCTACTCAACCTATGAGAAGTTGAAGCTTCATCTGCGCGCGTGCGGATTCGACGCCGAGTGCTCCCTGATGCTAGGCATCTCGCCATCTCGCCATCTCACCGCATGGTTTCCATTTCCATTGCCTGCCCTTGTCCCCGAAAACTGGCCTCGAATGCTTACACTATAAAAGACTACAAGTTTGACGACTGCTCCCCCTCCGGATGGCATGTGGCATGTGGCATGTGGTATGACTATGAGATCACAGCGATCACCGGCGACCGCGGCGTGAGCGTGTGGATCTAGTAGCCCATAGGCCACCCACGACGACGCGCTTACGACGACGTCTACGTATATGCTTCCATACTTCCATAATTCCACACCTCCATACTTCCATAGGTAGGAGGTAAGTATACGATTAAGTAGGAGGCAGGTACTCAGGTACCTGGTACGTACTCTACGCACTGTAATCCCCATCCCCATCTCTTCCTCTTCCACTCAGTACGGTAGGTACGCCACACTTTTATTTCGGTCGATACATAATACAGTACGGTATACCCAAGAAGTAGGTACTGAACAGTGAACACTGAAACTTATAGTAAACGGACACACGCACCCACGCGCAAACAAAAAAGGCAGAAATCAAATAACAATAAAACCCGATATAGGAATAAGACGGATGAGTACGCCAAACTAAGTTAAGTAAAAGTTAAAGATAAAATCCTCGCCCCCGTGATTGAAGAAGGAAGATAAGGAATGGAATGGGAAGGAAAGAAAAGAAAAAGGGATAGGTATAACACGGAAAGGAAAGGAAAAAGCAGGAGCATGCAGTGGATGGACACACGGCGATGATGATGATGATGGCGAGGGAACTCGGACACACAGTTGTAAACTAGACGAAAAGGAAAAAGAAGAAAAAAAAACAAAGAGAAATAGAAAAAAACACCAGCCCCGATGAAAACGAAACGAAACGAGAACAAAAAAGGAAAACAGAATGAACCACACGACTTGAGAGGCGCGAACGAAGGACATCAGGAAGAGATATACGGCGGCAAAGACAAGGACATAACCCCCCAACTTTGTTATCCTTTTCATGCACAAGAAAGAGTTTCTCCCTCGCCCGCTCCTGCAAATCTACCCCCCGCTAAACCAACTGCCCCCGCTACTCTCGCTTCATCGTCGGGTCGCTTCCAAAACCCTTACAACGGTTACATCCCACCCCCGCCATCTCTGCCACTACAATTCCCAGCATGCAATCAGATACAATCCACACTCCTCCCCATTCTCATCTAGTACTAATCCACCCGCACGCTGTCCCTGGACCGCCTCCCACGGCCGCTTCAAGCCCTGTTCAACCGTTCAGAGACGAGCTGGTGGTCAAAACACCGCAGCGAGGCCATGTCTCGACGACCTCTTTGAGAACCGTTTGTTGGATCGTTCAGATTGCCCATCACTACCTCTGCCTCCAGGGTGGTGATGGTGGTGCCCGTTGGCTGCCGCGTCGAGGGTGATGGTTGACGATGGGCTCGAGAGAGCACTCGACATGAATCCGCCGTCATCTGGTGGGTAGCTGACCGATGCGATGTCTCGGGCGCGGTCAATCTGCTCGAGCCATTCGCTGGCGGGAGTTTTTGGGTCTTCAAATGTGTAACATTTGTCGCGCTGTGAGGAAGAGAATGTAAGTAAAATGTAAGAGCAGGACTAGCTAGGCCTGAAACGAGAGGTGATAAAACGACTTACCGTATCGATCGCCCACATTGTGCCATCACCGCCGACTTTCCTGACGACCACACCAAGTCCCTGAAGACTAATCTCGGTCTTTGGCTTCTTGTCGTCACCTCCAGCGGCGGCAATTATAACCCTCGCAGCACTCGTCACCATCACCAGTCGTTGCCGCTTTTTCGTGGCACTCCCACCGAAAAACCTAGAAAATTTCTTGGGTGCATCCTGTGAATTTACCTTGCCGTCCGGAGAATGCGGAGCAGGGCTTGTTTGCACAGTTGCATTCCCGAGTTTCAATATTCGCTCGTTTGACCGGGTAAGCACGGGTGACCATTCTATGTCCAGCTGGCTAGGGGGTGGTAATTCGGTTATGACCCGCGGAGGCGCAGCAGGTCTTCCGTTTAATGCGGCAGCGCCGTTCCTTGCTCCAATGGAAGAAGAATCGCCGCCGAGTTTTATAATTTTGGTTTCCTCCGGTGGTGGTACATAGGGCTTTAGCCGTGGAGCCTTCTGTCTCCAGAGCTTTCGCCCCCATTCCACACCCTCGAAAAACGGATGGCTCTTGATGTGCTCGATGCTGAGTCGCTTCGCAGGGTCCAGCACCAACAGCCGCTCGACGAGATCTTTAGCCACCGGGGGGAAGCCTTTCGGGAACTCATACTCCAAATTGACAATCTTTTGAAACGTTTGGTACTCGTGACTGCCTTTGAAGGGGGGCCGACCGGCCAGCAGCTGGAAAACCATACAGCCGAATGCCCACAGATCAGATGACTTGCAGGTTGACTTGTCGTTTAGAAGTTCGGGCGACACGTATTCCGCCGTTCCTACAAAGGAGTTCGCCCTTGTTTCTTCGACTTCTCCCATTGGATCGCCGGCCGGCTCCCCATCCTGAGGTGGTCGTTTGGGAGGGTCCAGTATTTTTGCAGTCCCGAAATCTGTGATCTTGATGTGCATTCTGTCGTCTAGAAGTACGTTTTCCGGCTTCAAGTCTCGGTGAATCACACCCCTCGTGTGCATGTATTCGATTGTGTCCAGGATCTGCGCTGCGTAGAATCTTGTACATTCCTCGTCGAATGTTCCTAACTTCAACAATTCAGCTTCAGTCAAACCTCGAGTGCGCTTCTTCATCATTCGGACTTACCCGTTTCAGAGTTCCTAGTAGCTCTCCCCCGGTCGCTAGATCCAACACAAAGTATAGACTCCGCTCGTCCTGGAAGGTATAATACAGTCGAACGACTCCAGGGTGCTCTCCAAGTCTATTCAGAGTATTCTTCTCTATATTTACGTATTTCACTTTCTCTTCCTTGATGATGTGCCGCTTGTCGAGTACTTTAATCGCGTATTCCTTCAATGTTGTCCGATCTGTAGCTGCCAGGACCTAGTCCAACAATAACCAAGTCAGCGAATTGTGGCAACCACGGAGGGCGTACCCCAAGGAGAGCGAGAGATCGCGGGAAACGGGGCGCACTTACGGTACTGTAGCTCCCTTCCCCCAATGTCCGCCCAAAATTGAAGTCCTTGACACCTTTCTTCACTACCCAGGTAACGACGTTACCGTTAGCATCGGCTTCCTTTCTGATAGCAACGGCAGCGCCTTTCTCTTGCCACTCCGCGCTGCTCGCCGGAATCCCGTGTTCCGCATCATAACGGGTCCCAGTCGAGCCCCCGGCAGCGCCATATTCCTCATGGAAGGGAGACGGACCTGCAGCGTTGGGCTGTCGATAGGTTCTATCCGTATTGGACCGGTCCCTGGCGGCAACTCGCGGGCCTGAACTCGAACTACCCGGAGGCCCCGACAGCGATGAACGTGACGGTTCGCGCGATATCCGAGTATACTCGGGCGAGTAGATCTGATTTGCCGCCGATCCACCCGGTGTTGACGGCGGGAAAGGGCTGGATGTACCATTGTAGCTGGGTATGAATTGAGTCGAGTGTCTCGACGAAGGGGCGGATGGCGGCGGGTAGGTGGCGCGTGGTTGGGAGGGTCCATAGCTATTCTGCTGTTGCAAAGGCATGTTGGACTGTGAATGAAAGCTCATGGAATGTTGTTGCTGCTGGCTGTCGTTCGCAGACGTTCCCCCTCCCCCTCCTCCGAGCGCCCCTGTCGGCGGCGGCGACCCGTGTAACGCATTTGATTCTAGCGATTGAAGATCGGGTATGTAAATCTGCGATTGTGACGATGCGGCATCATTGTTGTGCGATGGGTATGCGGGAGAAGGGCCTGGTGACGGAGGCGGCGAGTCGTCTGTCTGGTTCGCGATCCGAAGGCCACCGAGGGCCTGTGAAAGGTTGAGGTCTCCGTCCATGTCTAGGTGTTTCGCCTATACAGTCCAATCCACGGGAGGGGGTTCAGGCAGGCCACGACTTTGAGGCACGAGACAACCAGAGTGGCATGAGCCGTAGGAGAAGGTTGTGATTCCGAGCGAGGTTGGGGGTTGGGAGAACGAAGGTGTCGAAGGAATGTAGTAAGCTCCAGCTTCGTATCTAGGCGTTGCAAATGAGTCGGTAATGGGGCCTCTGCGGATGCGAAAACCGAGGGGGGCGAACGGTCCGGGCCCTAAGCAAGTAAAGTAGGCACTTCCCCCTCGTGGCTGGTTTCTATAATTAACGGTATGCAGAGTTTCGGAGGCGGTATCTAGCGTGTCGTGCGTTGAGAGACTTTGACTGCCGTTCGAAGGCCGAAGTCCAGAGCCTACAACGATCGTGGGAGAGGGGAGCGAGTGGAGGAGGAGGTAGGGGGGAGGGGATCGAGAGTGCTGACTGGACGAAAGGTGAAGGAATCAGGTGTTGAGTGGCCGCGTTGTGTGGCTGGTTGAGCGGAAGATATGGGTATGAGGGCGAGGATGAGAGGGCGTCCGTGTGCACTGTGCACTTGTATGTAGGGTGGTGGGCTATGTATGAGAGTCGGTGTATTCGGGAGTATGTACCAAGGTACGTGCCCTCTACGTCGAAGGTTTGGGAGGTAGGGAGAGTTAACGGGCAGACCATGCGGCTGAAAGCAAGCATCCCCTCGATCCCATTATTCCATGATCCACTTGCACTATTCCACACCCAATTTCCGGGGAGAGCAAAGCAAAGCGGATGGCACATGCCACTCACTTTTCGGGCAATATTACTATAATTATTATGGGTGCGAGCAGATCGGATGGCGAGCTCCGGAGAGGACGTAGAGTACAGTGGGAATGATCGAAAAAGGCGCATACCAGGAAGTACCGGTATCTGATGTCTGGAGGTGACAAGTCTGCGAATTTTGAAGTGCGGCTGGAGAATCGACTAAAGCCATGGTTTTCGGGTTGAGAAAAGGCCCGTCCAAAAGCCCGAACACGCTAGGAATGCGCACAGAATGCCAGGACGCCCAAGTGAGTACTTGAAGACTGGTGCGCAATGCTATGATACCGATGGCCTCAGCTTCCTCAATTGTGCCGAATAACCTGATACGGAAGAATGCCGTTGGGAGCGAAAGGAGAAAGTTGCGGATGGCATTCAACATGGCCCTCCTTTCTTCTGCGGCGGTCTTGCCATGGCTATGGGGCCCTGGCTCGGTCGTGTCCCCAGTTGTGCAGATAGCAATCTAGTAGAGGACTTGGATTGTGGGGGATCTTTTTACATCATAAACAATTGACTCTTTCACGACCGACTAATTGCTCTATCAATAGGCATTCATTAACTTCATACTGGGATCCATCTAGGAAGTCGATTTCGACGGGCCATTGCCGACTAACAATGGAAGAGAATTGACAAAGGAAACAGCGTAAATACCAGTGTCTACAGACCAAGCTCGGGGGTTTTTTGGGGGGGGAATACAAAGCTTTGAACCATCCTCCACCGACATTCACTCGCTTCTGAATCCACACAGCACCGGAAACATGCCTAGGATAACACCCAACAGGTCCGAAACGAAAGGTCGACTGTCGAAAGGTAATGGAAGGAATGAAGCTGGAGATCCTTGGCAAACTGGCCAACGGAAGAGTTCGAAGAACATGGAGCTCAAGAGTCAATAGCTGATGTCACGGAGGCTTCCTCTGATATTTCCGAGCAACGAACGCGCGTGGGAACACCGGCACACCAGTACATACGAGCTTTGGCTGGACAGTCCGAATCACATCTGAACATGACAATGGATAACGAATTACGAGAGTGCTCATGTCCCCTTGACAATCCAGTCAGTGAGAAGGTCAAAGACTGTTCCCCTTTCCAGTAGAGGGTAACTGCTCAATCGATTTCGCTATATGTATAAATACATGATACGCTCGATGCATCTGAGTGCCCATAGCACTCAGTCTAGCTACCCGGGCCCGCGATGTGCCAGCCGCGGCCCGCCCTGCAGACCGGATGCTTAGCCTTCCTCTTCGACCGAACGCGGGGAGAACGGGCACACATTATAGTGCATATATGGTCAGGTACTGAGGCTAAATATACGGGTTCTGGTTTGGTTGATGTCTTTTATAGTGATGTAGTCATGCAGGGAAGAGCGCCGATAGTTACGTCGGTAACCAGATGCGCGGGGTCTCACTCGTCGTACCTATCGATACGACGTATGCGTGCACTCGAGCTGGTTTAGTTACACATAGTATCTTTGGTCCTTCCTGATAACGGCCTCGCCCGTATTCTAGTCTTGGATTTGGCACCCACCCTCCAGAGTCCTCAATCAGTGGCCCACTGTCTACAGTCTCAATCACCCCTCCCCCGAACCTACCACCCCAGATGCTCAGGCTCCACCCATCCTCGATCGTTCTAACGCACGAAGAAGTCAACAAGGTCCTTACAGAATCCAACCCCCCATCCACATCTGCTCCGTTCACGAGTGCACACCCATGGGACCATACGATCACCGTGCGCTGGCAGCGGCGGAAGGAAAAGCAGAAGGCCTCTGAGACGGACCAAGACATCCTGTCCGAGCTTCGGTCTCTCCGCATCGGCGGAGAAGAAGAAGAACAAGGAAGAGAAGGGGATATGGAGACCGATGCTTCTACCGGAGCTGGGCCAAGTTCCCTTGACGTCTCTGCCGATGATATCCCGAGACCTCCCGGCGTTCATGCTCCGAATGAAGAGGGAAGTAGAGGGAAGAGGAGGGAAAGAATTGAGACTTCACCGGAATCTGAGGATCCTACCCTGTCGAGCGAACCTAGTATGATTTCGTCTTCGGGTGTCGATAGGGCGTTCTCGGCGGATGATTTCAATGCTTCGAATTGGGCCGTGTATGGAGACGACCTACCGGATGATTACCGTGACGCTGATACCGACGAAATCGACGAGGAAGATGAGGAAGATGACGACGTGTACAACGACGAGTACCTGGCTGACGGAGAGCCGGACTTCAATAACAGCGAAGCATCAGATCCGTCCGGCCAAGGCGACTACCCACCGAACCCCCCACCGAACCTCCCACTGCGGCCGCTCGTAGCACGTCACATTCCCGTTGACGGAACATCGGAGACCGAAGTCGGGATCGACATAGTGAACGAAGATCCAGAGTATACTGCGTTCAACCCCGGACCAGCCCTTCATGACAGTACTATCCCACTTCCGAATTCTTCCCGCTTTCACCCCAGGCTGTTAGATACTATGAATTCACCCTCTTCGTCTCGGATGGCTATCCTAAACGACCGCGATGTGGTGGCGGCTACGCTCGGGCACATCGATCATCGATATGTCGGGATGAATCGGTATCTTGGACGCAGTGCGGTGTCTCTGAGTCAGGACGATGCTATGGACTCGAGCTACCGGAGGTGGAGCAGTGCGACGGCGCCGGCAGGGAACGATATTGACGACTCATCAGACGATTCGTTCAGTGGGTTCCAATTGCCGGCCGACACCATTGCCGAGCTGGAGGAGAGAAAGCGGAGGAGACAGGCGGAGGCGGCGAAGAGGACTATTCGCTAGGGTGGATGGATTATGGCTTATGATTATATCCCTTGGGAGAGCGTGGTTTGCTGTTGGATGGTGATGACTATGACTACTATGACTGTTGGGAAGACTGTACGCCTTGTGACTCGATTATGCGGCTTTCCGCTTTGCACGACTATTAAAGGCAAGATACGGGCGCCTGGCCGTTTGGTGCTATTCGATTGGTTGTCTGATGCCTTATTGCAGTCCTCGCGGGATGAAGAGCTCTTTGCAGACGGCTGTTTGTCTTTTGTCTTGTTCCTTTGGGAGGGAGGGCAGGTGATAGTAGCTTTTATTCGGCTGTCTTTCTGTCTGTCTGTCTTTCTGTCTTTTGTCTGTTGTCTGTCTGCCTTTCTGTCTGGCTGCACTGGGTATGCCCAGCTGCTGTATAACAATTGAGTGGCTTTACGTGCCTGTTGCGAGACACGCTATGCAATGAGTCTCCTCCGTCTCATACATAGACACAATCACAGTGTCTCACTCTGAAGCCTTATTTCCGTGCTTTGTACCACATGCTTCCAAACAAAGCAACCAGTCTGATTGGCCGATGAAGTACAGGGGTCCCTGAGATCGTCCTGCCTCCACATCCATGCCGCTATCGGTGGGAAAGGGCAGTGATGAGGTCATCACCTGGAGCTCTCACGCAACCCACTGAGCTCAGCTCTGCACCCGTCTCTTCCTCCCGGACAGTTTAAATACCGAGCACCGCCCACCCTTCAACCCGTAAACAACCCCCTCAAACCCCCCACATCACAAACACACGCCCAGCATGCCCTCCGACCCGCACGCCGCGCCGCAGAGCGGAACAGAACACGAGCCGCTTCTCGGACGTCCCGGGGACGTCTCGCAGGGCCGCACAGACCCGATCCTCAAGAACCTGATCACGGGGACCGCGCCGCTGGCGCAAGCCGGCGGGCTTATCCTGACCGCGCTCGTTTTCGGCGGCGTGTTCACGCACAAGCTGCTGATCCCGTTCTCGCTGCACCCGCTGCTGAACGCCTTCGCCGTGCTGGTCGGGATCCAGGCGGTGCTCATCCCGCAGCCCACGCACACCGCCGCTCAAAAGCGGATCGGCGCTAGGGTACACGCCGCGTTCTGGGCCACCGCCCTCATGGCTTTCGTAGGCGCCCTGAGCGCTGTCGAGGTCCACAAGAAACGCGCGGGACTCGGACACTTCGAGAGTTGGCATGCGATCCTCGGCGTCGCCATCTATGCCCTCCTTGTGCTACAGGCGGCCGTCGGCGCGACTATGTACTTCTTCCCTGCCGTCTATGGCGGCGTGGATAATGCGAAGAGCTTGGTGAGTTCCCTCCTCCGAAACGAGTGCGGTTGGTGGTGGTCTGACGAGTGGGATACCTAGTATAAATACCATCGCATCACGGGATACACCATCCTCTCGCTGCTGCTGGTTAACGTTGTGTTGGCGACTCGTACGTACTACGGTGGCACGATTCTCGGAATCAAGACCTGGGCTACGGTGCTGGGCGCGGTGCTTGTCGTTGCTGGTAAGTTTATTTGCCTCTTCCCTCTGCGGAACCGACTGACTGATGGTAATAGGCGTTACCCCCAGGATTAAGAAGCAGAAGGTTCGTCTTTGGACCAGCTCTTCCTAGACAAGGATGTGATGAGACGGTCTTAAGGCAGCAGTTTCGTTGGTCTTTTTCTTGCGGATATTCCATTCATGGTTGTTTCATTGCAAGTCGAAGGATACACTCTTGAGGATTGTCTTTGTAGTTTGATCTCATTTGTTTGCTTGTTTGACTAGCTTGTGGATTGTGGTTGTGATTGTGATTGAGGGGTCGGACATAGAAATATTAATGACGGTCTTCTCAAATTCGCACAGCCATTCACGAGACGCCACCGGCCCCCTTCACCCGCTCAAATTGACCATCCTATATCTATCTTCCCTCGTCTACAAAACACAGGAGGATAGAGAGAAAGAAGATTGAAGTTAGTAAAAAGTTCATGTAGCAAAGCAACCCCCCAATGCCCGCAAAACCCAGAGAAAGAAAAATAAAACGAGAAGAACGAGAAAAATAAAAAAGCTACATCCTCTCCAAGCACAGACAGGCGGTGTCCATTGAAGCAAGGCCCCCCCTTCGTCCTATTCCATTCATCTTCCCCCTCCTCCTTCCACACTTCCTTTTATCTAATCACCCTCCCTCCATCCAGACCCAGCATACGAACTGGCTCTTCTCTCGCCCTCTCGACTGGAGAAATCCAACTTGCTCAAGAATTCTGGCGGCACGCTGGGCCAGTACTTCTGCGCGCGCTCCCTGTTGACGCCACCAATGCCGGCACCAAAGCTGACCAGCATGTCGGTGCTAGTGGGCAGGTGGAATGGCAGCATGAGGGCAGGATCCATCAGGAGATTTTCCGGAGCATCGTCCTCGTCTGCGTTCAGCGAGGCGATGGTCGTGGGACTGCCCAGAGGTTGTTGCGGCGAAGGCGGCGGGTGTTTTTCCGGGATTGGAGGGTTGCGACTCGTCGGCGTGGTCGGAGACATCAACGTGTTCAGTGATGCGGTGGATTTTCGGCGGTTCTTCTTTTCGAAGAAGTCCATTGTCAGGCCGACCAAGAACTTCATCGCGTCCCGGTTCAGTCCCTTTTCGCCAACTTCTGGACGGTAGTTTTTGGTCGTGTGCAGAAGTTGTTGACATGTCAGTCGCGGGAGCTGCTCGATCGTCGACTTGAGCGCTGGGAGGTCCTCGCCAAGAGAAGAGAAGCACTGTAGCCATTGAAGAAGCTGAATGATAGGCTCGAGATGCCGTCTAGCGGCGTCCATGATTGTCTCGCCGGTCGCCGTAAGGGAGCCCGCATCGTAGTGATCAGGCTGTCGGTTGTTGGTCCTCGCCCAGTCCTCCAGTACGGAGACGTTGAGTCGGATCTGCATCGCTTTCGTTCGCGCCAGGTATTTCCGATTCGACATGATGCGGTTAAACAGTTCACATCCGAGCCAGTAAAACAACTGGCTCAGCACCTGAGCTGTGATGACCGAGTGTATATCATACAGGTCGAGGACGAACAGAGTGGATGAGAGGAGGGATGTGATGTTGCGTGGGGCGGGCTTCGCACGCTGCTTGGGCGACGGTGGTCGGAATCGCTTCTCCGGACCCAACTCTGGCACCTTTTTCTTCTTGAAGAGGCGCCATTCGTTTTGGAATTGCACGTCTTCGAATCCAGGTATTGTTTCGTGCTCGAGCATGGCCTGGTCAAGTACTTTGTCCATGCGTCGCTCGGCATCTCGGATGATCAGGATGAATATCTCGTTGATGAGCTCCGAGAGCTGCTGCTGGAATTGTATTGTCGCGCCGACAAGGCCAGCGTCTTTCTTCAGGTAGTAGAGCAACAGTGTCGCGTTCGACAGCCAGAAGGCAAGTATCGTCATGTCCCATTGATGTCTTTCGACGGTTTGGTTTATTTTGGTCATTGCCGAGATCAAGAGCCGGGACAACAGCTCTTGGGAGCTGTGGTAGTGTGCGTATCGTGCGCTCAGGTAGAGGATATTGGCGGGCACGGGCTTCTGCGTAGGCGATCGCTGCGGCGTCATGTTTGTGATGACTACGTCCAACATCCTGTCCAGGTCTTGTTCCTGGAAGACGAACATCTGGTCCGGCAAACAGCGATCCCACAGAAACTCTTGTCCTTCCTCTTCCTCCTCTTCCTCGGGAATCTATGAATCGTCAACATGGCACTTACCCCCTGCCGAGTACTTCCTCCGATGGAACCCACCTCCGCTTGCTCGTCCAGACCCAGACTCGAAAGGTCAACCTCCAGGTTTATTGCGCTTTCCATCATCATCCGCCGTCTCAGCTCGTTCTCTGCCATCTCCTCCTCGAACCGGTCTTGCGCCAACCCTGAATCGTAAAAGTCGTCGCCAAAGCCGCCAACCCCGGCACTCCCTATGTAACCGTTGGCATGCAGGTAGCCCGATATCTCGCTCTCCGGTTCTACGAAGTCGAATGCTGTCCTCCCCGAAGAACTCTTGATTTCCGGCGAAGCCCCGTTGTCTAGTAATACCTTTGCAATGGCTTTGTGCCGGTTTGTCATTGCCCACATCAGAGAGCTCCACTGATTCTTGTCTTGCTGGTCGACGTTGGCACCCGCATCGAGCAGCGCACGCACAACTTCCTCATGGCCCTAGACGGATCAATGGCGCGTCAGCTCCTGCTGCAAATCAAAGCTCCAAGCTCCTCGTTCAGCGGAAACAGATTCCTTACGAAACAGCTCGCGTATATCAGTGGGCTAGTCCCCTCCTCGTCCGGTGCGTTGACGTCTATGAACTTGATCGCCTCGCCTTTCAGCAGCTTCCGCACGCGATCCTCCTCACCATTACTAGCCGCCATGTTCAACGCCCTCTGCAGCAACTCCTTCTTCTCATGCTCCGTAAGCTTGCTATTGGTTGCGATCTCGTCGTCGTCCAATCCTGCACCATCGACCCTGAATGCCGCCTGCTGCGCCAGCATCGACTCCAACCGTGCCTCGCTCTCCACGATGCCCTTGACATCCTCCTCTTCGTCTCGATAGCTGAGACCGATGCCGAAGTCGAGCCGTGCAGGAACCGGCGCAGTAATGAATTGGGATTCGCCTGGAAGTTCAAGCAAGGCAAACGTCAGTCAGCACGTTTATTGTAGCGCGGCCTAGGCAGCGGGGTTAACAAGGGTCGGGCTGGAGGGAGCGCGTGGGGCACGGCGTGAGCGGGGAAGGGGACCAAAAGACGAAAGGCTGAGGACAAGGGGAGCGAGAGTAAAGTAGTAGTAGGTGGGGGGAGGGGGTGTTGGGTTCTGTGGATCTGTCTGTGTGCATGTAGGAGGGGAGAAGCTTTGCCGGAGGTCTTACACACCTTGCCAGCCATCGTAGAGCTCTGTTTCTGCAAACACGTGTGGAGTGTGGCGGCGATCGTTCAACGACGTGGGAAGATCTGGGGGGAGCTGCGGCTGCTGTGGTCGCGAATCTCCAAGATCGTAGCCGCCTTCATCGAAGCCGTTTTCGCTCCGGTGGTCACCGAGATCCATAACCGGCTTGTGACGGGAGAGAGAGTTCGAAGGGAAGGTAGGGGGAGATGTGGTGATTTGTCTCTCGGCTTTCCCGTTGTTGAATGGAAGTATCCAAGGTGATGATGGTGACGACAAGCACTTGCAAGCGAGCCGAGTGGTGGCCAGCCAAGCCTAGTTGGCCGATCTGTCTACATTCAACCTCGAAACGCTTTGTTAGAAAAGCAGCCGTCCACTTGCCAACAGTATCAATTCAACATTGAATGACATAGCCTCATGCTAATCGATTCTCCTGTCGGGGCAGTAGAGGAATCGGTTTTTTTTGTTCCATTGTACCTGCATGAGACAAGGAAGGCTGTTGGCTTCACAGTCTACCTACATATCTTCCAGGTTCACCACATAACCTTCAACTTCAAGCCAACATATTCCTCAAATAGGGACGAGATGGACCGGTGGGAAGCTGGAGACCGTCTTTCTGTCGACGGTTCGGCTTATTCTTTGCCGATTCCTATACAGCCTCGGCCTCCTAACAAACGACAAACAGATCGTATCCAGCCCATTGCTACTTATGGGTGTGAACTGCACTTTCCACCAGGCAGCGAAACACCACGCACGCCGAATGGCGGGCTCAGGGTTGCCGCCGTGGTTACCAATACATCCAGACCGCAATTCACCTCATTGTCCGTTATCTAGACGTGACATGTTTGGAGCTATCAGCACAATCGATATCGTGAAGCACCTCCTGCCTCAAGTCATGTACCCCGCACACCTATCATCCTCCCTCCGTGTTCGGAATTGACACTTCGCCCCTTCCGCGGGGTTCCTGGGAAGCAAGGGTCCACGATCCGCCGCGGCTTGACTCCTACATACGTGCAGCTGCCGCCGACGCGGCTGTCGCTGCCGTACCTAGACCCCTTCGCGGAATCGATAGATACTTCTTATATATGCTTGTTATCCCCCGCATCAAGCAGCTCCACCATTACGTACTATTACCGAGCTTCCGGAAAACAACATAGCCCATCGAAGCGGCCTAAAACAGTTCAGTAGCATGAAACGCATTCACAGATTGCTGCTACCTACTAACGAAGGAAACGAAACGTAACCATTCTCCGCGTCCTTCCGAGGCATGTATGCCGGGTACAAACAGCACAGCACGTAACTAAGGTCGTGATCGTGGGGTGGGTGAAGCTCCAGTATCCACATCTACTAGGCCTATCCATGAACAGACGTAGGACATATATTGACAATTGTGGGTTGAACAAGCGCTCTTGATCCTAAATTCCTAATCGGCATTGGGAGAGGAGCGATAAGAATAGAATGGACCGACAGTGGACACGCTGCGGCTGTAGGCGACCCACGAGGCGAGGGCGGGAGTTGATGTCCCCAGTTTCGATGTCTACTATGGATCGTGGGCGGAGCTGCGGTCGTCGGGCTACCCGCATACATACTTGGAAGCCCCGCCTTGCCGGAGAGTACCGGTACTTGAAGTAGGTAGAGCGAACTCGACATCCAGCGTGACGGGAATTCGAAGCCCACTAATCACGGAATTTAAGTGCAACCTACGGTCCTGCGCAGACTTTGCCGCGTAAGGATCTATAATTGATTGTCAGTTGTTCCCCAAGACGGAAGTACAATAGGTATGCGGTACATATGATGATGGTACCTAGGCGGGAAACTTGCGCTTTCGCTTCACCGTCAGATTTGTGTTCCTCAGCTGGCTGTTTATAGAACAGCATAGATATTAGAGGTATCCACTGTCCAGTGGTGAAGTTCCACAATTGCTTGCGAGAGGTTACCTTGTTCCTGCTTCGAAAGGTAACTACTGCAACTAACGGTAGTAATGCCTATTCAGCAGGTTTCCACTGTCGCAGATGACATCCAACGGGTTTGTAGAAAACAAGACCAGGTGAAAGACCACCCCAAAATGAACTGTGGGGTTTAAACGTCCACCAAAGCGGCCCCGCGTGACGCCGGGGCGATCTATAAGGTCGGAGGCGGAGCTACGGGGTCTATCAGCATTTATTAGCATTTATTAGCGTTGTGAGGGCGGAGATCTACCGCAAAATAGAAACCATATTGGCGAAGACGGGCTCCGTGATGTGGCAGGAGGGGTGTGAATCCGGGTACATCCCCAATCGATACCCTATGCCGGTGCTGGAATGCGCATATTGCACTGCCTATCGATGTCAACGTCAATGTTCATTTGTGACAAAGCGTTGAGGCCTTCACAGCCAAGGTACATACAATTGGGCGCATGAACCAAGGCTTTGACGATGAGATATACTATGTAAAAAGAAGGTAATGGCGTCAACGGCTATCGTCGGGACTGAAGATGAACACCGCATCCTCCGGATCGATTGTGCGGGGTCTTTGCTGGTGCGAGTACGGAGATTTAGGTCGTTCAAGGAGATGCTTCACCGGAAAACGGATCTCGGTGGGAGTTAAAAGGCTCATGTAGGTGGGAGAGGTTCGTGGGTAGCCTAGGTAGATACATGCGAGGAGATTTGGGAAGGCTGTCGCGGCCCCGCGCCTAGCCTCGCACGCCGTGGGCGCCACGACTCCGCGAGTCCGCGACGTGTCGTCTCGATTGCCGCTGTTCAATGGGCTTTCTCGGCCATTTCATGATGGATATTCGTGGCCGTTGCCTGGATAGGCGGCAACGACTGGCCGCAGCCACAGCGGGTATCTCGATTGACCAGACATGCACGGCGTAAGGCTGGCCGGCTGCGGCCCGTCATCATGATGGACCGACCTGCGTTGCTTCTAGAAGCATCAACTCTTTCTCCACCGTCCAGTAACCAGTAACTCTGTATCTAGATAGCCTTTAAAATAGAATCCTCGGCTTCCAGTGTCCACTTCCCTACCTTCTCCAGCCAATAATCCCAGCCCCTGTTTCTCTCCGACGGCAATGCAAGTGGTTGGCCACCGCAGCACGGCTTTCTTCCCAGGAGTAAGTTCACTAGGCAAGCAAGAAGGATGTGTATGGTACGGTACCTGCGTGTCGACGAACTACCTATCACAGACACAGACAGCTCCGTACAGTCTCCGCAATCTGCAACTGGAAGGTGTCCGTTCGCTCTTGCAGCAATTGCGCCGACGACACCCTAAATTAAAAATGTATGTAAAGGTCAATCCCTCTGTTTCTGCTTGGGGCGCCCAGAGATCTGGATTGTTTGCTTCTTCTCCCTCTCTTCCTCATCCTTCTCCTTCTCCTTCTATTCTTCGAGCCGAATCCCTCAGAGCTGTAGATAAGTGTTCGCTTCATCTGCTTCCCCTACGACCACCGCTTCTGCTAGCAAACAAAGAAACCCACGTTGAGTGTAGAGTATCCACATCGCACACCTCCAAGATCATCCCCCCAAGCCCCAACCTCAGCTCATCGCCACAAGCGCTCCGCCAATCCATCTGCTTGCCTTTCAGGGCCCCACACCCACACCCACACCCGTCCAAACGCCAAAGCTCTCCTAGTTGCATCACGACACCCTACGTATCCAGTCCGTCCCGCCCAATCCAACAGTCCAACAGCCAACAGCCCATCAGTCCAACTCGCTTCCTCTCGCTCGCACCTCATGCCATCGTAACTTATAAACCTGCAACCAACCGCACATCACCCATAGCACCACCACCACGCGAGCCCCACGAATGCAGATGGGCGAACCGGCAGCGGTGGAGGAACCGGCAGCAAGCCTACAGCGGGTCCCGACGGCTGATTGCGACTACAGCATTCCTCCCTCCTATCCTCCTCCACCACCTCCTGTTCCCGCGTCTCTTACAGAGTTACCACCACCTCCGCCACCACAAGCTACGGAATCGGGTGACGAGCTGGAAGACGAGACGCAGGTAGCCGATACACATCTGTTACCACAGGTAGAAGACGAGGACGAAACTCCCGAAATTGGGCCGTCAGCGACCGACCCCCCACCGGAGGAGTTAAAGTTTGAAGAGGATGGGGAGCAGGACAAGGAGGCCATACAAAATGACGCGTCGTTCTTTCTTTCAAAGGGCGGCTACATCGAAAATAGGGCAATCGAATTTCAGCGCGAGCAAGACCGCAACATGAAGCGTGATTCGGGCCTCGCTTCAATGATGGACTCGGAATCTTTGCAGCAAACCACCACCACATCCACACCGGGCCCTGTCATTGCCACACCGATTGTTCTGAACGACCCTGCCGCAGTACTGCAGGAGATTGCCCCCAGTCTCCATACATCGGAATCAGAATTAGAAAAGACAACACATAATCCCGAGATTGTGGCCGTCGCGACACCATCAACACCTTCCGCAATAGTCATGCAGAGTGTCAGAAATGTTTCTTATGGTACAGCCGACACGCGGTCGATTGCCGCCGGATCAATCGGAGGACGCAGCCTCGTTGCACCCTCCACTATCTCGCGGGAGGATGAAGTGCTCAGTTTGAAGGTCCGAAGTCTCTACGATTCTGGTTTTGGGACAATTGCGAGCGATGCTAGCAGCCAGTTCTCCGATATTCCCCAAAGGCGGATATCTAGTATCATTGAGGAGGGAGCGGCTGCCGGAGTATCTCAAATCAGAGGGACTAGAAGCAGTTTTCCAGGCGCGAGCAAAGAGATTTCCCGAAGAAGCCGTTTAGGCGGGAGTGTAGAAGGTAGTTTCTTCAAAGCCCAGATAAGATAGCTGAGATTATTTCTGACGCCACGACAGATCTTAGGATGCTCGGAGCTGCAGAGGAAGAAGTAGTAGTAGCGCATGAGGAGATTAAGAGGTACAGCTTGGCGGGAGGAATTGAGGACTGGGAGGACCTGGAGGGCTTCGATGTTGACCGGTAAGTGGTCTTTCCCCTTCTGAAATCATAACGACTCACTCAATGTTTCAGTTACGGCTTCATAAATCACGCATACATCAGCTCGTCATCACAGGCTCCACCAGGTGCAAAGGCCGCCCCGAAGCGCGTTGCCACAGCGCTCTTCCTTCAGTCGCAACAACCGCGAAAGAGGCCCCTGCCACTTGCGTTCAAGACGCTGCGCCTGTCGCCTTCTGCACCCGAGATGCTTAAGTCACCGCTTCCGGGCAAGTCGATTGTGATGCGAGACAAAGAAAACAACCGATCACGCAAATGGAGGGAAATGGCTAGACGGACGACGAGGTCCGGAAGGGGAACTCCAGCCGGCAAGGGCGCTGGCGTGGAATGGAAGTTCGACACCAACGACCCAAAGGTCATTAGTAGAACCTGGAAAGGGATCCCGGATTGTTGGAGAGGAGCTGCATGGCATGCATTCCTGACTGCTAGCGCTACATCGAGGGGGATCGGAAAGCCTGATGATGAATTGGTCAACATCTACAACGTAAGTGGGCCCGCGAAGGAAATACGAAGGCATATCTAATTTTTTCCCCCAGGAATTACTTGAGAGGCCGTCATCGGATGATGTGCAGATTGATCTAGATGTACCGCGAACCATCAGCTATCACATCATGTTCCGAAGGAGATACAGGGGAGGGCAGCGTCTGCTCTTCCGGGTGCTTCATTCTCTGGCACTCTACTTTCCCGATACCGGATATGTGCAGGGGATGGCGAGCATCGCGGCCACGCTGCTATGCTACTACGACGAAGAGACGGCATTTGTGATGATGGTGCGATTGTGGGAACTGAGGGGGCTGGAGAAACTGTACCAGCAGCCTGGGTTTGACGGGCTAATGGCGGCACTGGATGAGTTCGAGATTGGTTGGATGAAGGGAAATCAAATCAGCAAGAAACTTGTGAGTTACAGCCAGGCGTCGAGTGATAAATAATGCTCATGCTTACGCATCTCCTCTGCAGACCAGCGTCGGAATTGGCCCCACTGCCTACGGGACCCGTTGGTATCTTACGCTCTTCAACTACTCGATTCCATTTGCCGCACAGCTCCGCGTATGGGATGTTTTCATGCTTCTTGGGGACCCCGATACCAAGATATCGGGCACCCACTTCAACGGGACACTAGATGTCCTGCACGCAACTAGTTCAGCCATCCTGGATGGTTGCAAGACCATCATTCTTAGATCAGATTTCGAGGACGCGATGAAGAATTTGACGAGCTTCATACCGGTCAAGGACGAGGATCTCCTGATGAAGGTGGTTAGGAGCGAGTGGAGGGCCAGGAAACGGCGGTTTGGACCTATTTTTACTGGACGAACCACGACGACGACCACGATGCCACGAGACACATGCACGACAACTTAGGCTGGGCAATGCCACCACTATATAACTAATTCCGCCCCAGCGAACTTTGTATGATAAATCCCTTTTATTTTTTTGGTCCACATTTGTGCGGGTTCTTTCATCCACCCCCATCCAACACTATTTTGAGTCTCAACAACGGCACCCTCGGGTTGGCGGGATATAATTATTCTATTATCCTTTTTTTTGGCGTGCGGGGTTTTTCAACGGCGTTACAGCAGCGGCGGGCTGGCGGGCGGGGCGAATTCTTTTTAGGATTTGTTTTCTTGTTTCATTTTTTTCCCTCTGTCCTTCCCATGGATTACATCTGCTCACGGGTGGAGCTGTGTTGTATTGGAGAAGTGTAATCCTCCAGAACTTTTTAATATCTTATGCGCTGTGTCGGTGGCGGTGGTGGTGGAGGATGTGAGTGATGTCTGATGTATCAAATAATGTGTTCCAGTACTCTACTCTCTGCTGTGCCAGTTAACTATCAGGTGTTGGAACTTGGGGTGGCGGTGTTGGAGGCTTGGAGGCCTGGAGGCCTGGAGGCTTGGAGGCTTGGAGGCTTGGAGGCTTGGAGGCTTGGAGGCTTGGAGCACCTAAAGGGGAAGGGGAAGACGCAAGGAGCGCGAGATGAGATGAGGTGAAATTCAAATCGGTAGTCTATACACCTAATGCAAGGTTTTTTTGGGACATCAGTTCCTTCCCTTCCAATGCAGGTGGCTTCTGGCGGTGGTGGTGGTGGGTCCGGATCACTGGTAGTCACTCCATTAGAGTACTCTAGTTACTGCACTCCGGGTCGGTCTGTGGCGTACATATACATACATCCTACATACGTGCGTGAGATGGATGTCGCGCATAAGGGGGGAGGGGAGGGGGCTGCGTACGTACGCGTCAGCAATTAACTCGAACTGTGCTGTGCCTGTGTGGGGCTTTGTATCTATCATCTCCACCGAGGGCTGAGATAGGCTCCTCATTAACGTTGCGCATTGTATTTCACGAGGATGTTTACATTAATGATTACCGGGTCCCACAAGTAGCACTTTACGCATTTGATATTAATGGAGAGCCCGATCGGGAAGATGCTCGAACGGAGGAGGGAACGAAGGGGGACTGGGACTGGGAAGCGAAGGCGAAGGCGAAGGGCCATTGACGATGCTCCGGTACCTCACTATCTGCATAGAGTAGATGCGGGTTGGGTTGGGTTATCCTTCGAAACCCAACCCAGACCTCGAATTATCGGATCGAGAATTGTCTACCTGGCTAGTTAGTCCCCCAAGGGCACCGGCGGGGGCCGGAGTGAGAAGAATCTAAGGGCGTGTACATTACATATGCATGTAGGAGTCAATCCCAAACACGCTACTTGCGGTGATTGAAGGTGAAATTCCAGTGTCGGTCTTCTTCTTCCGGCACCGATAATACGGATGAGCCGGCTTCCCCTCTTTGTCGGATCCGTTTTTATGTTTGTTGGTTATCGGAGCGATAGGACCTCCTGGCTGGATTATGCTCTGTATGTAGATACTTTCCTTCTCCCATCGGGAACTGGCGATGCTGTCGATCACTGGCGAAAGCCTCGAGCTCTTCATCCGATTTTCGGCTGATGTGGGTTCGTCTACCCTCTCCTATTCATCCTCCACGAGCAGTTTTGGTATGACGTCTGCGGCTCGTCCATCCGAGACCCGCTTCCCTCCTGGGGGGGTGAGTGCCTTGCTGCAGGGCGACACACGTGACATCGCGCCGACCCCCATTCACGTCTTCGTCGCGCTAATGGCTTCACTTCGATTACATTCATGACGAACACGCCCCGTCGACTTCTTGGGGTTCTCGCTCATTGCGACACGCGGCCGGCGCCGGAAAGTTCGGGAAGTACGTAAGTTGTCATCTCCAGCCGACAGGTGGCCCGGCTCGGCCCCGGCACCGGCCTGGCCCGTGTGAATGATGGATGGTAAAACTCTGGTTGACATTCATTAGCTACCTAGATTACCGGTCATGAATGATGAGCGAAGGGGATGGTCTAATTCACTTATACTATATCTCTTCATTCGGTCGAGGTACCGGTCTCCTACCGTCGTACCCTACGACCCCGCGTTCTGCGTCCAGACAGGAACAGCAAATAAAATAACATCGCCGCGGGCCCCCTCACTTTCGAAATTCAACGCCATTCATTCATCAGCTCTCGTCCATCCGTGATGGGATAGCAATCATAAATGAACAAAGGAGGGGAAATTTCACAGTCACATGTATCCGCCGGCTCTCGGATTGGATTATTTGCAATCCCGCAGCCGACCGTCCGGAGCACATAGGTAGCAAAAGGGTATTCTATTGCTTCCGGTCCTCTCATCTTACGGTTCAAACGCAAATTGGCCCTGCGCGTGCGGCGAACCAGAGACATCGCGGGAGGGGGGGAGGGCTCGAACCACTTTCATGGTGTCGAATACGGATATTCGGAGGTTGCTGCAGCCAATTACAATCACAAAACTTTCTAAGCCGGTTGTGCGAAGTCCGAAGGGCTGAAGCTGCTGCTGCTGCTGATGCTGCTGCTGCACGCCAACGCGTACGCGTCGACGCCCGCTGCGTCTGGTCTGTGTGTATGGCTCTCCGTCCAATCCTCGCCGACCTGCGTCGTGAAAGCTGGCATGCTGCTGCAGTAAGTCGAACGCGCAGTTCCGGTGCTGACCTTTGGGTTGAGGTGTGATTGGATTTTCAATTCCTGCCGGCGAGCGCAGCCGAAACCGCACACTGTGACGTATGCATTGCGGGGGTGGCATGGTTCGATGGATGGAGGGGAAATGTGTTTCGCCGCTGACAGGACGCCACTCATTCCTGGAGCCCAGGGCCACAGGGCGCCCCCTCACCCGCGAGGAGGAGGCGGGCGGGTGGAGAAGGACATTGGATATATGTCCACTCGACGGTACTGCGAAGCCGCCCTTCCCCCAATTGGCCCACCTTGCAAATTTGGCATCGTGTTCCGTCATTCATCAACGGTGGACTGAGTGGGTTATTTGCGAGTTTTTACCGTTGCCTTTGTTCTGCGCATGCATGCGAGCCCGGAGCAAGCAGCAAGAGTGAGGAGTGGGATGGATGGATCGAGGCAAAAACCCGGAGGATTCACCAAGTCCTACTGGCTCGAGTCGAGCTCGTCCTACACACCCAGCACAGGAGGGGTTTGTTTATTCACTGGCATCAGATAAGATGCTGAGGCCGGCATGGCTGGGTTGCCGAGGACAATTCTGCGAATGAGCAGCCCGAGCTGCTGTGTGAGCTGGTTCATTTGATATTGCACAAAAAACCTTCCAGTCGGCCCCACTGCTGGCCAACGGTGAGGAAGCCTTATTGGATCGTGGAGGAGCAGCCCGCGATCAAGTATCCCCCAAACATCCGGATTTGGACACTGCAAATGCGAAAACTTCGCAGTAGTAAATTTTTTCACTCGCATCCACCTGCGTGCATACTTGGTAGTCACTGAGTACCTTGAGTACAATCGTTACGATGATTGTGATTTTTATCTCACAAAACCATCTTTTATCTTTTGTTTTCTTATTTTTCATTTCTGCGCAGCCAGCACTCGACATGACTAACAAGGATGTCTCCCGATCTCCATCGAATGCGTGCCCGCTTCCCAATCCGAATCCAGAGTCCAGCCAGCCAGAGTCATCGAACCAGCACGCTGGGAGCCCCTCCCACCTCCTCCCACCTCCTCCCACCTCACCTCCCACCTCACCTCCCACCTCACCTCCCACCTCACCTCCTCTCCCCCCCTCTTCCCCCACCGCAAGCAAGCGCCACACCACAATGCGACCAGAGCGCCCACCACCACCACCACCACCACCCAAAGCCCCAGCCCAGCGCCCCCGAAGCGGAATTTGGTCCCGAGCAAAGTGAACCCCTGGCGGGCAACACCAGCACGTTGTTTTTGTCTCAGCTTTTGCTTGCTTGCTATGTACGGTACTTAGTTCTTGGACCACCACCCACCACCCCCAGTCATCTCCGAATCCGGTACTTCGTGGTGTTTCAACAGTGGTCCTGGGAACGGAATGACAAATTGCTTTTTTAAAAATAATAATAATATTCGGCGGTCGGTAAGAAGTTGACTGACTGACTGCAGCCAGCGACGACAACACAACACAACAGTACGGTATGTAGAGTGCTCTACTGTAGGTATCATAATAGCAGCCTGAACGAAGTATGATATGTAGTATGCACGCCGGATCACGATCAACATGAAGGGGCATAGCAGGCAGGCAAGCGAACGCACGAGGGGAGGGGAGGGGAGGGGAGGGCACCATCGTATCGAATCCCCCCTCCCCCCCCCCCCCCCCCACCACAACAGACGGAGAACTAACCCGGAGTTTTTTAAAAACACTCGAAGCAGACCAGACAGATGTCGCCTGCCAGTGCCAACGGGCCAAGAACCAGCCGCTATGTTGTTAGTTAACACTGGACTCGGCCCGGGTGGACAGCAGCAGCAGCAGCAGGCCGCGGGTAGAGCCGGCAGATATCTATCGAGAGAAATTGGGGGGTCGCGGCTCGTCTGTAGGTACTCTACAGGGCCGGGTTGGAAGGGCAATTGCTCTACGGTACTCTACTACTCTGGGTGGTAACCACCTACCTACGCCGTTGGCCATGTGTACAATACATTATTGATATCAGAATTTTTTTGTGCTCACACTCACACTCACACTCACACTCACACTCATCAGCGATACGCAGCTGCACGAAAGCCCAACGGCGAGATTACCGAAATCGAGGACGCGGGTGGGCGGGCTGATCATGAGCCACACTCTGCTGTAGAGTAGATCAAAGGGGTGCGAATACGGTAACGAGAGCGAGAGAGAGAGATGAGAGGAGAGGGATGCTACTATACCGTGAAGAACTGCATGGCCGGAGGAACACGAAAGACGAGATAGAAATGTTTATGCTCCAAGCTGACGAACGACAATCTTGCGGCGGTCCCCGCTCGTGCCAGGCGGCCATCGATTCGGGCGAATTGATGGGCCATCCGCGCAGCAGAGAGAGGGCCAAAGATCCATGCAGAGCAGATCCGGAAGATTTGATGAGTGCATGCGGTTTCTTGGGGGAGGTCTCCGTTCTCCACTTTGCACGTGCCTACTAGGTAGAGTAGCTGCTCGTTGGCGGCAAAAGAAGTTACCTACGACGACACTGACGCGCGGGTGCCAAATGAATGAACACGGACAATCTTCGAATTGCTGATTCCGGCTGTATCTTGGGGGAGCGCAATTTGCACCACTCTGCTATTCTGCTTGTTCGCGAGCAAATCCCTTCTCGGTTTGGTTGCACACAAATCAATATCGATGCACGTCCCACCGCATCCCATCCCACCACGCATCGCGGTGGATATGTGGATGTGGGATGTGTTTGTATTATGGGCTGGCTGGCTCGCCCGCCCGCCCACGCTCGCTCGCTCTCTTCCTGAAACTTCTCGCTTCCTGCCGGACTGTGGGTTGACGGGCTCATTTCCTCTTTCGACACAAACCTTCACCCAGTACAGACGAGTTACTCCCCAATGGGTTGTGGCGTCGTGATCCTGCATCCAGATTGCCATTTCCCACGGGTTTCATGTTTAATCTAGCATGGGCAGGACAGACTAACTCTGTTGGTATGTATTTGGATTTATCTATATATTCCGGAATAATTTTTAAGCCTCGCACTTTATTTACTAGTATTCTTTCTCGATTTTGCACTTTCCGGGATATCGTGTGGCGAACGAGTCCAAAGTGCTGTTCTGCGGCGGCCGCCGACACCACCACTGTCGACAAAAGGCCCGGCCAGGCGCGTTGGCATGGGGGAGATAGCCGCGCCAATCTTCCAACCGGCCGGCAAAACACAAAACATATGTGCTGTATCACACGAACGATCCCTCCCAGCCCTACTGCCAGGGCTGGCCCTGGCGCGCAACCCGAAACCGTCGGATCGGTGGACGAGATGTATCACGAAGTCTAACATCTGGCTTCTCTGGCTGGAAACGACGCGACTGCGGGGCGATATCCAACCTAAACGCCGGTCCCGGCAGTGGCAGTGGCAGTGTCTCGCGAAGGGATCGTGCTGGTCCGGATCCTGGGTCTCGGGTTTCAGCAATTCCCACTTCGAACGTGCACGATATCTAACTTCTGGGCGTTCTCCGACACCAACCAGGGTCATCTCGACATCCACCACCACCACATCCACCACCACCACCGCCACCACCACCACCGCCAATACGGCGTCAAGTGTAGGATTCCGACGGATGGACGAAATAGTTGCTCACACTGGTTTCAACTTTCAGTCGTCGGCGCCCGGAAACTGCGAATACCCGCCGAATACCGAATGCGTCCATCACACGCACCTCCGACACCTCACCTGCGTTACAGGAGCTGGCGGCGTCCGTCGATACGATGGGGTCGGACCGAAGCTCGAGGATGCGCTGCGAGAGCTCTGCGTACTTACATCTGAAGTACCTCTGAAGTACCTCTGAAGTACCGCTCCGTAGAGTATCTACTGCCGTGGAGACTTGCGTGCACTAGTACACACGTACATACGAGCTCGAGGCAAGCCAAGTGGATCAGCCTGGGACATTCGGCCCCACATAGCCCGTCCATCCCGTCCATCCAAAGCTACAACTGGGTACATATCCCATCGCGTCAGTCGAGGGTTGCAGAGCCAATGCTGATGGCGATGCGTCCGTCGGTACCGTACTATGTACTTCAGGATCCGAAACCATGTACTGGTATGTATGGTCGCAGTCGGCGCTTATAGAGACCACACAGGTACTCTAGTACCGGGTCATCCCAAGATCTACCTACCGTTGCGTGTGCTCTTCTCCGAGTGTGTACCGTACCATACCATACCATACCGCACAGCACTCTACGTTCGAGAAGGACGGCCCCTTCGAAGCCACCAATGAGGGGATTTTGTCCCAATTGGGCGGCGGATGATTGGATAGGAAGTTTTCTGATCAACCAGTGCGCGCGCAACCAGGAAGGCAGAGTGAAAGTGAGATTCTGTCTTTGCCTGGGTCTGGGTGCACGGCGTTTGGCTACAGGGGTTGAGGCGTCCCAAATTCCGCACCCCATCCATCCATCCTTCGATACCGTACCGGGGTAAACTGTGGGCAACTGTGGCCTACTCTAGAGTAATAAGTTAGCTCCGAATCATCGAAAATGTAACCACACACGACGTCTGTAGAGTAAATCCTTTTCTTTTTTTTCCCTTTTCCTTCTTTTGTTTTCCTTTTCTTTCTTTTGCGAATTGTTGTGTTTTTCTTTCTTTTCCCGTTTTCCCATTTTCCCGCTCCCAGGCGAGAGGCAGTGAGTGGAACTCATCATGCTGCTGCTCTCTGCGCAGAGTGTTCCGATCACCGACTTGCCTTCTCGCAGGCAGCTGTGCTGGGGGATGTCGCTAGGCCAGCTCGATGCCACTCTACTCTATGTGCTCTAACTAGAGGGTAGCATGGGGAATCCATATTCGATTCCAGCCCCTCCCTCGCTCGCTCCATCCCTCCCTTCCGTTTTCTGCCACGAGCTTTCCACGCTGCAGGTCGCAGCGTGTCTGACTTGACCGAACAGTCCTTGGTGCTGGTTGCTCATTGCTCGTTGCTCTGTTGCTTGCTCGCTCGCTGCTCCGTTGCTCCGTTGCTCGTGTTTGGTTTCTGCTTCCCTAATCCCTTCCCTTCCCTTCTCTCTCCCTCCTCCAGCCCGCGACTCGCTCGCCTGCCTGCCTGCTTGCCTCCCGTCGTTCTCTTCTATTCGTTTCTTGTCACTCCCTTGGTCAGTGGTGGGCCCCTCTCTCTCGGCGCCCCCTCCTACGCTCCCCCTCCCCCACACACACTCTCTCTTCAGCCCTCCCCCGCCACTGTCGGCTTATATTCTTCTTGTGCTTCTTCTCATAATTGAGTGATCGATTGATTGATCGATTGATCGCCATTCATTGCGTGGGCTGTTAATACTGCTCCGACTCTGACTCCGACTCCGGCTTCTGCTGCTTCTGCTCGTGCTACAGCTCCAGCTCGTGCTCCAGCTCCAGCTGCCTCTGCCGCTGCCGCTGCCACTATCTGCTGTCCACTGTCCACTGTCCGCTGTCCGCTGTCCGCTGTCCGCTGTCCGCTGTCTTCTGCCTGCTGTCTGCAGCCTGTCCGTGTCTCCGCAACACCAGCAGCAGCCTCCACGCTCTCTCGACTCACAGCAAGGAGTTTCGGTTGTCCTGCGTGCCCCTAGCTGGCAGGCATTGAATGCGAAGAGTCCCGGAAGGCGGTACCATACAAGCACGTACTACAGAGTACTTGCATACACTCATTTTTGGGCCCCCGGACTTCGACCACATATCTCCACCGCCGCCGCCCCCTCCACCGCCGTCTCACTCCCCACCCACCCCCCAACCGTTGTAGATTCTACGGTCCGAACAGAGAGAAGCGAAGCTGAAAGTGTGGTCCCTCTGCCCAGTCAGCACGATCCACTTACTTATACAATACATGAACCCACAAATACTCCCACAAGCGTTTTAGCATTATTGCCTACTTATCTATTGGCGGCGCAGTATATCCTACGGATTGTCTTGCCCTTTCTTCCTTCCTTCCTTCCTTCCTTCCTTCCTTCCTTCCTTCCTTCCTTCCTTCCTTCCTTGCTTGCTTGCATTCCTTCGCCTTTGCTTCTCTGCTCCGGGCAGCAGCAGCAGCATCAGCAACAGCAGCAGCAACCAACGGTAGCAGCACCAACGGTAGCAAGCACCTTATACTCGGTCAACCCGCTGTGGATACACCTACCACATCTATCTCCTACATCCCCACGCTCCTTCAACCACAACAAAAACAGTCGTACGCAGATAGATATCCCCGACACATCCCAGAAAACTGTGGCGCGGCTTGCAGCTTTCTGTTCTTCTTGCACACCTCTCACAATTCAGACGTATTGGCTGCCTCTGAGTTACTGTTAGGCTCCCACAGAAAAATAATATACTTCGATACCTCACCTCGACTTTTTTTTTTCCGATTTTCCGATTTTCCCGATTTTCCGCGTTGGTCCTAATATCGAGGCTTCTATTGAGTGAGCGGCTCTGCAGAGCAAGCATAGCTCGTCCGTTCCGCCACCGCTGCCATAGCAAGTCGGCCATCCTTTATCTGCGGTAGAGGATTTATTTTCTTGGGCTTCTGGAGTCCTCGGTACTTGAATTTCGCCCGTTTCCCACCATCGCTGGTGTGTTGCGGCTGGATTTTGTGTTGAGCCACATCCGCGAAGCACTCCCACAACCATTACCACAACCACCACTTACCACCACCACCACCACCTTCACCACCACCGCCTCTACCCCCACCACTACCGCTACCACTACCACTGTCACCGCCAACTGCTCACTGTCACCGCCGCTACCTCATTACCCCTCCTCCCGTCCATCTCCGCCAAACCTTCACTACCGACTTTGAATCAAACATCGGCTGCAGCTGTTGTCCGCTTATACTCACCCTTCCTGTTTGTGGTCCCCATCCGTAACTTCTTTGGTTACGTTTCAGCTGTGTGCACGGCTCCTCCGAAGCGGCGGCGCGCTTTGCGCTAACCTTCTTTCCTGCCGAATTAGATATAGGTGAATCCACCGGAAGTCGATGTGCGGTCTTGCGGTCATCTGCCATCCTCATTCATTTCCTTGTCGGCCGTCCTCTTAGTTCAACACCACTCCGCGGCTTCTGCCCCGCCGCACTCCCCCCTCCCCTCCCCCCCCCCCCCCCCCCCCCATCACCACCACCCATCCGAATCTCATGACCACCCCGCATCGAGGCCTGCCTCCTCCGGCGGCCATGACGCTTCCCATTCCGACTCCGGGCTCCAGCTCGAGCTTGGGGCCGTTACCGCCGCAATGGCAGGGTTCGGAGGAGTCAGTGAGGGCATGGTTACAGACCAAGGCGGAGGAGGAGCGACGGAAAGCGGAGGAAGAGCGCACTCGCCAGGAACAGTATCGGGGAGATACGAGACGCGTTGAGCTGGAGATGCTGCGGGAATCGTTCAAGTACGGCATACCACCAACGCTCGTGCCGTTGGTGTTTTTGGGCAAGGGTGCCAGTGGGGAATGGGCGCACGAATTGGTTGCTCAGCAGATGGGAATGTCGGCGCAACATGTTGGACAACTTGCAATACAATCTTCTGCCCATCCGGCTTCTCCTGCGGGGCCCGCTCTGCGCCGAGAGACTCGGTCGATACAGCAGATGCACCAGCAATCCGTTAGCTCGCAAGGTTCAGGCCACCCGACCCCTCCACAACCACCGCCACACCCCCATCAACAGCAGCAGCTAATGGGACCGCCTGGTGGTGGGGTCCCCCCGCCGCCGCCGCCGCCACACTACTCGACGTATCAGTTGCCAAGTGCCGGAAGGCCTGGGTCGTCACAATCCCAACCTCCGATACAGCAAGCAATAACGCCTCAAGGCGCACCGCCACGCTCGAATCTCCCCAGGATCAACACAGGGCCGGGTGAGCCGAAATATATCCAGCAGATTCACCCGGTGCCAATGGGCCCACCGCCTGGGGCACCCGGACCTTCTGCACATCAGACGTCGCACCACCAGGAAGCTGCCGCTTCACAGATATCTTTCCACCATTGGGTTCCGCCGGCTACCCAATCTGGAGGTGGCGGAACGTCGTCGTCCGCCCAGGCCGCCACCGCTTCGCCACAGAGACAGCTCGACTCTCCGTTCACGCATCATCCGGCTCCTAATGCTTTGTCGGGAAGCGACTACACCAACGTGAGTTCACCAAAAAAACGGAAGATGACGACGACTCAGCCTCAGCACCCGCCACTGCCAAGCATGCAACCCTTTTCCCCACAGGCCCAATCACTGTCCTCCCCTGCGGGCGCCACACCTAAAGCCCAGCGCAGACACACTCGTAACAGGAGCGACACAAATCCACTTCCACCCTCTCGGGGATATGATCCTTATTCTAGGCCGACAACCCGGCAGCGCAGATCGGTTGGCGCGGGGGAGGCGGTGTCGATAGGTGAGGCGATCAGTCATGTCGGGCAACAATCGTCGTCGTCGTATCAACCACCCGCAACCGATAGCGGAGGATCGGCGGGTCACAGCGGTAGCGGTACACCGTCACACACGACCCCACAAGAGTCGCAGCAGCAGCATCAGCATCAACATCAGAGACAACAATCGGCACCTCCACCGCAGCATACCCAAACTCCCTCTCGGCCTTATTCGGCTGGCTCCGACTATAGGAGACAGCCCTATCAACCACCACCACCTCCACCCGATGCTGGTAGCGACCATGACCATGACCGTGACCGTGACCGCGACCGCGATCAAGAATGTGGTGATGGCGGTCGATCTTGAACCCGCATCTGAGCGCATTTACTCTGTGCCTTTGGTCGATCCACAACGCTACTCGATGAGAATACGAGTCTGTTGTCGAACTTCTGGATGATTGAATAAGCGGCGACAAAAGTTCAAACGCGCCAGCTGACCCTTGGCATGGATTTTCTTTTCTTTTTGTAACTGGAGTTTTGTTTTTGTTTCTTTCGCTTCTAGTTTCGGACTTTTATCTATCTATCATACCCTTCTACCATTGTATCACTACCACGATTATCTTCCGCGCGTGTTTTCGCTTCATATACTACCATTCGCATTACATATTTAGGGGGTTTGGGGTTCTTATTTATTTTTATTTACTTGCTTGGATATCGGTTACCTATCTCGGTTCCTAACTCTTGGGGGCATTTTTTTCTCTTCACTGCATTCTGACGGGAGGGAGCTGGGGACCGGGGCGTTTGCATACTTCCTATGATCTTTGGAGAGGAAGGGATTTTTTTCTTCCAACATGCAACCCTCGAGCAGCTGGTTTTTTTTGCCCCCTTCCGGCCTATGTTGGACGAGATGGGATGGGAAGGGAATGGAAGGGAAGGGATGTGGTGGGATGGGATGGGACGGGATGGGATATTGGATGGGGGATGCATGTCTAGGTTGAAAGATACATGCACTGGGGGCTTTCGCATCTATTACTTTTATTCTACCTGTGGACGTGCCTGCGCCGCTGCGCGGGCATGCGGGATGCTTTGTTTAGGCGGGCGGTGGGGATTCCTACGGTTTGGTGAGTTGAGTTGGTGGGGCTTGTATTTATATTTTCTTTTTTCTTCTTCTATGGTGGTGGATCTACAGTACTTTGGAGTGGAGTTGAGTGGAGGAAAGGGGGGGAGGGGGTTGTTATTGATGGATTTAAGAATCGGAATGGGAATCCGCCAGTCATAAAGGTTAGAATGGAAGGAACTGGGGGTGGGGCGGGAAGGATGGGAAGGATGAGAATGGGAATACATACAGGACAGGAGTCAAGGCAATACCACATATCAATATTAAATATGAATACCAACATCGTACCTACTACTACCATAGTTATGGCCGAGAGGGCTAGGTGCATGTCGTCAGCACCCCCCAACCCAAAAATACCAAAAATATCTTCTCGATGCAAAGACGTAGAGGACGTAGTCTCGGTATTTAGTTGGATGCGAATGTTGAGTTTATATATCAATATCATACGTGGTGGCCTACCACGGGTGAGGGATCGTCGGCCGTCCATATCGCATCTCGGCCGGAGAGAATCGTAGTCAATGGGAGGGCACGGACCATAGCTTAAGTTTTGGCTTTGGCCTGGCTTGGTTTGGATTGGCTTGGCTCGGTGCCCTGGGAAGCTGGAGCGGGATGCTGGATGCTGGAGAGGGCAAATGGATGCTGGAGCGGGAAAATGGAGCGGGAAAATAAACATCCGCTTGCATAGAGCCGTGCTGTAGTTACCGTGCTGTAGTTATCGTGCTGTGTGTACCTCCCTTTCCCGAACGCTGGTTGCGCGGCATGTGATGGCTGGAGCTTTGATGAGGGTTGTGTAGTTAACTAGCGGGGTGGCGGTGTGGGGTGGCTTATCAATAAGCTTCTTGTACATATAGGCTCAAACGGTGCGCGTGGCTCAGCGGCAGTGGTGGTGGAGGCGAGAGTGGGATGAATGTGGGATATGGAGGTAGTTAGATATCACGTGCCGTGCGAGAGGTGGTCTTGAGGGATTGGGAAAGGCTGGAGCCAAACACACTCAGTGGCTTTTGTTTATTATACAAAATCACAGGTATTTCATATGGGAAGAGGAAAGAGGAATAGTGATACAACCTCTATCGCCTATGAATAACTATCGTGTAGAGTGGAGTAGAACTAGGTACGTTAAGCAACAGTCACTATGTATAAGATACCTTCGCCTGAAGAATCTTCTGCTTCCTGGCCGTCGGAAGAGTTTGTCTTGAGCTTCTCTTCGTCTTCATCTCTTCATCGTCTGCCGCTTCGGGCTTCAGGTTTTGCCCAGGTCCTAATTTCTCCCTTGCTTTCCGTCTTTTGCGTAGGCGTCTTCTTCACGACGGCCTTTGCTTCCGCCTTCTCCTCGTCTGCTTCTTCGTCATCCGAATCCGTCTCGTCCTCATCCCCATCCTCATCCTCGTCCTTTTCTGTCCTCTCGTCCTCGCTCACAATACCCTCCCACTCCTCATCGACCTCCGTCATCTCCTCATCGGGCAGGGTCTCCGTCTCCTCCTCCTCCCGCTCCTCCCCGTCCCCCCCCTCCTCCTCACCATCACTCCCCTCCTCAGGCGCAACCCAAACCCTCCTCACCGCGGCCCTCCTCCAAAACTTATAACTCACTTCACCCGGCGCGCCCCTCTCCCCCAGCTCCACTTTCGCCCTGCGCAGGGCCATCCAGAGCACCTGCGCCTCCCAATCCAGTCCCAAGACCCTCAGTGACCTAAGCACCCTGGTAATCCTGAGATGATTATGATCTCGCGCCCTCCACCAGAATTTCGCGTTCCTCCCCCAGCGTTCCGTGCGCACGACCCCCTCCCCTTCCCCCTCCCCCTCCGAGCCAACCACGAACCCGAGGAACTCGAGCACCCGCGCGAAACTGCGGCGCAAAGCGTTGCGGAGGTCCGCCGAGGTGCGGAATGCACACACGTCCGTGAAGGTGAGGATCGGCGCGAATGGGCTGTACGCGCTGGACTCGGGTAGGGGGAAGAGCCATTGGATCCAGTCGTGGAGGAACTCGAGGTCGCGGTCCGGGAGGAGGAGGATCTGGGGAAGGGTCCGGCCTCGGTGGTCACGCCCGGTGTAAGGCGGTAAGTAGAAGCGGAGGAGTGCCGAGGTGGTGGGGGGTGCGTCGGCAGAGGAGGTGGGGGGTGGGAGGTGGCGGAGGTACGTAGGGGCGGAGGGGCGGTGGTACATCGTGAGGTTGTGGGGTTTGTGGGGAGGGGGAGGGGAATGTGGTGGTGGGGGGTTGGGATCGCGGGAATGAGAGCTGGAGCTTGGAGCTCGGTGAAGCGACAGCCTAGCTACGGGAAGGCTGGTGTATCGTGTCGTGCGACAACAACGGCGACAGAGGTATCACATGCCCAGAGTCCCGAATCAGCCTCACGCAGAAGGAAGAAGCTCCCGATGGTTGCGCTGAAGCCCGCCTGTCTATGTATAATTCTACTACCAACCCGTTTGTATCCTTCTATATGGTATTCCGTAACATCACAAACTACTCACCTACTCCAAACCAAGACCTTTCTTCCCGTCAAACAGCCTCCGTTCCACTGCTCTGTTAGCCACATCCACATCCACAATCCACAGCAAGCATGTGAAATCTACATACCATTATTACGACCGTTGACAAAGTCCGGATTATTTAGAGTCAATTCCGCAGCTGCATTGCACCCAAATGTGAGCTAGGTATGCGTTTCAAGTTCCGTTGAGGAGGGGGTGAGCACCACACGTACCTCCAAGCAAGATGTGATCAACCGCCTCGACACCGAGCATGAATGAGTGATCCTGGTTTCCGACCTTTTGGTAGGGAGGAAATTCATATCAGCAGTGAATTATTTCAATTTTCAATTTTTTGTTTAGCTCTTTTTATGGGGATAGACAAACCTCGTATTTCCAGCTTCCAAAGCGCCCGCGAGAGTAGATATCCATCTCCTGCAACTTCGGCAACACCTGTTTCAGCACGCCGTCGCGTTCCAGCGTGGGGATCGGGTAGCCTGTGTCACTGTCAATCACCCGCTCCCCTTCTTCTTCTTCTTCCCTGCATAAAACGACGAGGGAGGGAGGGAGGGAGGAAGGCGATATCACAGACCGTGGTCGAAGCGTCTGTGATACGTCGAAACGATCTCGTCCGAGGGACACAGGAGTGAAGTGTTGACGCAGCCTTGGATTGTGTCTGCGAGGAGCGTTGCGATTTGGATCGGCTTCAGAGAGGTCTCGGTGATTTCTGGGTTTGGTTGGTTTTAGTGACGGGGGCGGTGGAAGGGGATGGAACAGACGAACCTATCATGAGCGACCAGTAGGGGCCGCCCTTCGCTTCTGCTGCTGCAGGCCCAGGCTTGCTGCCATCTGCCTTCTGGATTGTTGGTAGCTCTACATCCGAAGAAGGTTGGTTGTGTGGGGAGTAGTTGCTAAAGATGGTGGCCCTATAGAACGGACAGTCGTCCTCAGGGAAGTAGAGCTATGTGCACGTAACCGTTAAAACAAAAGTGGATATCCGAAGTGAGCGTAATACAACCTACTTACCCAGCATTTATCGCCGATATTCTGCGGTCTGGCGCCTCGGATTCCGAGTCCCACTACATGTGTAGTGGAGTAGTAGAGCTGGTTGGTGAGGCCCACCAACTGGCAGTCTCCCATCTTCTGTGTGAGTTGGTCGACAGCCATGGTGCTGATGAGCCTCCCGTAGCGGATCTTCTTGCCATCCCTGGTGATCACGACCTTTGAATCGGCGTTCACGGCCTGAACCTCGCCGCGCAGCTTCCCAAGAACCAGCTTCTCCTGTGGGAGCGTTCCAGCGACGGCAGTCCAGATGCCCCCTGTGCCCCCGCGCGCGGGAAAGCGGAACGTCGCATTGGGCCCCCAGTTGCCCGCCGCCTTCCCGAGAATAACGTTTCTGGTGACGGTTTTGAGATCGGGTGCGGCTACGCGCTCGCCGAGCCATGAACATTGCATCTACAAGCGCGGCTGTCAGCCGATATGCACCGGGGCTTGCGTAACGTCCCTCGCTCTGTCCCTCCTACCATTGTCGTATGTACTCCCCAAACCTTGAAGTTGTACGGCCGCATGAAGAGATCCGCAATACCAGTGCCTATCAACAGCCCGTCAGGATTCACCCCCCACACACCCCACACAGCTCGGGGGCCCGCTGTTGTTACCCACCCATCATTCTGATAATCCACTCATCGAAATTCCTTGGCTTCGTGTTCGCGACCTTTGCCTCGAGGGCAGCATCGATCATGCCATGCATACATCTTACCTGCTCGTCCTTCGGGAGCATACCGATGTTGTTTTGGAACGGATAAGGAACTGGTATCCTATTCAGTAAAACATTGCCATCACGGATCTTATGCAAGGAGCCCGCGCAAACCCCAAGTATGCTTGCAGCGCACATAGGATATGCGCTGGTGCGTGTACCAGTCCGTCTTGTGCGGTAGGGCTTCGTCGAGACAGTCGTCGAAATATTTGTAGTGAGAGAAGATGACGTGGCCGCCGACGTCGTAGAGCTGAGTAGACCGGTCGTCCATCAGCTTGGGGGATTTCCAACAAGAAATCATCTGTGGTAGGTAAACGAACAAATCCCTCCGGCGTAACATCTGTTGATGCCAGTCCGCCGGGACTATCGTTTGCTTCGAGAAGCATCCATGAAGCTTTGTTCTGTGTCGGGACAGGAGGCCCCATTAGCTGATTTTGCCACCGACTTCAACAATTGAGCAGACTTGCAAGCTGATGCAAACGTTTTGCGGCACCGAGGCCGGTTGGACCAGCTCCAATTATCAGAACATCAACATAACTGTATTTGAAACTCAAAATCAACAATTAGTTATGGCTCCGAATAGACAGGGGGGTGGATACTTAAAAACTCACGTTTCTGTTCCCATGGTATCGTCGGAAGCTTCTGGTGGAAGTCTGGAAAGGTGGATATAACTGAGCGAGAAGAAGCAACCACGTATTTATCTCCAACGTGGCTTAGAACTTTCCTTGCACTTCGAATTCAGTTACCGAATGGGCGATCTCCTCAGTGCCTGTCTGGCCTAGGTACCTGGGAAGATAGGGGACTCTATTCTAGCACTCTGCACTTCACTGCACTACGGTTCCGGTAACCAACGTGAATTGTAGATAGCTGTCGAGGGTTTTGTAGCAGGTGGTCCGATTATCTCTCTGCACTTACCTACCTTGTAGTTCTCTCACACTGGAGGAAAGTCCAGGGTGCACGTGTAGTATTAGAGCGTGCTGCGCAAACCACGTTCCTGACGATCACCCTAAACGCCACACGTAGAGTAGAGTGCTTTCCGACGCGACGGCCCTAACCCTGGATCAAGCATTCCGGGAATGCAGAAATTACGGGAGGACATTTGGTGGCCCGTTGGGGGTCCGTATCGTTCGGAAGGAAAAAAGTCCTGGCCCGTTAAGGTCCGTGCCGTTCGGAAGAAACTAAGTCCTGACCCGTTGGGGTCCGTACTTATCGTTCGGAAGAAACAAAGTCCTAGCCCGTTAGGTTCGGAAGGAACAAAGTCCTGGCCCGAGCGCAACTCTTGTTCGTAGGTTGGATGCCGTGCCCCATCCGTACTCACCACGCCCAGTACGTCGACCAAGATGGTGAAATGGATACAGTATCCCACGGAGTACACAACTACTCTACATACGGTGCACCCGCAGTATCGAGCCCGCCGCTTCTCTCTGCCTTGTATTCGTACGATCGTCGAAAAGAGTCGCTCTCGGCATAGTTACAAGACCGACGCCGTCAGCTATGGGTCGTGCAGACATGTCAAGCAATGCTGAGTGATCATCTTGGTGACACTGGCCTTCAATCGTGCAGCCGATCAAATTGCACGTGGACTGGGTGCAGCCTGTCCTCGTGATCGCCTGGAGTAGACGTGAGGATATTGCACGTTAGGGAGAAGGAAACGGTTGAGAGGTTCGTGACTCAAGCACGACCGTGGCGGTGTTCTTTTTCTTTTTCGGTCAGTTGCGATCGAGTAATGCCTTTGTCCATACCGCAGTGATCAAGTCAGTACTTTTACCTATGCTACCAACGTACATACCGGTACTCGATAGTTAGGTGGTTGAGCGCCATCCGGAGACTTGGTGGAGTCTTTCCGGGTACACGGTTGAGATTAGCTGGCTAGCTGTCAATCTGCCAATCTGTCTTCTCTCCCGGTGTCGGATCCGGGACCGTCCAAAGTGATATCAACTTGAACCAGCTGCGACGGCTCGATATTAACAAAGAAAAAAGGCTAGTGCACCGTACAACATGCGGGGGATCTACAGCCGAGACCGCTTCCCCACAACCAGATCCCACCTCCCATTATTGCTTCATGTCTCCCTTTAGCCCCGACAGCAACCACGAAGCATCGCAGATTCCCCGAGCCCTCCACCAACCACCTCCGCCATCACGAGAATGGTATGCCCCTAATCCTTTCAGCGAGCGGTCGCCTCCGCGCTGCTCGATTTTGGCTGACAAAATACCGCGTTATCACAGACGCAGATCGACCAGACCACCGGTCTTCCGGAAAATTGGATCGTCAAGTTCAGCAAATCGAAGAGCCTCCCCTACTACTTCAACGTCAACACCTCCCAGTCGCAATGGGAGCCTCCGCGCGAGACGAATCAGGACATTCTCAAGCGGTACATGGCCGACAACTTCTCCACGTGCGGACCTTTGACGCCATCAGACGGTAAGCAGCAGGGCAAGATTCGATGTGCTCATCTACTGGTGAAGCATAATGAGAGTCGCAGACCAAGCTCCTGGAAAGAGGTGAGACACCCCAACGGGCAGACAGACGCGATGCAGGAATCAATTGACGTCCCCCCCTTCTTCCCAGGCGGAGATCGTGAGAACCAAGGAGGAAGCAAAGACCATGATCCTTGAGTTCGAGGCGCGTATCAGGGCCGGTGAGCTGAGTCTTGCCGACTTGGCTGCTAGCGAGAGCGACTGCAGCAGTGCTAGAATGAGGGGCGATCTGTATGCCATCCGTTCCATCTCCTTGCCAAACGACTGCGGGCGTGTACTGATAGTTTTTTTTTGGTTGCGACAGCGGCTTCTTCGCGAAGGGAGAGATGCAGAAGGAGTTCGAAGACGCTGCGTTCGCTCTACAGCCGGGTGAGATGAGCCATCTCGTGGAGACCGCTTCCGGCATCCACTTGATCGAGCGGTAGGTCTTCCGGTGGCGCAGAATCGACAGACAGAGGTGGTTTCCCTTTTGCTAACTGCGGTGAAGTCTGGAATAGCTACGCCTACGATATATGTGCGGGTGCGGATCTACTAAATGTGCGGGCGCGATTTACGTGCGGGGTGCGATATACTTGTCGCCCATCGTCAACTGAACCATTCTTTCCGACCACTGCGCGAATGTACCCGAGTTTTAGCATCACTGCACCGGATGGGCTTGTATCAAATGCTGTGGGTGGTGAACGGGTCCTTGGTGCGAGCGTTTTTGTTTAATTTGTAATACCTGCCTACACACCTACCGAGAGAACCGTCACGAAGACAGAACAACCTCATCCAGTCGTCACATCGCTGGTTCGTGTTCTAAGCTCTGTCTGTCAAGCGGTGTTTGCCCACATGTCCATGTGGTTTGCTCTCAATGACCATGACCAGTACTGTCGTCAATATAAAGATGATACGAGTGCTGTTCCATGACCAGACACTGATCCCAACTCTCATCCTAAGCGAATATGCAAGCGTCAGCAAAGCGTCCCAACAAAAATCGGCGTCCCCATATGACCCGCCCGAACACCCGCTGCCCTGCGAGTCATCAAACCCACCGATCCACCCCCAACTCCTTGAATCACAGCCTCTTGAGCGAAGGTCCGCGTGGCATCTTGGGCTTGCTCTCGTACAGCTGGCAGTCTCTCCGATTAGACCAATAAAGAAACCGAGGTCCCTTTCAGTTCCTCTCCAATCACACACGCCCGCTGCCCGGCCTTATTTAACTCCGACCTTCCTTCAAAACCGACCACCGACGCAACACATCGACCACCACTAGAGATTCCGTCGCCATCGCTGCCCACAATGGATTTCTTCGCTCAACCGTGTCCGCCGATACTCGCACCCATCCGCGCCTACGCCGAGGTCTTTGCCGAGCAGACGTCGCTCCCATCGCTGCCCCAGCACACGCACCAGGTGCTCGGCGCCTTCGCCGTCTACCACTTGATCTACCAAGTGATCTCTCCGATCCTCTCCCGCCTGATTCTCCCCAGCCATTACAACAAGTTCCCGCGGCGAACACAGGTGAACTGGGACGTCCATGTCGTGTCCTTCATACAGAGCGCGTTCATCTGCGCACTCGCGTTATGGGGGATGCTCACCGACGGCGATCGCCAAGTTGCTGCTGCGGCGGTCGGTGACGAGGGTGCGCTTTACAGAGTCTTTGGGTACACCGTCACCGGCGCTGCGGTTCAGGCCTACGCGACGGGATACTTCCTCTGGGATCTGATGATCAGTGTGTACTATGTCGACATCATGGGGTGGGGATTCGTTGCGCACGCCGTTTCGGCTCTGGTGGTCTATGCTCTTGGATTTGTTTGTCTCCCCCCTCTTCCCCCTCCCCCCTCCTCCCACTCCCGTCCGTATATTCCTCCCTGCTAACGGAGAACCCCCACAGCGCCCATTCGTCAACTACTATGCACCGATCTTCATCCTCTTCGAGCTCTCGAGCCCATTCCTCAACATCCACTGGTTCTGCGACAAGCTGAACCTGACGGGCTCCATCTACCAACTCGTCAACGGCTTCTTCCTGCTGGGCACCTTCTTCTGCTGCCGCATTCTCTGGGGCACCTATAACTCGGTGCTGGTTTTCCGCGACATCTTCTACGTGTACGCGCACCCGGCGGTGGCCTCGCCCGAGGCTCTCATCGCCGCCGAGGCGCTCAGCGGCGAGAAGATGGTTGCGCACCCGTTCGCCGGCATGCAAGTGCCGCTGTGGCTGGCCATCGTCTACCTCGGCTCGAACCTCACGCTGAACGGGCTGAACTACTACTGGTTCTCGCGGATGATCGTCACGGTCACCGCCCGATTCACGCAGCCGAAGAAGGTCAAGACTAACGCCGATGTCGACGAGAAGTTGCGCGTCGAGGGATCCAACGTCGATCTTGCTACGCCCGCCGAGATTGCGGGCGAGAATGCGAGGAGGAGGATCAAGATGAAGGCTGGGCAATAGATAAACTCTTACTCTAGCTACTGGGGCGTCTTGGAGTTTGGTCCGGAAGGGAAGGAACAGTGGCCTATGTCATTGAAACGGGGTTCTTTTTTTGTTTCTGGTGTTTTGCTTGTCCGTATCGTAGGTTCACTGGTCGCTCGGGGGTGGGGGTTAGATATCGGAGGCACTCTGTTATGTACCTTTTGTAGATTTGGTATTTACGTTCGCGATTCCGTGTTTCTGCTGCCTGTTCTCCGGATTCTTGTATGACATGATGCGGTGCGATTTTGCCGAGTGACGGCTGCGAAGTAGGGCTATACATACATGATTTATTGATGTATCACGAGTTAGTGATCACGAGTCTTCGGATGAAGGTGACCAACATCGGAGAAAAACCGCCCAAACCATTTATTTTTGCCCACATTTTGACTACCACGAAAAAGTTTCCGAAAGCAAAGCAAACCCAAACCCTCTACACTCCCAACACCGCATTCCTAGCCTGAGGATAATCCGGCACGATGCCACCGGTGAAAACCTCAAACTGTCTCACTCCCTAAAATCACAGTTAGCATCAAGCAATCTGAGCGAAGAAAAATAAATCCATACCTGTCCAGTAAGAGCCTCAAGCCCAGGAACCGTCTTCCAACCCAGCTCCTCAGCGAGCTGCATCAACGGGGTATAGCGCGGCTTGTACGCCAACTCAGCCATGACCCTGTCGCCTCTCGTCTCCTCCTCGCCCTTCTTGAGCATCTCTTTCAGGATGCCTACCAGCGCCTCGGGGACTGGGCTATCGCCAGGAATGGTGCCGACGGCAGTGACAGGTCGCTGCTTGATCTTCTTCGCCTGCTCGACCGAAGTGACGGCGATGATGTTGTAGTCCTTGGGGAAGGACTCGATGATGGGTGTGATCTTGTCGGGGGAGCGGTTCACCACGTAGATGGTTGAGTAGCGCATGGCGTGGAGCGCGTAGATGGCTGCGCGAGACGTTCCGCCGGCACCGATAACAAGGGCGTTGCCGGGCTCGTCGAGATCTTTGACGCCGCCGCGGTAGAGAGAGGTTTGAATACCGGACCAGTCAAAGTTGTAGCCAACCAACTTCCTGCCGCCGTCGGCAGTGGGGAAGGGCACAATAGTGTTGACGGCACCGATTAGCTGCGCTTCGGGTGAGATCTCGTCGAGGAGGGGCATCACGGCGATCTTGTGGGGAATCGTGACGGATGCACCACCAAAGTCAGGGCTGCTAAGGATCTGCTTGGTGGCTTCAACATCTTCCGACTCAAACAGCTCATACTGGTGGGGAAATCCCATGGCCTGGAATAAGGTGTTGTGGAGAGCCGGCGACCGCGAGTGCTGGATGGGCGTGCCGAAGAGGTAGAACTTTCTTGGCTGAAGTAAACCGAGAAGGGTCAGAGCCTGATGGATTTCGACCATGCTAAGCTGTCCAGGCGCCGCCTTGAAGGGAAGTGCAGGGTGGGTGACAGGAGTCAGGAACGTGTTGAGGACTCTGCTCAGTTTGCCAATCTCTCCCATGTTCATTGCAATGAAAGGAGTTTCACGGGTGGTAGCCCATTCCCGGAACTTCTCGAGATCGTAGTTGTCCTGCATGGTCTTGGCCTGTCCAACGAGCTTGATCACATCACCATGTGCCAGGGCCTTGTTGAAGGAATGGATCCAAGATCCGTTGTTCCAACGCAAGTTTCCAGGGAAATCGTGGTGCGAAGCTACAATCTTGCTGTTGGCCTTCATGGAGGTCACCTTCTCCAACACATGTGCCGGCCATGTCATCTCGAGGTCGACATATTCCAAACCCATACGGATGGCAGTGATGTAGAGCTCCAAGGCTTCATCAACTGCGTCGTCGGGGAACAGACCACCCTGACTCCTCGTGCGGATAGTGAAGAGCAGCGGGAGTTGGGTTTGGCTTCGAATCAGCGCAAGCTGCTGACCGACGAAGTCGATGGAGGGAGCGCCGTCGGGGTTTCCAGGATCCCTCAGAAGGTCTACACGGACCTCTACAACATCGGATCCGATGGTAACGGCCTTGATTCTATCGATTGCCTCCGAAACATCCGGGAAAGACAGGCAGATGAAGAACGACCTCGATTTGGCAAGAATCTTCTCGTGGTAGTCGGCCATGCCGATCACAGTGGCCAGAAATCGTGCGAAATCGGCTTGAGCGATATCCACGTTCTCGGCCGAGACCACAGGGCTGAAGTATTGGTAGTTGCTGCACTCGGTGTACCAGGGCTTCCGACGGAGCCAGACGCCGAGCATGTCCTCGACGTACGCCGGACGGGTCTTATCGATGTTCAAGAACTCCATCACCTTGTCGATGTCGCGGTAAACGTGAATAACGATACCACCCGCAGCAACGTGATTCTTCAGAATTTCACGGGCTTGCGGCGTCTCGACGATACCACCACCGCAAGCAAAGATGTGATCATTCGGCATCTCAGTAACCACCTTCTGGAGGATTTCCACCTCAATCTTTCGGAAACCCTCCCAACCATCTTCCCGTACGATCGAGGGAATCGGACGCCCCTGCTCCATCTCCATAAGGGTGTCCAGATCGATAAGCGGACGCTTCAATATTCTGGCAGCACGAATTCCCATGGTGGTTTTCCCTGCACCCCTCATGCCGATGATGATGATAGAGCGCTTGTTCGCCGTGGGGACTTGAGATTTCTTGTTCTCTGGCTTCGAAAGTTCGATACCACTGAGAGAGACGTCGAACTTCTGGGCGAGGACGTCCCACCAACCAGGCCAGGTCTTCTCAACACACTTCCTCTCGAGAAGCACGACAGGCTCGGGAGCGATCAACGCGAGCACGGAGAAGCTCATGGCGACACGGTGGTCATCGTAACAGTGGACACCCGCCTCAGGGCTCCCAAGAGTGGTGTAGTCCTTGCCTTCAATCCAGATACCGTCCTCGAGTTCTCCGGCAGTGACTCCAAACTTCGAAAGCTCGTGGACCATGGCCGCGATACGGTTGCATTCTTTCACACGTTGGTTGGCAATACCGGTGATATTAGTCTTGCCCGGACCGTTGGCGACAGCGGCAAGCACGGAAGCCGTCAGGAAAGCATCGGTCATGGGCTCCATGTCGACATGCGGGATAGGCTTCAGCTGACCCTTTGGAGGTCCAGTGACGGTTGTAGAGTAGTCTGACTGCATTACCGTGCAGCCCATTGGCCTCAAAACATCAACCGCAAAGCGGGCGTCACCCTGGAGAGATTTTTTTCCAATGTTCGGGATGGTGCAAGTGGTTCCAGTGATAGCTGCAACAGCCAAGGGGTAGGTGGCGGAGCTGGCATCACTCTCGATAACATATTCCGCAGGACACTTGTAGGCTTGCTGGGGAATGTGGTAGGTGTGCTCCTCAGTCTCGGATTTGACAACATTAACACCGAAAGAAGCCATCATCGTGATTGTCATGTCGACGTACAGCTGAGAAATTGGCTTGCCGCCAACCAGAGTCAAGGTGACAGGCTCGCGCGCGTATGGTGCAGCCAACAAGATTGAGGAGACGTATTGCGAGGAGATGGTGGCAGCGAGCTCAATTCTTCCACCCGCAAGACCTCCGGTCGAAGGGACACGAAGAGGGAGTCCCTTGTGTCCTTCCACATACTCGATCTCACTTCCGTTGGAGCGTAGAGCTTCAACAAGAGGGGCGATGGGCCTCTGCTTCATACGGGCATTCCCGGTAAGTATAACCGAGTCGTGCTTGTCGGACGGCGAGATGAGCGTGGCAACTGTGGTCAAGAACCGAGCAGCGGTTCCCGCATTTCCCAAGTAAATCTCGTTCCCACAGGCGGTGAGTTTTCCACCATTGCCGTTTACAACAAGCACGTCTCCATCCTCTTCCCAAGAGTAGGTAATTCCTCCGAGCTGCTCCAGAGCCGTGAGCATGTGCTCGGTGTCATCGGAGTGCAAGAGATTCGTGATGCGACATGTGCCGTGACCAAGAGCTGCGAGAACCAGAGCGCGGTTCGAGATGGACTTGGATCCCGGGGGTGTAATCGACAGTTCCTTGGCAGCCTGCTTCTGCGAGTTGACGACGACACTTGGCGACAGAATGACTCTGATGGCGTCGTCATGTACGACTGAAGCCTTCTTCTCATGGGTCCGCCCGATTCCGGACAGGAGGACTATCTTCTTCTTACGGCCGTCATTCTTTTTGTCAACACCCATGATCGACAGCATTCTGTCGACATCGCAGTGCTTGCCGCCGGTGAGCTTCTTGACGCGTTTGTCGTCGAGTGAAGTGGGGAGTCCGTAGCTGGTGAGGCATTTGGACAGACGTGCGACTGCTCCGGGCTTCAGAACACCCAAGTGGCGGGCCAACTCAGCCTCTCGGACCATTCCGATCGATACACACTCTCCATGGAGCATCTGGGGGAACAAGATTGCCTCAATGGCGTGTCCGATCGAATGACCAAAATTCAATAGATTGCGAAGACCACCCTCCCGCTCGTCGGCGGAAACAACGTGAGCCTTGACGCGAACTGAGCCGAGAACGACACTCTTGAAGACCTCCTGCACCTTGTCGATGCGCTTGTGCTCTGTCATCTATTAGCAATTGTACCGGCCGTCCCACGGAACCACTTATTGGCTCACCTCCTGTGCCATTGCCCTTCACGGTCTCCAGAATCAATCCAGCGTTCTTCTCTAATCTAGAAAATTCCTCTTCATCCCAGATGGCCGCGGTCTTATGGGTTAGCAGCTAACGGTTCGTCGCGACAGGCCATAGCTCACCTTGATGACCTCCGCCATTCCGTTGATGAACTCTCTCTCCGGCAGAGTCTCCAAGAACCGCAGGTCGATGTACACACGCTCTGGCTGCCAGAAAGCACCAATAAGGTTTTTTCCGAGCGGACAATCGATAGCGGTCTTGCCGCCGATGCTCGAGTCCACCATGGCCAGCAGGGTCGTCGGGACCTGGACGAACTTGACACCGCGCATAAAGGTCGCCGCCACATAGCCGATCATGTCACCGATGACACCACCTCCGAGCGCAATCACGATCGTATCCCGCGTGCATCCTTGCGAGAGCATCCAGTCCTCAATCTCCGCTTTTGTTGTCCGCGATTTGGCATACTCGCCGGGAGCGACCATAAACTTCAGCAGCCGCGCCTCGGAGCTTGTCCTCGTCAATTCCGCGTTGAAGGCATCTTCGAAGCGGGGGACATGTAGTGGTGCGATATTGGTATCGGTAATGAGGACGTAGGTGGACGACGGGATGTTTTGCAAGAGATCGGCCGCAATCGTCTTGTTCAGATCGTAGCCAACCTGGATGGTGTCCTTGCCTAAAATCTGAACTACAGAAACACTCGAATCGGTCGCCATAGTGATGACGACGTCGGTATTTAGAAAACCGAGTTGTGACAGAAGTGGGGGTTTGGGAGAGGTATGTAGCGATGGTAGTGGCTTAGATGAGGAGTTGCGAGTTAGCGAGCGAACTTTTAATGGCCGCCGCGGGATAGGCAAAGAGGGGTGGTAAAAAAAAACCAATGGTCAGGTTCACAGGGTCACATACTCTCGAGTTCTCGCACGGAGTCACACAAACACACGGCCGAACAAACGGGTGGGTTTCGAAGCTGAAGCACACGACTGGCTCAGGCGACGACGATAGTGGTGGGTGAGTGTGTTTGCCGGAGAACAGAGCGATGAGGCGAGCTTTGATGGCGATGGTCCAACTTTGCACACTTCTTTGGGTTGGGGCTGAAAACGTGGGGAAGTTGAGGTGGGGCAATTACCGGGTTGGGGTTAGCTCGTATTCTGCAGAGCAGATCCTCCTCGTTGCAATGTAGTTAGATTTCGAATGAGGTTGGGGCTTGATTGTATACTGAAAACTCAAGTCATCGAGTGGACGAATGAGGTCAGAGCTTCGGACAGACATCCAAAGTCGGTATTCCCAATCCAGATACCTGGGTAAGAGGTATGTAGCTCTACATACGGGCGGGAACTGATAAGCTTCGACCGACATGTCGAATCACTCGGACGAGCGCCTTATCCGGACCTGACTGCGGCCGGACACGCTAGGCTCCACGCAGACAACGCCGAATAAACTGCGACCGGATATATGCTTCAATGGTGCACCTGAAGGGATGGAACAGCCGTTCGGATAGTGATTCTTGGGCTGGGGGTCTGTCAGCCCGTCTTACCTACACACGTCATACATACCGTCTGAAACCACACTGATCATTTGTGGCAGTGCAACCGAGTGATCTTGAGTGTAACCATCTCCGAATGATGGTTGAGGTAGCAGCGATCGACATCCGTTGTGACCTCGGGGGGCTAGGAGATAGTTGGTTGTGTCAGGCTCTCTGGCCTTGGTTCCAAGAGTCGGTTTGAACGGCGCTCCTGTCGCATCCCGCCGCGAGTGCTACCTTGAGGCTTGGGTGTCTGCCAGGTCCCGGCGGAATTCCTATCTTCACATAGATGATGGAAGCATAGAGGGAGGGAGGGCAACGTGGAATCCTTCACCAGCGAATCGACACTTTCTGTATCCTCAACAGACGCCAATGGCAACCGCAGCCAGCTAAGTCCAACCCGACACCGGCGCACGGGAGGCCTCCAGGTCGAATGACCATTTCGAGCCCCCACCTACCCCGAGCGACGACAGACGGACCTGGAGAACAGTGAAGCATTGCCAATCTGAAATATTCATTAAAGGATATTACTGAAGTACACCCAAAAGAACGCCTAAAAGTACATCTATCGACCGTTATTCTATCGTTGAAACGTCTAACTAGTAATACAGAACTCGTGAAAAGATAATCCCCAAACACCCGCCAAAGAAACAACAACAAGACATAATTAATCGTACACATATTCATACAAGCAGATCCGAAAACACACTCTAGTAATCGTACAGATCTAAACACCCTCCCAAAACCAAATCGTAGAAATCGTGATCATGAAGACATAAAGAAGCCATAGGCTTTAAAAACGCAGGTACATCCTCTCGGGCTTTCGCACACCGACCATAGCCGTGGGGCTAAGCTTGGTAGTGGAGCTATCGCTGCTCGCGTACGGGTATCGAGCGTGCTTCTCGAATTGTTGACGCAATGCGACAGCCCGTCTCCGTGTCCGGATACACCAGTAGACTCTGACACCGACGATCGCAGAAACGATGACACCGCAGATGGTGCCGACAATGATGAAGATAAGTGACCATTGGTCGTGGGTCAATGATTCGGAGCCGCCGCTACCGCCGCCGCCACCGCCGCTGGCTGTAAAGGATCCGCCGCCGCGAGCACCACCGCCTCCGCCACCAGCGCCCTTGCGTTTGATGAGATGGGCGCTGGTAAGTTGAGTACTGGTGAGGAGGAGGAAGTAGAGGGTGAGTATGGTGGTAGAAGCAGACATCGGTATGTAGAGTAGAGTGATGGATGTATGGACGGATGTATGTAGTAATGGACCGATGTGATGATGATGGTAGTTGTATGGTGATGTCGTATGGGAGTATTGTACCAGTATGATGGCCAACTTCGTCGACAGGGACGACTGAACACGATCTTATATCCATATGACTATCCAAACTGAAAGCGACTGGTTTGCCTGATGACCGAACTGCGCACGGCTGGACGGTGCTGTGCGTACGATCTGGGGTCAAATGAGTAAATTAATAGTCATGCTACTCAAAAGTTAGAGGCTCCTGATCAACTTTTGAAATGTGCCTGTGGCGCTGTCGGCGTGAATGCCTTTCGAACAAGCAATATTTGGTGAGTGCATTGCGAGAGGATCGCTTAAAACGCGGCTATGCAATGTCTAAGCATGGGCTGAGCGCAAAGGTGCGACCAGCCCTGTTCCTACGAACACTGCTAGAAACCTTAGCACTTCTCACGTTCCAACCGGGTATCCTTTACCCTTATTATGTAGATATTGTACAAGTTCAACTGCGAGCTGCGCGAGTTTTGCGCAGCCGTAGGTAGTTGCGCATGGCATTGCTTTCTCGCCGGAGTCATCCAGTACACACAATCTTAGGAAAGGACCGAAAAGAGAGCTCCGAAGCCATTCCACCTTAATAATCAAGGCAGGTACTCATGAAGAATTTAAGGCCTTGAGTGCTTTGAAATTGGGTTGAACGTATAGGTAGGTACCTGGATAGTTTGTCAGTGGTCGTACATAGGCAGTATCTATCGATTGATCGTGAGCTCAAACCATGTATTCGGGTGGCTAATCTGTAATCTACTACCTGGGTATCTGGATTACAAGGCGAACCCAATCAATACTTACCCCTCTATATATCATCATCACGGTCCACAGTCTCCAGCACAGAACTTAGCGGTACTAGTAGTAAGATGTATGTAGAGTACATAACATAGAGTAGCACTGGTTGTGGGGGCGGAGGCAGACAGCTTTCTACGCCGAGTTATTCGATACGAGCGGCGTCGGATGAATGCCGGGTTCTTGCGGATAAACCCATAGCAGAGCAGGAGCGCGTACAGCCCCTTGTCGTCGAGCCAGAAGGAAAGAAAGAGAAGAAAAAAGTGGCGAGCGGGCGTGCTGAGTGTTCAAGATTTAGGGGATGGTTCGGGCCACGGAGGCCACAGAACGTTTGCCGAAAGCTTAGGATGCACCCCCCAACGTCGTTACTCCCGCCACACCCTGGACATCCTTCAGGGATTTCTGGTCACCCACAGGGCGATCTTCGAATAGAGCCGCTCATGTGTCATCGCATCACCGACTTTCAAAATCTGCTAGTCTCGGAAACGCCGGTGGAACTCCGGATCCACAGCCATGGCGTCGTTCAGAAAGAGGTCGGTCCCGGATCTACCAGCTGCGAACTCCCCCATTTACCTCTCCTCCAACAACGTTGATACCGCGCGTCGCGATCTCGAGATGGCGGTTTCCAGCAATTCACACGACCGGAGCAGCGATATGGAGGCCTCTGCAACGTCGAGACCACGGAAACAGAACTCTTATGAGAGTGTGCGACATGAACGTCAGTTCACCGTTCGGGCGGTGTTGGTTGGCCTGGCGGTTGGTACCATCGTGTGCTTCTCGAACATGTATTTTGGACTGCAAAGTAAGTCTTCTTGGAGAGCTCTAAGTTAGCGGCCGATACTAACGAACTACCGTATCCTTACAGCGGGCTGGGTCTCCATGATGTCGATGCCCTCGTCCTTGGTCGGATTCGCGGTATTCAAGACTCTGGCCCACAGACTGGATTATCCGTTCACTGCTGTGGAGAATGTGTTGGTGCAGACTGTCGCCGTCGCCGTGGGCTCCATGCCTCTTAGCGCGGGCTTTGTCGGTGAGCACGTGTAGACGGTTTCCGCAATGCGAACTTTGCTGATTTGTCATCAAGGTGTGATTCCGGCTCTTGAACGTCTCCTCACACCGGCAGAAGGCGGCCCGATAGTTGTCTCGACGCCAAAGCTGGTGTTCTGGGGGCTCGGGGTTGCCTTCTTTGGCGTATTCTTTGCCGTTCCGCTGAGGAAACAAGTGATCATACGGGAAAAGCTAAAATTCCCTTCTGGAACAGCTACGGCTTTGATGTAGGCTGTACCCCCCCCCCCCGTTTCACCAGGCCACTAAGCTCATGTTCACAGGATCTCGGTTCTGCATGGCGATGAGAAGAATACACGCCGCGCACAGTCTGCAACCCAGTTGCCGTCACAAACCACAATTCTGATGGCAGACACACCTGAGGCGGATAACGTTGAACACAGTGAAACGGCCGACTGGAAGAAGCAAACCAGGATGTTGTTTTATTCTTTTGCAGTGAGCGGTGTCTATGTGAGTCAGGTTTTGGATGAGAACGGGTATCCAGCTCTGACCGCTCGCAGACGCTGTTCTCATATTTCTTTCCGATCATCCGTGACCTGCCAATCTTTGGTTTCGCTGCAGCAAACCACTGGCTTTGGACTTTGAACCCGAGCCCAGCATATGTCGGCCAAGGGATAATCATGGGACCGCAAACGACAGCCCACATGCTTTTTGGAGCGTTTTTGGGATGGGGGATCCTAAGCCCATTGGCCAAGAGGAGCGGATGGGCACCGGGTCCTGTTGGTGACTGGGCAACAGGCAGCAGAGGATGGCTGGTATGGGTGAGTCTGGCGATAATGCTTGCAGACAGCATCATTTCTCTATCGGGCATCATGTTTGATCCCCTTATCCGCGCCGCATTAGGCACAAGACGGCTTCGGAGCGGGCAGAGCGACTATGAACCTTTACCGGAGGACGCAGAGGACGAAGAGGACGTTCCGGCTCATTATCCCGGCCTTCGTCGGCGAAGAACGCCTCGGTTCGAAGTCGACGATGAGACACCAGAGCAGGACGCGGATCCATCTTTCTTGGTACCTATGTGGGTTGTAGTCTGGGGCCTGGTGGCATCTGGGATACTCTGCATTGTCGCCATCAGAGTTGTTTTTGGACAGGTTCCACTGTATGCAACTGTCGTTGCGTTCTTCCTTGCCCTGGTTCTTAGTGTCATGGGCGTCCGCGCATTGGGTAGGCCCACAGCTCCTCACCCGCGGTATCACCAACATGCTAATCCTCCCCCTAGGACAAACCGATCTCAACCCTGTTTCCGGCATCTCCAAACTCACGCAATTGATCTTTGCACTGATAGTCCCCGCCTCGAACCCGGCCGCAGTAGCAATCAACCTCGTGGTCGGCGCCGTATCCGAAGCAGGCGCGCAGCAAGCCGGCGACATCATGCAAGACCTCAAGACCGGGCATGTGATTGGCGCCTCGCCACGCGCACAGTTCTACGGCCAGCTGATCGGCAGCGTCTTTGGCGCTGTGGTATCGGCGTGGGCCTACAGGATCTACTCGGCGGTATACCCGATTCCCGGCGACCTATTCCAGGTGCCCACCGCATATGTCTGGATCGATTGCTCGAGACTGGTGTATGGCAAGGGACTTCCTGATGGCGCGTGGGGCTTCGCGATGGCCTTTGCGGGCATCTTCACGGTCACTACGATCTTGAGGGGCTGGGTGGTCAAGGGAAATCCCTGGATTCCAAGTGGCATCGCAGTGGCGGTGGGAATGTACAACACCCCGTCATTCACGCTTGCGAGGGCGGTGGGCGGCGGGTTGCAGTGGTGGTGGAACAGGAAGTTTGGCAGTGAGGGACAGACTATGTTGGTGGTTCTGGCCAGTGGATTGATCCTCGGGGAGGGGCTGGTGAGTATGGCAAACCTGCTGATGGCTAGTGCGGGCGTACCGCATTTTTAATGTGGGAAGGGGTGTGTTCATGTTTTAGACTGCCGGAGCAGCATTACACTGGGTTAATTCTGATAGCTGCTGTTTTCTTTTTGAGACCGTTTTTGTAGATGAGTATAGAGTAGATATCGCGCGGCGGATAGAAATGGAGACGAAGGGTGTACCTGCTTAGAAATAGATGTATGGGTGGTTGCTTATGGCAATGATGCACATTCTGTAGGCGGCAGCTTTGTTCATGCTCAAGTACTCAGGGGCATCGCACAGCCATAGATCACCACAGCTCATTGCGAGCTTGTCCCGCTCTACCCCGGAATCCAGATCATCTATCCAGCCTTCGCGATTACAGTGACCGTAGTTGCAATCTCTTGGCTTGACGAGTGCTACATATCCTCCACACTTTACCAGCCTCCACATTCACTGTGCCACTATGGAATGTGCCATGAGAGTAAGCGCTGTTCCCCGCTGCCATCCCACATTAGTTTAATGCCTTCCACTCGGCTTCCAAGGCTGGAGCAAACAGACGCAACTGCGCAACCCGGCGCGTATGTAGTCGTCTAGCACGGGACTCACCGAACAATGCAATGCACCTGTGGCATTTAAAAGGTAACTATGCTCATCGTAAGTAACCGCTTATTGTTCTGTTTCGTTAATTCCTTATGGCTGTGCATGCTGGATTCGGAGAGGTTTTTGGTTCGGCTCGGGTAATTGAAAGTGGCGTCATCCACTAAAGCCTAACGGTTCCGAGAAACGTGAGCGGCTGGCAGGAGATCGGCTTTCGGCAGCGCGGGGAAAGGTGGCTCGGATCAGGCTAGAATGTGGAGTGAGCTTGCTTACGGAGCTATTTGGGGAAGAGTAGGATGGATAGTATGAATAGAAAAAATAGAAGGGATAGGATAGCTTCTCATTCCATCCATCTTTCCAACGATGACCGATAGAGAGCGAGCTATGGACGACTTCATTCGACATGGCAGAACCGCAGAGGGTCACGGACCGGTATGTATGGATGTAGCTCGGTTCCGGCCCACGCGAAACCACAATCCGCGATCATCTGAAGAGTCGAGACCAAAGAACAGAGTTTCCGCATCCTTTAGGTCCCATTCCAACCTGAAGCGCCGGCGGTGCCAGGATGTCGATATCTCCATCCTCATCTCAGCACGGACGGGGCAGGTAGGTGATCGATCGCAGTAAGCCGGCTAGGTACTTGCAGTAGGCTACTCCATACACGTACGACATAGCATGAATTGCTCGGTAAATGACCGTTGAGAAGAGAAGAGCTTCTCCCCACCATCACGCCCACCATTCTCCAGACCGGCTCCGCAGTGCCATGAACCTCTGCTCTCAACCAGAAGCAGCCCACACAACAATAACAGCACATCGAAGCCGCGTAGAATTCCCTGGTATCGGACATCGGGAGCCGGACTGAGTGTCAGTATGATGATTCTCCGTGGGGATTAGTCCGGATGAATGTGACAGTAGTGGACTAGAGTGGTGGGTAGTGGTGGTGGATGCTGAGTGGGGGTTGCATTTGCGGGCCTGCGAGCCCTCGGACGGCGGGGTGTTGATCCTTCTCCGACAATGAGCTGATGCCTAAGTACATAATGTAAGTACCTAGGCTTTGGGTCCGGCAGAAGCAGCTCAGGACCGGGTCTGACGGGGATGTTTGACTGCAGAGTGAGGGCCTATGATGGTGATGTGATCGAGGACGAATAGCAATGAGCGTGCCTTGTATGTAGTAGTTGTAGTGGTGGTGGGGAGCGTGCGAAGCGGTAAAGATGGGGCAGGAGGGGTGCGGGCAGTGTAGCGAGAGCGGCCGGTTTTCCGATGCGGGCCCTCACCCATGCCGCCAGCTGTATAGTACATGCTACCTATACTATGCACTGAGGAAACGGCCTCTAGTCTTGGTGGCCAAAAAAGATCTTTCCTTCACCGGTTGTCTGTGAGCCCGCATTCTTCTTCCGAGTAACCAACCTTATGACCTGTGTGAGCCTCACGTGGGCGTCCGCTTGTCATTCTACGTAACTCATCCGGCCTTCCTTAGCGTGTGCCCGTTATATCTAATCTCCGTGCGAGCAACCCATCCACAGTTCATCTTACCTTCTCTCGCTCCGGCTACGAATCTTCTTGCTCTCTCGATCACACCTCAAAACCCCAACCTGTCTCACCCTCCACGCCCAGCTGCCGCGCCCCGCTCGACCGCCCCCGCTTCCTCTCCGACCCCAAAGCGCGAAGCCAATGTCCATAGCAGGTTGAAAGAGCGAAAACGATCCACCTCTCCACACGTCTCAAGTGCCGATCCATACTTTCGAACGAGCCAGCCAACCACCACCACCACCACCATCGCCACCACCTCCACCCCCCCCGTACACGCAGACACGATACGGTAACCACGCGCGATTGCCTCCATGGACGGGGATCGCAAGCTGGTGCAGACGTTACTGGAGCGGCTCTCGGCGAGGGTGTGTGATCGATGACAGATGGCGTCGGCTTCGGGGAGAAGGATCGGTCGCTGACTTGAGGCATAGCTTCCAAATCGGACTGGGGATGACTTGAATGATGTTCGACGTGATGAGGTTGTGGCGCTGTCGCGTCGCACCATGATTGAGATAGCAAAGTCGCAGCTCGACATACTGGTAGCGGCTATTGTGAATCAATTGGAGAGCATATCGAGGGTTCATTGACACTCCCGTTCCAACCCCCTCCCACGCCCCCCGTCCCCCGGAGCACGCGCGAGAGAGATATATCGAGGACATTGTTGACGAAGTTCCATTGCAGCCATACGAGCAGCTTTCGCCGAGGAACCGACCGCAACTCGTGCTCCTGACCCAGACGTACCTGGTGGAGCTTTTGGCCGACTGTACGGCTGCGAATTGGGATGCCGCCGATGCGTCGCGAAAACCGGAGACCCCAAACAACGATGCCACAGCCAACGGGGGATTGCCGCCGCGAAGATCCAGACGACGAGACGTTGATCCGCCACCATTGGACGAAGGGCAGGCCAGATATACTATGGAACTGCTGTTGAAGTTAACGTCGAGCCCCAATGTCGACGAGCTACAAGTGGGGAAGGGGGCCCAAGCCGAGGAGCGAAGCTTAGATGGACTTCCAAAGAAACCGAACGAGCTGGACAAGGCCACGTTCAAAGTTATCGAATTCTTGAGTGCCTCCAATTGGCCGCTTGTATACCAGACCATGAGATCGAAACTGAAGACATTGCGGCAAAGCGCGGAAGACCTGGATGCTAGCGGACTGCAGTTCATAGCTCACCTGTCACTCAACCAGAAGAAGCTTTCTTTGGTGCTCCAGGAGATCAGTAACAGTTTCCTGCCTTTACGGAAATCATCCCAGAATATGCTTGCTGCGCTGTTACCGGAGGCAATCCATAGATGGATCGATTCGCACCCTAGGGATTTTGTACAGTTGCACCAATCGCAGCAACGACTCGAAGGCGGAGCGGATGTGTTGTTCGATTTTGCGGGCTCGTTGACCGACGGCACAAAACGGAGGGCCGTCATCTGGCCATTACAGACGGCCCTAGTTCTCCTACTTCCAGAAGTCTTTGTCCATGCAGACATGAGTGGATCGCAGCGCGGCAGTTCTCTAGCGAAAAAGATTGTGTTCCTGAATAACTTGCGACAAGCCCTACGGCAGCTCAAGTCTGCAGATATAGCAGCTTCATGCCTTATTACCATATGTCGGGCTGGAAGTTTATTCGCCAACGACACCGATAGCGCCCTGTTGAGCTTCGCACTGGATATCCAGAACGACATGAGGGAAGAGATTTTCAAGAAACCTTCCCCTGGCCCACCGGCGATGGATGACAGTATGGATCGAGACGTCTTGATAAAGGCATTCGTCAGCTTGGCAAGGCTATCGCCCGATCTGGTGGTGGAGCATCTGGTCCCGAGGTGCTTGGACAAGAACTCTCCGATGTCGTTCAAGATCACCGTCTTTGCCGGTGCCGCAGTCCTTGCGAGTCAGCCGAAACCGGAGCAGTACTCGCTGCTATTCGAAGCCATTGCGCCGGACCTGAGAGAATACCTCCATGGCATATCTAGTATGCGAAAGGCTGTGAGCGCTGGCAGCGCTCCGTTCAACAACGGAGCGATCATGGAAAAGATGCGCCACAAGAACATATCCACAGACAGCATTGGGTCCGTCGAGCTCCTCTATCAGTTGCTTGAGCTACTCAAAATCCGTCCGTTACTCCTCTACGAGAGCCTTCACGCCTACGGAGAGAAGTGGGATCAAATGCTCGAAAAATCGATTGATTCTATTCTCAAGTTGATCTGTGATGACGACGAATTTGTACGAAACTCTACTGTCATCTTCGCCCGGAGGCTGTTGTCACCAGAAGCATTCCGGGTTGCGACGCACATGGAGGGTCATCAGGAAAACGATGACAAAGTGCTCGAGTTCTTCTGGAGGGGAACGTGAGTTTCATGCCCTGAAAGTATATGCGTTCGATGGCTGATGTGTTTTCTTAGATCCGCGATTGTAGCAACGCTCTCTAAAAAGCTATTGGACTTCGATTTCCGTGACCCGGGCCTCAAGAGCATGCTGGAACTAGTTCACGGTTACCTCGAGACGCGGGTCAACATCATACAGTCTCGGAAGGTACTAAAAACTGCCGCCAGTGCCGCTAATGGTGACGAGGATGACTTACCTTTTAGTCAGGATTTCACCATTGGTGTTTCTGACATTCCTGAAAGAATCAAGGCCAATGTGTCGCTGGAAATATCTTTTCTGGTTCTCCTTTGTTCCAGTGACTTGGACATCTGCTCGGTCACAACACATGCGATCGCTTTGCTCTGCGAAGAGGGCCGGTTGACCGAGAACCCGGAGGATCTAGCCAGGTCAAACCTGACGCTGATGAGGAATTTCCCGGTTTATTCAGAACTTTCGCTACAGACATTCCGGATCACCGGACCGGTGGCGTTCCAGAAACGGTTGAGGAAGCTTCTGACCAGAATGTCTGTCCCGAGCCCCGGGATACTAACTGCCTGGGAGTCTGTCTTCACTAGGTGGCGGACTCTCTGCAAGCACATACTTTCCCAGGGTGTTGCTGTTACTGGTCGCTTGGAAGATCGACTCCATGCCGAATGGCGGAATTACTCCGGATTCCTGGCATCCATCGGTGGGTGCTGTATTGCCGACATTCCCGCTCATGTCCCTCCACACATGCGAGTTATCGACGCTACCATGGTTGGCCTAAAATGGATCGACCGGATTACGAGCGATGGGGATACCATGTCGCTGCTGGAGCGGTTTATGAAGCAGTGTCTGCAGTTGCTTGTTTGCAAGCTCGTTAGTGTCCGAGAAAACATACGGGAGGTCCTTGGGACAGAACTCAATCCTAGGCTCTATCTACAACTCTTTCGGTCATTGGAAACGGAACTTAACATTGTGCTTGACCCGCTAAAGGACGCCGTCAGCGAGAGTCGGACATTGTTCGCGGAGCAGGTTTGCTCATTGCTGAAGACTATTGTCGAGCGGCTGGAGGACGCACAAGACACATTCCTCACTGTGGATCTGGGAGCAATGACCCTAAGTCTGGCTCGGTATCTGCATACCTTGAAGGAGGACTACACGACTCTCCGCATCAAGATCAGAATGTGTAATCTTGTCGAACTGGTAGCGCGGAAGAAGGAGATCGTCAATCTAAGGCAAGATGTCCGCGTGCGAAACAGCCTGCTGCAGATCTTGTCGGAGTGGATGTCGAGGCCGTCCAAAGCCGAGACCGCGTATATTGGTCAAGGATTCAGGCGAGACGAGTTCGTTCGTTTGCAGAGGGACCTTGACAGAGCATGCTTACGAGCTCTGGTCAATCTGTTGTATCGCTTGCCGCTCCAGCCGCCCGATTCCTCTCATGATGCCGATGTGGTGGATGCACGCTCTCAAATGTTTTGCAGCTATTTCACTTCGTTTCTCTCATTGCTCGACTTTAGTCAACTCGAGGGTGACCGTCGCAAAGACCTCCAGACTGCATCGTTAGCTAGGGATGACGCTGCATCGTTCCAGGAATTGGCCATTCAAGCTCTCTCCAACCTCCTGAGTGCGAACGTAGACGTTGGTCTGAAGTTTTCCCTGGAAATCGGCTACCATGAGTCCTTGGAGACCAGGACGGCTTTCATGCATGTCCTTACCAATATCTTGACTCAAGGAACCGAGTTTGGTGCACTTGGTGATTCTGCCATTGGAGAGAAGTACGAGAAGTTGATCGATGTGAGTTGCCGATTGTCTCGCTCGTATATTGCAAGCCACTGACAATGCACACTCAACAGCTACTTGTCAACGATTTGAAGTTTGCACTGGCCTTGTGTGTATGCTGCCCGAGCAGTGAAGTCGATGAGCTCACGGTGGCGCTACTAAACATCTTCGATTCCCGCGGCTTGGGGTTGACTCTGCTGAAGGCACTCATCGAACAAGAGGTTGCCAACACCGAGAGTGAATCGGAGCTCCTCCGACGGAACTGCGTGGCCACCAAGATGCTGTCCGTATTCGCAAAATGGAAGGGCTCGGACTATCTTAAGAAAGTGCTGCAAGAGACGATCAAACGGTTGATCCTTTCGTCCGCCGTTTTGGATCTTGAATTGGATCCTGCGCGAACATCATGCCCGGAAGTGTTGTATGCAAATGAGGAACAGCTGCGGGTTATTGCGAAGATATTCATCAGCGAGATCACGAAGTCGGGACCCTTCCTTCCGGACTCGTTCCGCAGAATTTGCCATACCATCAGCTCGTGCGTTGCCGACCGCTTTCCCGAGGCCAAATACACTGCCGTGGGCGCTTTCATCTTTCTTCGATTCTTTTGCCCAGCTATTGTCGCCCCGGATTCTGAAGGCCTAGTCGATCTAATACCCACCAAAGAGATGCGAAGAGGATTGATGTTGATTGCGAAGATCATCCAAAATCTGGCCAACAATGTTCTCTTTGGCGCGAAAGAGGCGTATATGATCCCACTCAACGACTTCCTGACTGGAAATATTTGCGAGGTCATCACTTTCCTCCGCAATATCTCTATCCCTCCAAAGGCCAACGAGGTTATTCAACTTCAAGAATCCTTCGATTTCGGTAGCAGTGTGGCTTTGCATCGATTTCTGTACGATCATTGGGAGACTGTCCGCCACAAGCTTATCTTCGAGGAGAAAGCCAGACGACAACGTCCAAATGGAGACAAGTCCTTCAGCGAACTGCCTCCTTCCGAGCTCCAAATTTCAATCAATAAGTTCTCGGCATTGATTTCGACCCTCGGTGCCCCACCGCTCGATATCTCTCTCGGGAGACCCCAGATTACTGGGAGTGTTCAGCCAGCATACTCACGGTATCAGCACTTCATGCTGAGGAACTCTGGCCGCAGTGTCGAAAGCATTCTGTCGGCGAGGATAGTGTACGACGGAGGTGAAACTAAGGACGGGATGTCGGTGATCTGCTTTGTCCAACGGAACATCAACATCGAGACAGTTGATCCGGATTTGCTAGCATACTGCTACCTCAAGGTTCGTCCTCTTCAGTTCTCACCCTCCGACGTAACGTGCTGATTCTCGAAGATCGCAAGCCGAATGTGGCACAAGCCTTTCGCTGTACTCGTCGATGCGACGTGCTACAGTCTTAACAACGAACTACCAGATGAAGTCTACAGGAAGATCGATTCCCTCATGCCGCCAGAAATGATCAAGAATTACTCCCGATTATACGTCTACAACATGAATAGTGCCTATCGAAAGTTCATGAGACGAGCATTACGGCATGCCGTGAAGGATGAAAACAACCCTTGGCACCCTAGCCAAATCGAATTCATCATGTTGGGAAGTTTAGGGGAGCTGCAGCAACACTTCAATCTAGGAAGTTTGCATCTGCCAAGGGAAACGATGAGCTTTTTGAGCGACTCGAGATACGTCTTCCACAACATCACTAGGCTGTCGATGACCAAGGGAAATACGGAGGTCATCTTCAAGGTCGGCAGTCAGTACATTCAGATTACACCTGTCAAACGACAAGAGTTGTACCCAGGGTTTAGAATCTTGGTCAACGTGAACGACATCTTCAGACTTTCGGATGTTGAAGAAGCAAATGCGGCTTACCATACCGACGAGGAAAATGCATTCGGAATCAAAACCGATGGTGGGAAGACCTCCTTCTACTTCTCGAGTCCGAAGAAGAATGATATCCTCAAGACACTCAAGTCGTCGAAAGCCAAGTATTCCAGCGATAACAAGCCTTCCAAGCTTAGCGAAAGGACCATTCGTCCGGAAGACGTTCCGGGTACGATGCTCAACATCTCATTGATGAATATGGCGAGCGTTGATCCCGCTCTGCGTCTTGCCGCGTACAATCTGCTGTGCGCCCTCTGCCAAGCATTTCAGTTCAACCTTGACAGACAATTTGTGAATGCTAAAGGTTGGTTGAAATGGTCCTCTCACCACATGTTGTGTTTGCTAATTTATGGGGTTCAGGTTTGAGCATACCCCCTGATGCTGTGACACTCATTGTCGGCGTGAGCGAAAAATTAGCTGCTACGGAACCCCAGCTCACCTTTGACTTCCTCACCGAGTTCTTCATTGGATGGGATAAGTCACATCCTCGACAACGCCCTCTGAACATTCTCTACATGGCGCCATGGCTTGCGAACCTTCACTCGCACGTTTTGATGGGTGGCGAGGATCCGGAACGAGGCCGTGAGAGACTGGCTGTCATCGCACGAAAGATCATCGACATAACCGTGAAAGAGCCTAAGCTTTACACATCGTTTCAGCAGAACGCCTGGTTTATCATCGGGAAAGACGAAGGTCTTCTAGACGTTTTCCTGGAAGAATTGATCAAGGCTGCCATGAACTTTGGGTTTGGGTCGGACGGTGCTGAAACCATTGGGTCCATCTGTTCGTCCTTCGAGACTCTCACGATCCGCAGCAAGGTCATCGCGAGGCTCCGGAAGGCTCTCAATAAGTCGACACTTCGCGCAACACGCCATCTTGTTGACAATCACGCTTGGAATGAGATTTGCGTGCTGCTCAAGATATGCCTCGCGATCTCCTTCGACAGCCGTATCCAGGCGCAGATGTTCTTGCCCGAGCTCTTCCATGTCATCACGATGATCGTCAACTGTGGCCAGTCCCCGGTCCGTGTGGCAGTTCATAGCTTACTGGTGAATACCGTTCACTCCATATCGACGTCTTTTCCGTTGGAGGATTCGAACCTAGCACAATTGAAACAGGTTCTAGTATCTCTTAATGAGCCGAAGATGCGTCTGCTCTTCAGCTTGAACAGACCGACGTCGAGGGATGCTACAGCGATCCAAGAACAGCGGTCAGAGAATTCCACGTCGACGTCGATGGAACAGATCACAAACTTGCTTCTCGACATCATCGCTGTTGCCGCGCCTACAATGGACATGGCGAACATATGGCGAGCACGATGGATGAGTTTGGTGGCGAGCACTGCCTTCCAAAGCAACCCGGCCATCCAACCACGAGCGTTCGCAGTCATGGGATGTTTAGCGCGAGAGGATGTTGATGACGACTTGCTCTATCAAGTGCTGGTGGTCCTGCGCAATGCCCTGACTCGGTTCGTCGAAAACGGAGACAACGAGATGCTGACTAGCATCATCACCAGTCTGACGAAGATGATGGACAACCTCTCGCCAACATCTCGATATCTTCATCAGTTGTTCTGGGTTGCAGTGTCATTGGTCCGTCTAGGCTCTGGAATGGTGTTCAATTGCTCTGCAGGTCTCTTGGAAGCCACCCTTCGGACACTTGCCAAATCCGGCGAATTTAAGAACAACAAGTTAGGCCATGTGCTCCTGCAGGGGAAAGCTTTGGTCGACGAGGCTGCTATGGATATTGACGAGCTATATGGCATCAAATTCGACGTTGATAACTTCCATTTCGCAATGGCTGCAACACTGACGAAGGGCCTCCAAAGTCCATCCACAAAGCCGGCCGCCATCAGTGCCCTTACAGCTTTCGTGGAAGTCGGCGCAGCAAACATGCCGGAACTGCCACGCTGGACGAAGGATACTCCCATACCACCTTACCTGGCGATGGTCGTAACACGCGCCTCGAACCCGAGCGACATCAAGGAGCTTATGTGGATGGTTGGATTGTCGATCGACGATTCGGATATCAACGTGTGGTCGAACATCCCTCCGATCGAGATGATGTCGGAGCGAAACCTGCTGTTGAATGGTGTCCTGGCTATCATCGACTTCAAGACTTGCGAGGAGATCATACAGAAGCATGCTCTAGTATTCTTCACGCACATGGCGCAGAGGCGGCCTGAAGTGCTAGTGTTGATGTTCGTGCAGCCCATCCTTTCCTGTATACTTCCTTAAACTAACTTCTTTGGTTCATGCAGGTACGACCACTTGATCGATCACCTCGAGACCGTTCTCGGCACGTCTCACAACCCGGCGCTCCTGAAGGAAGCGAATGCCCTGATGTGCGCCGTCTCCAAGAACAACATGTTCCCCCAGCGGAAGAATATGAAGGAGAAGTTGAACATGTTCCTGGATGATTGTGGATTGTCTGGAATTTGGACTTCTACATCGTTCAAAACGACGGTTGACAGAGAGAGCCGATGCGCTGCTCTCACTGACAAACTGATTGATGTATGTTTGACATAGCATCACCGCCCTGATATGATACTAACGTACCACAAACAGTTCATCATCATGTAGTAGACAGCCAGGCACCCTTAACGACGACGAATGTGTTCATGAATTGATGTGATGGTTGTACTGCTTGCTTGTGTATCTTTTTGAAATGTGTGTGTGCGCGGGGGGTGCGGGGGGAAGATCTTGGGGTACCTACATATGGTTGTTCTGCTTTTTGCCAGGTTTGTGAATCGTTTCTCTCCCTCCATCTCTCCCTCTGTCCTTTCTTTTTGGATATCTTTTCTTCTGTGTTGTTTCTTAGCTAAGGAGTTTTTTCATTTTCATTTTCATTTCCATCGGCGGAATGTATCATGCATCTCGTATATTTATGTACGATGTTCTCTGTCTGCCTGCTTTGCCTGAATTTCCTTTGCTCTTTTTCTTTCTATATCACTTTTCTTCATGGGGCCGGTTTTCTCCGGTGGTGACGGCGGCGAGGGGCGTTGGAGGATTTAGTTAGTCAGTGCTTCTCACCATAACTCTTCGGTCGGCTCTCCTCTGCTTCTCGCTCTCGAACCGATGACATCTTCTTCGTCTAGCCCATATGGCGTAGCGGCCAGCTCGAGACTAGCGGGGTTATATCGACCGCAGATGGCAGCAGCACCCATGCCAAATGACTCTTGCTGGTTGCGGGATGGGCAATGCCCTTCCAAGATCAGGTTTTGCCGTGCACGCCCTGATCTCCGGTCCACAATTGACCGATTCATCCCGACTAAGGAGTGGGGGATAGCGATATGAATTATGGTGGGGGGTTCCTTCGTTTGTTTGTTTGTTTACACTGCCCCGCTCCCCCGCGCCCGCATCCGGACATCCTTCGATTCCTGGGGAAGAGGATGCTCCAGATATCTATCTTCGGGCGTTGGAACGGTCAATTCATCGTCAAAAAGTATCTGGTGTTGCATGTGTTGCCTCCCCTCCGGTTGCAGTTCACATGCTGTGTTCGACTTCACGATAACAACTGGATTAGATTATTATTGCTAGGGAACCTCCATGGCACATGCCGTACTTCGGCAAAATTCTGCAGATCTCGTTGATCACGATCCTTGTCTGACACTGGCGGGGCTTCTACTGGAATCAAACTAACTCTAATCCCGCACCAAACACCGCAGCCTGGGCGTCGATGCATCCCATCCTGAATGGAGTAGTGTGGTAGGTCGGTCTACATACATGTGTGAGACCTCAAAAAAATATGCTCGATTTTTGCCGGTACGAGACGTACCCCGCTTCGCGAACTTTTTTGCACACCCTACCCCACTTCGGACTGGGCGGTGGGCTGTCGTTGGGCCAGGGAAGAGGAGGATGGAGGGAGGGAGGGCCAGATATAAAGGGCTCAGGTCCGCCATCTCAAAGGTGCTCATTCCTCAACCTCGACTCATCCTCATCTCAGAAAACAAATCTTCTTCTTCCATACGTTCGTATACACAATGCTGCTGCTGCAATGATCACTTTATTCTTCACTTCTCCCTTCCAACCCCTTCTGCCTGAAGTGGCTTGAATGGCGTTGCTGATACTTACAGTTCGGACACAGCTTCAAATGTATTCAGTCCTCCCGTCTAGCAAAGACGTTGGCGGTGGCGGTGGTGGTGGTGTGGGAAGACGGCATGGTGCCTATCGCAATAGTTGCTATCTATGATCGAGGTAATGTTCATTGGTGAGAGCATAACGGGTGTCCGTCTGTCTGCCATCATCCTACCTCTTTCGCGAGAGAGGGATGATGGAAGACATTCGTTCTGAGATTATACCGTCTTAACTTGATCAAGATAATACTTGCGAAAAGGAACATGCTTCATCCCCCCCTCCCCCCTCCTCCCCTCTGCTTTGCGTTTCCCGGTCCTCGGGATTTGGTTGTGCTTACTCTCAGCAGTCATATCAACAATGGCCCCTACTTTCATAGAAACCCCCGTTGAGGTCGTCGTTCCTCAGGGAAAGGCTGCCGTTGCCGCCGCAACCGCCGGTGTTGCCACCGCCGTGGCCACCGTTCACCAGACCGAGAGCGCTAAGAAATGGGAGAACTTCGCGTTCACTCACATCCGTGAGAGCACCGTCTCCCGCGCCATGACCCGCCGTTACTTCCAGGACCTCGACACCTACGCCGAGTCCGACGTCGTCATCATCGGTGCCGGTTCTTGCGGTCTGTCCGCTGCTTACAAGCTGGCCAAGGCCCGCCCTGACCTCAAAATCGCCATCATTGAGGCCAACGTCTCTCCCGGTAAGATAACTTGTAAAATATACGATGATGATCTCCGACTGACGGATTGACATAGGTGGTGGTGCCTGGCTCGGTGGTCAGCTCTTCTCCGCCATGGTCATGCGACGACCGGCCGAGAAGTTCCTCGACGAGATTGATGTTCCTTACGAGGAGGAGGGTGACTACGTTGTCGTTAAGCACGCCGCTCTCTTCACCTCCACCCTTCTGGCCAAGGTTCTGCGTTTCCCCAACGTCAAGCTCTTCAACGCCACCTGTGTTGAGGACCTGATCACCCGCAAGGACGAGTCGGGCAACCTTCGCATTGCCGGTGTCGTCACCAACTGGACTCTCGTCACCATGCACCACGATGTGAGTTACCCACCATATTCCACCATCAACACCTGTGAACAAAGTACTGATGGATGATCAGGACCAATCCTGCATGGACCCCAACACCATCAACGCTCCTCTGGTCATCTCTACCACCGGACACGACGGACCATGGGGTGCTTTCTCCATCAAGCGTCTCGTATCCATCGGTGCCTACGAGAAGCTTGGAGGCATGCGTGGTCTCGACATGAAGACCGCTGAGGACCAGATCGTCAAGGGTACCCGTGAGGTCGTTCCCGGTATGATCATCGGTGGTATGGAGTTGGCCGAGGCCGACGGATGTGAGTTCTCCCTTACTTTCCCCCTACCAACTGCAATCGGTGACTGACTCATAATAAAGCCTGCCGTATGGGCCCCATCTTCGGCTCCATGGCCATCTCTGGTGTTCGTGCCGCTGAGATTGCCGTCGAGATCTTCGAGGAGAGGAAGAAGCAGAACATGGAGTAAGAGTTGCTGGCATCGACCTCCTCCTCCATAGGTAGTTTGATTTTCTTTTGTTTGGATATTTTAGGGATTTTTCTTGGTTAGCGAAACAAAATACTGGCATTTTTGGCCTCACACACACACACACACACTCAGATGTAACTGGACTTGAATTGGCTGCATGATTGAAAACCGTGAACATATCTTGCGTCACCAACACCCCCTCTGCCAGTACTAGACACCACTATGCTAGAAGTCTAGACACTGCACTGCTCATCTCTGTAGACCTCGGGTAACTCGCCGCATGACATCGGTATGTACTCTACCTTCATGCTTCCTGACGGCCGACACTTCCCTAGTGCAGCCAGTAGTTGGTTACATAGCCAACACCCGAAGCTCGAACCGAACGATTGGCGTTCAGCGGCCAGTCGGCCCAGCCCATCTCATGCGGGTGTTGGTTGACAGTCTTCTCATGCGGGCGTTGACAGCCATCCGATGCAAGCACGCCTTAGCCGTCTTGGAGGATGCGGACGGTGCTATGGCACGGCAGAGGTACGTACTTGCGGCCGGTTCATTCCGTGCGAGGTCGACCGCCTAGCCGAGTGATACTTGTGACGCGGGCGCGGGGCCTGATAATCGTGCAATCGGACGGACCATATGTGGGTAGTCCGATTCCGTCCGGCCGTCTCGACGCAAGCTAGCCAGTCAGCGATCCGGACTGTATGTAGTCGCCGGACTGGCTGTCATAGGTAGCGGTTCTAGGTAGCAGGTCTGGACTGCCGTCCGGTGGTCATCTCGGGCGGAAGACCGCTCGGACTGCTACATGGCCTGGTAATCCGGCCGATAAGCTGCACGTAAGTAAGGTCAGGATCAGGATCAATACCGCGGGCACACTAGTGCGGGTCCGCAAGGTATGGACATTCTGTCCGTCCTAGTCCCTGTCTCAAACATGGAGTATGCATAACTTCGGTGGCGGTCAACCCCGAATGATGGGCAGCCCGAACCGGCGATTGTCATCCTTGAATTACGGTGCTACAGCTTGTTACAGCTTTGATCACTTTGGACAGGCCGCTTGTATGTACTCTAATGGGCCGCTGTCGAGCACGATGTTAATTGGATGGTGACAATACGATGCAGTGGTGGGTTGTTGGCAGAAACCGATTCATTATTAAACGCCCGTCTAATTGTCTCCTTCATGCACAACCTGTCGCCAACCGTTAGCTCCGGTTCCGAACTCTGCGACTCGACGCCAACACTCACTGCAGTATCCAGAATCTCGACCCGTCCACGACCTTTCGTCTCGCCGGCTACGATATCCGCCAGGAGCTTGTACTTCCCAGGCTCGACGAACCCGGTGCACTCCCAATCCCCGCTCTGCAGGAACTCCTCCGCCTCGACCTGCTCGACATGTTCCATAACCTTCTCCTTGCACTTCTTATTCCCAGTGATCCTGAGCCTCATTCTCGCGCGGGCGATAGGGATGATCTGTGCAGCGACCAGCGCCTTGATAGCCTCGAGGGCCTGGGCCTTCGCGCTCTTACTATCCTTGACGCCATGCCATCCGCCGCCCTCCTTCGTCGCGAGCTCCGCCAGCGCCTTCTCCACCATCGTCGACGTGTACACGCGCTTGCTGCCGGGGTCGACACATTTCGACGCGACGATGCTGATCACCTCCGCGTGAATCTGGTCGAGCTTCGCGCCCCGTTCCTTCTCGCCCACTTGTAGCTCGCCCTTCTGGAGGATCTCGCGCACGATGTCCGCTGTGGAGGTGCTCGCGCCGAACGCTTTCTGAAGGTCCGCTTTGGGCGCTAGGGCCCCCTTCGATACGTTGATGAATACTTGGTCGGTTTGCAGGACTTCGTCGAGATCGTTTTCGCTAGGAGACGTCAGTTGGAATGCTGGCAAGGCAAGGTAAGGCAAGCCGGGGGACGCACACGCCGGAGCGGTATTCGAGGACTTTGTTCTTGTAGCAGGCGATCTCGAAGCGCTTCTTGCCTATCGGTCGGAGTGAGGTGTTAGTAGGGACGACGATAGTGGGGCAGCGGAGGTCGATAAAAGATAAGAAGTCGGTACCTTTCTTCAGCCGCACTATGGCGACATTGGTGAGGCGGATCTGGTTGGAAGGCTGCAGCACACGGAGGGGTTAGCGGACACTGTTGCGAGTGCAAGACGGTACGGTACCTGATTTATGGGCATTATGCTTTTTTTTTTCGTGACTGGCCGTTGTGGTTGTGAGGGGTTTCGTAATAACTAGAAAGTTTTTGGGAATTCTAAACCTTCCTTATGATGTGATGTGGGGGTTGTCTGGGTGGGACCACTTAGCGTGGATCCAGAGGGAGAGAGAGAGAATCGATTATTTATTTTCGCGTACGGTCTTGCTAGAGCACATAGAAGCGTGGATCCGGAGAGAGAGAGAAAGAATCAATTTAATATCCAGATATTATTGCATACGGCCTTAACTACCACTTAGCCAGAAGCGTGGATCCAGGACACTACGCGAGGTCCCTGTGCCTATGCCCCACTTCGAGTCATCATGAGTGAGAGGTGGTGCGTGGGTTAAGACGGGAAGCCAAGTCCCTGTGGCTTGAAGCCACCATTCATTCGATTGTGCCCGATCACATGTCGCTGTAAGAGCGTGCATCGAGTCACCGGAGTGGTACCGCGGGGCAGACTTGATATGCAGGTATGTTTCTGTAGTAAAGGTTTCCAACAAAACCACCGCTAATGCACACGCAGGCGATGATATCTACCCGTCGGATCACGACTGCGAAGGAGGATGAGGCCTTTCTAAGCATTTCTCACCAATCCCTCGTGTTGGTACATAGTCATCGGACTCACAACTCTGACACGATTGGCCATGCCACTTGTGCCTCCTTCCATGAAGGCATCGCGCGGCGACATTGACCACCGCCCATCTCATCACGAGACGGATCAAGGCCACCATCTCAGCTTCGGTGACGAGCACAAGATGGCATGCCCTTGGAGGTTGGCCAATAGGTATCGGCGTCAGCGTGCTCAAGAAATAGGACTTGGGAGGACCCACAGACGTGCCATAATGCCATCTTTCATTTTTTGATACAATGGCTGTTCAAGGCTTCAAGCGCTTTTCGACCTCAACACGATGGCAACAGATAATGATATGGCCTAGGAAGGACTCCATTGATTGGACCGTGTGGATTGAGGCCTTCATTCATATCTTAGAGGATTACTCACGATTACCGAAGGAGTCATGCCCTGCGTAAAAGCCTCCATAGCCTGGAGGAATCATCACACTGACGCTGTATGTACATACAAATCGATATGTATCGTCCGGTTGTGCCTCGGGATCGTCGCTGTACCCCGCAATTACGGTTACTCTAGCTTGCCGTACCTAACGTGTCAGACCCCTCATACTTACAAAGCGCCTGTAGGAAACCCCATCTCGTGCAATGGTGAGCGGGTGTATTTAAAGGTGTTCTACCGTCTACCGATATGTGATTTCACGCAGACCCAAGCAACTACTCTACTTAGCTTTACCTAAACTCGGCAGCCGTTAACCGTCAACGAAATGTCTCCCCCAGCACCAATAACTGCAGACCCGGAGCAGGAGGAGCTCATTATGAAGACCAATACCGACGACTTCAGTTCGCCCATGCCCCGCCCTCCTAAGTTCACCGACAAGTTCGAGGAGCGAAAGTACCTTAAGGAGCGCCTGGCCGCCGCATTCCGAATCTTCGCAAAGCATGGCTTCGATGAAGGAGTTGGTAAAAACCCTCCCCAACTACTAGTACCTCCCGTTGGTTGAAACAACGTTAACCGATCCGCCCTGTAGCTGGTCACATTACCATCCGCGATCCTGTCGACCCGCACACCTTCTGGGTGAATCCGTTCGGCACGCACTTCTCGCTGATAACCTCGTCGGACCTCCTGCATGTCGACCACGCCGGGCGGATCCTCGGCGACTCGGGCCCGCTGCGCAACCTCAACGCCGCCGCATTCGCAATCCACTCGGCGATCCATGCGGCCCGCCCCGACGTCGTCTGCGCTGCCCACGCACACAGCTTGTACGGCCGCGCGTTCTGCACCCTCCACAAGGAACTCGACATGATCTCGCAGGACTCGTGCGTGTTCTATAACGACCACATAGTGTTCAAGGAGTTTAATGGCGTCGTGTTGGAGGAGGAGGAGGGCATCAAGATTGCCCAGGCACTGGAAGGGAGGAAGGCGGCCCTCCTAGGGAACCATGGCATCCTTGCGACGGGAGGTAGTGTGGAGGCGTGCGTGTTCTGGTTCATGAGCATGGAGAAGTGCTGTAAGGTCCAGTTGCTGGCGGATGCGGCGGGGCAGACGGTCAAGATTGGGGAGGACGAGGCGAAAGCCACGCATAAACTCATTGGGGGCGAGTGGGCCGGCTGGTTCAGTGGAAGACCGTTGTTCGATGTAATCGAGAACGAGACCTCGGGGCAGTACAAGCTGTGAGGGATGAGGGGTGAAGGCTAGACTAGATTAGTTGTGTGAGGGCAACCGTAGTTATGAGACATGGATTGTAGTACACACCTCTGATTTCAGTGAGTTATTATTTGCGTGGGAGCAACCGTGGTTACGAGACATGACTTACAGTACTCGTCTCAATGAGTTATTATCTCCGTGAACGATGTTGTTGATTTTCATCTCTAGCGGCGTCGCAGGCCCAGGTGCCCAAGTAGGATGTAGGTACAGTAAGAAGTACCTATACGAGTAAATATAGGTGGTTACTTTGTAAATACGGTTCTCCAGACTCCAGAGTCCATTGTGCCAGGATACAGCCCCATACAAATACCTACTGACATCTCCGCAAGCGAACCCCTCCTACGTCCTACCCCAGCCCTTCATATGCATACACTCTCCCCTCAATAACTAGTCGCTTGCATTTCTCCATATTGATCTTCCCCCAGAATTTTCTTTTACTTTATTTCTTACACGGAAACATCCATCTCGCGGTGGATATATACGGGAGAATCTCTCGGTTCCAAATCGCATCCCTTCCGCCGAGTAGAGATTGGCAGGCGGAGACTTCGGCTCGTTCCCGCTCGTGTGTGTTGCGGGGAAAGCTTATTGAATATGCATAGGTAGGCAAGTACATACGCATTGCAAAATTTTCGGCAGGGGTAGGCAGCTGCAGCTAGGTAGGCGACGGGATTCAGGAACGGCTTGAGCTGGAGATCTAAGTGGGGGTGGTGGGTTATTAGGTGGTGGTGGTAGTGGTGGTGGTGGGGCCGATGTGGGATCAGGAACGGTCGGTGATTCAGGCCGATGGGTGATTGCCTGTGGACGTGTATAACTCCGGTTCGTCTCCCCTCCCGCTGGCCCTTGTTCCCGGTCCACTGTCCACTGACAACTGTCAACTGACCAGGCCAATCGGCGCGACCTACAAATACATCCCGTCACAGAACACGGGAGACAACAAGGCGTGGATTTGGCGCCATCCAACCACAAGTAGCTAGGAAGTCCGCACTCTTCGTGCTCAATCAGCCAGTGAATGTTCAAAGTCCGGAACCTCGGCCGAAGAACAACCAGCCGTCTTTTATAGTGCCTGGGTTATGCAGATGCATCATACCCTACATATGAGCCGACATCTCAGCATGGACGGAGATTTCGGGAAGTCATACCTGTCGAGCTGTCGGTGCCTTCGCGGCACCACTATATCAGTCCTCATGACATATTGCACCAGGCCAGAAGCTATATAAACACCTTAGGATGGCCTCGATGTGTTCGGTATCAGCTCAACAGCCCCAAGCAGAAAATTAAAAGCAACAATGCGTTTCCTCACTATCTTCTCCGCCATCGCTGTCCTTGCTGGCTCCGTCCAGGCCGCCACAAAGGTCATGCCCCTCGGCGACTCCATCACGGGATCCCCTGGGTGCTGGAGGGCAACGCTCTACAACCGTCTCTGGTATTCACCGACTTCCCTCCGCTCGTATCCCATATATGTACTAACACTATTTCTCCAGGAACAACGGCTACACAAACATCGACATGGTCGGCACCCTGCCAGCCCAAGGCTGCGGCGTTACCTACGACGGCGACAACGAGGGCCACGGCGGATATCTCGCCACCAACATCGCGAGCCAGAGCCTTCTCCCGGGGTGGCTGTCCGCCACTAACCCCAACATCGTCATCATGCACCTGGGAACCAACGACGTGTGGAACAACATCGCGCCGGCCACCATTCTCAGCGCCTTCTCGACGCTCGTCGATCAGATGCGGGCCAACAACCCTAGCATGAAGATCTTGGTACGTCTCCTGAAGAAGAAGGAGAGAGTAGAAGATGATGTGCGGCGCTGACCCAGTGCACGGAAATATAGGTGGCGAAAATCCTCCCCATGAATCCCTCGGGCTGCAGTGAGTGTGCTCAAAGGGTCATCAACTTCAATGCTGCCATCCCCGCTTGGGCCACCGGTAAGACCACGAGTCAGAGCCCGATCACCGTCGTGGATCAGTGGACTGGGTTCTCTACGGCAACGGATACCACGGATGGTGTTCACCCCATCGACAGCGGAAACCAGAAGATCTCGGATAAGTGGTATCCGGCTTTGGTGGCTGCTCTGTAGATAAGGCAAAGGCCCGATTGGTTGGTTGGTTGGAGGGATGGATGGATGATTGGAAGGATGCTTGGATGCTTGGAAGGATGGATGGTTGGAAGGATGGATGGAAGGATGAATGGTGGATGGATCATGGGTGAATGGTTACATGTATGTCCATAGCCGCACAGTAAGCGATACCCTTGGAACATATGCCAATGAATGTACTATATATACCCCACTGCCAAAAAAGCACCCGTTATGTAAGACCGATAGGCAAGAACAACAAATACCAAATGAGACAAAACCCCCCAGAACTCGGTGAAACGACCAAAATCATTATCTCTCACTCATCACCACCTTTCCTCATGATTCAATATCACGTGATCGACTCTCTCTCATCTTGTACGCATAGGCCATGTTTCACGTAACAGCCTTGATTATTCAATGTCTAGAGGCTTACACTTAAGCCTAGACTCCCAAACATCATCTTTACAAGGCGATCAATTCCTATGTACCTGTCCCTACTGCGCCTCAAACCGATACCACTCGATCAACTGCTGCGAGAAAGCCAAGCGGTAGTCTTTGCATATTTCCCTGCCACAATTACGGCAGTATACCACGAAGCCGTCCGCACGGATGTAGCGGCGGCTGTACATGGGAAACGTCGAGCGGGGGGTACAATGTTTGCAGGGACCGCGCGGACGGACCGGCGGAGAACGGATTCTGCTGTGGTGATGGTTGAAAGACATGATAGTGATCTTTTTGCGTTTAAACCGAGTATCTATGATGTATGTACTTGGGTAGGAAGTCCAGTAACCGTGAGTGGCCTTTTTTTCCCCACCGGGCAAGGTGCACGTAAGTATATATACTTCTCCCTCCTGGCATCTACAAGTTGAATGCGAACTACCTACAAACGTAGTGGGGAGGTCGTGCAAACGCCCCGTGCCAGACCCACCCACGGGACTGAACGGTACTTCAGGTGGCCACGCAAAATCGATCTATTATATTTGCTATACGCTAACTTGAAAGGTGTAGGTTAGGTTTGGCGGTATGGCGTGGTAAACCTATAACAGGTACGGGAAAGACCACGCGGATAACATCGGAGAAAATAACCTTTGGATAATCCGGGGATGCACATGGAATAGGTACATGCAGGAGCAACCGGACCGTTTAATGGCTATTTTTCGGCTCGTTTGTACACTTCCCTAGCCCCATGGGAGGAAATAGTATGCTCTGCCAGCCTAAAGGTATATATCAATGTTAAGTGCGTAATGTATCTCTTATATGTAGAATTCAAGAGTCAACGAGTTGACGTTCAATAGAGTGTGTGAGCAAGACTCACGGGAACTAGCGAAAAGACGAGGAACAATAGCCTTCTGTCTTGGAAGCGATGCGATATCGATATCGGGTGGTGTTTGAATCTAGCATCACAAACTCTCACCCTCGCCCTCACCCCTGCATGGGGCTCAACTGTGGCACAGTGCCACACCGATCCAACAACCAGCTCCACGTCTTCCAGCTTCACCAACTTTACACATACCCCGACACCGACCACGACACCACAGCCATGGGTCTAGTCGACTACAATTCCAGCAGCGATGACGAGATGCCGAGTGCGCCGACCGCGTACGCGCCCTCCATCACGACCATGACGACCAGAATCACCGCGGCGCCCGACGTCTCGCTCGAGGACCCTATGCAGCTCCGGCAGTCACTGATCAAGCCGACCGACCGGAGCATCACGCACAACATGTCGTACGACCAGCTTTCGGCGCCGGAGGCGGGCCCGCAGAATCCGTTCCTGGGAACCGACGCGACTAGTAGGAAGCGCAAGAACGTCCCCACCGGGTATGCTGAGCAGAGTGGCATCAGCGATGCGACGTTCCGTGCGCAGCACCGCACTTTCAACTCGCTTGGGTACGCGGCGGTCGGCGAGGGATTCGTCGGCGATCAGAATGCCGTGGTTGCACATGGCGGGAAGGATGTCGTCCAGCTGCGGCCGAGTAAGAAGGAGACTGAGGCGATACGGAGGAAGAGGCAGAACAAAGGGGATGCGGCGGTGCTGGATGGTGATGGGGCGTATTTGGGGCCGTGGGCGCGGTACAATGAGGCGGCAATGGCGATACGGGATGACGAGGAGGGTGAGGAGTATGAGGAAGAGGAGGCAGCAGAGGAGGAGGAAGTGGTCGCGCCCGTGTCGAACCCCATCATCGACAAGGCTGGTCGCGAATACCTGGATGTCAATACTGGCGGTGTGGGCAAAGAGAACTCGGAGTTCCACGGAACCGACATGTACGATTACCAGGGAAGATCGTATATGCATGTTCCTCAGGATTTGGACGTCGACTTGAAGAAGGAGCCGGGGACCCAGACGAATTTCATTCCAAAGAAACTGGTGCATACTTGGAAGGGCCATACGAAACCCATTACTGCGTTGCGCTTCTTCCCCGGCGCGGGTCACTTGCTGCTATCTTCTTCGAGCGACTCCAAGGTGAAGGTCAGTACCTCTTCTTCCTCTTTCGCCTCCATTTACATACTCACATCATCATAACAGATCTGGGATGTCTACCACCAGCGCGAGCTGCTACGAACCTACAACGGCCACTCCAAGGCAGTAACAGACATCACATTCACTCCCACCGGCGAAAATTTCCTTTCAGCCTCCTACGACCGGTACATGAAGCTCTGGGACACCGAAACAGGCAAATGCCTCCACCGCTTCACGACGGGCAAAATCCCACACGTAATACGTTTCAACCCGTCTCAGCCGCACGAATTTCTCGCCGGTATGTCGGACAAGAAGATTGTGCAGTTCGACACTCGCACCGAAGAGATGGTGCAAGAATACGACCACCATCTCGGCCCGGTAAACACCATCACCTTCGTCGACGAAGACCGCCGGTTCATCACCACCTCCGACGACAAATCGCTGCGCGCGTGGGAATACGGCATCCCGGTCCCCATCAAGTTCATCGCCGAGCCGTACATGTACAGCATGGTGCGGGCGGCGCCACACCCGAGCGGGAAGTACGTGGCCTACCAGAGCGGCGACAACCAGGTCGTCGTCTACGCGGCTACCGACAAGTTCCGGCAGAACAGGAAGAAGGCGTTCAGAGGACACAACAACGCCGGTTATGCTATCGATATCGATATCTCCCCCGACGGACAGTTCCTCATGTCCGGTGACAGCGGAGGATGGCTCTGCTTCTGGGACTGGAAGAGCTGCAAGTTGTACCATAAGTTCCAGGCGAGTGATGGCCCCGTTGTGGCCGCCCAGTGGCATCCGCAGGAGACTAGTAAGGTCGCCAGTGCGGGGCTGGATTGTGTCATCAAATATTGGGATTAGAGACTGGCAGCGTGGAGGGATGTCAGAGAGTATTTATTGGATGTGGAATGACCAGCATGAATGTATCTTGTCTCCAGGTTCGCGTTAGGGTATCCATACGGATCAAGTGATATCATAGGCGTGTGGTCGAGCGGGACCGTGGTATAAAATATCAGGCAGTAGCCACCAGCCATCTACTCGTTCGTCATGTCCATTATCACAGCCCCCGACATCGTATCATACAATGCACAACAGTCACCACCCCTCCGAGTCCATCCCCCAAAAGCAAAACGTAAACTAAACCCACTCCAACTCCGTTAAGAACAAAAAAAAACACCAACAAGCCAGACGGGGAACAGAACAGAACAGCATTGCAAGTAAGTGACCAACTAGGTACAAGTACATACGTGTGCAACTAGCAACTGCTAGAAGCCAGCCAGATCCGTCCACGTGCCCACAAAGTCCAGTCCCGGGGCCCCGCTTCCCGTCATGATCGCCTTGAACTCGTCAAAGTTGAGACGTCCCTCACCGCCACGCTCCTTTATTTCCTCGCGCATAGCCGCCCGCATAGCCGCACGCTTTTCACGCTCCCGTTGCGCAGTTGCTTCCGCATTATCTTTTTTGTCTTGCTCTTCTTTTTCACGCTCCCGTTGCGCATCGGCTTCCGCATCGGCTTCCGCATTGGCTTCGGCATTGGCTTCGGCATTGTCTTTGTCTTCCTTTTCTCCGTCTTTGGCGGGGACGGCCTGGTCTTTGGTTTCGGTTTCGGATGGCTCGATCGTGGGCTGTTGACCCTTACCTTCAGGCTGCTTCTCCTCAAGCTGCGTCTCTTCAGGCTGCATCTCTTCAGGCTGCTTCTCCTCAGGCTGCTTCTCCTCCTCCTTCGTCGGGACTTCATCCTCCATTCTTGCTTCAACAGCCGCCCACTCCTTCTCCTTAAACAAGAGATCCAGCAGCTCATTAATTCCGCGGATGGCGAGATGGAACAGGACCTCACTACCGACGTCCCTCTCCTCCTCGGGGAGCATAAGATCGTACTCGTCAGCGTCCATGGGCGCCCAAAAGTCCGATCTCCTCTTAGTCTCGATCATGTCGCGGCCCGTGGCAGTGGAAGGCGAGAGCGCCGAGGCGTCCAACGCTTCCTGCAGCTTGCCCGCCGCCATGTGGTCCTTAGAACTAGGGAGTACCACGGGCGAGGAGGAGTCGGCCTCTGAGTCGGAGTCGTCGAGTGCTGATGCGGGCTTTTCCCATGTGCGTCTTGCCGGAGGGATCGAGGAAGTGAAGACGGCGGAGATGGGTTGGCGGCCGTTCAAGGCTTGCTCCATGTGGCCTTGCTCGTAGAGCTCGTCGCCTAGTGACGCTACTATGTCTTTCACTAGCACTTTGCTCAGCGAGTAGAAGGATTTGAACATTCGTAAGAAGTCCTTTCGCTCGACGTAACCATCGCCGTCTAGATCGTAGCCGGCGAATATGCGCTTGAGCTTTTCGGGAGTCTTGCTCTTGTTGTTGGTCAGGGCAACACCCATTACGAACTCTTCAAAATCGATCATTCCATCACCGTTCGTGTCGTAAAATCGGAACATGCGGTCGTAAATCAAGTTTGGTGCTGGTGGATGGAGGTAAGTGTTGGGGACGAAACACTTGTCAAAGGTATCTCGAGAGATGGCGCCATGAATTCCGAACTTGGGATCGTTGTGTTCCGAGGCGGCTTGAACCTTGAATTGCTCATAAAGCGCTTCCAGTTCGACTTGCTCAACTGTGGATTCGGGTCAGCTCATGTCTGTCGAATCGACCGTCGCTCCGCGGGGTGGGTGACATACACTTGGTCTCATCCGCCAGCACTCGCATGGCCTCCAAGTTGAGGGACATAGCCATGAGCTGCGGTTTGCCGGGGTAGCAAGGAGTCTGGGCATGCCGTGGGTTACCGATGAACGGCGCCGGGATGCGGATCTTGTAGAACAGATGCGTCTTTGGATGGCAAGCATCGAGGGCTTCACAGACTTCGCACAGATCGTAATCGAGGCAGTTTGCGCAGCGGTAGCGGATTCCGCGGATGGGTATGATCTGGCAATTGTTACACGTCACGCCGCGATGCACGTAGGATTCCCGCTGCGCTGTGTCCTGCGAACTCCATCAGCAACAATCTCCATAGAGCAAGTCGGCGGGTCGACAGAGGGTGGGTACCTGGGCAATAGTGTAGAGCAGCGTCAGCAAGTTCTGATTCTCGGCATTCTCCTTTGTATCCGCCGTGAACGAGAATTCGCTCTCGGCCTCACTGTCCCTCCTCCCCGGTCGAGGCTCCCGATCAGTCGCACCACCAGCAGCTGCGCCTCGTGCACCACGGGCCTGCTGCGCCGCATGCCCCGTCTCTGTGAGCGCCTCCGCCGCAGCTTCAGGAATATCCAGCGGAAGTCCCGTCAAGTCTCCGACCTGGTTCAGGGCCTCCATGAGCTGTTCATCGCTCAGGACGCCTCCCGGCTCGGGGGAGGTGGCGGCGGCGGCACGGCTCTGTTGCCTTCGTCTGGAATTTGATGCACCGCTACGACGGGTGGCATTCGATCGTCTCAAGCGGCGGGAAGATTGGGTCTGGTTGGTGTAGAGGCGGTACGATACGGCGGTCAGGGCGATCAGAGCACCTCCGGCGATGAGGTATGGATAGTATCTCTGCAGAGAAGCTTGCCGAGGCGACATAGCTAAAGACTAAGTCTTCACTACGGGTCCTTAACCGAGCTGTCACACGGGGTGATTTTGTGGCGATGCGAGAAGGTTTTGGAGACTAATTGCGGGTTGGGAGCATTCTAGAGTAGGGGTGGTGAGGTGACAGAGGTGTTCGATGTTCCGTTCGGCTCGTGGTTGGTGGGGCGGACGTGTGCACTGAGCACTTGGTGGCTGTGCTTTGGCGAGTGGCTGTGCATGCAGTGGGACCGCCCTTCAATGATAGAGTAGTCATCAGCCACGGGGTCATTCCTCACAACTCATGTGTCCGCCTCCAAACATTTGCTTGTGATAGCATGAAACACGGACCATAAAGTTGAATAAGAACTATACTTACCGATGATAACGTTATTCGTGGAACGTGGTTTTAAGTGTGATGATGATGATGCTGTCCATCTCTCGTTCTGCCGCTCCGGCTTTGCTTGATTCCCGCCGCTGATCTGTACTCTACTACTTATACTGACTGAACTCGAGAGACGAACCACCCGCCACTTGTCATCGAGTCCCTCTGTCTTGCCTCCTCTTCTCATTCACTTACTCATCCTCCTCCTCTCTCTCCCGCCCATTAACCCGCACATCTCTCCGCTCCTCCCCGCCGCCATCCGCCATTCAAATCGGGTTCTCTCCGTCCACGTCGCCCTTATCTTCAACACCTCCCCTCCCAACCAAAATTTTAAGCCTCCTTCCTGTTGCCAACGTAAACGCAACGTAACAACAGCCTAGCGAGAAAGCCAACCTCTCCTCCACCCAACCCGCTTCCAACCCCACGAAACCCACCCCAAAAACCTTCTCCAGATTCAAACGAACAAACCCCCCCCCCCCCCATCACCCTCAACCAAAGTTACCCTCAAACACTATCGCTACAATGTCGGGAGAAGCATGGCTATTCCTACTGGCGGTACTGATCAACGCTGTCAACCTGTTCCTGCAGGTCTTTTTCACGATAATGTTAGTCGCAGTCCCCGTTCTCTGACATCATGTGCGAAATCAGAATCACAACTAACCACCGCTGTCGCAAATGCCAATAGGTACTCTGATTTGGAATGCGACTACATCAACCCTATCGACTTATGCAACCGCCTGAACTCCTACATCATCCCCGAGGCCGCCGTTCATGCTTTCCTGACTGTCCTGTTTCTGGTCAACGGCTACTGGGTCGCTCTGATCCTGAACTTGCCTCTGGTGGCCTTCAACCTCAAGAAGTACGTCGCCTTATCCCGTGTATTGGAGGGCTGTGGTGGAGAAACCGGCGGAGGCGGATGTATAACTCCGAGGACTCTCGCTGACGGCTTTACGATAGGATTCTTGATAACGCACACCTCCTCGACGCAACCGAGATCTTCCGGACGCTCAACAGGCACAAGAATGTTTGTCGCACCCACGCACGGTACGATCCCCTCATAGCTGGCAGGTGGCTAATGCATTGCACGTGAAAATAGGAATCCTTCATCAAGCTCGGCTTCCACCTCGTCATGTTCTTTTTCTACCTCTACAGCATGATCGTTGCCCTGATCCGGGACGAAACTCACTAAGCGACGACTCCCGCCGATAATGCATAATGCCTCTAAGAGTTTACGAATCGCCTACGCATGTTGGGCACGCCTATCTTCTGGATGCAGATTTTTTTTGTGATGTGGTTATTTATTGGATGTCGGGATGATGGTGGTGATAGTCACGTGTGTATTGAGGCGGCGTCGGGATTGCATAGAACAAGAGCGAGCGTGAGACGCCGGGTGTGGTTGTGGCCGATGGTGACCGGTTTTCTGCTCTACTCTACTCAGTGAGGTGATGGTGGCTTGTATAAGTGGGAGTGGATGGCCGGGCCCGTAATGAACTTTTCTACGCTTTTGTTGGTTGCTTTGATTGATTGATATATGGCTGGGTGCTACGGCTGTCGTTTCTTTTCGTTTCGTTGTTCTCTTTCGGCAAAAGCTCGGGGATAGCAATTATTGACCGGCGTGACGGTTTGCGAGGGTTTTATGCTCTGATGGCATGCGCTGCGCTTTTGATTGGACTGTTGTATTTCCCATCTTTGTGAAAATTGTTGAGGAATGATTCCACCGGGTTAGTGATATCTGGTATCTGCGGACATCCCATTATAATGTGATGACTGTTCGGGAGTCATGGGATGTTGTTCCGCACGAAAATATTTTACGAACAAACCCGGAGCCATAATTCCCCCGCGAGGATGATCTGGTGTCAACGATAGATAGGTATGACACAGTGGTAAGTGGGGGAAGGCTCTCGGGAGCGACGAAATCCCGAGAACCCGCTCTACCTCCACCCACCCACGCGGCCCTCCGCCCACCTCCCGGCCCGCTCCCTCCTGAGCGCAACCCCCTTCCTTTTCTCCCTATACTCCCTAACCCACGCCTCAACCTCACCGGCGCCCTCCAAGAAATCCTCCGCAAGCGCATCACACTCCCTCTCCCCCTCTGCGACCGCGGCACGAAGCCGCGCATGCAGACCTACCTCTGAGAACGGCTGGAGGGACTGGTACATCTCCTTCTCGACCTCGCGCCACTTCTCTTCTTGCGCGCGGGTTTCGACAAGTTTTTGTTGCGTAGCTTCGCGCTGCGCCGCGAGCGCCGCTTCCGTCGTGGTGAGGGTTTGCGCAAGTGAGATGTTGGCGGTGAGCGCGGTGGTGAGTGCCGCGGTGTGCTCGCGTGAGGCGGGATGCGTCGCCGTGAAAAGGCTCGAGAGAAGCGCGGGGGAGTGCGAGAGGTATTGTAGGTCTGAGTGGCTGTGGAGTTGGTCAGGAGGTGGGAGGTAGATGAGGTGTGCGCAGAACGTACGATTTGGTTTGGAGGAGGTCGGGAACGAAGGGGGTTGTTGGCAGCGACGGGAGCTCGTAGGCGGCCTGTTCGGGGGTGTTCGTGCGAGAGGTGGGCTTCGGCGGTGGTGGTGGCGGCTGGAACGACATGTTGCGGGGTGGTGCTGCGGCAATGAGGTGTGGGTCGGTTGTTAGTGAGCGGTGAGCTGTAACGAACTACGGCCGATACCTAATCCCGCCTCGGTCCGAACTGCCCTGCCGAATGCTATGCCGGTCTCCCGTTCGCCGTCTTGGCTTCAGCCGTAAAAGCCCCCACATCCACACCCTAGAAATCTCTTCCCCGGAGTCCACCACAATCCATCTTCACTCAATCAACCATGGCCGCCCGCGCAGCAACCCGTAACCTCCGTATTGGTACCGCAGCCCTGAAATCTAGCAATGGACTCTTCCCCGCTAACCCACCGCCAGGACTTATTCCCGGAGACGGCATTGGCCGCGAGGTCATTCCCGCCGGCCGAAAGGTCCTCGAGGCTCTCCCCTCCTCCCTCGGCCTGAACTTCAGCTTCATCGACCTCGAGGCCGGTTGGGGCACTTTCCAGGCTACCGGCACTGCCCTTCCTGAGCGGACCGTCGAGACCCTCAAGAAGGAGTGCAATGGTGCTCTCTTCGGTGCCGTTTCATCGCCCACAACCAAGGTCGCCGGCTACAGCTCTCCCATTGTCGCCCTTCGTAAGCGGTTGAACCTCTACGCCAACGTCCGCCCCGTCAAGAGCGTCTCCACCGTTCCTGGCGCGAAGCCCGTCGACCTCGTCATCGTCCGTGAGAACACCGAGGATCTCTACGTCAAGGAGGAGACCACCAGGACACTCGAGGATGGTACCAAGGTCGCCGAGGCCATCAAGAGGATCTCCGAAACAGCCTCCAAGAGAATCGGAAAGATCGCTTTGGAGCTGGCTCTGTCGCGCCAGAAGATCCGCAACGGCGGTGGCATCAGCCATCACTCTGTCCCCAAGCTCACGGTTACCCACAAGTCGAACGTTCTGTCTCAGACCGACGGTCTGTTCCGTGAGACTGTCCGGGCTGTCTACGATGCCGAGAAGGCTCGCTACCAGGGCATTACCTACGAAGAGCAGATCGTGGACTCCATGGTCTACAAGCTGTTCCTGATTCCCAGCGATTACGACGTCATCGTTGCGCCCAACTTGTACGGCGACATCTTGAGCGACGGTGCTGCGGCGCTGGTCGGCTCGCTCGGTGTTGTCCCCAGTGCCAATGTCGGCGATGACTTCGCTATTGGTGAGCCCTGCCACGGCTCGGCGCCCGACATTGAGGGCCGCGGAATCGCCAATCCCGTTGCTACCATCCGGAGTGTCGGTGTTATGCTGGAGTTCATGGGCGAGACCGAGGCGGCCGCAGTTGTCCACCGCGCTGTGGATGCTAACCTCGCCGAGGGTCTCATCAAGACTCCCGATCTTGGTGGAAGCAACACTACCGAGGAGGTGGTGGCTGATGTACTGAGGAGGATGTAAGTGCGCGATGTAGTGGCCGTGGGAGGGTGGATGGATACCAAGAATTTATGAATGATGTATGAGCATCCGGAACAGCTATCACTCGTGCCAACTCAACTCTGCGTCTACTCACACATTCGTCTCGAAACCCCCTTCAAAACGGATCTCGTATCCATAAATCGCAGCCCTTCAGTTGTAATCTACAACACCGATTATCCCACCACTTCTCTGAAGATGAAAAGAACAACGCACTCAAACCACAACGCAAACTTCGCCCCCATCCTGTACTCATGCAGCCACACATGTTGGGAGCCCGCTGAAAACCTGTTTCTAAAGAAGGAATGCGACATTTGTGATACTTGCAAGGCCAAGCAAGGGCGGCGGCGGTCTATTCTCGAAAAACTACGCCGATCCAAAAAGAGGAATGTTTAGTAGACTCCCTTATTTTTCCACTCGTCCATCAACCGCCGGATCCGTTCCTGCTCTCGGGCAGGCAGGTCGTCGAATTCCTCAGGCTCCACTGATATTGGCTGTCTGCGGTCTCGCCATTCTAGCGGTGAAGGCGGAGGTGGAGGTGGAGGTGGAGGTGGAGGCGGGGGATTTTTGTAGTACCAGTACGCTATCATAATTCTATGTTTGTACAAGGACTCCATGTAAGCTCGAACTGCCCCCCATTCGTCGGGGGTGGAGGTGTATTCGTACGGTGAAGGAGGCGAAGGTGGGCGGCAGTAGTATTCGGTGCAGCAGTAGTAGCAGGTCGCCATCTTTTGTGTGGAACGTGGATTTGCTGAGACGTCGGGTGGGGGGTGGCTGGGGGTATTTATCTCCACCTTTTCTTCAACCGCATCCATCCGTGGAGTTGTTTGCAGTGTCCACGAGGACGGTTCTCCCGTCTCCGTGTGTATGTTCGGCGTTACACCGTCGATCACTCGCGTCGAAGAACGAAGCACGAGACCACGTGATGCGCCAAGTCGCACGCGTCTCCCGAGCATAACACAGGCCCGGGAGCCCACGTGCATCGCCTCTCGTCTCGCACAACACACACAACAAGACGAAACACAATGGTACCAGGGTTTACTCGGACGGTGACGACGGCGCACCGCGAGCTGCCGTCGGGGAGGAGCGTGGCTGCGGCCTCGGTGGACGGCCTCAATGAGGCGCAGAGGACCGCTGTTACCACGCCAGCGGATGTCGTGCAGATTCTTGCGCCGCGTACATACTACTTCCCTTCCCTTCCTTCCTTCCGTTAGGTACTCGAGCCTGAGCTGACGACGGGAGAAGCGGGATCGGGGAAAACTCGCACGTTGACCTCGCGCGTAGCATACCTTTTATCAGAGCCTTTATGCCTAAGCCCGCAGAACGTGATCGTCGCCACGTTCACAGTCAAGGCGGCAAACGAGATGAAAGAGCGGCTGTCGAAGCTCGTCGGCGAGAGTGTGGGGCGGCGTCTGCTCCTTGGAACATTCCACAGTATCTGTCGGCGGTACCTCGTCAAGTACGGACATCTTATCGGACTCCGCCAGGGCTGGGGTATCGCCGATTCCGGCGATTCGAAGGCGATTTGTAAGAGGATCATAAAACGGAGGGGGTTGGGCGAGTCGGTAGATCCGAAGCAGCTGCAGTCCAGGATATCCCATTTCAAGGCGCGGAATATGGAGCCGATGACGAATGCGTATCCCACCGTGCAGTCGACGAATCCAGCGGCGAGTACGCAGAAGTCGACACAGGCTAGGCAGAAGGATATTGCTACGGAGGATTTTGTGTTGTTGTATGAGGACTACCATGCGCAGCTAGAGTCGTCGAATTTGCTGGACTACGACGATCTCCTCGTGCGATGTCTGGAGCTGCTGAGGGAGAATCCCGAGTGTGTCAGTAACATCGAGGCGTTGTTGATCGATGAATTCCAGGACACGAACGTAGTCCAGTACGAGCTGATGCGGAAGTTCTCCTGGAAGTATCAGCGGATCACTGTGGTTGGCGATCCAGACCAGAGCATCTACGGCTTCCGCGCCGCAGAAATCGGGAACGTACGTAGGATGCAGCGGCAGTATCCGGACACCCTCGTGGTGAATCTGGAAGAGAACTACCGAAGCTCCGCGAGTATCCTGCAGGCCGCATTGGTGGTTATACAGCAGGATGGGAATCGCATCGATAAAGCCCTGACCGCGACGCATCCCATCGGCCCGAGTCCAGTTCTACGGAGGGTTGCCTCTGCGGCGGCAGAGGCCGAGTGGATCGTCGGCGAGATCAAAAGGTTGCGCGCCGTTACCGCCGGGATGATTCCGCTCGATGGTGTGGCGATTTTGGTGCGGTCAGCGCATCTGACGAGACACGTCGAGACAGTTCTCACTCGTCAGGGCATGGCGTACAAAATGGTTGGGGGAACGAGGTTCTTTGATAGGGCGGAGGTCAAGATTGTGGTCGAGTATCTCCGGGTGCTCCAGAATCCAGCGAACAATGATGCGGTGGTGCGGATCATCAATGTTCCATCGCGCAAAGTCGGGGATACTACGGTGAAGGGATTACTCGAGGACGCAGAGAAGAAGAAGAAAAGTCTATGGGACTCTGTGTATCGCGGGGTGTGCGGGCATTCCCCGTGGGGCACGAAAGTGGCCAAGCTCGCAGAGAAGGGGATGGAGTCTTTCGTCGGGTTGATGACCAAGGTAATGGAAAAACTGGACGATCCGGAAACCACCCTGGCGGATCTCGTAGAGAATCTCCTGGCCAAGTTGAACTACGCGGCGTACATACACAACCACTATCCGGAGGATTTCGACAGCCGCTGGGCGAACGTCCAGGAGCTTATCGCCCAAGCACGGGAAATCAGACTCGACGAGGATGACGAAGCTCTGCCGGATATCGACGGGCTGCAACAGCAAGTGGGACCTCGGAAAACTCCCAGGGCTGCACTGGAGCGGTTCCTAGCAAACGCAGCACTCGTGAACGAGAGACAGCGGCGGCTTGCCGGCCCAGATGAGAAGGTGGCGGAGATTATGATCAGCACCATACACGCAGCCAAAGGTTCGCCGTCCATCCAGTCAGTCAAAATCTCTCGATGCTAACACCGCCACCAGGCCTCGAGTGGCCTGTAGTTTTTGTCCCATCTGTCTACGAAGGCTCGATTCCGCACTTAAGAGCAGAAGATGTCGACGAAGAGCGACGACTGCTCTACGTTGCCATGACCCGAGCACAGGCACTGCTCTACCTATCGTGCCCATTCCGCTCGGGGGAGAAAGTCAAATTGTCGTCGTTCATCGATAAGCCGAATATCAAGAACCGGCTTATGAGCAACAAAGCCTCGGACCTGTCGTTCTCGAACGTTCAGACACTGGCACAGATCCTGTCGGCACGGTGTCCGACAGAGATAGAAATCGAAGCCGTGGTCGAGAGCAGCGGGATACAGTCGCGGTGCGACGATGTCATCTCCGACAAAGACCCGGATGATAAAGAGGAGAATGAAAAACGGGCTGTGCGGGAGAATAATAATTATCGGGAGAATGGTAATTATCGCAGCAAACCCGATGTGCCACAGTTCCAGAGTGCTAGAGCTTGGACCAATATCAGCACCACCACCACCGAAGACCGGATACGCCATAAAGCGACGACCGAGAACAAGATCGGATTCCGCAGTGCCGGAAGCCATCTCTCCGAGCTCAAGAAACAGGGGGTGGATTTTGCCTGCGAGGCGGATAAGGACCTTAATGTGAGGAGAACCTCGGATGCGAGGATGATGCAGAATTCGACTGTTTCCACAAACAGAGCTGTATCAATTACCATCATCGATACATGTACAACTACCACCACGAAGAAAGGAAAGCCGGTGGCTTCTAAATCCTCACGACCGGCAGGTCAGGGGACACTAATGGGCTTTCTAACCAAGAAGCCACCGCCGCCCAAACCGGCCACAGCCACATCAGCCGTCCGAACCATAGCCCCAGACGTCTCCCTACTGGAGCAAGTGCAGTCACTCCCAGCACCTGTTATTCCCAAGCGAGCCGGTGGAGACTTTATCCTTCTGTCGTCATCGCCACCGAGAAAAGTCAAAAAACGCCGGACAAAGCCCGAAACGACAAAGATGAAGCACGTGCAGCCTGAGGAGCAGGAGGACGATCAGGAAATTCCACCTAGCTCACCGGTGTTTGGAGCTTTCTGTGAGGATATGCAGCAGCATGAACCTCCTCCTCCTCCTCCCCCTCCCTTTCCTCAAGCGATAGCATTCGAGATAGACATGGAGGATATACGGGAGGAGGCCACCTTACCGAAGTTGGTGCAGGAGACGTCAATGTTGCCGCCCAAGATTCCATTGGCGGGGTCGCAGAGAGGTGTGAAGAGGACTTTGGGGATTAGGAGAAGTATGAACGGGTGGGAGAATAGACAGCGACGGTGAATGGAGTTTTGCATTACTTACTTACTTATGTACATATGGGATCGATCCTGTGATAGAGGGCTTTTCGCTCATCAACATTTATAGCGTTTACTAGGCGCACGTAAAAGAAGGGGGAAATTGAAGTCGTGATCACAAGTCATCAATTAACTAACAAAAATTGATGATTCACGAGTGATGACGAGTGTTTAGTCACATTGCGGTCGATACCGCCATCTACGTCTATCCAACTGACAAAGCGAAACTTCTGTTCCAACAGTGCAATTTTATGGTATATTATAGTGCCCAAGTATAATATACCTCATTTTCCACCCTTCCAATTCGGCGTTCTCGCTCAATTGTGAACCAGAACGGCCTTCAAGTGTTTATCGAAGACAAAGTAACCGCCGACCCTGCTCTGGCCGTCGATGCGCTTGGTGCATTTCTGGATCAGTTGTTCAGCCGCGCCCGCCACCCACTCACACTGGATGCCCCACCAAAAGTCGCCGCACACCGCGATGCTGGCCGACTGGTACTTCCTCTTGGTATGGCACATGGATCCGCCAGGGTTGTCCTGCCGGCACTCGTTGTCGCCCTCAACCTTGAGCCTGTTGGCCGCGACCTGCACGTCCTTCGATAGCGGACTGCCGCTCGTCGTCTCGCATACATGGTAGTTTGTGTCTTCCTTCACGTCCTCCTCGTCGGGTGGCTCGTCGACCGGAGAGTCGCCGTCATGGGCTAGGGTGGGAGCCGGAGGCGAAAACTCGGAGACGGTTACGACGATACCGAAGACGGCGGCCGCGGACGAGGTGCTGTCGGAAGCTGCCTTGGTGATGGTGGTGAAGGTCTTGTCGGTGTCGAGAGCGTTGCCGGAGACGGCGCCGCAGAGGACGGCTCCTGCCAGCAGGGCGAAAGAGTTGAAGAACTTCATAGTTGTTGTAGTTGTTTTGGAGGGGTTTTATGTATAGATGTGGTTGGGGGGGGGGGGGGGGGGGGGGGTGGTCGTGAAGGCCGTTGGGTGTCGTTGGGAATCGTTGGTTAATTGGTGAAGATGCGCGGGGAGAGGGATGAAAAGAAGGCTTCTTATGCTTAAGGAGCGGCGAAAATTGAACGCCGCCCCACTAAGGTGGCACTGAATTGTTCACAAGTTACTGGTATTCGATGAAAACCAAGGGCATCAACCCTCCGTAGACCCTGCGGGAAGACACCTAGCCGCGCGAGCCCTCCAGACAACCGCAGCCCACTCGAGCAGCTCGTCCGCTATCTCCTCTACCACTGCTATCACGCATCCACGGGACCCCGAATACCCGCCGGAACCGCGGGGGGTGCGATGAGCTGTTGTGAGGTGTTGTGAGTACATTGGAAATCACAGACTGCGGGGCATCCGCCATCCATTTCTCTGGATGAGACAGACAGGCAGCCGCTTCTACTACAGAGCCCCGCTGGACCGTTATGCAACTCTAGACTTCTCCGCCGCTGCCTACAGCCGCGGCTTGAGGTTGAGGGTCGAAATGGCGATACGCCATGGCCCATGATCCATCTCTACGGAAATTTTACAGCTATTAGCTGTCTGCAAGTGCTAGAGCCTCCTTACTATATTATAGTCTACAGCGCTTCGAGCACAGCGGCCATTGAGTTGGACACGAGAGACAGAGACAGGACACAATCTACCGCCGCATCGAGTTGTGACGAGGCGGATACGTAGGCAACATTCCGAACTCGCAGGCTCGAGGCTCGAGTGCTTCATCATGTCCGGCCGACTCGACCGTACCACGTCCTCCGCAGCCGCCTACAGTCCCCCCTGCTGCTCAAAGGAAACGACTCTATGTACCTATGCCGGAACATTGATTTGCATGTGTGGTCACTCGATGCTTCCCCCCCTCGTAGTGAAATCCAAAGTATTCAAGCGGGAGGAGGGGGGCGATAAACACGCCTCCTCTCCGTGGCATAGATCCTCAGACATACATACCCCGCTTTCCTTCTGTATCCTCCTCACGGAGGCTCACTCGCGCGACTCACGATTCCATGTACTCTCTATACCTAGTAGTCATGTTTAGTACCGACCAGTGACTCAGTGCGGGCGCTTTGCAGTGTGTGTACGGCAACAGCCAAGTTCCAAGTTATCAACACAGCACCTTTGTTTGTTTGTTTTTCTTCTTCTTTGCTTTCGTTCATAATATTGACTCATGGACTCAAGGGAAGCAAGGCAACAATCAACAACTAAGGAAAACATACCTATACGGGTATTATTATAGGTACTATTAGTAGGAAGAGTAGTCCTGGTGGACCGTGGTGTGTGTGGTGCGGAAAAAAAAACACAAAAAACAAAACAAAAACAGATAGATCTGTAGCAAAACAAGCATGCACGTGAGAGCGCGCCATCTGCACGCACGGAGAACGCGTTTTTCTTTCTCTTTCTCGCACATGGAGCAGCTAGAGTGAAGTATTATATGCGGTGTCACCCCTCCCCTCGCCTTCGCTCGTGGCCAATAACCCCCCTCCATCCCCTCCATCCCCTCCATCCCCCATCCCCCATCCCCTCATCCCCCCATCCCCTCATCCCCCCATCCCCAGAGCAGCAGCAGGAGGAAGAGAAGAAGGAGAAGGAGTCGTCGACCGATTCGCATTGCCGAAAAATCGACCATCAAACATATCATACATACCGCAGCTGCCCAGGGGGCGCTCGGAAAACACCCGCCCAATGATCACTTGCGAAACGTGTTCAGTTCAGCTAGGTTTCTGGTCGGGCTTGGGTCTGGGTGCAAACGCGATACCCTCCTCGCTTTTCCCGGGCGTTTCCCCCTCATCGCAAGAGAGGGGGGGGTGGAGGGGGGGCAATCAATGGGATGGGACGCACATATCTAGGCCCCAACCATAGTACTACTATGGCTATCTATTTATCTATGGTACTCATGCCATCCCAAGATCGAGATGGAGATTGTAGGTAGATAGTATGGAGGCGTCCGATGTGCGAATGAGACTTCGTTTTTTCCTCTTTCTTTCTTTCGTAGAATCGTAGGCAGACGAGGGAGTTTTACTGGTACAAATCATACCTATTTTACCCGTTCGGTCTTGAGGATCCGCCGGCCAGTGAATGGTCAGCCAGTCGGCCAGCCATCTTGGGGACTCTGCTGCGTGGCATGTGGATGGAGCACACTGCACAGGCAAGCTCCTAAAGATCCTCTGATCCTCAAAACCAATGCTGGAACGTCGGGACTCGGTCGACATTCGACATCGCAACCCGATCCTTACTCCGGCTGGTGCGCCCTCTGCGCTGAACTCGATTGTCGTGTAGGTTTTTCTAGGGTGCATAAATGTAAGCCTTGCGGTCTCACTTCTGCCAAGGCTATCTCGACTCTCTTTCCTTTTGATCGTCGCCGGCAGCTACAGTATTTCATCCATCGATTCATCCCGTTCATTCATTCTCAAGTATCCAGACTTTCTAGGTATCTACGTTCTTTACCACCCTCCCCCCAACAACAACACGCCAGGACAAGGATCCATCCGGGCCACCAGCACTGAGCAAACAGAGTCCAGGCAGGCAGCAGTTTGTTAACTGTTAGGGCAACCAAGGTAAAGCGAAGCAAGAAACCCGCGCCGAGTCTTGTATAGTACTACCCAGTACAATCCTGATCATTCCGTCTGTCCTAGCTGGGGAGATTACTCTGCGTTTCTCTGGCGATACCACCTGGTATGTAGCATCATCTATTATTTTTCTTTCGCGCGGCTGACACAGGTACATAGGGCAGTGGCGCGGGGCGGTAACAGCCTACCTACCCAACGGACGGGGATCATCGAGGCCAGCAGCACCGCCACCACCACCACTGTCAACACACGTTTCCATCTGTATGTAGAGTAATCGCCTTCTCTGATGGGAATCCCGAGAGAGACCTGGAGTGCATGAAGTAAGTATCGTTTCAGCACATGCTCTGGCATCTGCTCGGGCCTGGCCCAGCGAATCAAGTTGTCGGGTGCACCGCGGCGCAGTACCTACATACCATACATACTATGGATGTATGTAAGCAGCTGCCTAGCGTATCTGATTGAACTGGCCGCTGGCGGATAGATAGGCAGGCCTGCCTGTATGACGCGGTTCAGGTTCAGGTTCACGTTTCCTATTCGCAGCTGCAGAACGCAAAACGCAAAACGCAGACCGCAAAACGCAGGCTGGAAAGTTTGTTTGTGTGCATGTGTGTGCACTGTGCAGTGTAGAATGCAGTGTCGAATGCAAGATCATCATCTCCACCCGGATGGCCGGCCTTTGGGCTTTCAGGCCTTCGTCCGAACGAGACGAGGGGCGGGCGCCGGGGACAGGATGATTTCGATTCCGTCGATTCCGCCCTTTTGGCCCTGCATATGTCTTCGAGCGCATTCTCTATGAATGTATGTAAACCCTTCGGCAGCCGCAGGCCCGCAGCATCGAGCAATTCCAGCCCAGCCTTCCAGGCCCCTTGCATTGCGGGCGTTGCGGGCGCCGTGTGCGATACCAGCCGCCGACGCCGATGCCGTCCGGAGCCGCGCTATACGTAGCTAACCCTTCGCTGCTAAAATCCCGTTTGTTTGTTAGTTAGTTAGTTTGTTAGTTTTGCTTGCGTGTGTGCGTGCATATATGACTCGTTCCTGAGCTCGTTTTGCTTTGGTGGTGGTGAGTCCGTTGTTGCCTGGGAACCGCCGCTGCACAGAAGGTGAAGGTGAGAGTATTTAGGTATGATATCTACCTGCACAGCGCAGGTCTGGCCAATTTTCTTCCGTTCGCCGGCGCAGACGTCCGTGGCTTTCGGTCCGGATGACAGTGGACACAAGTGAACAAAACCGCCAAATCTGCCAAATCTACCAAATTTGCCCTCTTTTCACAAACATACATCGCGCCTTTGCTGGAACCGGAGGTCCGGGGCGAATCCGCCTACCCACATACTCCAAGTTAAATGATAGATGACTCAACGACAAAGGCTTGCGTCGTGATTCACGATATCGACATGTCGACATGTCGCTAAAGAGGCTATGATGTCGATGACTACCTGGATTACTGGGTATGTTGTTAGTCGAATGCGGGGGTGCTGCGGGCCTGCGGGCGCGGGATAGTCGCGCCAGTGCAGTACATGACTAACTAGAGCACATTCATCCAGACGACGGGGACGACGGGGAGCCCAAGATGCCATAATCCATTATTGTTCTTCCGAACTTTTTTCGTGCCGGCTCGACGTGCACTTTCGGTGGGTAGGTTGGCCGGGAGGACAAACATTGACAGGCCGAAAGACAGGGATGGCAGCTTACTCGATCGTGACTGTTCGTTTTGTTGACTCGCAACTTTAACTCGTTGGTTCATTGGTTCGTTGTCGACGGTCGTGGGTTTCTATTCACGGCACGCCTTGAACCTTCCCCTGTCATGTCCTGTCCTGTCCAGGCTGCCCTGGTGATGTTTTGGGTCGACCGGACCACGGCGATCAAAAGTTCAAAACCGTCGACCCCAGTGCCGGCCTTGTTGCGCGGCTCCTTCTTCTCTGCAGTGCAGGAAGGAAAACAAAAGAAGAAAAAACAAAAGAAAACATAACAAAAGAAAGCAAACAACATTCCATCCCATCCTAGGAAGAGCCGAGTCCTGGTTGGTTCGCTTTGGAATTTTCCTGCGATATCTACATCATACTCTGCATACTGGTAGAACATACTATACCTACTCGTATCTACTCTACATACATGTTATGCTACATCTGCCGCGGGCGGGGGGGGGGGGGTCTGATGGTTTCGAACTTTCGAACTGATAGAACAAGGCGTAAACACTAGCACTAACACTCACTACGATGGGCTTGGAGACGACGGGCTTGGAGAAGAAGATCCAAAGCTCCGCACTCCGACCAGAGCGAGCGAGCTGTTTCAACATTCCTCAGCGTCCAGTGCAGGAACCAGGAAGCAGGCCGCAGCCGCAGCCGCCGC